TCGAGGAGCACCAGAAGATCGTCTCCACGGCCTGCGCTAAACACACCCACAAGATTGGTGGCGAGGGGAAGGGCGTTCTGCACCAGGAAACTCGGATCATCGGCCACAACGAGGAGAAGGATGGCTGGAAGTCAGACTTCGACACTGCCGGAGGCGAGATCAGCATGGAGTTTGAAGCCAGCATCAACCCCACATCCAACCCAGTGTGTGACCTTGAGGCTCAAGGTGGACTCGAAGCGAAGCACAATTTGGTCATCGAGTTGATCGTTGCGGAAGAGTTCTGCCCCAACCGCAACACTAGGCTCATCACACCTACAGGAGCGGCACGCGTCCTTCGCATGCAGTTCAACCTACACGTTACCGAAAGAAGCGGACTCGGTATTAGTTGGGACGAAGAAATGCCGCCGGTGTACGAGGATGTTCCTGCCAGTCCTCCTGGCTATACTATGCTCGATGGGAGAAGCACCATGGAGGATTACCATGGCTCACCTCTGCCGACTCCAGACTATGAAGAGTTGGACCGAATGGACTCCCTTCGACTGGATACCTCCTCCACCAATTCCTCCTGCCGTGGACGAGGTCGACTGACAACCGACGATTTAATCACTGAGCCGCTGGAAATCGGTAATAGTCGAAACCGAGCACCATCTGCGGACTCTCAACAATCATAAACACCGGCGATTTATCAATTTAATTACTCTCGAAGACATCGGGCCGGTACGAACTAATGAATCTTACGAATGCAATGACCACAAATCGAAAATAAAGACTATCCTTGTTCGCCTCACCTTTACCCCAAGAGATTGTTATTTTTTGTTTTTTGCTTTCATTTGTTCGAAACTATTTTATGTCGCCACTTCCACCGGGCGACTTCTAATATCAACTTGACAACGAAAAAAAAGTTTATTTGCGGTATCTTTGGGCGTTTTCGAGGTCTCCTCTCTTACAATGTGCATCGGGGTGGATATATCGTTTTGCATGATACCCATCATACCATAGTATTGTCCTGTTTTACTTTCTCTTTGTTTCGACCCATACAGACGGCTTCGATTACGATTCACGATATACTTGACTAGTATTACTTTTTCAATAATGATAATATCATACAAGTCCACACTATGGAGTATTCTAACTTATCATATTCATTAAGCTATATAACCATCCCGCTTGTAACCGCAGCCTCGGCCTAAGCCCGTCGAGGAAGACGATTTGGAAGGTTGGGCGCAGCAATACTCCCAATTGGTTAGTGATTCACTGTACCCAGCGCCCTGCATGTGCCAATCTCGTTCCCTACAGGACAAAGTCCGAGCACAATGCATTGCGACGCAGAGTATTTCATGCGGGGGGCTGAACACAGAATGCAGAGGACAGTGTCAAGTTCCCACGGCCAGTTGGTGGGGGGCCTAAGTTTCTCCCTCTCGCCATCATATACCGTACTGAGGCCCAATTCTAAGACCCCTCACTCACTGCCACACACCGCACCATCTGCACAACACAACCTCAAAACTTCTTAAAAAAAAAAACAACAACACTTTTTCATTGCTTGAAATCATCAAGATCATATATATTCCACATCAATAAAGTCAAAAATCATATCTTTCATAGTATCAATCATGAATCAAAAATCGGTCCATACGCCGGTATCCCCATCGACTCGAGCTCGAAAACCACCTTCTTCGTCACAAACGGGTTACTGACGACACAGATCGCCTCGGCGTCATGCTCGCGCGCGACCTGCCGAATCAGGGGAATCATGTCGAGGCGACCCGACGAATTCGTATCGATAATCACAGGGTTCGGATCCATCTTGCCCACCAGATTCAGTACGCCCTTGCCGTAGGTCCGCTTGGGTGCTCTCGTCTGCCAGATGACGCGGAGGCTGGGCCGGTTCTCGTCGCCGAGGAAGGAGAGGCAGGGGCCCATGCCGGATCCGGTTGTCACGACTACCACGCGTTTGTATACCCGCATTGCGTATGCGAAGCCGTACATGAGCACGCCGCGTTTCCAGAGCGCGGTTGGTTGTTCTTTTATACATGCGGAGGTCCAGTCGCCAGCTTTGGAGACGACGCTGGAGAAGCTGTTTCCGTCTAGGTCGGCGTCTGGGAACGTTGCGAAGGAGTGCCAGTCGCGGAGTGGGTGTTTGGAGAGCTGGATGCCCTTGCCGAAGGTGGTTGTTGTGTGATTGAAGTGGAGGCGGATGGCGTGTGGGGAGAGGTATTCGGGTGTGACCTTGACTTTGCGGAGGAGTAGCCAGGGCTGGATGATTGCTGCGACAACAACCATGAGGAACCAGAAGGCTGGGAGCTCGATCAAGAATCGGCCCATAGGTGTGCCTTCGGCAGCGGAGAACTCATGGACGAAAACCATGAGGAGGACGACGAAGAGGGCTATGACCAGCCAGCCCGAGAAGCGGTGGGTGAGTTCGAAATAGTCGTGTCGCTTGAATCGGAAGCCTGGGTAGGCGACGATTATGATAGCCAAGAGAAGGGCCATGATAATGTATGTGAGGATGATTGGCGCCACCGAAAATGGAGTTGTGATGCCTTTGCCGGGAGAGAAGTACTCTCGCGAGAACTGGCCAACGAAGCCCAAGTACCAGACGAGGGAGGCAACACCGCATCCGCTATGTACGCCGCCATAATGGTACACCTTGGATGCTATACGGCGCATCCAAAGTGGTGCGGATCTTGGTATCGAGCATACCGTGAAGAAGATGGTGTTCACGACCAGAGGCTGTCTCGCAAGACCGCATGCAAGCAGATTGGCTGCTGCAGCATTGATGAGCGCGAGAAGTTTTCGACGTGCAATCAGCACATAGATGAAGACTCCGATGTTGGCGAGAAAGACGAGAGTGAAGAGCCGACGGTAGATGTTGAGGAATGTATACCGAATCGGTGCAATCACTCTCCTCTTGGTACTTTGTGCCTCAAGGTCATAGCTGTACTCGTCCTTTATCATCAACTCGGAGACATCTTTGATGATGCACTTCTCGATGCTTGCGAAGCTGGCTTCGCTTGGGCTCTCTGGGACGCACACCGCTGTTGGAGGCCTCGAGACGATGACCTCCTTGACCTCCTCAACTTGAGACATGACGCTTCAATTGCTGTTCTGACTGCTGATACAGAATGCCAATGTTGAAGGGGGGGGAAGTATAAGAGTTCTATAATGTCACGGGGTATAATAATGGAGAGGAAATCAGGTAAGTAATCGAAAAGAAGCCACAAGTGACGGCATGTGCTCATAGGCAGGAATATAGAATCAAGTCGACCACTGAGGTGTCTCCACGGCGCAGGGTGCACGTCTCTTTTGAATTCCTTCGCTTGACACCTTCCGGTTTACGTGACGAGATATTTCCTAGAGTGTCAACCTGCATCGGGCTTTTCAGCCGTGTCCTCCAAAGTAGGTAGGTCCATCGTTCTCTCAACAACTCCGGGCCCACATGGTCGGTCCACCATGGCACCCTTCTTATCTCAGAAGGAACTTTTTTCCCCTCCCTTCCCGTGCGAAGGCAGGGAAAAGAAATCAGTCCTCGATTTTTGGTCCAAGGTTCGGGTTCCAGCTGTCACCATCAGCCCGATGTCTCCAGAAATGGGTCTCTTCCACGGAACGTTACCCGCTAAGTTAGGTCCTACATGATGTGCCCCAATGAGCGTGCAACACACAAGATATAACGGCATCGCCTCGGTTTCTCTTTGTCTCAAGTCTCGATAGGGAATACTGTAGCGCCAAGCGATGGTAACTGCAGGGTGGGAAAGCTCAAAGGATCCCGACCCGCTTCTGGGGTGGTGGTGTCTGCCAGTGAAGACGCGGCCTGATCGAGAGCTTCTTTCAACCGGCTGATGCAGGTAGCCCAGGTGCAGCCCAGCCCGCTGGGTGACAAGATCGACATGGAAAGACAGCACGAATAAACCAAGGCGTTCGTCAGAATCGCCACAAACCAGCGGTGTTCGTCCGCATTGCCCCACAGAGACACCGTCAAAAGCACAAAATCGAGAAGACGATCGGATACACCGAACTCTAGCGAGCACACTGGAGTGGTTCTAAACGAGACTGAATGGCTGAGGGGCTCCCAAGGGCCTAAACTCGTGGAGCCCGAGTTGCCGGAGGATGTAACGAAGTCTCCATCTGGTATCTGCGCTCTGCAGATGCCTGACGGACTTCGCGGATCCAAGTTCCCACAAATTTCTTGCTTTTGGCTTCAGCACAGGCTGGCAATTGGCGGGGCTACTGGGGAGACCGCCTGGCTGGACTTTGCTATCCTCCTGAATTAGGTTAGTGGGGTGGATGACAGCCAGATGGATGGCGTCGAAGCTGTGGAGGGCTGAGATCAGCAGCGGATCAATGCAATTGTCACCCGTCTTATCCTGGTCGATTTTTTTTAGGGCGGGGTACTATGACAAGCCAATACTCCAGCGAGATGCAGCTGCAACCGGATTCCGCCGCGCATGTGCGTTGATTCCTGGGAATTTTCGAGCGAAACAACGCAGCAGTCCGGGACGTTGCGCCCTGGCATGCATCCGCAGCAAGACGCGATTGCATGTGCATTATGAAAGATCGGGTAAAGTGCGGACACAGGGTGCCCTCCTTTGAATCTTGGAGAATTAACTTTCCGCTTGGTTGCCTGTCACCCGAGCAGCTCTCTTTCCCGGGAACTCACTGCTCTCTAGCTCAGAAGTTCAGCTCGACCGCGAAGGATTGGAAGGTGGGTTTCTGGAGGAACGGGACAGCAACAGAGAACTGAAGGGGCAGACCTCAGCCACATCAGGCCGGCCAATAGGGAGATCCCGAAGCCTCGGTTGAAGCATCCTCTGCCCAAAGCGCTGGATGGTGTCTTTCAAATCGAGCGACGGACCGACCTGGGGTTGGGAAGTGGGAACATGTTCGCACCATTGCTGGGGTTTGCTCGTTCGTCGTCCAGGATTTCGGTCCTTTTAGCGACTCCACTAGCTCTGATCTCAACCGAAGCGGTGACCGACCTTCGATTAGACGCAAGCCTCGTCTGTGGACCAAGAACAGGATCAGCAACCCAATCTGGGCGGCGCTTGGGTTTGGTCCGAGCGAACGAGCCCCGAAGGGATTATTGTTAGCAGAGCGACTCGGCGAATTGGGACGTGCGGCGCAGGCCCCCAAGCAAATTACGGAGGAGATTCCAAATTCCAAATCGGATCCCGTCAAACTGGAATTATTATTGTCATCAAAGGAGACGTCTCTAGGCTACTTGAAATGATTTCTAAAACTGCAGACGCAAAGTTATTTATCACCCCGATGTCCCATCGCTCGAGCAGCATCCCCTGTTTCTCACTCTTGACGTGTTTCCTCTCCTCAGTCTCCTCCATACTCCAAGCCCTAACTGGCACCAAACCACTTTTCGCACCAACACCCTAACCCCGACCAATACCTCAACAACCTCATGATAATGGGTCTTGGGGAATCGTCCTTGGCACGACCCCAATACGGCAATGCCAACGATGTATACACCGACTTACTGAGCTTCTGCTTTGACGGCCCTGTCCCGTTTGACCAAGAACGGCCAGTATACATTGACGCAGAAAACCCCTCGCGTTCTTTCAATGCTCGACAGTTCAGAACCCTTGTGCGGACCCTGATTGCTGGATTGAAGGCCCATCATGTGCAGAGGGGCGACTGTGTTTTGGTCCACTTGGGAAATAGCGTAAGTTGAAGAATTAAATCCCGTGTTGACTTGACATGTTCTGCTTTTCTGTTGTTTATATGTGTACTTTTTCTTTTTTCTTGCTTTTTCTTTTCTTTTTTTCTTTTCTTTTTTTGTCTCTCTTCGCCCTCCTTCCTTTTACAGTATACTGATTTTCCATCCTGGTGCAGATCTTATACCCCGCACTGTTCTTCAGTGTTATCGGTGCCGGCGGTGTGTTCATGGGCTCGAACGCACGCAGTCAACCTCAGGAACTGGAACACATCCTTTCGCTGGCCGAGCCGAAGCTGATCGTCACGAACCGCGATGCGCTTCCGACCGTCCTCGGTGCTTCCTCCAACAAGGGCATGCTCCCCAGCCAGGTTTGTGTCCTAGACGATTCCGCAGCAGAACAAATCGCACAGCTCGTTGGGTCTGGACCAGTGCCGTACCTTGAGAGTGGAGATGACAACTATATGAATTTCGCTCATCTTCTTAGATACGGTGAGAACGACTGGATTAGGTTCAACAATGAGATGATCGCAAAATCGACGCCGGCTGCGTTGTTCTCCACCAGCGGCACTGGAGGGCTACCCAAGGCAGCGGTTTTGTCGCACCATGCGATAGTATCGCAGCATGTGGCACTTGTGCATGATGTCCCCTACGAAGTCAGGCGATTAATATCATTGCCCATGTTCCATCTATTTGGAGCACTTTGGTCACACATTTTCCCAATTCGCTATGGGCAGCCGCTGTACATCCTGCCCCGCTTCGAGATAGCCCAGTATCTCACATCCGTGTACCAGTACCAGATTACGGAAACATACATGGTCCCCGCAATGGTCCACTCCTTCAATCGCTGCAAATTACCAGTCAGCGATTACTTCTCATCCCTCCGCTACGTTGCCGTTGCTGGTGCGCCAATTGACGGGGCCTCGATGCAGCAGTTCCGCGAACTTCTTGCTCTCGACGCCTACGCGGCCCAGCTTTGGGGGATGACTGAAGTAGGAATCATTTTCCAGAGCCGCTACAATGAGGTGACAAACGCAGCCAGTATTGGCCGGCTCCTATCCGGGTACGAAGCCCGCCTTGTTGGTGCCGACGGAAACCTTGTCGCAGGCGACAACAAGCCGGGAGAGCTCTACGTGCGCGGCTCGGGGTTGCTCACATGCTACAAATACCAAGACGATTGCAAAGATGCGCAGGGCTGGTTCCGCACTGGAGACGTGGCATACGTAAATAATGGGCTCTACTACATCGTCGGACGGACTAAAGAGCTGATCAAAGTTCGAGGGTGAGCCCAGTCCCTCAAACTCCACTTCCCAGACTAGTTTCAGGAACTAACACATCGCCAACTACAGATGGCAAGTCGCGCCCGCGGAAGTCGAAGGGATTCTTCTCAAACACCCAGGAATCGAAGATGCCGCGGTCACCGGCGTGACTTCCAAAGATGGCAGCACCGAAGTTCCTCGTGCCTTTGTCGTGCGATCCAAGACATTCTCCGGCACGCGCCTTACCGCCGAGGAAGTCTATCTCTTCTGCCGTCGCCAATTGGCCTCTTACAAGGCGCTAGACGGAGGTATTATCTTTGTCGAGGAAATCCCGCGCACGCCGAGCGGGAAGATCCAGCGATTCAAGCTCACCCAGATGAACACGTATCGGGAGATCGTCAGCTCCCTGCTCGCAAGGTTTCGCGGCGCTAGCCTCCAGAGTGTTGGAATCATGCATGGTGGCAGAATCTCAGTTTGATACGACTTCACCACCCTTGATTTCCCTCGCTCGTTTCCAATCAGTGACTCTTTATTGATGAATTTTATGATTGACTGACTGATGATGCACTGATTATTCAATTGTTGAACCTTGGGAGTTCAGTTCATTCACTCCTTGGCTGCAATGCATGGCGTTCTGTAGCTCTTTGTTTTCAATTCTTTGTTTTCTGATCAGTGATTGGGGTATTTGTTTTTTTTTTTGTTTTGTTTTGTTTTTCTGTCCAAGTTCAAATGGCGTTGTTTGGTCCAAGCTCGCATTAGGGAAGTTCAGATTTTGGCATAGTGAATTTGCTTTTTGTATTTTGTATCCTGCTCTATGACGCGATTTTTGTGCTTTTCTCCTCACCTCACTCGTTTTTAGCCTGCACTTGACTGTTAAGTATTTAGCATGGTGATAAGTTTCACACTCACTTGATACCAGAATACCCAGAATATTATGATTCCATATTACATCGCATCACATCATATCCTACTGCAGTAAGACTACCAAAAATAGTAGTATACAGCTCATCAATAACACAACAAGCTCCGAATATCGACCGAGACAAGGGTCGTAGAAGCTCCCCACTAGGAGGAATGACATCTTTAGGTGAAACACGATCCCTAGGGATCTCGCATGAGATACGTACCCCTCCCTTGGATCACATCATTAAGGCACAGCTGTTATCCAAGGCAAAGCATGGAAGACCCCAGTTGCTCGCATATTCCAGTTTTCGAGCTCGGTTTCAAACTCGACGGGCTCGGGTGATGCACCTGACTGTGACAACCCCCCAGCTTGCCCTTGTCTCAGTCCTCAACGTGCCTTGAGAACATCACTGCGGAGTCATCCTCGCTTAGGTATGAGGGGCATGAGAGCTCCATCATGTTTTCAACGAGCACCGTCAGACTCCTCAGCGATCAGTCTGTAAGACCCGTTTAGGCATGTCGTGATTCGCATTGCATGTGGAACACGCAGCGAAGGCCCTCCACTCCGCCACAGGGACGGGAAGGAACCCAGGTGCTTCTCCGACCCGCGCGCACTTTGGATTGGAGCCTGGTCTGATCCACCACTGGATATGCCAGCGCCACTGTCTGCCTCGGGTGTCAAGTGTCAACTGAAGCCGAAAAAGCAAGCATGCGATCAGCGCTAGTTGCGAGTCAACCCGGGAAATAATTATTATCTGGTCTATGCTAACCTCGTCTAGCGGGGCCTTACTTCCACCCGGGGGTTCCGGTATACTGGAGGATTCAGCATGGGATCAAGTTTTGGAAAGAGCTATTGGGGCTGGAAACTGGATCTTGGGGTCAATCTCTCCACTAACTAGCTCGGAAGTACATGAGTTTAGAGATTTGTAGAGAATGAAGAGGCCCGTGCAAAGTATGGAGTCTGGCAGCCGTCACGACGCCGATCAGTCGATCCGATCCGCACACATGCCCACGTTTTTGTTTTCTTGCCCGTTGCTAACTTGCGTCTGGACACCGGAGGTGTCCGGGAAGTCAATAGTTTCGGGGTCTGTTTCGTCCGGAGTTGTGACAAGACGCAATATCCGTACGTAATTGGCTAAATTTTAGTGCTCAATAGTCAATAGTCGGATCAGTTGATTGGAAATTCTCCACACCTCAGCGCTTGGAGAACAACTTGGCCGAAGGAATGAGCCTTGGAACCTGCAATGTTGATTCGGCCTGGGTCGTTCAAGGTCTTGCCTTCGAAAGTACTACAGATCGACACGTATCTATTTCCTTGTTGAGAAAAGAAGCCCCATCCGAAATCGACTGTCATGCCACTGAAAGCCAGGATCGGAACCAAGATCAGGATCAGATCGAGCAGGGTGGAGGCCGCGCTCAAGTTTCGAGACACCGACAGCTGGGGGTTACCAACGCCACTATGGTGTCTGTTCCACGTTTCTCGCCTCGGTTGTGACTCAAGCAATCGATCGACGGCGCAGGTCCCATTGTCAATAGCCGGACGGTCCAAGAGTCACAGGTCACAACCCCCTTCATAGATACAGGGGAAAACACAAAGAAAAAGGCTCCGTGATGGTCTAAAAAAAAGCTGAGCGAGGAAGACGTCAGGCCGGCGTATACGTTGTGAAAGTACAGTTGTGCGTCGGGTGACATAAGACTTTGAACTAGACTCCAAGATCGACAGGTTTAACGCTTCGTAGAATACGCAGCTGGCTATCATTCCTGAAAGCTCGGGCTTGTTGAGCGTTTGGCAGAAATAATGGGCCTTCCGAGTTGACACCAGAAGTGATGTGATCTTGCCCGGAAAGCTGCACGATGCATGAATGAGTTCGAGGCTGGTTGTCGGCCACATGTAAAAATCAGTGGGAGAGAACTATTTCCGCGGCATCACGAGGATTAGACAATAGTCCCGTTGAGCCAATGTCATGGCATATGCTGACCTCTCGATGAGACCCCTTCTGTTTTTGGTTCCGAATACTGCTGGTAAAGAGCATAGCTGCATCTGCAGGATTGAAACGCAGGTCTTTGAAGTCCGAATTCAAAATAAACGTAGCGATAATCTCCCGCGAGGTCAACTGTTGACAAACAACCGATGTTCATGCATGATCTCGTCCACGTCACTTCCTTTCCAGAATATCCTTGCTCGAATGCTCAGAGGGTAAGCGTAGACTTGAAAGGTTGAATATGCCCTCGATGAACAAACTGGTGATAAGCTTCATGGTTCCTTGAGGTGATGGTGTGATGAAATGCGTTCCCGTGCCTGCTGGCTGGCAAACACTTCCCTCAGCAAAATGCGATAACAAAGCAAACAACCTGGCGTCCAGTCAAGAGAAGCCACCCGTATGCAGTCTCCGTGCCAATTACCAATACCCGGTATTAGATTTGTGAGGAAATATGAAGCCGCCCGGAAGACCCGTGTGGCCCAATTTGAGACGAATACCAGAGGGCTGGTCAAATTCTAAAATCGAGGCGCTTAAAGAATGCCGTACCCTTTGAACCATACACCGTATGCCAATGGGCCCAGTGCTCCGACAAAAGCGGCACCCACGGGAATCTCCAGAATACACCACACCCATAATGTCCCAATAGCCGGTGCTTGCCTCATAACCGCGTAGTAAGTGTCCTCGTTGGTCATTTCCATGAGTTTGTTCCCGAGAATAACTGCTCCAGGAAGAAAGATTACTGTCTTTAGCGACGGTGGGAAGAGTAGCTTGCGCAGAAACGAGAAAGAGAGCTTCTCTGGATGCCACGGGAAGAGCGAGATGGTCTCAGATTCTCCTTGACCCCGGTGGAAAGAGATGATATGCCCGTGAGCAAGGTGGATGAGAAGGGTCAACGTTGGGAACGCCACAAAACCTGAATTGCGGAAGAGGACGTCGAGTTCAATGCTCTGTGCGTATTGATGGGCCGCCAGATACCCCAATGTCAAATGTAAGACGGTCAAGGGTATAGAGAGCAGCACGGTGTCAATAAAAGGTGAGATGGGATCGTAGTCGTCTATATCTTCCTCATGTTTTGCAATTTCCTCAGACAGCTGGCCTTCATTCCCAGTGCCCGACACACTTGACTGGCCGAAAGGAGAAATCTCGCCCGTGTCGGGGTCGATGGCCACGTACTTCGTCTCGATGCCCTTCTGTGAACCCGAGGGACCAATGGTTCCCTCAAGCTGGCCTTGCCTTTCTGCGATCATATCTACCAGCGTTCTCCCGTTCTTTTGGGGTTTCGAAGGATCATTTGGTGGAGGATGGGCGAGGGGAATCGAGGAAGGATCAAAGAAATCTGTTTGCGAAGCGGTGGCTGCGGCTCGTCGCTGCTTTCGGTTTCGTGGAGGATCCATCTTTATGAATATTGGATCAAGCAGTGGTATATTTCAAATTTGTTGATGTGGCGGGAGTAAAAATGTTTGTTGATGGCTCATGTTGGGAAACTTGAGATTCGGACAGAAATCCAGATCGGATATAAGCGGAGTTATCCTGCCTGCGCCTTATAGTTCAGGCCGCCCTATTAAACTCAACTCAATCCAAAAATATTTACTTCTACCAAGGCCGAGCATAGTTCTCGAATTCAGTGCTATAAGCACCATTCTCAGCTGTCATGTTTTATTTACAAGTAAATAATGGGAGCCGTCGGAGGTCGGACACACGCTTTGTCATGGGCGATGCGCGGATGATGCCATAGATAAACCCCGCAAAACAGCGAGCACGTCTCCAATTCCCTCCCCTCCTCTACTCTTCCATTATCCCTCGAACTATCCCAATCCAACTCTCATCCATCACAATGTCTCACCTCGAAGCCGCAAATCTGTATAACGTCAAGGGACTGGTGACCGTCATAACCGGTGGCGGAAGCGGTACTGCACTCTTCCCCCACTACCTCCCCCCACCCCCTACCCTCATACATAAAGACTGACAGCATCCATAGGTCTCGGCCGTACAATGGCACTGACCCTCGCGACGAATGGTGCTTCCAAGGTATTCATAATAGGCCGACGCGAAGACAATCTACGGGAAACCGTTTCCCTCGGCCCAGCCAACGCGAAAGACACCATAATTCCGGTCCCCGGAGACGTTTCTTCGCAAGAATCTCTCCAGTCCGCATATGAGACAATTGCAGCTCAAGTTGGACACATTGACCTCCTAGTCGTCAATTCCGGCGTTCTCGGTCCTCCCGCAAGGATCAAACCCAATGCCGATGGGTCAAATCCCTCCATCTCCGAACTGAAAGACTATCTATGGAGTATACCAATGGCGGAATTTACGAGGGTGTTTGAAGTGAACACAACAGGGGCATATTATACGGCCATTGCGTTCTTGCCGCTGTTGGAAGCTGCGAATAAGCGTCGCCCGGCGCCAGAGAAAAACAAGATCTCTGCGCCTTTGTCCCAGATTATCATGACCTCAAGTATTGCTGGTTATTCGAGACGCGTTCCGTTTGATTTCGCGTACAATCTTTCCAAAGGGGCTGTAAATCACCTGGTGAAAATCCTCTCGACAATGTTATCAGGATACAATATCCGGGTCAACGGGATTGCACCGGGGTTGTACTACTCTGAAATGTCAGCAGATGAAAACTTCAACGGTGATGACAAGGGGGTGTCGGACGGGTCATTCCCAACATCTAAGATTCCGATGACGAGAGCTGGTGGAGAGGAAGATATTGCTGGCTTGATACTTTGGATGGCTGGAGCTTCGGGAGGCTATCTTAATGGGAATATTACGGTGACTGATGGCGGTCGGTTGAGTGTTTTGCAATCTTCTTATTAGACTTGCTATTAGGATAAATTGTTATAGACAGAAAGATATGTATAGTCTTAGACCGGTAGGCCATATACACTTGGAATAACAATTGAGGCTGAAGACGCGGGAAATAACGCTAGGATATAAATTTGCGTGGGTAACTGGGCGAGAGTGAAGTGAAATGATCCAACTGTTAGTACGTCGCAGTAAGGCGTTGCACCAGGTAGTCTCCAGCGGTAATACCTGGGTACTTAGCCTTGTTGATATCCGCCCCTTCGCCGTATGTACCAGGGATCGCTTCAATAAACTTATCCATATTAGGGTTGCAGAAGTATGCGATGCTATATCGCTCCGGATACATCTCGGAGCCATCATCATCCTCACCATGTGCTTTTGGTGGTTCAATGACCCGGTGCTTTGTGCTCTTTATAGTGTCATTGGACCATCGGGCCAGCAGATCACCTGCGTTGACAACCACTGTATCGGGGAACGGAGTGACATCGACAAAGGTCCCCTCCGGGCTACGCGCCTGGAGTCCGCCGCGTTGGTCTTGGAAAAGAAGAGTTATAGAACCGTAGTCGCTGTGTTCTGCCGCACGGACTTGCCCCGGGTTCATCTTGAAGACGTCCCTGTGGACAGTGGGATAATGCAATAGACGCAGGTTGTTATCACCTCGATCCACATACTCGTCGAAAAATTGGACCGGTAAATTCATTCCCAGCGCAATGGCCCGCATTACCTGGATATGCAGCTCCTTGCACATGGCAAAGAACGAGAGCATCGCGTCTTTAAAGTCCTTTCCCTCGTCGTCTAGATGGTCTGGCCAGCGGTTCGGAAAGCCCTCGACGCCCTCACGCCCGATCTCCATGCTTTCTTTCAGATCTGGAATCGCACGATGATCTTCCGGGTCGGAACGATTGTCGACCGTGCTCAGCTTCTCTCGGCCGGTTCTAACGTAACCACGGTTCGCCTGCGGGGTTGTCCAACCAAGTGTATCCTTTTGCTCTTGGGGGCGGGCGAAGAATGTCGCAGATGACTTGAATACCCGGGTTGTCACGGAGGGCGGGATGCCGTGGTCTTTCAGGTAGAGAAAGCCCGATGTTTTGAATGCGTCCACGACCGACATGGCCACGGCATGCTTATCAGCTGGGGTTCCGTTTAAGAAGGGTGCGAAGTTGATAATCTGCCGTCTTATCAGTTCTTCTAATTTGGTAGGCATGCGACTAGAGGGGCACAATTAGACAGTGGATAGCCCTACTGGAATCACCAGGCCGTCCTTTGATACCGTCTCAGAGACGGGTTGACAAGCCTGGAAGGGCATATTCCCTTCCATAATGCACCGAGCAGAATAGGTTAGTGGATTTGTAGGAGCCAATGGACAAAGTTCTCCGGATTATGAAGCAGAAAAGAGAGAACCCGCAAAGGATAAATGGAGTGGAGGAAAAAAGGAAATGGACGAGCGGGGAAGAGTCGATAGATCCTAGTTATATCACCACCTACAGGGCCAGGCCCAGGTATCGCAGTGGCCGAGTCTCTGAAAGTTACCAGTGGTGGGAAAGATAAAGTAAACGGACGGATTGTGATTAGGGGGACAAGATACGTTACTTATCTCTGATGAAAGACGGAGCAGCCTGGAGATACGGGAAATGAGACGATGTCACGATGCATAGAGGGGGCCTGCAACCACAGGAACCCCGCAACACACTCACCGTATGATCACTCCTCTGCCTCTCCTTCTCTTTATTTCTGCCTTTCCCTTCATCTGCTTGATCGCCCTTCAAAGACCCAAATCTAATTATCAACATGCCTCTCATCATTGATATCCACACCCATGTCTATCCCCCGGCATATATGGAAATGCTGAGGGCACGAAAAACAGTCCCATACGTCCACGACCCATCCAACAATAAAGACCCACGACTGATTATTCTATCATCGGACGATGATCCCTCAATACCTATAGACCAGCGCGGTCGCCCAGTCGACTCTTCCTACTGGGACATCAACGTCAAGTTAGCGTTCATGCGCCAGCACGGAATCAACTGCAGTGTGATCTCTCTCGCGAATCCCTGGCTCGACTTCATTGAACCGAGCGAAGCCCAGATATGGGCGGAGAGAATCAACAATAATCTCGAAGAGACCTGTGCGGGGGCGAACAAGGCCGCTGACCCGAGAAATGCCCTAGCGTTTGACCAGAAGGAGACGTTATTTGCAATGGGTGCTTTACCTCTAAGTGCCCCCAGCTCTGATGTTGTTGTCAATGAGATAAAACGGCTCAAGACGCTCCCACATTTACGCGGCGTGATTATGGGTACGTCCGGACTAGGACAAGGACTAGACGATGCGACACTTGATCCCGTTTGGCAGGCGCTCCAAGATACGGACACACTAATGTTTCTACACCCGCACTACGGCTTGCCAGATGAGGCCTTTGGGGGATCCGATGCGACGAGTCGATATGGCCATGTGCTTCCTCTGGCGTTAGGGTTTCCGCTCGAGACTACGATTGCAGTAACGCGGATGCTCCTCTCGGGAGTGTTTGATCGCTTTCCACGGTTGAAAATTCTCCTGGCGCATTCTGGCGGTACTCTTCCTTTCCTTGCTGGGCGTATCGATAGCTGTATTCATCATGAGCGCAAGTTTATTTCTGGTGGAGGTGACGTCCAGGGTCCCCGAAGGAGTGTATGGGATGTGCTGAAAACAAATATATATCTGGATGCTGTGGTTTATGGAAAACCTGGCTTAGAGGCAGCAATGGCTGCGTCGGGAGCGGATCGTCTTCTCTTCGGTATGTCCAAATATTCGTATCTAAGATACGAATTACTGATCAAATTATAGGAACCGACCATCCGTTCTTCCCTCCACTTGACTCTAAAGAGGGTGACTGGCCGAGTGTGACGACCAACTACAAGGCGATCCATTCCACGTTTGACACGAATTCTGAGACGGTAGCCGACGTTCTAGGTGGAAACGCCGCACGCATTCTAAATTTGAAAAGATGAATTGCTGGGTATTATTTGCTCTAGATAGTGCAATACAGTAAAACGACAACATAAGAAGATAACGGGGGGCATTGCATGTATATAGATATAGTATTACCGAAAGAGAAAATAACAGGCCCCATCGTATTATAGGCTACATGCTGCCAGTGTCATGGATAACTGTTTGTAGTCAGTATATCATCGCATCCCAGGAGCCCCCAGACCTGTTGTATATACCATTCAGGAATTGGCGAGTCGGTAACCTGGTTCTTTGCAAGGAATCTCTCTATGTCAAAGTTCTCAGGAGGTTCAGGACGCTGTAAAAACTGTTCAAATTCCGAGCCTCCACCAAAAACTGCGTGAAAGAGTGTGTTCTGTAACCTTGCTCTGATACCGAATTGGACTTGTCCAGAGGGATTTTCTGGTGATGCAGAATTCAACAAAGGCGGAAAAGTATCAACGGCAGCTAGAGTCCTCTGCAATAGCCAAATTAGGTACCTGGCCTCCGTCTCAGTGCCCCCTAATGACTTGTCATCGAGCTCGGCGTCTATCAGACCGGCAGGGAGTGGCAGTTTGTGAAAATCAGCTCGAAGATCTGGCTGTAGTTCTAGGTCTTGAAAGACGAATACGCATAGAACTTTTCCAACACGGCTTAACAAGACGTAAAGGAATCCCTCCAGTAGCCGTTGGTGCATAGGGCAGGTTGGGTTGAGAGATGTGATCATTCGGTCCAGTAATGAAGTCAGCTTTATCGCTTTTTCATCCGCAGCGCTCACTTTTGTTCGATTCGACGTCTTTGCTCGTGTCTGGATATGATAATCTGTTATAGGTGTAGCGGCCGGCGTTGGTATCCTCTTGCAGTATCTCTTTAACGTGTTGATGGCTGCTTCATATAAGCAAACTACATGGTAAATGAGCAGTGCCTCCTCCTGCCTCGAGTCTCCAGTATTGGGAAGCTTGGTGAGGGCTAGTAAGAGGAGTGTAATGGAAAATTCGATGGCTCGCAGACTCAGACAGAAATGTGACAGTGTGGCTTGTGCCGGGGTTTGGTACTTGGACCTGTCTCTTTGGGTCTCTTGTGGAACTATGCTGACGAGCTCATTCTCGCAAGTCTTGCATAAAGAAATAGCAGTTCGGGTAATACTCGGAGTATCCCGCTTCTGCAGAGCCTTTTGAAGAAGATAGAGCTGTCTCACAAAAGGACTCGTAGCTTGACGGAAACTCCACTGTCAGTATATATGAGAGCCGACTGTGATGTCTACTTACACCCGGAATCGTCGGAAAGAGTGATGACACCATCATATAATATCTCGACTTCTGCAGCAAGAGAGCGTTTCATAAGCTGTCGCTGTTTCTTGGTTTGTTTCTCGGTAGGTTGGTTAATAGTGTCCTTGCGCTTCAGCGGCAACTTCACTGCCGGCTTCGTCGGAGTCTCTCCTCGAGGATTTAATTTTGCGGTAAGTGCCTCATTTCGCTCTTCGAGCTCAAAAATGCGGTCTAGTAACTTGCTCTGCTCCACCTCCGATCTCTCGTACGCTTGCCTCCAGAACGAAACGCCGTCAAAGAATTTATCGGGCGACTGGAATGCTTCTGCCGTTTTTGAGGGTTTGATTGACTCCCGAGTTTGTAATATGTATTCTGATGAACTGATTAGCTGCAGGCTTTACCAGAGAATTCGAAGACAGGATAGGGACCTTTGATGTCAACCCCTACTGGTTTCAGCTTGACAATGGCCAGAGCGAGGGCTATTTGAGCAGAAGACGGCGAGGAGACGCACTCCATTGCCCTGAATGGGTACACTTTGCTCTAAATCCCAAAGTGAAGAGGTAATCTATGCGACAGGAGCGAGAGTCAAATCAAGAACAGCTTGGCAAACCCGAACTTAGGCACTGAAGAACATAGCTCACCCGACTTCAAGAAATGTGTAAGGGAACAGGGCCATCTGGGTATCCTGCCGTTTGGCAATTCGAAATCGAAAAAGGAAGGAGCAGACCTGGGCGGGTGCCTTCCCGACTCGACGAGCCCATCCAAATCACTGCTACCATTAGAGGGCTGGGGCGCTTATAGGTCTCCTGAGAACGAGTAAAGTCTTCACTTGTAAAATATTTTCGTAGTAGAGTTTTGCTTCGTCTCATATACCTTTTGTTGTCTCTGACAGTCTTGACTCTGCACTTTGTTTATATTAGGCGGGTCTGATACTTCTACTGCCCATAGCATAAAAAATGTGAACCTACCACATAGTTAGCTCAACGTCGCTTCTCGTAGTAAAAATCGTCTTTTCCGCTATGAATAGTTTACCGTCATACAAGCAACGTATTAGTAATTGCACTCCTCGCCTGGGCATGTTTCAAAGGGAGAGAGAACCGTAACTTAGGCATAAGCTGCCGAATCCTCCCCCCACAAGATCCACCGCGTAGCCCACGCTGGCGATCCACTTCGCGCGCATCTCCAACGTCACCTCTTTCTTCTCTGTTGCCCTCTTGCAAAAACAATGCTCGACATGAACCCGCAAACCCTCGTTTCACTCGGCTTTGTTATCGCCGCTATTTTTCTTTTCTGGACGTTATCTTCCACCACCACGTCGCCTTTCGCCCGCACATTCCCGCTGCTGTACAACAAGCGAATATGCTTGTTGATCGCGCACCCGGACGATGAAGCCATGTTCTTTGCGCCGGCTCTACTCGCCTTGACGAAGCCAGAACTTGGCAATCACATCAAAATTCTCTGTCTTAGCAGCGGTGCGCTACAATTCCACTCCCCCTGTTCTCCTCCACCTAGGTGAGGTGCCGGAAAACTAACGAGGGATCTTTCACAAAATAGGAGACGCCGACGGCCTCGGGCATATCCGCAGAGACGAACTCACGAAAAGCGCGAAACGCCTCGGGATCCGAAACGACTCGGACGTCCTTGTTCTCGATGATCCGCGGTTCCAGGATAGCATGTCAATTGAGTGGACGAAAGCCGACGTCACGGCATTACTTACTGCAACTTTCGCACCAGACAACAACATCGGCAGCACAAAAGCCACGCGCAAGAAGAATAAAGATAGCCAGCCCGCTCCAAACGCAACGATCGACGTTCTTCTCACCTTCGACGCGGGCGGGATAAGCAATCATTTGAACCACCGCTCGCTGTATCACGGCGCGCGACACTTCCTGACCACTCTCATGAAAGACGCGCCGGGTTATTCATGTCCCGTAACTATGTACACGCTTACCACGACAAATCTGCTGCGGAAGTATATAGGAGTATTTGATGCGCCATTTACGATGGCGAAGGGGGTATTGGATGGGCTTTTTTCATTCTTCTCTGGGAAGAAGGGCTCGGGGAGGAAGGAGGGTTCGCCGTCAAGGATGCTGTTTGTTAGCTCGGTGGGGGAGTGGATGACGGCGCAGTCGGCTATGGTCAAGGCACATAAGAGTCAGATGGTCTGGTTCCGGTGGGGTTGGATTGGGATTGGCAGGTATATGGTTGTTAATGATTTGAAGAGGGAAGGGGTGTGACGTACTCTTCCTCTCTTGCTACGGAGGTGGTAAGCCATGGTATACCTACGTTGGATGTACAGTACATAGATTTACAAAAACATGTGGAATACAGTTGGATATATATAATACTCAACAAGTCCATGTCTTCTTTAGTAGAATGCTCTAGAATTTACCGCAAACAAATTGGTCTAGCTAACCGGACATGCTTTGCAAGTGAGATTTCACCTGGAATGAAAATAGAGACATCAAGATTGTGATACAAGCCATGAGTTTCTGGATTTAAATCGGGGTATTTTGGTGTGCGCCAAACAAAAAGCAACGCAGCGCACTATCAGATGATCAAACACGGGCTCTGAGGAGACAATGTTACGCTATATCGTTGGGGGCAGATTACACCAACTCCGCGCAAATAGACAAGTCAAAAACGAAAAGAAGGGAAAAGTCCACAGGATCAGTTGGGGTTAAACGACAAATTAAGAGAGAGTCGCGTTCGCTGAACCTGACTCATAGTATTCATCGTCCTTGTTCTTTACTTCATAGCAGGGCCCAAATGTCTCCTTAAGCATTTTATCCTTCTGCTCGCGTGAAAAAGACGCCAGATGAACCCATTGCGCAGGTGTGGGAGCTGGGACATATCCGTTCTCAATATTACCATGCATTTTCTCATTGATATGATTATCAGGACAAATGCCCTCGTCATAACTCGGTGAGCCGGGATAATAATCATGGACTTCCAAGGGAACGGGTTCAAATAGTCGCTTGAGCAAAGGAGTTTGGAGGTCTTCGGGGCTTATGCTTCTGCGGAATGAAGTCCATATGATATCGTCCTCCAGCTCGATATCATAGTCTGGGTCCGGAGTAAAATCGTCGTTGATTGAGGGTCGGCGAACTTGTATGGTTCGTTGGGTGGTCACACGGCTATGGCCGAACTTGATGGGGCCATGGAATTGGATTTCGCCTGAATGTGTCCAGCAGCGAATTGCGTCTGGAATAAAGTCTCTCCATTCTTCAAGGAACCGAGGTAACAATTGCCGTTCCCAAGCTCTCCAGTTGGGGCGAATCCAACCAGTTTTAAAGATAAGGAGGCGCGCGAGACGTTCGATCATGCTTGTCTGCTGCATGACTTGAAGCCGAAGAACATCGTAGGAGTGTACGGCATCCGCAAATGCTCGTGAGCGTAGAATCCGGGGATCGATATGTTTGCCATTGACGCCAGGGTGTCGTAAGTACGACTCGACCATTCTTCGCGCAGTTATCTTCTTCCGTCTTGTCTCATCCATGATCTGGTATGCAGCACGCATTTGATTTAAAAAAATTCTCACATGACAATAGTACCATGCAGGTATCGCGAGCTTTGTATGCGTTTCCACTGTTGGTTTCACATTGTGCTCCTTTGTCATCTTATCGAACAAATCTAAGAGAACATGAGTGTGAAGCGGGCCTCCTTCTAGATATTTCTCGTTGGTTTTGGTACGGCGTGATAAGATAAAAGCCCACTCAAACAATTCGGCCCAGACTGAGTGTGGAACTTCTATGTCATAAGATTTGGAAAGATGCTCGACAAGCCGCATTGCAGTGAAGATATCATTGTTTGAACCAAACGCATGGACTACCGCACTGAGAAGGCGACCCGATGGGTATAAAGGTGAGGTGCGCTCGTACTTGGTGACTTCGCCAGGGTAATGCGTCGTCAGTAAGTCAACGTCGACGTTCCAGACGGTTTTCAGAAGATCCCTCAACGTGGTCTTGTTTCCGACACGAGCGGATGCCAGAAGAAGGTTTATCATGGTCGTTTCAGTACCTTCGATGCCTGCCTCTGTCATCTCATCAAATATATCATTCACTTCTTTTCGTACACTCCGGGTTGCAGTCCCAAAGCCCCCAAAACCGGAATCTCCAAACTTTCGCTTCTTATAGTAGTAAGGCGTTACACGGAGGCGGTATTTTTCTCTACCAGTGTAAGCAGAATTCCAAACCTTGGCTTCCATATACTGGTTGTAACAGTGGATGTCAGGGAGGATCCCGTCCCGCTTCATGGAATGCCAGATGTGATCTGCCATCACCGCGTCGCCCAGAGACCGAGCGCAGTCAAGAAGATGAGAGTATTCAGCAAGGCCCAGAGTAGAACCTGCCGATCGCCGTACTCTAACAATAGACGACAGATTTCTAACAAAATCATTGAAGATCGCGTCCTGGGACTTGAATTGTTTGAGCTCGACGGTGTATGGGTGTAGCGGTCGGTGAAGTGCTTTGAAGGGCTCAATAAAATATGCGGGAGAAAGGCAGTTGAATGCTTCCGTAAAGACGCTTTGTGGCATCGTAGCAACTAATTCTGCGTAGTCATAGTTAAGTAGAGCAGCCATTATCAGGTCAGGTTGGCCGCTTTCCAACGTTGAATAGAGTTCCCTTTCCAGGGCAGTCCGGTCAACGTCAACGTTGTCCAGACCGGGTGCTTCATGGTTTGGATGTTTATGGGAAATAATAGTGCTTTCCGGCGGAAGATTGCTAACATTGGCCTTTGGAAGGAACCCAGAGCTCCAGGAAGCCAGAGATCCGCTGGTGTTAAACCATCGTGCCAACTGAGGGGTAGAAGCTGCAATAGGACGCAGATTATGGGAGTGATGACGGATGGAAGGGCGACACGAGGGAAAGAGAAGGTGAGAGGCCAGGCCCTCGCAGCGACCAGCAATCACCCGCATTGAGAACGCCTAGTGTTGCCTAGTAGTAATCTGGGAGCGAAGGCGAGGAGGGTAGTTGGGGGAGAAAACAGGAGAAGGCATGGCCAGGGGAGAAGTGAGGAGACGCCAGCACACCCTTGTTCATTATTAGAGCTAATATTATGATTACAGCTAGGCAGGCAATGTAACGAGGCCTTGTGCTCCTCCCTGTCAGGTGCAAGTGCCATGTAATTCATGTCAAAGCGGCCGCTGGGGGTCTGGGGAAACTGAGGGGGCCGGTCGCACTAACGCCCTAGTGGTCTTGGCCAGACTAACCTTAGAACGGTTAGAAGACCTGCTGCTTTCCTATCCGATCGTTCTGGCGGAATTTTGCCTGTGCAGCCCTTCACCACTCCCCTTCCTTTCAACCTCTCCCTCTGCGATAAAATGGCCGACACCGAGGGTGCAGGCGCCTCCTCCGTCTCTGAACCGCTGGACTTGGTCCGCCTCTCTCTCGACGAGATTGTCTTTGTCAAGCTGCGGGGTGATCGCGAACTCAAGGGTCGTCTACACGTGGGTCTATTGTCGCATCCAGCCACATTCAAGCCTCCTGTTAATACTCAATTCATTTATAGGCTTATGACAGTCACTGCAACCTAGTGCTGGGCGAGGTTGAGGAGACAATATACGTGGTCGAGGAGGACGAGAACGAGCAGGAGCACATTCGCGTGCGTTGACATCCCTTCCTGCTCACCGCGTTTGTCGCGACATCGTGACGAGTAAATTTTTGTCTAACGTTTTATTTTCACCTTTAGACGATCAAAAAGCAAGAAGAGATGCTGTTCGTTCGAGGTGCGTTGTCATCTTCCGTGGCCTTCTGTGGTGTCAACTAATTCGCCCAGGTGACTCGGTTGTCCTAATTTCTCCCCAAGCCTGATCAATTCAATATTGAGACACAATGGATACAATAAGTCTAGAATGACAAGCACCAGCTGCGAGTCACTAACCGCAACGAGTCCCCGACTTGACGAGTCATGAGGATGGGACAACGAATCTGGCGATGGCCCAGACAAACTTAGAAGATAACCGGACATGGTCTTCACAGTGGTGATGACTCCCACGCACTGTTGCTTTCCTTAGGTTCACCTGGATTTGTGGTGCTCTGGGAGCATAAATCATGTGAACCATAGGGTCGATGGCGATATGTTTCCTTCGGAGGTTAATTGTTAGAGTATTAGTGAATAAATTACAAAATCCGAAGGCCAAATTGTAGCAAGTCACTCTCTCCGGCTTTCAGAAGGAACAGCCTTTGGTTGAGTCAGTCCCAGCCACCTTTGTCAGTTGATGCACCCGTTGTTGTGCCCCAGGAGGCTGTACTTTGTTGGTTATGACTCAAAGACACCGTGACTCGCGGGTGCTATCGATAAAGCTTCCCCATCATTTCTTCCTGTCATATTTAACTCGCCTCATACCTCCCCTGCACTCTACAGTTACCTCCAACCCAAATCAATCAATCATTCACATATTTTATATTCTGTTTTTAACTCCTATTCGGGGAGAATGATCGTACGAATACGTGTTTGAATACGCCGTAGGCGACTCTTCATTTCCGACCGTCTTAGTTCAGCACCCATATACACTTCACTTACGAGCTATTCTTACACTACCGCACCTATACTTATTTACGAATTCATTCAATCTTTGCGCATAAATTACGGATCATGCGATCGGACGCCCTGAAACCGTCCCTCGAGGACAGGCGAAGGGGTGAGCTCGTAAGTTGACTCTTTTCCTACTACCCCTCATTCTGGCCCCTCTGTTAACAATCCACCCTGCGCCAGGCGCTCAGCGAGTTCGCGGAATACGCGGACAAGCAACAGTCACTCCGCGCCACCCAAACGGCACCTCTAGACAATGGTACAAGCAACCAGCCTGCCGGGCATGAGGATCATGCCGAATTGGAGATACTTGACCAGCTTGGCCTATCCGATGACCCCAAAACAGTCAAGTTGAAGGACCTTCTCCTTAGCCCGGATGATAAGTCCGACGAGAATACCAAGGTCCTTGCTGAGATTCTGCAGAACCGCATTGATGAAGGCCATGGGGAGACCATTTTCGACCTCGGAGTTGAAGATGGCGGAGAGTCTATGTCACTCACTCTTGGCCAGTGGAATACAGCGCTACAGCGGCTGCAAGAAGCGGCAACAACCATTACTGCACACTGCCGTATCCTTCTAACCTACAATGTTGGCGGGCCCGAAGAGACGCGTACTGCGAACGACCGAATAAAGGGTGCATGTGCCAAAGTGCTTATTCGGCAGCCTGCGCAAACGCTAGAGGAAATGGCAGAGATACGCATGGCAGTCGTGGGCAATGTTGATGCCGGTAAGAGTACCATGCTTGGAGTACTTGTGAAAGGGGGACTGGATGATGGGCGAGGTAAAGCTCGGGTGAATCTCTTCCGCCACAAGCATGAAATCGAGAGCGGCCGGACCAGCTCCGTGGGCTTGGAGATCATGGGATTTGACGGCCATGGAGAAATCGTGAGCAGCTCACAGGGACGCAAGCTTTCTTGGGAGGAGGTGGGGAAACGTTCTGCTAAGGTTATCTCGTTCTCTGATCTGGCGGGTCACGAGCGCTACCTGCGAACGACCGTCTTCGGCATGCTGAGCAGCAACCCTAACTACTGTCTCCTAATGGTTGCAGCCAACAACGGCCTTATTGGGATGAGTAAAGAGCACTTGGGAATTGCCTTGGCTCTGAATGTGCCCGTCATGGTCATCATAACCAAGATTGACATATGCCCTCCACATATATTGCAGGAGACTATCTCCCAGTTGACCAAGATCCTCAAGTCCCCTGGTGCTAGGAAGATCCCAATATTTGTCAAGAATATGGAAGAGACCATCAATACTGCAGGGCAATTTGTTTCTCAGCGGATATGTCCCATTTTTCAAGTCTCTAATGTCACTGGAGAGAATTTGGAACTTGTCCGGACATTCCTGAATATCCTTCCCTACCGCGGGCATTATAATCCCGATGCGCCTTTCGAATTTTTGATTAACGACACGTTCTCTGTTCCTCATGTCGGGACTGTTGTATCTGGAGTGGCAAAATCCGGAGTGATTCATGCTGGTGATACCGTACTTGTTGGCCCCGATTCCCTCGGCCAATTCACAACGACTACGATCAAGTCTATTGAACGGAAGCGTATCCAAGTAAATGCTTGCTTTGCCGGACAATCTGGATCATTTGCATTGAAGCGTGTCCGGCGGAAGGAAGTCCGGAAAGGCATGGTTGTGCTCAAGAAATTGGACCAGCCCCCCAAAGTTTTCCGGGAGTTCGTTGCAGAAGGTATGCTTGTTTATGACTGCTGTTAGATCTTTACTTATTTCGAAATAGTTCTTATTCTGTCGCATGCGACGACTATCAAACCTCGGTATCAAGCAATGCTTCATGTCGGGGCAGTCAGCCAAACATGCTCCGTCATTGATATTGATCGCCCTTTCATCCGGACTGGTGACCGTGCCCTGGTTGCGTTCCGCTTCATGCAGCGACCCGAGTTTCTCGCTCCTGGAGATCGAGTGCTGTTCCGAGAGGGGAAAACCAAAGGCCTTGGCATTGTGAAAAGTGTCGGTTATGACCCAAGCAATCCATTGAACGCTGAGGTGAGGAAGGAGTATGAGCGGAAAGAGAGGCGTTGATTAGTTATGGTTTGGGCCATTTTCATCGAGACTTTCTGTGCAATACATCCGGCTTCTACGTACTTCGCTCCCTGATTCAAATCGCCCATTACTTCCTTCTTTGCGAATAGATTTATGGTACCTAGTGGCTTTCGTTTATTGTCTTAATTTTGGGTTTCTTCCCATGCATCCGGGCTGGCCTGCGTTTGGTGTACGATCCTTGTCGCTACGCGAATCTATTTTTTAGTTTCCTTTTTGTGTCAAACTATACTAGAATCTCAAATTACTTGGATAATACAACCTCAATGAGGACAGAATTGTGGATAGGTTTGCTTCGTTTCCATCTATAATAGGACAAGGGCTTTGTATACGGTGTAGAATGGGCTCCCATGACGATACCCAACTTCCAGATACAATTTAACACGATCAATTTTTAATATTCATAGACAATCAGACAATCAATAGTACGTTCACCTTGGTTCAGCGATTGGAAGTCATTATTGGAGATCTCGTGATAAACCAAAATGCACTGCCACTGGGTATGATGTAACAATTGTGGCGTCAATTGTGGCTGGTGTATGTTCCACCATTCGAAGAGCAAGCATGTGCAGCCTGGAATGACGTCTCTGCAAGAGTTGATCTTCAGGGTTGAGAACTTGAGACATTTATTTATTATCGCTGCCCCGTCCAATTTTTGATTTTGCTCTATTCCGTATACATATCACGTTTACTGTACACATTTATACACACAGGGAGAGCATTTATTTTATTTTTATATTGTTTCTAATAACCGCGATACACATTTCGGAGTTGAGCTGATCGCCGACAACATGTCCGCTCTTTTCTCCTTTGTCGGGAAGAAGATTCTCGCAGAGTCTGCGAGGAATCACTTTGGAACGGAGGTGAATTTACCCTGGCACCATTTTGTTTGTACAGAAGCTAACAGAATATGTCTTTCTAGGATCCCTACTTCGAAGAAGTCCCCGCGTCGCGTTTAGGCCGAGCGTTTGGCAAGAAAACACAGAAAAGACGCAAGGCTATCCCGCCTGGTCTCTCTGAGAATGATAGCAAGGTCCTTACACGCGTCAAGCGACGGGCATATAGACTGGACCTCTGCCTTTTCAGTCTTTGCGGCCTTAGATTCGGTTGGGGAAGTGTTATCGGTATATTCCCTTTGTAAGTACACACGCCACCACCATGGAAGCTTGACTCTAACCACATCCTAGCATTGGAGATGCAGCCGATGCCATGTTAGCGTTGATGGTGTTGAAAACCTGCGAAGGTATCGACGGGGGGCTTCCCGCTCGGCTTCGAACACAGATGATGATCAATATTATTATTGACTTTTTCATCGGACTTATACCGTTCGTCGGGGATGTAGCAGACGCCGCATACAAGTGCAACACACGAAATGCCGTCGTTCTTGAGAAACATTTGCGGGAAAAGGGCGCCCGTACAATCGCAAGACAAGAAAGACAGCATGGAACCGACGTTGACCCAAGCTTGCCAAGCGAATTTGACCGATACGATTCAGAGGCCGGCGTTGGTTCACGAAACACGAAGCGTGGGAACGACTCAGTCCGCCGGCAAAAGTCAAAGTCCCGCAAGGGCCGTGGCGGCAGGTCGGCGGCCCAAGAAACCGACCTTGAGAGCGGGAACCTGGACAACCCTCCAGCCCGGGGATGATGAATACCCGGTTTCGGGTATTGTTTTTTTCATGCAACTAGGTGGGACTTTCGAAAATATAATATATATAATCTTGGTGGTTCCGTGTTTTCCAATATTGAGCGCAAACTTTTAATGTCGAATTAGCTTAGTTCTGGGCGAGAGCGTTCGCAAGCGTAACAGAAATTATTCGATGGATGCTTCTCGGAGTCAACAATGAATTGAGATTGGTTGGTCGCCCCTTCAGGGTTGCAAATAACAGTGTCACATAGTCCGCATCTTGATCCATCAGTGGGCATTCGCGACGCCTGAAGCTTATTCGCTGTCCTCGTTACGTTGGACATAACACCTGGATACTTGGCACCCTGGGACGAAACGTAGCGCATCATTAATTGGTCAATAGACAGGTTCTTTGTGAGAATGTTATCCGAGAGAGGAGCGTCCGGGATTATTACTTGGGTGAGTTCCGGGAAGAAATTGGCATAGTTCTGCAATTCTGCTGTAAACAAGTCCCGCAACGGAAAGTTGAATTGCATCCCGAATGGGGACGGTCCGTCAGACACCTGCCACGTTAAGGATGAGCCGCGCCCTTTGGAGACATTAGCTAGCGTCTTCGCAGCCAGTCGGTCATCCGAGTCTCCCCATATAATTCCAACGCAGTTTATGCTCTTAGCAAAGGCGATGATAAGTCTATTGAGTAGGATGGAGTCGACATCGGCGATGGAAGTAGGTGAAGTAATAGACGCACGAAACGCATCAAGGCGTTCTTTCGGAGGCCTTGTGGTATCATCTGCGAAGCTTTGCCCAGCATATTCGGCTAGAATGCGATCCAAACCTGGTACATATTCGAAGACACTGTGGAGAGGAAGGCGGGTGAACGAGGCCAAAGGAAAACGGCACTGGAGCAACTCGAAGGCTTCATCTTGCGGCATACTAGACGAGGAAATACTCGATGGTTCAACAATGAGAACGTGGAGTTCAAATGCTTGAGGGCCGCGGGGCTTCGAAAGCTGTTCTTCAACTTGTGCATGAACCATGTTCAATAGGACCGACGAGGAGAGACCGTACGACAGAGGCAGAAGCACTGGACATGGCCCGGTCCTCGGTAAATCTTTCCGGAGACGATACTTCTCCATGCGCCTAAAGGCCTTGTATCCCACGAATTGTATATAGCAGTCCCTAGTGGGGAGCAATATGATTAGAAAGCGTAAAAAAATTGCGTTGGAAAGAATGGGAAACACACCTGCAAAGAGAGCGGCGCCGAATAGTTAGAACAGCATCCGCATTCTTACAGTCCATGCATGGATCTGACAACTGTTTCCCAGGCATTTTGCGATCTTCACTGAGTTGTAATCAAGCGTTGGAAAAGTGGTGGTGGGGGAGATTTTCCCCGAGGCAGAATTTAAATGGCGGCGATACTGAAGCAACAGAAACAGAAGGCGGTGGGAGTTTGAGCTCGATGATCGTTATTATGCTGGGCGGACTCTCAAGGTGCAGCCTGTCAACCTTACACGCGGCATCTCCGGGCTCCTGTCACAGCTCCATCCCTCGGCGAGTGCTGCTTAACTTTGAATAAGTCTTCGAGTTGCCTGAAACCTCGTTCTTGCATGGTTCATCCCTGCAATATTCTATGATAATACGTCTCAACTAGACTTTAATTTGCTCTTCAGGAGCCCGGTATTGTAGCTCCAATTGTGAAGTCGAAATGAGAAGCTGGATTCGGGCGCTTGGGCTGTCTGCCTTATTGGCAGGGCTAACTCTTGCAAATGAAGCGGAATTGGTATGGCAATTGGACCCCTATGTATCCGATCCTCAGTTTTAACATATCGGTCGCAGACGCAAGACGCCTCCAAACGGTTACAATGTTCGGGCATGTATAGCCGCAAGGCTTGGGGCGGAAATACCGACCCATTCATCCTGACCAAGTTCGCAAAACTACCGACCGATGGTGATTTTGATCCTATTGTTAGTCTTTTGATCTTCGAATGGAGTGATGAAGCTTTGATTGGGAGACGTATATCCGACGATCCCGAGGTATGCGACACATTTCCCTCGTTGCTCAGCAAGGCTGTTTGACTTATTCTCATATTCCAGGACTACAAATCGATTTGCGATCAAGGCAGCGTACAAGACGGATTATGCACCTCCGGCCAACTCGGTTCCTTCCTTCTCGCCCCGAACGCCAGCGATGCCTCTCAATTTCATATACTCTCACAAGGAGTACATCTTAAAAACCCCGAAGCCATTAACTATCCCATAAAGAAGACAGGATACTATTGTGTGAGCACATACGGCTATTCTGGCGACGATTATAGGGGCGTGGTGGAGTTTAGGAATGCGTACGGCGAGCTTCCAGCCGCGCAGATCCCGAAGCTGCCATTTTATGGGGGCCTGACAATCGTTTACGCCGTTGTTGGCTTGTCAGTTCCATTCCACCTCTTTGTCTGCTATAGGTTTAAGATTGGACTAACCGTTCACAGGTACTGGGCCTTCCTATACGTTCAAAACCGCCATGATATCCGTATGTTTTTCGATACGACGGACGCGCATTTGCTAATGAACTTTAGTGCCCGTGCAAAACTACATTACTGCTATCTTGGTGTTCTTGATTTTAGAGCAGTTGATGACATGGGGCTTCTACGGTACGTCGGACCTTCCGATGTCCTGGCACGTGCATTCCTAACATTCGCCAGACTATCAAAACCGACACGGACTAAATGTTGGAGCAAAAGTACTGATGGTTGTCGTTTCTGTCCTCAACGCGATTCGCACCTCCTTCTCGTTTTTCCTGCTTCTTATTGTCTGTATGGGCTACGGTGTGGTCAAGCCTTCATTGGGTCGAACTATGGTATATGTTCGCATTCTCGCCATCACGCATTTTGTATTTGCCATGATTTATGCTATCGCCAGCTTATCCATTACCCCTGAAGCTGCTGGCATCCTCATTCTATTTATTGAACTCCCTCTTGCCGCAACATTGACTGCATTCTACGTGTGGACTTTGAGTTCACTGAATGCAACTATGAAAGATCTGATCGACAGGAAGCAGAAGACCAAGGCGATGATGTATAAGAAGCTCTGGTGGTGCCTCCTCGGTAGCATCATCGTGCTATTTGGGTTCATTTTTATCAATGCTCTTGCATTCGCTAGCCGTTCCGAGGCCGATTTCTTACCCGAACACTGGAAGAGTCGTTGGTTTGTATTGGATGGATGGCTCAGCATTGTCTATTTTGTTGATCTGGCATTCATTGCCTACTTGTGGCGTCCCACTGCCAACAATCGGCGATTTGCGATGAGTGACGAGGTGAGTCATACATACAACTACCACAGTAATTCGGTCTTGATGCTAACACGGCATGCAGCTCGCTCAAGACGACGATGGCTTCGAGATTCGATCCTTCAATGGAGCTTTGGACGAAGAGGATGCCCTTGGTGGCCTGGACGAACAGCCTCCTCATGAACAGCGCCGTGACCTATCACCAGTACCTCCCAAGCCTGTTCCCTCCGCCGCACGAACTCGGGAGTCTCTAGATGCAATGGATTCTGAGACAATCTTCGCCGTTGGTGATGATCCCGATAAATGGACCGATGACGAGGACTCGCCGCGTAACTCGACCGAAAGGAAGGCACTTACAAGAGATATGGATTAAACACTGCTGTATTCTTTCTTCCGGTGGAGCGACTGTCCCAACGAACCGTGACGGCCAGTCGCGCCTTTTTTGTGTATTGATAACAAGCTCCGAAGGTTTCACTTTTCGGCTCACCCCACCGAGGACACATCAGAAAACAGGCTCTTGGATCTTGACTGTATTCGACTTTGGAAGGCATATGGCGGCGTTATGAATGGGATGTTTACAGCTATTATTTCTCTATTTTCTAACGTACTATTTAATATGTCAAGTCTGATTTGGCGATGAGGGATGAACGCCTTTACATTGTACATTGTACGAAATATGTCCTTGTCAGCACTAGTGGCATATGAAAAGAAATATATACAAAATGAAAAAAACATGGTATATACTAGTTTGTATTCCAAATGTTAACGGGTGCATTTAGCTGCCTGGTAGGGCTATCTATTTACAGTCATAAGCCAACCTGAATATTCCCATGGATTTCCGCCCGCCAAAAAATCCCCCCACATCCACCAAAGCACAACAAAGTGGCACAAACACACCATGCGGGGCAGCCCTCTCAGCACCGAAGAGCCGCAGGTAACAGTGGTGTCAAGCTACAACCCAAATCCTTCAAACCAGGACGCGGAATCCTCCTCCAGCGGAAAAAATCTCGCGCAATCCCTGGTCACGCGATGCCGCACTCTCCTCGCCGAACTCGACGCCTTCAAGGCTCTCCTCGCAGAGACGCAACGGAACCCGCAAACCGTTGAAGTCCGGTCCCTACGCTCTAATGCCCTTTCAGAACTGAGAACACTCGAGAAACTGTCTACCCAGCTTGAAGACGCGAGTGCGCGACTTGCAAGCCAAGATGATGAGTCCGAGGAGGCCATAGATATACGGGCGGCGGAATTGAGGGCTGTCCATGCGTTAAGATCGTCGAATTTACCATTCTACGAGGCCGTTTGGACGATTACGAAAAGAACATGTACGGGATTAGTTGCGTTCGGAAAAAGGTTCTACTGGGAGGAGGGGGCGGGGAAAAAGAATTTGGATAAACGGAAGAGTGTGCTTGTGGACATTGTCGCGGATGATGGTGAAGAATGGGTGAAGGTTTCTACAATTTCGGAGACGAGGCTGTTGTTTGAGATGGCTAAAAAGGGTTGGGAGGGGGGTTCGGACATCGATGAAGATGGGGAGGAACGAACCGTTCTACAGAATCATGGCCGTGAGTACGATAGTGACTACGACGACGATGACGACGACGACGACGAGATTGAGTTGCTTAAGCTGGCGAGTGACATGGGTAAAGCTGCAAACCTCGTTAGGGTGAATTACAGGCGACCTCGGCTACGGTTTATGATTCCGAAAATTGTGGAAGGGCAGGTTCCTGAGATTGATGATCTTATAAGAGCTATCCGGAGTCATGGCGTGGTAGTTGTTTGTGGAGAGGACGTGTCTACCGTGCAGACGTTTGATAAAAGCGAACACCCTCTGGCAGAAGCTGTTTCTGTCCAGGACGAGGTTCGAAGTCTTCTTCCAAACCGATTCAAAAGGTTCACGCCCACGCTCAATGTTGATTGCACCCTATTGCTGGCCATCATTTCGGACTTGTCCCATTCCATGGAAATAGCACCCTCCCAACAGCATCATAGGGCGATTAACCGGCAGATTGAGATTGAACGTGAACGACCATTGCTACCAACAGAGCTTTGGCCAGCGATGGAGTCCCACGAGCTGGTGTGCACAGGTGAAGCCGCTCAAAGAATGCGTGAGATCGTGGAGACAATTGGCACCGAAACGGAGAAACAACGGATGACAATTATAATGGGTGATCAGCCCTTCGCTGGTGCAAAGTCAGCATCAATAGTTGAGGAACTTCAAAAAATGTCGGACTATCAGGTACCTGCTCAACTTGGCCTTCCCATCAGGGTAGTCGATGCCAGTAAAGCCCTTGCTTCCGGAAACAAGCAGGCAAAGTTACCTCCGATTGCTCAAAAAGTGGAAGAAATATTGTCTGACATAAATACCAGCGTATTTATGTACGGCTGGGTTTCAGATATTATGACCATAACGAGCAATAGGACGGTGGTCAAGCAAATCGAGAATTTGATCGAAATGCATCGAGATGAGGAAGACTTGATAGGCCCATTAATCTGGGTGTGTGACACGGCGAGGAGTTTGATAGGAAAAGAAAAGGGCCGGAGAGATTAAAAATCCGCCTGTAGAACCGAAATCGGATATACAATTCAGCCCATATACCCTTGAAAGTATGAAATCCTTTGCTGTTGTCTTTTCAAGTGCTATATTGCCGATAGTATTCTTTCTGCGTCGTATCGTTCTGTATGGCTGGTCTGACGTTTTAGACTGCTTTTGAAGTGTCTTCTGGAAGCCAGAAGAAAATGTCTTTGTCCGCAGAAGCGACCATGTTGAATCTCGGATTATACTCAACGACAGCAGTCCGACTGCGATGCGGCAATTTGGTCATCGGCTGCAAAACGAGATTTGCGTCCGGGGTCTGCTGCAAATCCCACACCAACATATCTTGGTGGTCTCCAGATCCTCCAATAACGTACCGACCTTCTGGTGTGAAGCATGCATCTCCTTGTCCAAGGGGCTTTCCCGTAGTTGAAACAGGGGCTGCTCTACCCGGTGAGCCATTCTTACCAACCAAGAAGGCCTTGAGATTGCCTTCGAAAGCGTCGAGGATAAAGTGGCCATGATAGTCTGTCCCAACAAGCAAGTACTTTCCATCATTGGAGAATTCAAGTCGAGTCCAAGCTCGTCCACGCGTCGACGGGGTATATCTTTCTTCATATTGGGCAAGATCAAACGTGGAGAATGGGGATTTGTCGTAGTTTCGGAAGTCATAGAGAAGAACGGATGAGGTAGACTGGGAGGCGATCGCGATCACGGATGCGGAAGGGTCGAAAGCCACGAGATACGGGGTCGAAAGCTTCAGTTTGCCTTGTGCATGCCTGGAGCTCAGATCCCAGATTGCAATTGTGTCATCCTTTGAACATGAAATGACTGAATCGCTTCCCGGGGATAGAGCCAAGCACGTCACTTTATCGGTATGTCCCGAGAAGTAGCGTATATACCCTTCGCTGTGCAAGTCGAGCAATCGCAAAGAATCTAATTCAACAGTTAGCAGACGACCATTGTGGCCCGATAATAGCCAACATACCATCAACTTTTGTACTTGCATGGAGGACCTGGCGGGAATGATGGGTGAACCTAGCCAAGTGCGCACCGTATTTCTTGCTGGGAACCGACTTCGTCATTGTACCACCCTTGACATCAAAAATTTGAATAATGTCATCATCGCCAGCAGTGACAACAAACTCGCCCTGGTCATCGAAATCAAGCGATGTTATGAAGCTCTCTTGCTTTGTCGGCTTGAACACCTGGGTAAATAATTCAATTAGACATGAAGGTAAAGTGAGGAAAATGTCAATCCCACCTTCGCAGGCCGATAGCTACGAATGATATCCGATACCTTCTGGGTTTGCTGAGCTCCTTGCTGCTGCAGCTGAAGCTGTTGTGGCGTGGACTGGCCGCCGTCCGCCATCTCTAATGGCTAATTGAGTATGGTTCCTGTAGGTCGCTGTAAGGCCAAAGATGGGAATAGCTAGTCAGGTACCAGCCCAGAGCTTCTGGCGCGACAACGTTGTTCCTCTCCGGCGGTTACTGGCGGCGAGAAAAGGGCCTGGTCTAGCCGAGGTCGGACCAGGCACGCTCTGTCGGACCAATCACACAAGGCTCATCTCCATCACCGACATCGCGGAATCGCGGCTGCGCTCTGACATTTATAATTCCAAAAGGCTTAATCCACCACCCTGTCGATTCCCCGCGCCATCCTTTGCTTCATTCGCTCTCTATACAAGTCCCTTGGGGCCTTTCGCCGCTTTATGCTATAAGGGATTTCACATTTATTTGCGCATTTTTCCCATATTACCTGGTCCCCGCTGCCGAAAACCTTGACCGATTCGCCTCCGCTTACGGCGATCATATCTCGAATATCATGTCTACAACGACCGGGTATGCTGCACTCTCGCACGATATAGGATCTTAAAAATAATGTGGCACTGACAATAAGCCGATGAATTTATAGCGCGTTTATTGCCGGAGGTATCGCAGCATGCGGCGCAGTCACCGTGACACACAGCTTTGAAACGGTAAAGATTCGGTATGCCACTCACCACCTCCACCCGGCCGCCGGCTTGATCACAATGCTAATCGCCATATCTCGTTTAGTCTACAATTACAAGGAGAGCTTCAGGCGAAATCCGAGGCCGCGAAGAAATATAAGGGTGTTTTCCATGGCGTGAAGGTCATTCTGCAGAACGAGGGCCCTCGAGGTCTGTTCCGGGGAATCGGCTCAGCGGTATGTTCCCATGACGCTGGAAATAGTGCCATATCAACTGACAAAGTATGTAGTACATCTATCAAGTTCTCCTCAACGGCTGCCGTCTCGGTTTCTACGAGCCTATTCGTGGCGGGCTCACGACCGCTATTTATAAAGATCCGCAAGTCCAATCCCTCGGTGTTAACGTCTTTGCCGGTGCCTCGTCGGGAATCATTGGAGCTGCCGCAGGCTCACCGTTCTTCCTTGTCAAAACCCGCCTTCAATCATTCTCACCTTTCCTTCCCGTCGGCACACAACATCAATACCGGAACTCATTTGACGGTCTGCGGAAGATCTACACCTCAGAAGGGGTTAATGGGCTATACCGTGGAGTAGGGGCAGCCATGGTGCGAACTGGGTTCGGTAGCTCTGTCCAACTACCTACATACTTCTTTGCGAAGAGACGCTTGATTAGGCACCTAGGCATGGAAGATGGTCCAGCCCTTCACTTGGCCAGTAGCACAGCATCCGGTTTCGTTGTTTGCTGTGTCATGCACCCTCCTGGTATGTTAAGACACTTAGGTTCCGGTCCAGTTGCATCCATCTAACTTGTCTCAGATACAATTATGTCCAGAATGTACAACCAAACTGGCAACCTTTACAAAGGCGTGTTTGACTGCCTCTCGAAGACGATTAGAACGGAAGGTATCCTTGCTATCTACAAGGGTTACTTCGCTCATCTGGCCCGTATCCTACCTCACACTGTAAGTACTGTCAATAATTTTGCAATCAAACAACTAACACGTTCCAGATCTTGACTCTTAGTTTGGCCGAGCAAACCAATAAGCTCATGCGCAGGGCCGAGGACAGGTTCCTCTCAGACTCACTCAAGGCCAATCTTTAAGAGTTGGAAAAATTGATTCACCATACCCTCAGACAGTGGAAAGCACAGAGTAGACAAACCGGCATTCGCAATTGGCGCATGGAATGTATATAAACACCTTTTTTTTTTTTTTAAAGTTCTTGCCGCCCTATTGATCAATGTTCTAGAAATTGGTGTATTAGGTTAGTTAATGCATCCAGGGATACATTTCAATACCAGTGCAGTTTCATCTAGACGGAGGTCAAGCAGGCCGGGGGGCATGTTCGAGCTCGCGTGGACGCGTCCTGGAAACATTCACAATCATGATGATCCCGATTCCCGAGCAAGCTGAAACTGCTCCACTTTCATTCCGGCATGCGGCCAAAAAACTGGGGTCGTTGTTGATCTACCCTACTATGACAACTAACTTCTTGACCTAAGCCGTAAATCGGCGCGTCGTCCATGGATATGACTACATGAGTGTGGTAGATACGTAGTAAATTAAACAAAACATTGGGTCAAGTCTACGTACAGCGGAGCTGATAGAAGGCCCACTTACTTGAGATCTGATAAGATCATGGTCACAGCTTGCCAAATGCCAAATGCCAGCTATCTAGATGCCCACGCGAGAATTATTACCGTAGCATGTACTCTTCTGGCTGAGGCAATAAACTGTGCTCTCAAATAATACAGAGGCTCCGACCATTGTGGAAGCAGCGGAATACTGTGCCCGATAACTGGGAAATACCAAAGCAGAAACAGCCATAAGTGTGATGCCCTTTACCAAAAGTCTTTTGCAAAAAGCCAGAACCATTTATTGATTAGTATAAGATGAGATATCTGAGTTGGGCAGAGCCTCTTCGATGAGAGCTGTCTAGCCCTACCCCGGCCACGGCCGAGTCCTCCGAGAAGATCCGCGACCAAATAGGTGCATGGCCACAATGTCTACTTTGTAGTATATAACTCTTTCTTTATATCCATCACACAAAGAACACGAGAGCAATCTATGTACCACGGGTTCGGATTATAATACAGCAGAGTATACTTGCGAGTATGGCGGATAGGCTTTATTTTGTAAAGGCAGCATAGCATGACAGGCATCGGAGGAAGAGCCCCAATTATACCATTCGTTATAGGAGTGCAAGCATGTGGCAATAAGATTGAGAGCCACGCAAGTGGATTCACCAAGAGCAAAATGTGCAATGAAACCCAGTTACAACGCGGCCAATCACACCTGCAAATACTCAAACTTGAGTATCCGTATGAGAGGGATCATCCACTGAAGGTACCTGGCCACGCATTTACCGATGTCGGTGTGGAGATGGGGGCTGGGATTCGAACATGCCGTGGGACTGGGGAAGGGTTTGAAATCACACAAACACGTTCATGCTGTTTAATGTTTACGGCGGACGCGACGAAATGCGCGTATGGGCCTTCCATTTCCTTGGTCTTCCCGAGTTTCAATCCGGTCCCACTCAATAAAGACTATAAGACAGCACTAGGCTCCAGCATGCATTGCGGTCAAAAAAACTGGGGACATTTGCCCGCCTATGACAACAGTATTCTTGGCCCTTTTTCCGTAAATCCGCCGTCCATGGCTGGGGTGGGCTCGATGTACAAATCAGGTTCCAGAATGGGAATCGCGACTCGCCAGCAAGGAGCGTATAAACATTAAACAAGGATCGTTCCTCTGGGCTGATCTGTCAGCTTATTCGATGATTCATAAGAATTAGATTTTCAGCTCCATGGGGATTAGTGGGTATTGGGCAATTCTTTGTCGGCAAGGAGGCAGTGGCGGGAGAATCGGGCGACAAGCGGACAATGTACACAGTACCACTATTGATGCCAGCTTACGAGTAAGATATTGACGCGTGATTTGTGCTATAGTAATTTTATTTGAACTTGCAGAAATAAAAGTCCATACAGGATAGCATCTGGTTTCAATATACGGCGCGCCGTGGTCGAGGTCTTGGAGATCTTATTATCTGATCTGATAAGATCAACACCTGCGTTGGTCGCAACTCGGCGTACATATCATTTTATTTAGAGCCAATAACAGACAGGCGGCACCGCAGGTACAGTGGAGATTGCGAAACCGGACCAAATCAATGGGGAGGTGGTCTGACAAGAGCGCGTCGTGAAGCTCCCACACGCGTCGGGGTACATCCATAGCAAAATCCGTGGCAGTCACGTGCCCAGGCGTACGACAACCCGCGGACGCGACCTCTTCCTTCCTATTTAAATTCAGATCTCCCAGCTTTTCCCCCCCGATCTGTTTTCCCTTCACCCCATCATTAGCTTCACTTAGCTCTGCTGTCTCTCGGTTCTCTTCTCTCTATCTTAATCCTCAAGAACTGGAGCTCCTTTTCTTTCACAATGTCTGCGCAGCTCACTCCCTCGAAGCAGGTATGTCGGCCATTCCGTCGCGTTGACGCGTCTTGGGAACAGAAAGTAGCTAACAATTTGCTTTAATAGGCTGCTACCTCTCTCGAGAACCTTAAGATGAACGACTCTCCCGTCAAGAAGCTTAACTTCGAAACAGCGGGCAAGGAGAACGCGCCCGTGCCCGACACTGCCGTCGACGCCACCCCCATGCCCGTTGCAGAGAAGCCTGTTGAGCCCTCTAAGGCTCAGCTCAAAATTAGGGAAATTGAGGCCAATGAGCCTCTGCTTCAAGAGAACCCTCACCGCTTTGTCTTGTTCCCTATCAAGTATCATGAGGTGAGCGCGCCCTGCTACGCGTCACGCGTAGAGTGGAATTTTTTCCCCTACCGCCTTGCAAATGTTGCCCACTAACACGACGCGTCGCGATGCACAGATCTGGCAAATGTACAAGAAGGCCGAAGCTTCCTTCTGGACTGCTGAGGAAATTGATCTCTCGAAGGATCTTCACGACTGGAACAACCGCCTGACCGATGACGAGCGTTTCTTCATCTCACGTGTCTTGGCTTTCTTTGCCGCTTCCGATGGCATTGTCAATGAGAACCTGCTGGAGCGATTCAGTGGAGAAGTGCAGATTCCCGAGGCCCGCTGCTTCTACGGTTTCCAGATCATGATTGAGAATATTCACGCCGAGACGTACTCTCTCTTGATTGACACCTACATCAAGGAACCCAAGCAGCGCACCTACCTCTTTGATGCCATTGATACTAGTATGCTTCCAAATATACCCCTGCTGTTGATTGCGCTGACATGTAAAAGTTCCCTGCATTCGCAAGAAGGCCGACTGGGCTATTAAGTGGATCCAGGACCAGGAATCTACATTCGCCCAGCGTCTGGTTGCATTTGCTGCCGTTGAAGGTATTTTCTTCTCCGGCTCGTTTGCCTCTATCTTCTGGCTGAAGAAGCGTGGTTTGATGCCCGGTCTTACTTTCTCTAACGAGCTCATCTCTCGTGACGAGGGTCTCCACACCGACTTTGCGTGCTTGCTGTTCTCTCACCTGAACTGGCGTCCATCCAACCAGGTCGTCGAGGACATCATTGTTGAGGCTGTTGCTATCGAGAAGGAGTTCCTCACGGATGCTCTTCCCTGCGCGCTTCTGGGAATGAACTCCAACCTCATGTGTCAGTACATTGAGTTCGTTGCTGACCGCCTCCTTGTCGCTCTGGGTAACAAGAAGTACTTCAACGCCACCAACCCCTTCGACTTCATGGAGACTATCTCTCTGGCAGGTAAAACCAACTTCTTCGAGAAGCGTGTCGGTGATTACCAGAAGGCCGGTGTCATGGCAAGCACCAAGAAGGACCCCAAGCAGGAGGAAGCCAAGGCCGCCACTGGTAACGGCCTGTCCTTCGACGAGGACTTCTAAACAGCGCAACAACATTATACCCCTCTCCCTGCTACGTTTTTGTTTGGGTCTGCTTGTTTCATTGATTGATGATTATTGAAGGATACGCATGGGCTCGGCGTTTGTATAGGCGGATTCGTATTTCTTTTGTTTAATGTATAAATTGTCTCGTCCCATAATGTATTTAGTACAAAGAATAGTATATCAAGTGTACATTGGATATATAAACTCTTGAGTGTATGTAGAGCCTGAATAATCGCTGTCGCCAGCGTGAAGACCCTCCAGTGCCTCATCGGGCCGGGACTTGGCTGGACTGCCCAGTGGTAATTACGTCTTCTTCTCAGCCAAGTGGACAACACGTTGCCACGGCCCTGCGCGATAGCCTTTGGACTCTGGGATCAATCATAGTATAATACGTAATCTCCATGCCACGCTTCCATGTCGACATTCAGTCACATTCATTTCTTGCCCTTCCCCTTCTTCTTCGACTTCCCTTTCCCACCCGCTCCTGCTCCAGCTTCTGCGCCTGTCGTAGGCGTGCCCGTAGTAGCAGTCAATCCCTCCTCAACACCACCCATCTCAACATCCCCGCCTGTCCCAGCCACATTCGCAACGCCCGAATCCAACGTAGCAAGGTCCGCCCCGCCAGCTAGTAATCCCAGCGCCGTAATCAATCGTCCGACCTCTGCAGCTTTATTCGTGCGGTATTTCAGACATATCCCGACTTCGGGGGTGTATGTTTTTAGGACGAGGGTTGCGAGCGGTGCCTTTTCTTGTGTTGACGTTTGTTGAGGTTGCGTTTTGTTGGAGTTGGAGTTGGAGGGGGTGGTCTTGGGGAAGGTGTATTTTGTTGTTATCCGGGTCTGAGAGCAGCTGGTTAGATTGAATTGTTTCTTATTTTTTTTTTTTTTTTCAAGGATTGGTCTGAGTTATTTGTACTCTATGGGAACGTACTGAGTCTGGGTATGCTTGTAGGAGGAGTGAGGATTCCTTGAGGTAGGCCGCGGAGGTTGGGAGGTAGGGGCCTGAAGGCATTTTTTCGGGGTCTCTTCTTGACTGTCTAAAAGCTGGATGTGAAATTGTACTCGGCGACGTATAATTGGAAATTTATTGAGCTGAGGCGGGGGAGGTGAAAGTCGACTATCTGGTAGTTGTAGTGGTGATGGTAAATTGACAATGTACCTAGTGGAGTGAAGTTTAGCGGGCTTGGCGGCGATTCTGCCTCAACTGTGTTCTCGAGAACCAGCCAAAGTATACTAATGAACTAACACTGGGAGCAAGTCATTGCCTCTTTTTAATTTCACTCTCGCAGCAGCTAAATGACAAGTTATTGAAATGCAGCCCTTTAGAGATGATAGTTCAGAGAAACCCGTGTCAAGAACAGTACACTAACGAAAATCCAATTCACCGCAACTGTACGTTGACATATGCTCTGTTTCTCCTAACATCGACACCTAGCCAGTTTATGCCTCCTTGTGAGATTCCAATCTTCCCTCTTTCTTACAAGACCTTCCGTATACCTCTATGTACCTTATATATATATATATTCATCGTAAGACGCCCTTCTTAGTCTTCGTTAGAACCTCCTTACGGGGGACTCGCCGGTTGATTGCGGTTTGCAATGGAAAAAATAACAACCTAGATGGTCTAAATAGTCATTCTTATGAATCCTGAAGCCGTAATAACTTCATTGGCCCCTCATAATATGGACGGAATTGACTGCATATAGTTTTCACGTTGGAAAGCACCCCATGGCCCAATGCCAATGCCCGGATCGGCCGAACATCTAAACACCTGCAATTTCTCACACTCACAGGTCGAAATTGGCAAGCCCAGCACGCACTGCAATCCCTACAGTGGAAGTGAGATTGGTCTGCCGGTTTCTGCGTGCAGCTTATTTCGTGACACTTCCATTTGCCCAAACCTGAGAACTGCCAGCCGAACCGGAACCCCTGCGCTCCTCCCCTAACCAGTGCCAATGCGGTTGTGGAGTTGGTGAATTAGGCAGCAGTCAATTTCATGAATAATAAACGTTCATTGTCTTCTCTCATCCATATTCGTTGCTATTATACAAGGTTAAATACAGTCGTGATGTGCTCAAAAAGTCCAAATAATGTCCAACATGCTACATTTGACGCCAATGTATCTTCATGAACCGATCCTAATACGTGCTGATATCCAAGGGAAGCCAAAAATAAAAACAAAGAAAAAGGAAAGGCATGATGAGTACTACAGTACTACCCATCAAGGGATGTGGGGAGTGGTCGAGAACACCGCACACATATCAAGCGTTGCTTGCCGTTTCGACCCCTAGTTGCTTTGAAGTTCGTCCCCCAGCAGCCCTCGCATCTGAGAACATCGTTTTCGTTCTCATTATCGGAGAGGTTGGACGACGCATATTCGCTGCTTAGTATGCTTCCTCGAGTGGATCTTCGCTCTCCATTGGGCTGTGGACTTGGGTCCAGAAGACCAGGGGAGTTCCGGTGTACCGCCAGCGCGTCTTGAGTGATCCTGTTATAGAATGAATAACTCTGGTCACCTTGTAGCCAGAGAGGATTATCCTTATTGTTCCCCTTGTTGATAATTGCGGCCGCTGACTGTGGGATAGAGCGTCGATGGGGGTCGTCCTGTTCCAGTTTCTCCTCGTTACGCTTGCGCCTCTCGGCAAAGCTCGCTCGCGGGCTGTCAAACGAAGACTTGTATACTGACGGTGGCGGAGACGTGGTAAATCCTGAGCGTGATTCACCTCGAGCGCCTGATGATCCCCGACCTGGGCTAGAAGTCCGTGACAAGCCTTGTACGGGCTTTTGTGGCGATGTGCTTCGGGTTCTGGGTGTTCGGTGGCCTTTATTATTTGTGTTATCATGTCCGATGACAGAATTCCGCCACGAAATGATCCGTTCTGAAGGCGTCTTGTGCGAAGACTCCTTACCGATAGATGAGGCAATGCTCTGTCTCGCGGAGTTGGTCCGGCGTAGGATCCGGCGGGAGATCGTCGAGTGGGTATCCCAGCTATCATATCTACGCTTGTTATGCGCGCAGTCCTGTCGGAAGATTTTGATTTTTCCCGAATAATCGGCTGCGATGATGATGTTTCCGTCGGGATGCGTTGAGCGCGAAAGAAACCCAGGTGATTCTTGGGCCAGCTTACTGGCCGTTGAGATGCGGTTTTGTCGACCATTCTCTTTATTGTTTTTGCTCTCGAGGGTTACCGGTGGCGGATTGCAAAGATCATATATTGGGTCCTCTGAAACCCCCAGAACCTGCTTCGTCGAGTTTGGGGCCATTACTGCCGCTGTCACCATTGCTGATTGGGTATCAAGGACTTCAAAGGCTCGCTTATCGGCATCTTTTTCAACAGGTGCCGTAGACCAAAAATAGGCTCTACGATCCTCGCTGCCACAAATTACATGCTTCCCATCGTCACTGAACGTCGCCCGGATCTGACTGCACGTGTTCTCGTTGCCACGGAATTTAGCTTCCAAGGTCCGGTCACGGAAGTCATACAGACGAATGCGAGAATCGTTACTCGTTATGAGAAGCTTCACGGCGCCTTCCGAGTCATCGCGTGGCAAAACCATCGAATCGATTCCGGTAATCTTACTGCCCTTGGCATTGCGACCCCGTGCCGAGCGAACATGGATGTTTCCCGCAGGTTTTAATCCATCAGTTTCATATATATTTAACAGACCATTCAGGCATCCTGCCATCGAGTATCGTCCATCCGGTGTAAATGAGACTGACGTAATCATGTCGGGCACATTCACAGTAAAAGCCACACTCTTGTCCGGGATGCTCCACAGACGAAGCTTCATGTCTAGAGATCCCGCAAGGAAGAAACGGTCATCGCGCGGATGAAATTGGATTGACGTCACGAAATCGCTGTGCTTGAAGCAACACAGACACTCCGGCCGGGATACATGCCACAACCGGACAGTTTTGTCCATGGACGAGGAGAGTAGGAAGTTGTTCTAAGATCAGTCAGTTTCGTACTGGAATATGAATTCGGATTGGCATACCTTGCTCCAGCTCAAATCCAGAATACTACCGGAATGGCTATCGTACACCCTGACCGGGGTCTGCTTGAAAACCGGTGCTTTTAACCGCCGCGGTTCCTCATCCTCGCCTTCAGATTCACTCGATTCTCTGTCTTCTGGAGAGGCAATAACTGCCCAGACTCGAACTTTTCGGTCCTGCCCCGCAGCTGCGAGATATTTTCCATCCTTCGAGAACATCAAGGCCCATATAGCTTTCCCAGTAGCTCTGCTGCTTTGCGTACCCGCGGTTCCGGGGCGCTCATCTTCGTCTGCAGGGGCGGGGCTATCAAGGCCTTCTAATTCCTGGGCTTGGAACAGCCGGTTGAACGTCCTTTCCTTTTTATAATGCGCTTTAACTCGAGCATACTTTGGGGGCGGTGGAAACCGGGGAACAAAGCCTATCGGTTGCGCAGCGGCAGAAACATCGGTGCGGGCATTACCCATTTCGGATACATTATCCTCTTCATCGGAGAATGTCTCTTTCTTTTTGCCGGGGATGATACGACTCAAAAAGGAAACGCCCTTTCTATAGCGCAGTCAGCTCGGTTTTGTTTCAATGCAATATGACAACGAAACAAGGTAGAAAAGTGTGGAAACAAAGACTAAGTGAGGATGGATCAAAGGATATATGCGCGGCTCGTAAATGGGCATTCAGACTCCACTCTTTCAGCGCCAGACTGGACGTACTTCTTTTCTTTGACGAGCTTTTGGGGCGCTTGTTCACCGCGGTTCGGACCCTGGTCGACTGGGCTGTGCTTATCTAGTCCGCCAGCTTCAGCCTCGTAAGATGCCCTTCCCAGTAGCTTGAGAGGGATCGATTTCTGAGTATTGGTGCGCTTGATAATATGCTGTATTTGGTTGCAAGACAATACAATCAGCCACTAGTGCTTACAGATTGCAGGAAAGTTCGGGGATGGCCTTACTTGGGACAACGGATCAATCGCGCTAGAGTCGGCGCTCTCGAAGACGGTTGGAGAGGATGTCGAATTCCGGCCAGCAAGATTGGAGCCGGAGCCATATGCTGGCACTGGGCGGGAATTTCTTTTCGCATCATGCAAATTTCCACTCGAACCAGAAGCAAGATCGGACGCTGCAGATTCTAACACAGAAGAAAGAGTAAGCAACTATCAGCGAATGATCGTCCTTGCGCAAAACCACCGCGAAACTTTCGGAGAGATCGGGACACGAGGTGCAGGTGAGGTGTTGGACATGTCAGATATGCGCGTCTCGTGACAAGAACATACCAATTGGAAAAGACCGAGAGGATCGCGGTAGTCCAGATTGCACGGGGGTGAGCGGACTGGACTCGTCGAAGTTGTGGTCGTTGGTGGTTGAACCCGAGGGGTCACTGGTGACGATCGCCGGGAGGGAAGACCCTGGACCGTCTCCTCTTCCTCTCAGAGCCTCCGCCTGCGCCATGGCTTTTATTCATCGCATATGCGGTGGGCACGAGGGTGAAATGCGACGGTATGGGAGGAGAAGAGGTGGAGGAAAGAGAGGAAATTGAAGGAGCGCGGATCAAGCGCGGAGCGATTAATTATTAGTTTGGTGGTACTTGATTTAGTAGGGGTGCTATCTCAGCCCGGGGCCGGAGAACAAGTTTTTTATTTCATTAACGGAGACAGTACGAGGAGATACGCTGTCATATCTCATTAGGCCCTCGGTTTTGCCGGCTCTTGTCTCATTTTAGTGGAAAACGCGATGTGGTTTGCCGACTGAAGGCAGTGAAAGTCTGGACCTGCGGCGGATAGAACGGGTATGATTTCATCGCCACAACATCGACATACAGTACAATACAAGCAGGTTAAGCGCACACGAGATGCCCCGAGTGCGTGCAAGACTTGCCGTTCAGAGCCTACTCCAACCTCGTCCAGTCAAGAATTTTAGGATTTGAATTTCCGCCTTTCACCCAAACCCTGTCGGCTGTCAGACTCGTGGGAGTTTGTCAACTCAGCTCCAGCGGCTCCCTCCCGTCCAAGCGTCCTTGTCAGGGTCTATACCAACTCCCCGGCCCGACTTTTGGCGATATCACACATGGCCTGCCACGAGATAAGAATGTCTCCGCGCTGTATGGACACGTTGTAAATGACTCACCTGGATGACCTCCTCGACCTCTTTGTCAGAATCGCCCCGATCAATCCTCTTGCGCATTTCCTCCATAATCACATCCCTACTTCGCTTATTCACAAACGTCCTGTTTCCATGTTGGAGAAACAATTAGCACCGAATAATAAACAGCCCATGTAATAGTACCAATATCACATACACAAACCGCAGCCCTGGGAACTTCTCTTCATATTCAGCATTCAGCGCGCGCAGTTTCTCTGCCTGTTCCTCCGCACCCGTATTCAAATTCGCCTGCTCTTTTTTGCTCAGTTCGCTGAGATGTTCTGCGCCGCCGCCGCCAGCAGCGGCTGTCTTCGGCTGTCCCAAGCGGGGATGCGACCCGAGAATCCCTACAAGAATGTCCCTGTCGGTCGGCGAATTTGCGGCCGAGAGCGCCGACATCCGGCCCCCAACTGCGTCGATTAAGCTTGCGTAGGATGAGAACGTTTGGTTGGCGAGGACCGGGGCCATGAGGGTGTGAAGCTCTGGTGAGGATTCGAAGAGGGTATCTAGAGCTTGGAATTGTTGCTCTTGTGGCTGCTCCTTTAAGGAGGAGGCCGGTGGGAGTGTAGGTGGCATTGTTGCTTACAGTTGCAGTAGTGGACTGATTATTCTAGATAGCGAAGCTGGAAGTAGGTAGGTTGTCAACGGTGTAGACACATTGTAGATATAATAGATCTTGAGGTCATTGCCCCCGCATCGGGGCTCTCCGAGTCTTTTGGCGGGGCGGAGTCCAGCGATTATCGATTATCGCGATCGAGTGTCACGGCAGTCTGCCTATACGGCCCTCCCCGCAGTCTACAGAGTAGTACATACTTATGTAGACTGTAAACATCCAATCGGGTTAGCACTAAAGCACTGGCGGGCTTCTAGAATGATGCCAATCGTGCAACGGGTGACAGACCACAGTCTGTCGAGCGTAAATAGCTCGGACCAAGCGCTGCCCATCATTATTTCAGTTCGCGGGATTGGGCTACATATGAAACGTTAGTGTGGGCACTGGGCTGATGATTATGACCCAAAAGTGTCCATCGATTTCGAAGGATCGAGATGAGATGGAGATGGGAAGCCTCGGCTGAGAGATGGCCAATAGAGACGATCAATGGTATTGTTAAGAGCAAGGTTGCAGTCAATAATAGAAGCTCCTTCCAAATCGATCGATTAAAGCAATAAAACAGTCAGAGTGAAGCCTCAGCAACTCGCCGACCGCGTTGGGACCTGGGAAGCTTCATCGTCTCGCATGAGCTTTTGTAAATCCGTCCGTGCCCATTTTATTCGAATCCCCGATCCAAGATTGAGATTTGCGAAGAGCCAGTCAGGATTGAGAATTCCTGCGTTTCAGAATTGGGCAGCTCAGAATCCAGGAACCACGTTCAGTTCGCATTCGCCCAAAGTGGAGGCTGCGAACCGGCCACTAACAAGCCCCTGAACTCCTGAGGCCTGAGGGTTCGTGACTGGCACGGTCGCTCTGGCTCCTCGAGGTTTCTATCCAGAAGCCATCCTGGACCTCATTGCAAATTCCTGACCCAGGGTGGAATATCTTTCTTTTCTGTCTCCTTTTCACTTTGTCGCTCGTTTTCCCTTGTGTCTATTCCCGTTCCTGATTCCTCCCCGATCTCCTCCCAAAAGCCAAGTCCCCTCCCCCTCTTTTGCCTTGTACAACGAAAGCACCTGTCCAGGTGTCACACTCGAGGCCTCCTTCAGCCTAATGCGGCTCCCGCCATGTCTCTCAATGGCTTAGACAGTCCTCCGGTCATTGAAGCCTATCAGATTGCTCTCACTGAAGCAGGAGGATGGTACGTGTTTTACTCAAGCCTTCAGTAGAGACTTCTAACGCTTATCATTCCTTGTTAGGTTTCTTCTACGCTATGTATCAAGGGATGAAGTAGCCCTTCATGGGCGGGGGACAGGAGGCGTGCCTGATGTGCGAAATGCGATCGAAAACTACGAGGAATGTTCTCCGCTCTATGGATTTTTACAATATCGTCGGAGGAAGGTCATACTCAGCTATCTACCTGAAGACCTATCCCGACTCGTACGAGGTTTGCTTGCCCCCTTTCTAGCTACCTCTTGACCCTGCTAACCTGTCTTGCTTTTGCAATCTATAGCCCGAACCACCGTCCAATTCCAATCGGTCTTAGACAAATTTTCACCTCATGATACGGTCTTTTCATTATCGCAACCCACCGAGTTGACGGAAAGCGCCCTTTCCTCTGCATGTCTGCTACACACCGCCTCAGGTTCTATCACCTCCTCTTCGAGTTCACTCCGTCGTCGGAGACTGATGGAAATTGCGGAAGACGCAGAAGAATCTCCAGCCAAAGATACGACGGCACAAACCCAGGCCAAATCCCAAGATGTCCGGCAGAGGTCTTTCAGTCAATTGTCAGAAGCCACGGTTGTACCTCCTTCAGTAGCTTCAGCGGCGCCGCAAGCCCCCAATGACGATATATCCACGCCAACGAGCCCCGATTCTGCCCAAATCAACGGATTTCCAACCCCTGTTTCTCCCGATTACCACTCGGAACGGCCGACTTCCTCGAGGAATCTTCGTGATGATATATCTCTCGCGCCCTCCGAATCCCGTCAGTCTACGCAATCGGCCAGGCCATCCTTGCGAGAACTCGAACGCGCTGCAGGATTTAAGCCCAAGGTAAAGCTAGGACCGCGGCCCTCAGTGGATGGGAGTGGACGCCCCCGTACATCGGGAACGGCCGCTCGCAGCGTTGAACAACGTCCAGTCGCTTCGATGCCCTCCGGAATTCGGGCTTCTCCATTTCGCAAATCCAATCCTCCCCTCACACGTCCCCGTTCTCAGGGAAATCCTGTCGTAACCACATCTGCAAGCACCGCCAGGGTACCACCAGTGCCCCCGCTTCTGGTTCCCCCATCATCTATGCCAATCTCAAGGCCTCAACTTTCTCCTGGTGCCAAGTCACTTAGTGCCCTTTCCACGTCCTCGACCTCTAACGAGAAGGAGCGACTGATGAAGGCACTACAGCTCCGCAAGTCTCAAATGCAGAAGAGGGCACAAGAAGCGAAGCGGACAAAGGAAAATAGTAACGAAACGAGCCATACAGCACGAGACTTGAACGACGATAAAGAGAATATTGGATTACACTCCGAGAAAGCGGCGTACGACAAGGGACGTCAAAGGTTATCTAGCATTTCGGAGCATGACAGCAAGGCTCCACCAGCCAACATACTACCTGAAACCAAGCAGCCTGTCACCATTCAACATAACCCAGTCGAACCTACTCAAGTTCAAGACGATGAAAAGGTCTCTTCAGAAACTTCCAAAGAAGAACCAGTTGTAGAAACCGTCAATGATCAGTCTGATTACACACTGCCAAGCACTACCTACTCACCGGCGGACTCTCAGCCAGCCAACCTCGACGAGAATCCAGAAACAGAAGCCCCTCTTTCCGAGCCTGAAACGGTCCCTTTTCAAGAAGACTCGACCGGGTCCACTGGAAATGAAATTAAGTGCGGCCCCGGTTCGCCTAGCGCCGTTGTTGACGTCCCACCTCAAGACAATCCTGAAAAGTCTCGGGAGGAAGCAGAAATTATTGCAACTCCCCCGCCGGCCGAGAAAGAGACCATTATTGCAAACGAAAGCGAATTAGACGCTGGCGCCGAAGCACCTGAACCCGTCGAATCCCCGTCACTCATTTCCTCGCATTCTCCGGAGTCCGAGGCGCGGTCGGAAGCCGTCACCGACACTTCAACGATAACCCCATCGAACCTCGCCGAGCTGCAGAATGCACCATCGTCTGGGCCTGTAAGCGAGGAACAGCAGAATTCAACAACGCGTAAGGATAAGCTCAAACCTGCCCTAGAGCCTATCCAAGTTCCGACACCCGACTATTCGGATGACGACAACCTTCTCTCCGATGATTCCTTCATGGAAGAACTGAAAAGTGCTACGGTGGAGGAGGCAAAGCCCATCTCGGTGGGTAAAACTCCTCTTTCTCCATACTCGAACGGTGGGAGCGATAACGTTGGATCCGATGCCTGGCGAACTTCGCGTGCGGTTTCAAACCCAAGTGCTATTGTACCTCAGTATGCCAATGCACCTGCTTTTGCTACCGCCAGGTCAGTTTCGAGTCCATTCTCACAGGCCGAGGATCCAACAAGCCCCGTTTTGGTGGCTAAGAAGATCAATGTTTCTTCTGGTATCTCTAAGCGCATCAAAGCGTTGGAACAGTTCTCAGGCAACCGCGAGGGTGCAGCTACTCCCCCGAATTTATCTACCCAAAATGCAGCCTCCTTTGGAGCTGTTCGCAAACGAGCATCCGTATCATATGGGACCGGCAACTCGGAGGCGTCGTTATCGCGACATTCATCGTACGCACCGGAGCCCTTCTCTCGAACTGCGAGTCTGAGACGTCCCGACTCGAGGGCTAGCACCAATGCCGAACAGCCCACAAACTCTGTCTCTGTCACTGCACGCATAATCCGCGAGCCAAGCGCTCCAGCGAACGACTTGAACGCAGGCACGGAGCCCCGCACCCTCAATCTGCAAGCCAGCCCGTTAACCGTTGAGCATGGCACATCGGATCAGCCTGCATCACGGGATCCGACGCCAGATGCTACTCCGAACCAGATTGAACCGCGTAAAATGTCCGTCTCCTCTATAAGCTCAGCCAAGCCACCTGCAGGTACAATGCCTCGTTCAGAGAGTAGGTTATCCGTGTCATCTAGAAATGACGGATATTTCCTCTCAAGGTCCCCAAGTGAGACATCAGCATCTTCGCCCGAAGAGAAGAAGGAATCCCGTGCTTCCAGACTCATTCGCCGTATGTCTTCGATAACTTCACCCTCACGGAGAAGCACCGTCGGTTCAAAAAGCCCGGCGCTCAAGGAGGAGGACAATATGCCGTCTTTGGATAATCGTTCCAAGACCACTGTTGAGCTTCCCGCCCCTGTCGACATCGGCGAGCTCAATGTCCAATTTCCCGACACGCTGCTGTGGAAACGACGGTTTATCCGAATTGACAGTCAAGGCTATCTCATTTTGACACCTGGAAACATGGACTCGAGCAACCGCAACATGGTCAAGAGATACCACTTGACTGAATTTAAAACACCTTGCGTACCTGACGAAGAACGGGAAGAACTTGCCAATAGTATCTTGCTGGACTTCCTCGACGGAAGCACCCTTCAATGCGCCTGTGAATCGAGGCAAGGGCAGGCGTTTGTTCTCCAAAGTAAGTTACCATATTAAATAATCCAACGCTATACCGGCGGAATAAAACTAACTATGAACAGCTCTTGTCGATGCCCATGGTACTCATCAACAACTCGTGTCTAAATAGTTCCTTTCACCATCATAGCATTCATTTACATTTCTTTCGACCTAAAATTGCATCCCTTCATGTATCTATCCCGCTCACTTCATCGTCCAAATGCCCCCGGGTCGTCTTGATTTCTTTCCCTGTTATCATGCATGTTTTCCAGCGGTATACCCTATCAAAACGATTTTCCTTTTGTCCATTCGACCGACTATTTTCATTCCTGATACTGCATCTGGAGCGTCAATTACCTCTCAATCTTCAGATCTTTTTTTTTCTTTCTCCTTCATCATTTCTTTGGCCAAATGTATGGGCCTCGAGCCTGATTCGCTACATAGCCGTCATGTTTAGATCATCTCCCTTACGTGTTTTCGCACCGACGGTTGAGCACAATTAGATATTCTTCGTTCCTCGTTTAACGGGCCTTCCCATTTTTGTATGCCGTGTTTTGTTTAATATGCATTGGGTAGGTAGTACTGATTTATCTATATCTAGTATTACATGCAGGCTTTAACTTATGTTTGTAGTTTATATGCTTTCAGATGATAGAAAGCATGTGGCAAATGAATACTGTCAGTTAAATGATACTGGTTATCTTCGCCTGCCACGAGGATCAAGCGTCTATAGGAAGTGGTGAGGATATCCGTATAATTACAATTCTTAATTGGAGCCTTCTTTGGCAGCTCTCTTCTGTTCCCACTCATCCAGGAACTTCTTAACTTTTGGACCCCAAACCTCCTCCCCGGCATCGAGATCCTTATACTCGAGTATCCTCTCCGGTTCCAAGTCGAAGTCTGCCTGGCGGGACCGCACAAGCGCGCTCATAAGGCCACAGCTACCCAGGGCCTTGCCAAGATCGTGTGCTAAAGAGCGAACGTAAAAGCCGGAAGTGACGGTCATGGTAATCTTCACTGCAGGTGGCTGTGATCGGCCATTCGATGGCTCTGAAGCTTCAGGTTGTGTTTCTGTCGTCGTTTCTGTGGGCTTTTCCTCTGTCGCTTCTGGCGCATTGGTTTTCTCGGACGTGGCGGGTGCGGCGTCACCCTCATCGGATACTTTCTGTTTCTTCGTAGGTTCGGGTTCAGTGTCTTTGGGGCTTTCTGCTGGAGGCGACTTGCGTTTCGACGTCGCATCAGCATCGTCCGCTGCTGGAGCAACAGGCAAAGAATCGTCTTTCTCCAGCAATTTCTCCGCAACAGCCTTCTCATCTGCAGCGGCCTCTTCCTCGGGCCATTTATACTCATGCGTTCCAGGCTCATACCATTCGAGAACTCGCATATCAAGTACCTCCACCGGCCTAGACTGGATTTCAATCGGCGGTACTTTCCCCTCTCGTGCATACTCATATAACTTCTTGCCCTGAACCTTGAGCGCCGAGAAAATAGGCGGGCGTTGCATAATCTTCCCCCGGAATTGTTCGAGCGCCTTTTCCACCGCCTCACGAGTAATATGTTCATACGGGCCCCGACGAACAATTTTTCCCAATTGATCATATGAATCCGTCTCTGCGCCAAAGAGAACGACCGTCTCGTACGTCTTTGTGCACCCTAGAAAGTCATTGAGGAATTTCGTTCCTTTGCCAACGCCCGTAACGAGGACTCCGGTTGCGAGGGGGTCGAGGGTTCCTCCATGTCCGATCTTAACGTCAAGGCGCTGGCTACGACGGCGTTTGCGCTGGAAGTTGCTTTCTCGATTGCGTCGCGCGCGCTCGGTCTCGAGCCATGGTTTGAAGACGTCGGACGGGTTGAAGTGGTGCTGTAGTTTGCGGATTACGTCGGCGGAGGTGACGCCTTGCGGCTTGTGAACGGCTAGTTTTTTTTTGTTAGTTAGACATTGAGTGCAGAAGAGGTTTTGCTATACGGTGAACGTACCAAAGACGCCCTCGTAGATCTTTTCTCCGGACATGGTGGTGCGAAACAGCTTCAATCCTTGACGGAGGCCCATCGGCTGCGGGAGAAATGTTTTTTTTGGGTGAATATAGCTGAACGAGACCGATGACGAAAGCACTCAAAACAATTTAAAAGCGCCAATATCACAAAGATAATTTTTGAGCACCCTTCAAAATTTCAATCCGGAGCTGGAAGAAAGATAAAATAGTTCGAGGCTCTAGCAAGTATCGCGGTGGTATCAAAGCTCCGTAAATTACACAGGAAGAGCTGAGCTCCGCGTAAATTACCGATCCTTACCACCCTATTACCAAGATTCCCGAGATATTCGATGGGACCCCCCATCGTCATCAACTCAATCACCCTCACACTGCCCGCACTCAACTCCCCGTCGTCCGCTCCACCTCCCACTGCATCATCCTTTCACACGCCTCCAGGTCATCCCTGGTCAATCTCTGTTAGCAATCAGGGCGTCATGCAACCTCCCGAGACATGACATCCCGAGAAGATAGCGTCTTGGCCGCCAGAGACCCGTCTCTCGTCGACGAGAACGCCTGGGAAGAATTCAGCTTGTCCGAGGTCAGAATCTTGGTCCCTGGCAAGTCGCGTTATGCCAATCTTCTCACGGCCACACCAGAGAACCCCGTCCAGGTGACGGGATGTCTGGACGAGGTAGAGGAGGAGCAGGAGTCCCTAGGTTTGTATTACACTTACGCACTACAACCGCGCCTCGCTCGCTCGCGATCTATGAAGACAAACAGCTAACATATCCCTTCTCCACCTATAGTTCTCGACCCGGATTATCTAACAAAGCGCATTGTAATCGATAATGTGAGCCACTTCGCCTACGGGCAGCACAATGATGGGGAAGTCGGAATCTGGGTTGCCGGCCAGGCTGGCTGGTTCTCCATCTCCCCCGCAAAGGGGTACCGGGCCGTGTTCAACGACGTCGTCGAGGCAATCGATCTACTATATTTCCTGACCGATCGGAATAAGCCAAAGAGGAGGAGTGCGAGAAGGAAGAAGAAGTGGAATTACCCGAGTCTTGAGGACTTGTGTGATGAATATGTGCTCCACACGCATGGGATTTGCGAGGACGGTGACGACTCCGCCGAGGTTTTCTACAAGCATCATAATTTTTTGCTCTCACGTATGATAAATGGTGAGGAGGAGGTTAATTGGGCTGAGACGAATATTTTTCCACATATTTGTGAAAAGTTTCCGGTATGTGGTCTATTCTATGTTCCCCCGAGGTGTTGAATGTCGGATCTAAAGTTCGTTTCTAGGAGGATTTTGAAGAGCTTCGCGCTCAAAAGGAAGCAAAGGAGGCGGAGACAGAGGAAGAAGACAATGATGAAGATGAAGAAATGGAAGACAGGGCTCCGACGCCTGACCCGACAGCCATCTCGAAGGCCCAGGCAGATGCCATTTATAAAGTGATTCTTGATCTCAAAGAAGCAGGGTACCTCGCGAAGCGACAGTTGAACCTTGAGCTTGTCGCATCGACTCTGATGGACCGCTTCGAGATCGACGGTCTAGAGTATGCACAGAATCTTTTGTCATCAACTGCTACTGGCATTCTTGAATCCATGAACGAAGCCAAGACGAACGTATTTGACTGGTCCAAGAAGGTCATTTATAAAGAATTGAAAGCCGCATCCAAGAAGAATAAATTGGAAAATGTGACATTCACTCCGCTACGGCCTCGTCTATCTGATGATGGTGGTTCTTCCGACGAAGACAGTGACGACGACCCAAGACCCCGCCACCGGAAGTCTGTGCTACGACCAAAGAGCCAGATTGCGTCGAAGAGAAATGGCAAGCGGACCCGGAGCACAGCAGTGGATTATGAACTTTCCGATGATAATCAGGATGCCATGGATGAGTTTGAGACCCCCAGTAAGGTTCGTGGTCACGACCTAGTTCGGGACCCCTTGTCTACTAGGGCAAAACGGCGGACACGATCTATACTATCAGACTCTGAGTCGACACCTGTTGTCGAAAGAACACCACTACAAGAAACTCTCCGGAGTCGAAATACTTCAGTCTCAGCTGCCGAGTTGTTCCCGAACTCGGGGACTTCTCATGACGCCAACTCCCCAGGGGATACGTGGGTATGCCAAGTACCCGGCTGCGATAAGATAATCACCAGATGTACTTCGAAGCGCGGCAAGGAGATGGTCCAAGATCATTCTCTGGCACATGCGGATGACACAAAGGCAAAAGTCGATCTAGTTGTTGCAGAACAAAGACTAAACATTAATCTTCGCGTCGATAACCTCCTAAATCGCATTCGAGGAATGAGTGCTTTCGATGGTGCACTGGCAGCGCTAAATGGCGAAATGAACGGCACGCATAATGAAATTGGAACCTAAGGCCGGCTGCAAAGCATACCTTTAGCATGTTATTGAACACATCAAGCAGCCCAGCATATCGCTTGCGCAGTATGAACGGATTGAGTCGCACGGTCTGGGACTCTGGCTGACCACTAACACCTCAGCTTGTCCCTTCGGAGGAGCGGAGTGGCATCGTGCCTCGCTCTCTGATAAAGGTTCTCGCGATATCAGAGCAGGTGGGATAGTTGTATTCCACACGAGCTATTCTAGTCCTGCGTACACAATGCAGCCTAGCGGGGTTTCTTCAGTTTACCGACTGTTTTTCAATCCGTCAAGGGCCCAAATCCAAGGGTGAAAAACAACATTGGACGATACTAACGGTCTTTTTTTTTCATATTCATGTCTGGGCAGTTGGATAATACCTGCACCTGACTCACCTTTTGGAGGCGTATTCTACCAGGAACATTGGCATTGAAGCAGCCACGAAAGTATGGCACGCACGGCGCAGTTTTATAGATATCTCAATTCCACAGCTACAGCTCTAGCTACTTCATGGAACAAATTGCTTTTCGAAACCTTGACCCAAACGCGCACAAGACAGCCTTACTTCCGGTATCCTGATTGGAACAAACAGAAGAAAAGATGAATAACTGTATAATAGTAATAGTAGGATTTCCCGCATACAAAAATGTACGCATGCAATGGGATTAGATCAATCAAGAACGTCCCCTCGCAGCAGCCCGCTTACTCTTCCCTGGACGCTTAGGGCCACCTGCACCACCCTTCATCTTCTTAACTGAATAGCCACGCAGATCTCCGCTAGACATCGCATCACCGCTCTTGGAATGTCGCTTTTTACCGCCGAAGCCGAATTTCTCGTTCTTCTTTTGGCGCTTCTGCGATGGTCCGCCGGTCTCGTTGCGCCCACGCTTACGAGGGTTCTCTTCGACTGCGTTTTCAACGGCGACGTCGAAGAGCTCATCTCCCTCGCCGCCAGCACCTGATGTGTCTGTCTTCCGCTCTGTGGGGGGGTTGTTAGTAAATGGACGTCCGGCTCCATAAAATGCGATAGGAAATACATACTCTTCTTCAAAGAATTGACCTTTTCAATTGCTTCCTTCTTCTCCTTGGCCCGCTGTTGCAGCTTAGCAACTTGCACCTGCTTGCCAAACTTCTTCAGATCTCTCTGCTTCCTTGCGTCGGCGGAGGCCTTCTTTCCAGCGGCTTCATCGTAGAGCTTCTTCTTGATCTTGCCCATGTGCTCGTCCGTCTTGACCATCTCCGCAAAATAATCACGAGGTCGTGTAAACGGGACACCCTCTTTCTTGAGTAACTTCCTCGCCAGTAGAGCGGCAGATTGCGCAGTCTTGTAGAATGCGAGTTCACGGTTCAAGTCGTCGTTGGCGTCCGGAACATCGTTAGTTTCCTTTGAAACAATAGAGTTGTGTTCGGAGAAAGGCGTTAGGTGGGAGACGAAGGAGATGCGCTTTGTGGATGCTGTGAGGGCGGAGCTGTTGTTGATCGTGAGGCGTTGGTGGGGGATAACATCTTCGCGTTCGTCTTCGGAGAGGTCAGAGAGCGGGATATCTTCTTCCTCTTCCTCTTCTTCCTCCTCCTCTTCATCACCATCTTGTTCTGAGCCGTCGCTATCTGAGTTCTTTTCGGCGTCGTCCATGCTTTCGTCCTCTTCTTCCTCCTCCTCCTCCTCCTCCTTCTCTTCTTCTTCAGCCTTCTTATTTTTCGCCGGTCCCTCCTTTAAAAATCCAATTAGCATTGAGTGTCAAACCCGATCAAACAATAGTGAAAAACAAACCTCTTCGCCTGTCACACCCTTTCTCTTCTTCGCAGCCTTGAGCAACTTCTTTTGCTTTTCGGCTCCATAATCCCTCCCCTTGTGCTCATCAAGAGCCTGGAGCAGCTTGCTTCTCTTAGGCATATTGACTCAAAAGGTAAAAAAAAAACGGGGTGTATATAAAGAGTAACACTTGCAACGGGAGTCGGGGCCGCATCAATCTACGGGATTTTTTTTGAGCTGCGAATTGTACTAGTACCGATATGGTTAGTGTTGAAGATAAGGAAGGACTAGTACTAAAGGGTTTAGTGTGTTTTGGGCACGGAACATTATTGCTCCATGTCCAAGTGGCTGGCCTTATCGATACGAGACGGAGCTTCCGTTCGTTAGGTGCAGGGTTCCAGCTAAACTATTCTTCGAGCGTATACTGTCTCTGCGAACTCTCATATAACGTCTTCTACATTTATCACGACGGTCCCGGCAAATAATTCAATCCTGACAGCTCGGCTACTCCTGTGATATAATCCAACCCCCACAATGTCTGCCAACGATGCATCCGTCCCCGCGGAGACAGAAAGCCTCTCCCCTTCCGCCCCTGCAACAAACAAGACGCAGGTTCGGAACCCTGCCGCCGTCAATACAATCCATTCGCGCTCTTTGCACATACGGAGGCTAACAGTGTTCTCTGAGTATCTAGAGCACAGATGCCCAGGGCCAATTCACCGAAGCCGTGGATGAGCTGATCGACCAGCTGCAGCATAAATTCGATACCGTGTCTAGGGAGATGTTTGGGAAGTGTGAGTGAATTCTTTCTTTTCCTTTTTATTTTGCGGCTTAGTCTACATTATCCCGTCTATCTATATTAAGGGCGAACGCTGACGCTATTCCAATGTGCAACAGTTGATGATATGGCAAGACGACTAGATGATTTGGAGGCTTCTTTGAGTGTTGCGGCGGATGCGGGGACAACATCGACCTCGACTCCGGCCAAATGAGATATACAATTGTTGACTCGACTCGTGGAGGAAGCGTCCTTTATAGCCTTTTTGAGATACCCTACGAATATCCGTACTGCAGCAATTCCACACCTTGAAAAAGACAAACGTTGCATCATATTTCATTCTATGCATCCGTAAGCCAATAATATATAGTACTAGCTTTTCCTAAATACTACGGTTTGCAGTACCCAGGGTATACAATCAATTCTTCATACAACGAGGCGAATCTCGGATCTCATTTACAGCTCATCCTTCGCGTTCTCCTTCTCCTCCTGACCCAGGAATCTACGCAGAATGTTACTGCGCGAGATCAGGTCATCAATCTTCTCCGGGGCGGAGCCACCCTTGGACAGCACCTTCTTTAGGCGGTTGAACTCCTTAACCGCATACTCGGAGTTCTGCGAAAGCTTCTCGGCAACTTTGACGTAGTACTCGGTGTACTTGTCCTGAACGCCCTTGGCAGCCTTCTTGATTTCACCAACGAGCTCGTTGAAGTTCTGCGAAGAGGTGTACTTCGCAACTAACTCATCAAGAGCAGGAACCGTGCCGGCTTTCTCATCCAATCCGCCGCCAGGGGCACGGTGCGTACCCGCCTTGTTGTTCAGGAACTCAATGAAGGCCTCCTCGGAGCGACCGCCTTGGTAGATCTCGCCCTCGGTCGAGCCCTTGGGGAAGAACTTAATGGTGGGGTATCCAGTTACGCCCTGTTCCTTAGAGGTGGCCTTTGCGTTTTCGGCTTCGGCATCCACCTTGCCGATAACAACGGAGGGCTCAAGAGCGAAGTCGTTGGCGAGAGTTTCCCAGGTTGGGGCGAGCTTCTTGCAGTCTATTCCCGGTCTCGTTAGCACACCAATTCCAGTATTAAACAGCTATTCAGGAAACAGAGAAAAAGGGAAGGGAGGGGGAAACATACGACCACACCAAGGCGCAGTAAACGCAACAAGCACATCCTTATCACTACCAATCGTGCTCTTGAATGTCGTATCAGTCAACATCTCCACATTGCTAGGCTCCTTCTTAGGCCCCTTAGCCTTAATGCCAGTCTTCTCAGTAATGAAAGCAGTCAGACTCTCAAGGTCGCGGCCACCCTTGTATTCCTCGGGAGTCTCGCTCTTGCCATCAAACCATTTCAGCGTCGGGAATCCCTGGATTCCAAATCGCTTGCCGAGGTCGCGGTTTGCGTCAGCGTCGACCTTCGCAACGCTAACTTTGTCTTCGGCGTGGGCGAAAGCTTGGCCGAGCTCTTCAAAGACGGGGGCGAGGTTCTTGCAGTGGCCGCACCAGGGTGCGAAGAATTCGACTAGCGCGGGCTTGCCGGAGTTCAGGACGACTTTGTCAAAGTTCTTGGGGATGAGGTCGAGCACGGCGGAGCCGGCGGTGGCCAGAGTGACCAGGCAGCTCAGCAGGAGAATGCTGAGGCGAGCCATTTTGGGGAGTAAGGAAGCTGTGATAAGGTGTGTTTGTGGAGTATTTTGACAGATCAACTGTCGATGGACTGAGGAGGGGGGAGAGATTCAGCCCGGTAGCTGAGGTGGACCGATCCTATTTAAGTACGTAACTGGTCGCATTAATAATAATAATAACAGTGAAGCTCTGGCGCGGATCTGCGGTTCGGAAGAGGACACTTGTACGGATACCAAGAGTTGTAAGGCCAAGCCACCACTCCAGAGGCATAGCAATTGTTAATATACCATGCTTTAACTATTCATTGAATTACCACCTTTTGGGCATATTTCATTATTGTTTTTCATTTTTGGCTATGAAGAGGTTATCCTTTTCGCGACATGCCCAACTCCTACTAATGCATAAGATGTAGATATATCATAGTAGATTGTTGAGGACATAGCTGGGCCCGTGAGAGCGGGCTTTTTACTACCAGGTGTAGCCGTCCATAATTTTTCCTTGTATCACCGTCTCTCAGATAACCATTTGTTCGCATCTGCCCAAGTCTTGCCATCCTTAAACTCTTTGCCCGCGTTCTGCGAACCCTTGTAGACCTTGAGAAACGTAAGCAATGTTTCGAGGATAAGAAAACGGATCTACCTACCGCATCCCATAGCTTGAACGCCCGGTGCAAGTTCCCTGTGAAGCTATCGCTGTGTTGGAACCAATCCTTGCCCTTTGACTTCACCTCTTCTCTCGAGTCTGGAGAAGTTGGCTCGGCCTGCAGGGGCAGATCGTCAAGATATGTTCGGACAGCAATACCTAGACCACAGTCGTTGTCATCAATGAATGGAAGGCTAAGTATGTCAGCTTCAGCTATTTACCTACAGTAGCGAATCGCACTTACCTAATGCCTAATTCGGACCAGTCATTGCGGTCGCGGTTTGCGTCACCGCTAAGAAGGAGCCCAACAAGCACAATCTCGATGAGGTTTCGTAGCGTCGTGCGGACTTCCGTTATGAGAGACCGGTAAGAGAGTAGTTGTCTACTGAGTGGTCCAGAGTAACCAATGTTTTTGTGCTGCAGCTTGCCAATGCAAGCAACACGCGAAATAAGCATGTTGAAAGATTTGTCCTCATCTAGAAAGATTATCAGTCGGCGGTTACTTGGCATGGATCTGTATTGCCTTACCTGTTCCCCTCATTGGGCCACCAGAGACATGGGAGAACCATTGCTTAGCATTGAGGACTCCAAACCTCATTAGCTCAATGGCCACAAAGGTAGCTTCCTCTAGGGAGTCTTCCGGATTGAGAACAGAGAGGGCTTGTTCCAGGCAGACACCCCAGGGCGTGAGCTGATGCTTTTCATTGATATAACCGCGGAGTTGTAGGAACCGCCAGTAAACATTGGCAAGTAATTCGTCTTTCGATGAGAGTGGCTACCAACAATTAGTTCTTGAACCGCAAAGGATCACAAAAGGTGTATCTCACTGGAGAATCTTTAGGGGAGAATGTTTTCGATACGAAATCCGAGTCTTTCAGACTTTGAACAGCAAACTTGAATGGCCCAGTAGACCCCTGCAGCTTCTTGATTCCCGCGGTATACCGATCGCTGGGAACCTTCCACTGACGAATAGAGTGTATAACAGAAGGAGGTGCTCGAAGCGTGACTGTGGAATCGGCGTTCTCGTCGTACCATGTCCGGACATTGATCGTCTTGCTCTGATAGAAACGATGGAGGGTATTCGACAGTAGAAACATTGACTGCTCTCTGAGTGGGGCAAGGTTCTCTCCCGCGACTTGCCGATATATCTTGGAATCCTCGATGCCCAAAGGTAGTGAAATCAGAACCTCGCCAGAAGTGAGATAGTTTGGCACGTCAGGGCCAAGGATGCCCTTAGAGATATAAAAGTAAAGCTCCTCCGGAAGACGTTGGCCGATAACCTCGTGCATGTCAGTGGGGCTGTTATCGGCATCCATTGGGCCAACTCTTCCCTCCAAGTCCATTACCACATGGTGTTTGACATTCATATATGCACGTTTGTAGCGGTCTGTGTACTGGACATCTTGCATGCGGCGCTCCTCTTCGTACTGTGTGCATAGAGCAAGAGCACTCCGCCCGGCGGCGTTGAACATGGGCAATGCATCACGAATAGAAGCAACCTTGGCTGGGAACGCAGGATTCTCGAAGAATGGGAAAGTGTGGAGGAATGAGGAGCCTAGGAGAAGTGCAAATTCAAGGAATTGGTCATTTGACAGTCTTCCCAGCTCCTCTTGACAGGTTTGCTTGGTGATCCAGGAGAACTGGGCAGGGTCTATTTCGATCTTTGTGATGAGTTTCTCGACGTCGAAAAGTAGGACTTCCGAGGGGCCCCAGATAGCGTCGATAACGGAATTGGGACCGTGACTGAGGTGGGCGAGCTGTGTTATAGAAAACAGGTGTCAGACCGTGCGCATTTAGCCGCCATATAGCGGGGAGAGCCAAGCCTGCTGCTTACCTGTGCAGCAGCACTGTAGGGTGCTGCCATATAGTCGATACCATTCTGAACAAGGATGCGCTGCAAGAAGCGGTAGAGAGATTCTGGTCGAGGAGTACCTAAGTGACAAAGATACGTCAGCACGTTCCGATAAGTTGAGAGCAAGAGACCATACCAACGCTGCTGAAAGCATCGACAACCTGGTCAGCCTGCTGCTGATCGTATAGCTCCCAGGCATGCTCGAATGCTCGGACAGTCTCATGGTGCACCTGAGGTCGTTGGTTCTTCTTTCCAAAGTCCAGGCCATTGAAGACAAAGATACAGGCCACGCCGAGGTCCTTGAAAATCTGCAACTCCTTCTCGATATTGCTTCTGAGGGCGAAAGGAAACCCTCCGAGAGCGATTAGAAGCGGCTCGCGAGTGGAGGGGTGGCTGAGGTGCTGAGAGATGTAGTGCGTCGCATCAATACCGACGACTGCCCCTTTGAGGGCGGAGAGGGGAAGCGATGAGGTGCGGGCAGAGATGCCGGAGACCCAGTCGTCCAATGGGCGGACTATCGAGCACAGACTGTATAAGCATTGTTCTACTGACGAAATTGGGAAACTGCGCGGGGGGGCTTACTCGGCATTCTTTAAGCTGGAGCTAAGGCTGGAGCTGAATCAGGTACAGGTCACGATGCGGGTGCCGATAACAGGCATGGACAGCCTAGCGGGGTGATAGATGAGGGCACCCAGCTGGAAGTGGGAGGGAAGAGAGAGGAAGGGAGAGGAAAATGTTGAGAGGATGAAGTTCAGTGGCAGTCGCCAAGTAGCCAAAGTCGCAGAGCTCAATGCACGAAGATGAACGATGCGACAACGCAGCCGGAGGTTCCAAATTGACACCCCGATCCAATCACGGGATCCACCAGCCTGGACCTGCCCACTACCTTCTGCGTTTCAATCTTCCTGGCTTTTATAATGCCCGATTTTCTAAAAATCTACTGGCTCTCGATCCACGGAGCCAAGGGAAATGGGCAAGACATCAGTCCCAACTGGTGGGGCCACCAAGATAACGTTTTCGATTCTAACGAAGTGTCTCCAAGATATATAATTCGGAGCTCCCCGCACTCACTCTATATGGACCACCCACCTGAGCATTTTGTTCTACCATCAAACCCCGAACTGTAAAAATGGCCGAATATACCCCAGTTGGAGCCCCAATCGACCTTCCCATTCTCGACATATCCAATCCCGATGACCCTGCCGTGGGCAATGCCATGCTTGAGGCTGCGACCAAGTACGGCTTTCTCTATGTGGACAGCAAGGGAACCGACTTTGAGGTCGACGACGTGCGAAAGGCATTTGAAAGGGTATGCATGTATCTTTTAAACAGTTTATTACCAGAGCATTAAGCCTTCATTACAGTCGAAAGGCTTCTTTGCATCACCCATAGAGGAGAAAGAACCTTGTCGGATCCAGTCAAATGTTCGTACTGATCTCCCCCTACATTGACTTTTTTTTAACTCTCATCTAGAACCGTGGCTGGTCTGGGATGCATTCTGAGACTCTAGATCCTGAACATCAGCGGGTTAGTATCGAAGCCTTTCCAAAACACCTCAGTATAAGTCAGAACTAACCTCGGATAGATGGGCGATTTCAAAGAGTGAGAGCTCACTTGTATCCTCAAACAAACCATAAATAGAGTAAGAAAAAATAACCAGATCAACCTCCCAGAGCATTCAACTTCGGCGAATTCAACGCCCAAGGCAAAGCCCAACAACCCCTCCCGCCATCCATCGCACCCCATGAAGCAGAGATCGAGCACTTCGCATCGCTCTGCACAAAGACCTGTAACCGCATTCTCAGCCTCCTCGCCCTAGGACTCAAGATCTCCCCAGATTTCTTCATCACCCGCCACGATCCCACCCAAGGCCCGACAGGCTGTATCCTACGCTACCTGTACTACCCATCCGTCTCGGCACCGCAAACAGCAGGGTACGACCACGGCGTGGACGTCCGTGCCGGCGCACACTCTGACTACGGGAGCATCACGCTATTATTCCAAAGGCCAGGACAGCCGGGCCTTGAGATCCTAACCCCGGAAGGAACGTGGGCTCCTGTCCCCGTTGAGCCGAGAAGCCACCAGAGTCAGAGCCAGAACCGGGACGACGAATACACATTCCCGCCTATCCTCGTTAACATTGGCGACCTGCTAAGCTACTGGACTGACGGATTGTTGAAGTCAACCGTGCACCGTGTTGTTTTCCCTGCGTCTGAAAGGACCGGGAACAGCTCGCAGGATCGGTATAGTATTGTTTTCTTTTGCCATCCGCTTGATCGTACGGAGCTGGTCCCTATGCCGAGCGAAGTGGTTAGGTCTTACCGGGAAGAGAAGGGTGCAGGAGTGCAGGAAGAGAAGGTGGGATTTGGAGGAGGAGCAGGGGACCTTGGACCTGGGAAACGGGCGCTTACGGCTGAAGAGCATCTTGCGCTGCGTTTAAACGCGACGTATGATTTTAGACAGGCAGAGGATCAAAATGCTCCGTAGAGCAGTGGATGTCTTTCCATTACTTTCTACATTTGAGGGCCTTTAGTGGCACCCGGAGAGTCCCAGCGAGTCTCAGAATATAGGTATGTGATTTGTAGTGCTGAAATATGTATGCACACAGGCCATTGAATGCAATAGACAAAAATTCTCCCTTTAGACAGGACGAGTGGTTTCAAGAAAAGACAAAAAAGAAGACCAACAGGTATAGCCAATAGGAGAATATCAAAAAGAGTACAAAAAACCAGCCAAGAAAAAAAAAAAAAAAAAAGAAAANAAAGAAAAAGAGAACCGGGGAGCCCGGTAGGGTTGATGTTGGAGCTGATGAGAAATGCTCAGACACTGACAAAGGAGAATCGTGGCCGACGGTGGATTAGAAACAAGGTACTGGTAACAGTGAGCAAGGAGGTGTGGCAGAAAGGAGGATAAAAGGCATGTAAGACAAATGTTGAAAATGACGTCGCAAGTTCATGACCGCTAGGGGTGATTCGTATGAGTAAGACGGGCTGAAGAACTCAGCATAAATGGAAACAGCGCCCTGGAATGGGTATTCGAGGCTGCAGGGCGAAGAGTGTTTGCAGAAGATGACACAAAAAGGTATCTCTCGGATAAATAGGAACACCGCCAGGTTCCGAATGCCATGCACGGGTTAAAATATGAAACCTCTGAGAAGAAAAACAGTACAAAATGAGTAAAATGAGAGCGACAATAGGCGACGCTATGCAAGCCGGTATGCATTGGGGTATTAGACAAAATTTCATCCGGTCATGGCGTGGCGCACCAGTGTCGGTGATATAGCCACGCTGCTTTCTGGCAGTCCTTGCTGCAATACTTGGTGCGACGACAACGACGGCATTTTGCGAATTGCCGTGTAAATTCTTCCCATTTGCCGCACTTGTAGTACGCACACTGACGAATACCACCCCTGGACTCGTCCTTCCGGCAAAGGTTCCGCATCACGACGCAAGCCCAGTACGACATGTCTTTTGAATGATGGCGAGCAGTGAACTTCTCCACCAAGGGGAAGATGTTAACATCATCGGGAAGGAGGTACTCATCCTCTTCCTCCAGGGGCTCAATCGGTGAAGTTCCCTCGTCCAGCATTTGAAGTTCTCGGTCGACCTTGAGCTTGGGTACCAGATGTGAGTTCTGGAAGTATGAGCGGAGGTTGCAATACTTGGAAACATAAGCCAAAAGTTGAAGCGACATCAAGACATCCTCTTCGCGTGGCATTGTGTTCAAGAAATTTTGCGAGGCGGTGTTTGGCCGATCGCGGAAGTATAGAGAGTACGGGCTGGGCACAATGGGAGGAGAGTTGGCGTTGTTGACAGTCTGAGCATTGTCATTGTTGATGATACTCCCGTCAACGGTAGAACGGTGGGTGATGTTGAATGTTTCCGCGTCCTGACCTTCTGATGTGTCCGTTACCGTCAAATCGTGAGAGTCAGAAACGCTATCAATCATGGTTTGTCTATCACCATCGTCGTCAATATCCATACCACTCTGGACGCCGATAATAGGCTCTGCAGCGTTTCCCGACGTAGAATCATCTCCCATTACAGCGTCTTCGCCAGTGGCATCATCCGACTCTCCCGAGGTCGACTGATTCTGCCGAAGGGTTGGGCGCTGGGTGGTCGATGCGTTGTTTCGGATGTGTCTATGGTCGTTAGGGGTGGTTGGGGAGTCTGGTTGGGATGCGAGTCCATTGAATATGGCGGGGAGCATGCTAGGTAGCCTTTCAGCGTCACGCACGGGGCGTAGTCCAAAGCCATCCGCAGTATCCATCGAGGGGATGGCTGTGGCCAAGGGCTGAATCGCTCTGTGACGGTGGTTTGCATGGGATCTGTGAGCATGTGCGTCCTGACCAAAGGTGCTCCTCTCAGGGGGAGATGTCACTGGTACTCGGGGAGAAGAAGTGACATCCATGGCGTTTGAGTCCACCGCACGAGTGTCATGATAGAACGGAGGGATTTCGATGTGGGTGGGAGGGGGTTGACGGCGAGAAGTGCGTTGTTCAGTGTTGGAGATATCGGGAAGCGAGGGGCGACCCGCGCCATCGCTCGTGGACGGAGAGGCCTTCTGAGAGTAATGCTGGTGCTTGTGTCGTTGGGCCTCCGAATCCGAACGTGCGCGCACTTTGTCGATTACTTTAATATAATTATCCAAGATAGTCGCAATGACAGGTACCATATCAGCCTCAACCACTCTGGTCCTGACATTTTCCGAGCCCCGTACTCCAATGTTGACAACACATTGGAAGGCGAGGCTCCACTTCCACATCTCCATCAGGTTGTTACTGCGACCCTCCTTGAGGATGCAGACCAATCGCTCAATGCCGCCATCGACGGTGAGAATATCACGGATCCGAGCAGATGAGGTCGTTAAGTAGGCCAGATGGTTGAGCGAGTTGATGAGAGGCAACGTCGATGTACAGTCTAATGCCCGTCGATCGTAGAGGGTGGTGGTGATATTGACGGATGCCTTGTTGACATTCGGAATGCTGAAGTTGACCTCCCGCATGATGGGCGAGGGAACGATGAGAGCGCCGGACTAGAGTCGAGTTGGGATAGAAGTGAAGGGTGATAAAACTCGTGGTTGGGGGTGTGATGCGCTATCAGCCCCTAAAGTGAGACCGAAAACTCGTCGCTGCAGAGGCGAGAAAGAGAGGGTGTTAAGGGGGAGGAAAGAGAGATGGCGGAAGACAGAAAGTGTTTATCTCAGAGACATGGGGTGATGAGCGGGAAATGAGATGGCCGCAGAAGGTCCTCGAGCGATGGTCGACAGGCTTGAGATGGAAAGAAGAGTCGAGTGATGGATGAGGAGGCGTGAAAGGGAGGTCTGTCGCTGCCAAGACAAGTCCGTGACAGTCAGGCGGTGGCCGGGATGGAGAACAACAGCAGCAAATGAGGGTACCTTGAAGACGGTGGAAATGATAGGCGAATTAATGAGGGGATGATGAGATGCGCAAGAACAATCCGATGGCAAATCCAGAGTCCACGCCCGGAACAGTGTGGTCGATGACTCTACGGGTGTTGTTGCTTTCAGCGACCCATGAATGAATAATCCGCGATGGGGGGCAAACTTAAGGAGGCAACCTTGGAAGCGGAGTTGTCGGGCGGGCCTCAGGCTCCCACTTCATTACCTCCCGCCACCACATAATCCATTTCGCCGCTCAGCCGCCATACTTGGTACTCTGTGCCCTGATCCATATTTCATCATGCTCATCTAATCTCTCGCTCTAATCGACTTACCAGGCCTGGCTCATTCCTCATACTATGAGTTCTACCACAGACCACTCTGTACTGCAGTGCCCATCCCACAATGGCCCCTCATCACACGCAGAATTAGCGGTCTCCAAACAACGTCACTGACTCACTAAACCCCTCCAATGAAAGCAGAACTAAACCAAACATCATAAATGACTCGAGCTTCTCTCGCACAGACGGCAGGAGGACACCACCAGCAAGTGAAAACCAGGCGAGGCCTGTGCTATGATTAGAAACCACAGGCGCCAACCGATCTTAGCCGCCCTCCAACCAACTCCACGACCCTCGCGCCGTGTTTTGGCAGACGCCTGGATTCAACATGCATCAGCCTTGTGGACTCTGTTCAACAATTCATTCGTCGCTGGATTTCCCCTGACCCAGTAGTGTAAAAGATGGGGGGTCTTCAACGTGTTTCATGTTCTAATCTCTTTGTTTGATCGATCGTCCGGGGATGTCTAAAAATAGAGTTGTATAAGCGCCGACTGTTCGTCTTGCTAATGAACCATCGGGTCTAGAAGTCTAAAAGTAGACTGTAGTACAGTGTAGATCGTGGTCTGTTCACCAAGTGCTAACTCTATTTACTCGTTTCAGGTGTCATATCCTTTCGCAGCTGTGCCCGACTGTCTGGGGACGAAAGTACCCTCAGTGTATCTGCATGCAGGCCGGACATGATTGGGCTGTTTCCACAGTAACCTGAGTGACCTGTGCCTAGTGAATTGGGAAATGCTCCAGTAATGTGTGGACCCTTGAAGGAGAATTTTAAACATGTTAGATGGCTGTCATTAGGGATGAACATGGATTTTAAAATTATAAATAAAAAAATACAATCGACTAGATGCAGACCAGATTAAGAACTATATAGCAATGTGCTGGTACTGCAAGGTATGAACAGAGGAAGGTCATTATCATTTCTCAAATACATAATTCTATCGATGGTTGAAAATCCAGTATCCCATATTGTCTCATCATGCGAGCTTCGTTTTTTTTTCTCATTCTCCCATTGAAATCTTACAAGTTGGCGTACACCGTGTTGATACCACCAGTGACAATCATCTTGATGCTGATATAGTCTTCGATACCGTACTTGCTGCCCTCGCGACCCATACCAGAGTGCTTGACACCTCCGAATCTAGTAGAAATTAGTAAACCGTACCTATCAAAGTCAGGGTAGAAGGTAACTTACGGAGCAGCAGAGTCAGAAATAACACCGGTGTTAATAGCAACCATACCAAACTCCAATCGTTCAGAGACACGGTGGGCCTTGCCCAGGTCGCTCGTGATAAGGTACGACGCCAGGCCGACCTCGACGCTGTTCGCCCGGCGAACAACCTCATCCTCCGTCTTGAACTTGGACAGCGCAGCAAGAGGGCCAAAAGTCTCCTCGCTAGCAACCTTCATGGAATCGTTCACATCACCCAGGATAGTAAGCTCATGGAAGTTCTTGCCTACAGACGGCAGCTTGTTGCCGCCAAGCAGCACGGTAGCCTTCTTGCTCACAGCATCCTGGATGTGCTCCTGCGTCTTGTCAACGCCGTTAGTCAAAGGTCCATGCGTGACACCAGCGCTGGAGCCATTGCCAACCTGGCACTTCTTCACCTCCTCGACGAGGCGCTTGCTAAACTTATCGTAGATACCCTCCTGGACGAAGAAGCGGTTCGCGCACACACAGGTCTGACCAGTAACCTTGAACTTGCTAGCAATAGCAGCCGCCACAGCAGTCTCGATATCTGCGTCGTCAAAGACAATAAACGGCGCATTACCACCAAGCTCCAAGCTCAGCTTCTTCAGCGTGCTGCTAGACTGCGACATGAGCAGCTTACCCACGCGCGTCGAACCAGTAAACGAGATCTTCTTCACAGTGTCAGACTCGCAAAGCGCAAGCCCCAGAGCAGGCGTGTTCTCGAGCGCAGTTACAACATTGATCACACCCTTAGGCACGCCCGCGCGCTCCGCAAGAACAGCCAGGACATTCGACGAGAACGGCGTCAGGCCGTCGGACTTCATGACAACGGTGCATCCCGCAGCCAGGGCGGCCGCGACCTTGCGCGCACCCATAGCCATGGGGAAGTTCCAGGGCGTAATGAGACCGCAAACACCAATGGGTTCCTTGATCACCTGCGTCCGGTGGGTAGGGTTGCTGTGGGGGATAACGTCTCCGTAGATGCGGGGAGCCTCCTCAGAGAACCACTCGAAGAACGAGGACGAGAAGAGCGCCTCGCCCTCGGCATCGCCCTTCGCCTTTCCGTTCTCGGCCGTGATGATCTTGCCAATGTCCTCCTTATTCGCGATGATCTGGTCGAAGAAGGACCGCAGGATGCGTCCGCGCTGGCGACCGGACTGGGCGCGCCATGTAGGGAAGGCTTTCGCGGCAGCTTGGATGGCTGCGTTGACGTCTTCAGTGTTTGCTTCCGGGGCGGTGCCGATGAGTTCTTCGGTGGCGGGGTTGTAGACGTTGAAGGTCTTGCCTGATTTCGCGGCGACCCACTGGCCGTCGATGAAGGACTTCTCGACGAAGAGGCTGGGGTCTTTTAGGTTGGATGCAAATGAGGGGGCCATTGTGAGGGGAAGGTATTATTTGCCTGGTAGAGGGTAGGGAACGAAAGGCGAGGAGATTAAGGAGACAGGTGATAGCTTAAAACCAACGATTCTAACAGCGAACCCCTCCATTCTGCAAGCTTATAAGTGTTCCGACATCCCACTTCCCCAAACAATGACGCCGTATTCACCATCCGAGCCCTTCGGTGTTGGAGGCGTGAGATCGGGTTCGTCATACTTTGAGAACCCGAGGGCAGTGGGCCTTCTCGGGCCCTGACCCGAGGGCGCACTCTCCACTAAGAGCTATGACATATCAAAAGAGTAGCTGGGTCTAGATTCAACCCCGATATTATTGTGGATCTGGAGTACGGGGGGAGGGGTAATTAGTGTTGGAACTGGTAACAGCGACTGCTTGATCGTGCAGAAAGTGTTTAGCGCACCAAATAGGGTGAATGTCTACGTGAGTTGTTATCTTATGCCAATGCAGGTCTTATGATGATGTAAAATCGATAGTATAAGATTCTCTATATCTAAGCATGTTGTCTATAGCGTCTAACAACAACATTTTTGAGGCACCAATATTCCACCATTCACCAAAATCATAACAAGTGAGCTAAAACTATACCATTTCGGTATTCTTACCAGCGTCCTTCATCAACCCATTCATAAAAGGACTGCGAGCACGGACTTCTTTCCCGTAGAAAAACATCAACGTCGGGACAAGAGCAAGAAACAGGGAAATAAAAGCCAGCAATGTGCTCGCCCACTGAAATCCGAGGTTGGTGTACATGCTCATAGTCGCCAGGGGCAGGAAAGCAGAAAAGAGGTTCTCCCCTGTCGCAACGGCGCCAATTCCGCTACCGGCGTATTGGCTGTAGGCATCGACCACATAGTCTGACACCCCGGCCACGACTAACACACTGCCGGCTCCGACCATACCTAGACTGATCGTCGGGGCGATCCACGGGATGAAAGTGTATGAAGTCCAGGCGTAGGTGAACATACCACCAGCTATGCCGAACACTCCGCCAAGGACAGCCATATAAAGTCTGGCCTCTGGGATCGGAGTTCCCGGTACTTCGGTGTTTCGAGACGCGGATGCGAAGTATAGCCTCCTCGATACGAAGCATAACAAGAAGCCTATGCATTCGCCGATGACTATCGAGGCCTGAACAAACCCGGTTTGCGAGACGGTGTAATCGTACAGCTCCATGAAGACCTGCTCGACTGATTGTGTGAAAAGAAACAGGGTCCCCACAGTGAAAGCCGACCATAATGTGGACACAAAAAGAACAGGTTCGGTGCAGAAAAGAACCACCGGCCTTGTGGAGCTGACGATGAGCTGCTGTAGACTCAGATGATGCGAAGAGGGTCCGGCCGCTTGCCCTGCAGGATCACCCTTGCCGTTTTTTCGCAGGGCCCGGGCTCGGCTTGCAAGGATTGCGTCGCTGCGTGTCTCGTGGAAAAGGAAGTAATAGATCGGAAACAGCGCCCCGAAATAGATGAGCTGCATGTAGCTGATCCACCTCCATGACAAGGATTGGTAGATTGCAGCTCCCATCACCGGCCCCATACTGCTACCACCCATGTAGCCAAGGATATAAAGACTGACAGGAATTGACCTAGACCACTCTGTATTCCAAACATTTCCGGCGACTGCAGCAGCCGTATTGGCCAGGATGGCAACACAGCAGCCAGCAAAGAACCGTGTGACTACCAATGTGGCAAAGTTCTGGGCCAAAGCTTGGGGAATGAGGAAGCAGAGGAATAAAATATATGTAATAAGAAAGACAGGTCGAGTTCCAAAGTCCTCTGTCAATGGAAGTATAAACAGGGCAGAGCATGCGCCGCCGGAAGCCCACGTTGTAACAGGCCAGTAGGAATGCGGAAATGAGGCGTCGCTAACGTGGAAGAGTTCCGTGATCTCGAAGTGTGCAACCGTAATTATAGTTCCATTCATCATAGAGACGAATGTCGCAAAGGCGGCAAGGCCTGTCAGAGTCCATTTCCGTGACAGCGGCCAGTTGTAAGGATTTTCGGGGTCCCTATGATCGTCCCAAGAGAGTGTGGCCGTGTCACTCTCAGGGGAATCGAAGATACCGGAGGACTCAGCTTGAGTTCGGTCTTGCATTTGTTTTTCCTCGTAGCTTGTCATTTCGAAGTTACCAATTCTCGGCGCCGCGGTGCTACAATTGCTTGTCGTGGAGCAGCGGCCAATATATATTCTTTCAAAGAAGTATCCAGGGCCACACAAATGCAAGCGAAGTCTTGGATTCCATAAATCTGGGCCTCGGGTCTCTTGTCTCTTGTCTCTAGATGGCTAACCCCATGGCGGAGAGCTCCATTTCTCAAGGTATTGCCCTCTTTGGGAGTAGTATGCTGGTAATTTGGTATAAGGTGGAGGATTCCAGACACTGATCGACGTGATTCGCAGCTGGAAACGTGATCACGATTGAATATCGAATCCCAACCCGTCACCAGAATTTTCACCTCGGGCACGTTCAACGGAAAGAGGCCGATAGGGGGATCTAGCCAGCTGCAATAGTCGAGGATCAACCAAGCATGCCAAGATTCAGACAGACCTGACCCGCGAGCTTGAAAGTTGGGTGAGCAGAGAAGCCGATATTCGGCAAGACTGTTGTTACTGGTAGTGAGGACAGTAGTGGCAAGCGTCTCGGATTGAGAAGCCGACGTCACTCTCACATAATCGGTTCAGTCCGACTCCGGAGAGCACAGGGCAGAAGCCAGATGGACCTTGGTTCAAGCTTGGTTTCTTCAAAATGCCACTGAGATCGGGTTTCTCGGCCATGAATCCCAGAGTTCCATATGTCGTCTCAACCCTCACCTCAACAGATGGTGCCATGGCGGGGGCCAAGACAATCCCGATGCTTAAATCGAACTTGACTCTGTTTGGAGAAAAAATGCGAGATTCGGGCCAGACTGTGGAGAACCCGACGAGCAGAGTCACATGACCCCACTTGGCCCGCCGCTCGCTTGAACGCTTCCAGTCCTCGAATCGCATCAATCGAAGGGATGATCTCGGATGGAACCCGAGCCTCGCGTCAGATGCGGGGGGAAATGTTCTCCTTTTGAGGCAATTCACACGATAACCAGCCTCAGCCATGTGCAGGCCAGGGCGTGCAGGGGCTGAACAGCGTGTTCAATCTATATACTCGGTTGTGTTTACCGAGTCCCCGTGGTGTCTTGTGTGGCAATCGTGGAAATTTGGATCCCAGCTGTCAGTACTACCCGGAGCATTTCCGGAGGATTTCAACGACGTCTCTGCTAGAATGGTAAGCAGGAGAAAAACCGACACAAGTATTGTTTAGTGCAACAGTCCATGGTCGGTCTTCGGCATCGAGGAATCAACAGTAACACTCCAGACGGCACCCCGGTTAATTCTAGTTGTAGACAAAAAAGCTTAACGATCCTGCCAAGGTTCCAATAATGTCGATATTTCAGGTTTTGCTTTCTGAAGTAGTGGGGAAGTGTCTTAATGGTTTGGGGTAATAATATGAACCGGTGGTTGTGGGAAAGCTGTGCGGGGTGTTGGCCATTGAGTCTGGCTCTACCACCACGGTGAAGTCTCAACATAATAATATAATCGCCCATGGTCGTCCGGCGGCTCTTCATTTCCCCCGCCATACAACTGCTGCGATTTTATTGATGTGCCAAAAGACGAGCATATCCCCTGACGCACTCTGGCCCAATGGCAGCACAGGCGCAGGCTGAACCGTATAAGCCAAAACGGACTTCGAACGCGTGAGAACTTTGCCATTTCTTAAGAAATACGTCCACAGCTGACTCGTAGCAGGTGCATCGCTTGCCGGCAGAGCAAGATAAAATGTTCTGGCGCTGATCCATGTGCCAACTGCCAGCGGCGCGGCATTGAATGCCACTATACAGATGCCAACAAGGTCATGGTTGACGAGAGGTTTGTACTTCTGTTTTTACAGACTATGAAGAATTTCGACCAACAACCTGCGCAGATATCTTCAGGAGTTAATCCAGCAAGCAAAAGGTCATCAAACTCCACAGCGACAGGAGCCCTCACCGGGGTCCAAGCGATCTGCTGATGTCGCTTTTGGGTCTGTAGCCGAAGTGGACACGACATGTTCTGGTAAGAGAGATGCAGAGGTGACAGGAGGCCTGTTACTGACTGATAATAGTGAGTACGGGGCCTCATCAGGAGGAGCTACCTGCATATCACACCATCAGCCCGGAGCACAATGTTTGGACCAACCCGTTCACTTTACCATCGAGAACAGTTAATGGTCTCTACAAAGGCAAAAGCGGCTGGAGTGAGTATCAAAATTAGTATCAAAATGACTATTGTTAACCTCTCGATCTAGTATGGCTGGCGCCAACATCGCTATGGTCTTTGACTACCCGGCTGTCTCTCATGATGGCGGAAAACCTCCACCTGGAATCTCCATACAAAGTCCCAAGCTCCCTAGATAAAGAGGTCTATCCGTTACGTTGGCGATCAGCGCCGGCCGAGGATCCTCCTGATATCAGCGGACTGCCTTCGATCGATGACGCACTCTACCTTTTCAACACGGTCAAACACCATCTCGACCAGCACTATCGATTCTTCGATGAAGAGTCATTTACAGCTCGCTTACAGGAGTTCTATTCCGGGAATTCCCTCCAAAAGGCCACTGAAAACCGCCTCTGGTTCGTACACTTTCTTCTGGTCCTTGCCTTCGGCAACGCATTCCTCCTCCGATCTCGCAACACCAAGGATGCGCCTGGGTCCAAGTTCTTCCTGCGTGCCATGTCTCTCATGCCCGATTATACGAATCTCTGGACCGACGGCCTCCTTGCCGTTGAAGTCCTCGCTCTGACCGGACTGTACCTCTACTCCATTGACCACCGGGAGTCAGCACACGTATACGTGAGTCCTTCCCGCAGGCTGATTGCCGCTCGAATAACTAACAAGCCCAGATTGGACAAGCAATCCGAATAGCCCAACTCGACGGGCTGCACACAGAGCTGCCAGAGGAAGAACTGGGCGCCGATACTGTGGATCGCTGCCGCAACCTCTGGTGGACGCTCTATGTGATGGACCGCCATGTTTCATCCTCTCTGGGCCTGCCGATGACTACCCAGGATAGCGACATTACCACCGTACTGAAGCCTGCGAATACAGGATCAAGGCGAGACGCTACCCTAAGCCTGCACGTGAAACTGTCATACTTGTTTTCGTCCATCTTGACAAGTAAGACTAGCTTGTTGTTGTATTGTGAAAATAAACGCTAACTGTTTCGCGACCAAGCAATCTACAAAAACGAAAAAACCGAGCTGGGGGCGTTCCTAGATAAAACGAGAACAATCCTCCAGACCATGACTGTCTACGCCCGGGAGATCGAAGAAATCGTCCACCCCAAGACCTCAAACTCAGTCGAGACGATGCCAAAAGGCACCCGCTATATCACCCTTTTATACCACCAAGTAAGCCTGAGTCCGACTAACCAACTAACACAATTAATACTGATATTCCGTTTGCACAGTGCGTCTTCGTCGCAACACGACCCCTCCTTCTATCCGTCCTCAAAGAGCGGCTAGAACGATCAACCCACGGAGTAGAGGAGTGGCAGAGCTTCCTCGCACCAACCAAAGCCCTAATATCGACGGGGATAAAGTCAGCCCTTAAAACACTCCAGATCTTAACTGACGAAAACAGTCTTCTAGGTAGGCCCCTCGATCCTAACCAAACCAGCACAGCTACCCATGCTAACAATCCCCATAGAAGTCTTCCTCCCCTTCGAGATGGAAGTAACCTACGGCGCCGCCCTCCACCTAATGATAGCAAACACGCTCTTCCCACACTCCACCGACAGCACTCCCGGCTACAGCTGGAGCCACGAAGCACACTCGATCCTAGACGAAATGGTTTCGAAGGGAAATATGCTCGCCGCAGCGCGCAAGACAGAACTCTCGCATCTGGAAAGCCTCTTCAAAGAACTAGCGGCGAGGATTGAGCGCGCCGGGCTGCAGGCTTTGACCCTCGCCACGCCTGAGGGGTATATGAATGCTGGAGCAGGGGCGGCTGAGAATGTGAATGTGAATGCGAATGTCATGGGTAGCGCGGGGGATATACATCCTGTTGATGCGCAGGGGTATATCCACAGTCAGGGTCAGGGTCATCCCAACCACCACCACCAGCTCCAACATCCGCATATGCATGACCCTACGGGGGTTATTGATCCGGCATTAGGGATGGATGCACACGCGCACACACACGTGCATGGCCCATACGGCGACCTGCACTCGTCGCCCTCATCCCTGCCCCATCTAGCGAACAGCGCAGAGCTGCTTAGTGAGATCGGGATATCGTCGTACGAGTTCCTGTCGATTATCGAGCAGATTGGGGGCTCGGAGAGCAGTGTGTTGGATCCGAGTCCGTCGTGGAAGGGGAGTGTATGATGTGATATGATATGAGCATCGGTTGATTAATTAGTATGAAGTATGAGTCTGGATGAGCGTTATGAATAAGTAGATAGATAGATAGATAGATAGACTTTGGTTGGGTTTGGGAATAGAATACCTCTTGTTTTTATTTTGCCGGATGCCGGTGGTTATTACCTGGTAATGCAGTGGCCATGGCTATACCTTTGACTCAAATGCCATTCGGCTTTCCATCGGCTTCATTCCGAGTTATACGTGCTCTGCACTCCGTATAAAGATAAACATGAACCCTGAACCTGGATAAATACCTCATATTCCACATTTGGAAAATAGAACGAGACTCAGCTCGCCGCGGTTTCGTCCCGATGAGCCCAGCAGCACTGGCCATCGGGTAGAACGATTCCATTCCAGCTTCCGTCGGTACTTGATATCCGTACTTGTACTATACTCAGGTACGTAGTGATCGGTGCAGCCGGCAGGAGAATATGTGTAAGCACTCCGCAATCCAAGCTATAACGCATTAAGTAGTTGAATCCCTCCCCCAGCCGGGTCTGGCCCTGGCCCAGCCGCAGCCGCAGCCGCAGCCGAGATCGCTGCATAAGCCTCAAAGCCGAGCATATTAGTGGAGTGGCAGGATGGATATGTGAGAATCCTTCCGGTTGTCTCCGATGTCAGGTACAAGAATACGCAGGTCGGGTAGACAGCGATTGGGGTGGTATGCCCTGAGACTGTAAATTTTTTGGAAGTCGTGAGAATTTCTTGTCTATGTCCGTAGTGCTATAAACTCGCTGTAACAAAATATCTATATCCGTCTTGTTGAGATTGTCTATCTTTCTATCATCCGCCTGCCATCCTTCCCCTGCCCAGTAACCCCGATATTAAAGGTTCAAGCTAAATCGAGTTCGAGTTGTCCTTACAAGAAAAGGCACTCGATCCTCCACTCTCATTGTAAACATCCATGATACCTTTGACGGAGCCATAAGTACCAGCAACCATTAAGAAGGTACCGATAACAACAAGGAGCACACTCCACCCGGCCAAAAGCATCCAGCGCTTGCTCTTTTTCGGCTCGTTCTTGCCCTTGGCCCAGTTGTCGTACAGCCACATGCAGCCCATGGGTTGGATGCACATGACGGGGCCGAGAAGGGCACCGATGAGCGACACGAGCGCGTCGAATACTGGGATAGTGCTAGCAATGATGTATGCAATGAGTGTGATTCCGAAAGTGCAGCCGAGCCAGGTCGCCCAGTGGATTGGGGAGTTGGAGTTGAGGTGCCGGGAGCCTCGGAGAATGTGGACGAAGATAAACTTCGAGGGAATCTAGAACCGAAGAAATATTGTTAGTGATGCCCCAGTCTTTCTGATTAGCTGGGTCTTACGTGTGTGACGATGGTCATTGTTGCGAGAAGACCCGGTATGGCAAAGGCGTAACTGATGATCTTGATAAGGGCACCGGCGGAACTGAGAGCCGGTGACGAGACATATGAACCGCAGTAGTAGTAAACCACACAGCCGATGATCAGGTACACGGCTGTAACACCAGACTGGCAAATGAGCATGGCAGCCGGATACTTGCTGGGATCGCGCATCTCGGAGACGATCGAGAAGAACCCTGTCGAGGATTAATATTGAGTTACCGTATCCTGTAACGACTTTACTCACCAGGAGTTCCAGAAAAGGCAAACAAGAGGTTTGAAACGGCCGCAATGCCCTCTGCAAAGGTAGGGTCGCCAGCAACCTTCCAGTCAGAAACCCAAGGGCCGTCTGTCTTTGGTGCAGCATCCGGGCGGTCCTGCACACCAACTGCAATGGTAACCATAATAACTAACAGCGTTAGTATGTGGCGTATCTGGCTAAAGACTAAACAAACACGACATACTTGCAATAAGGATGCATGGTAGGCCGATCCATGCAAGCCAAGTGATTCGGCCCAGGGTCCGGATACTAGAAAAGGCAAACCCGGCGATGGCGGAAATGGCGACAAAAACAGCGGTGCAAGTCGCATGCGTCGAGACAGCGTTGAAGCCGATCGAGAGACTGAGAATAGCGGAGCCGCTGTTGAAAATGTAGTCTGCGTAGTGTTAGCGGCTATCCATGAAATGACCTTAGAACAGGCTTGGGTAAGGAACATACAAAGACAGAATCCAGCCGAGAGGATAAGTCGGCCTGGCAGGCCAAACATTATCTGACCAGCGTCGTCGATACTGTAGACCTCACGGTGCTGAAGCTTGAACGTGCCGATGATATAGCCGGACCAGGTGGTGATGCAGGCAACGATAATCAGACAGATAATGCCCGGGACCATACCCAGGACGTCCAAGGCAGACGGGATGGCCAAAACACCCATGCCAATCTGGGTCTTCATCATGAGAATGACGGTTCCTACGAACCCGACCTGGTGAGTGAAAGTGATTAGCGTTCCATTGACTCATGAGGACGCAATCAGAAGTGAGTGGAGGTAAGTATGCACATTGCGGTAGTTGGGACCCTCGTCCGTGATCTCTCCAAAGACATCGTCGTGGGTGGTATGCTCAATCTGCATAGGCTCTTCATCTTTCAGGTTGGGAGCCGCCATTTTGAGAGAAAAATCGACTGTGCAATTTGCACCTGGCAGAGCGCAGGGGCGAGGGCTGACGGTGTCAACCTTTTATACCGGACACAGCGCATGGCAGGCCAATGACAGGAGGTCGGATTCGAGAAAACAGTCGGATTCTGGGGTCCCCCCACAGCGTGCCTCTCATACTTCGGTGGAGACTGGAGACTGGAGATGGAGATTGGAGACTTGGTTGAGTTGGTTGAGGTGACTTGGTTCCCTTCGGAGCGCGGGGCTCGGTTCCATTGTCGCCCCTCGGCCAGCTCCCGAGAGCTTTCTCTTTACATTATTATTTTGAGTCACTCAGAGCAGCGAACAGCATACCCGGTAGCCGTCCCTATTCCAACCGGCCTGCTGCGAGACGACGTAATGATTGCCCGTATCCTACTCTTCTGGGATCAGGTGCTGCACTCTTGACGGCGATGATGTCGTTTCTCGCTAGTCCTGCTGGGCTTTCACCGGGGCCTCTTCGGGGTCTCTTAACCCGCAGCACTAGCGAAATCATTATATATTTTATGGGTTTTGATATATAATATACCTCATCTACTGACATCAGCATCGATCGTGCCAATTACCCGAACAGTGCCGGCATTATGATGCATCTAGAGATCAAGTGGTGTGGATTCCTCGTGCAGTTGTCTCCTTGCCTTGTTCGTGCATACTGCCATGGGATGGAAGGACCTGGCGGCTTGGATGTCTTCTTCTTGGAATGTGCATGCATTTATTCCGAGCCGCTTCCGTGTTATCTGGGCAGACCATGTAAAGTTTGGCTTAGTTGTCGGGTGGGTTATGTCGTCCCTCGCGTTGGCGATTGAGTATGTGATCGTGCACTCTTTTAGCATCATGGTACTGTTGTCGGAGTGAAGAGCTAAAATCTTGTAGATTACTACCGAATGTATTTAACTGTTATTTCTAACAGATTCAAGTAGTATAGCCAGAGTAACAACAAAGAAATTCATTAATCCATCATACACTACTCCGTACACTACCACCAAACTATGTATCTATTCAATCTAGGTCCTGAATCTCCGTCAACATCGACTCAATAAACTGCTTTTGGTGCGTGAGCCAGCGCTTTGTGCCAGCAATGTCATACGGCCGCTTAGCAATCCCGCGCTCGCGCTCCTTTCTCAGCTTGTCGCGAATGCGCTCCTCTAGGATCTCTAGTCTGTATTCCGTGTATTGGGTGTAGAGTTCAGAGATCTCGCTGATGCCGCGCACACCAACCAGGACAGTCTCGTCCTTGATCAGGGGCGACTTTGGTCGGAAGCAGGTGACCATGCTGATACGCTCGCGACCGCCGAGGGCTTTGAGGGCCTGGTGCTCGATGTATCGTCCTTGGAGGACAACGGCGGTTCCCTGTGAAGTCGTGTTAACTACTGGATATATATAGCAGGGGGGGTATATGGAGAGGGAAGCTTACCATGGCGGGACCGCGGACTTTCATGATATCACCACTGGGGGTTCTTAGGGCAGTCTCTCCACCGACCATGTCTGTGCAGTCCGAAAGCATTGTAACGCACACGAATGGGAAACTGTCGTAGTGCCAGGCGACGGCGGGAAGTTCTTGGTCAGACCCGAGGTCCACACTCTGTTGCACCTTCGAGTTCTCGTCCCGGATGGAGATATTGATGTTGGCGATTTCAAAGTCGATGGAAGGCACAAGGTCAATTCCTGCAACTGCTGAGATCTTTTCTAGGACTTCTGGCGACTTCCAGGCGTCGTATGTGAAGGGAGCGCGGCTAGTATAATTAGCAAACGTGATCTCATGTCGTGGCGAGGTATTGGTTGGACTTACGCTGGGCCCATGCCCCGGACCATGTGCTTATTGAAGGATGAAGAGTACTGGCACTCAGCGAGAACCTGCTCGGAGAAGATCTCCGCCCTCATTTGGGCAATGGCCTCCTGGGTGAAGAGCGGGAAGGGCTCAGAGCCAGCGTGAGGCGAGATGCCCTGTCCCTGGAGTCCAATCTGCTCCATAGTATAGATGGTCTTTGGGTACTGGAAGCCCAAGTGCTTGGAGGGATCAAAGTCCTCTTTCTTTGTGGCCCTTGCCGCCTGGATCAGCGACTGGGGCAGCTCGCTGGAAGGTCTAGTGGCCTTCTTTGTGGTAGGGCCGATAACGACAGGGGGCTCGACATCGTCGATGAAAGATGCTGAAGGTGCCATTGTTGGTGGTTTGTGTTTTGTGTGTATAAGGGAGTCTTATTGAAGCCTGAAGAATGAAGTGTTGGTTGTTGGGTCACACACCCAGCAGGAAGTTTATATAACCTGAACAGTTGGAACCCCACGTCTACCAACTCCAGGTCTCCGCATGATGTCTCGTGGTAGCTCGAAGCATCGTGACCCAGTGCCATCGCATGATGCCCGAAGTCGGCTCTCTCCGAGGCGTATAGATAGGTTGATAGGGAGCTTCCCCGGGGAGTATCTAGGGCTGCCTTGATATAAGATAGGATCCAACCCGCGCGGGGATCGGTGGGAACCCGATCTTTGATATACTAAAAGAATCCAGACTTTAAACCCTGCCCAGGGGTTGTTTGGAAGGTCGGGCTCGGGTTTGATCTGGGCCACTTTCGGGTTCAATATGCGTCTATCTCGGCTTCTTCGGCTTCTCTTCCGACGGTCCCATCCCAACACACCAGCTTCTCCGGCAATGATCGGATCTGTCCCTAAATTGGAGAAGCTTGAAGCTCCAGATCTTGCGTTCCCCGAGGGGGAAATTGTTTGACAGCGAAGCTCGCCATCACGTAGGCTATATTATAAGTATTAGAACCCGCCGATACACAGTAGACAAGCCGTCATCACCAATCTGCCTTATTCCTCCTCCCTCCTTCATACCCTCTCTTTCCTCCAGAGAAGAAAAAAAAATGTCCAGCTTCGATCTAAACGACGTCGCCGGGGTGCTGCGCAAAGCCCGCGCCGAAGCAAAGCCCATCGATCCGCCCTCAAAGACATGGCCGGCGCTCGATGCCGAGAGCGCATTCAGAGTCCAGCAGGTCAACTCGGAGTATGCCATCAAGAACGGCGACCGGCTAGTCGGATACAAGCTGGGCAACATCGCCAAAGTAATGCAAACCGCCTTCGGTCTTGACCACCCAGACTACGGCTTCCTGCACGCAAGCTCGTTCACATACGAAGGCACGCCGCTGCACCGTGAGAAGTTCATCAAGCCGTTTGTCGAGCTCGAGCCCGCATTTGTGCTGAGCAAGGATCTCAAGGGCCCGCACGTCACAGTCGCCGATGTGATCAACGCCATCGACTACGCCGTCCCGGCGATTGAGATTATCGACTCGCGGGTCAAGAACTGGAACATTGGGCTTGCGGATACGTTGGCGGACAATGGATCCACGGGCGCCATTATCCTCGGTGGTTCACCGCGAAAGGTCACGGATATCGCGCTCAATGATATTCAGGGAGTTCTGGAGTTCAATGGCACAGAGGTGATGCGGGGGAACACAAGGAATGTTCTTGGGAACCCTTTGGGTGCTGTTGCTTGGTTGGCGAACAGGCTCGCTGAATATGGCATTGAGTTCAAGGCTGGCCAGGTGATCATGCCCGGTAGTTGCCTGCAGGCTGTGCCCATGGAGAAAGAGGGACGGTGGACCTGTACTTTTGAGGGATGGGGGACCATTGAGTTTGATGTCGTGTCCCCAACCAAATCCAAAATATAGAGTTAATATTAGACACCATCAAGTTCAAGCTCCAAAGTCCAAGCTTCTGCTGAGTGTTGTTGAAGAGGTTGAAGGCAAGTAGATACTTCACAGTTGTCAGTAAGTAGATACGGGCTCGAAACAGGTTCTCCGGCCGCGAAAGCTTGTGAACTCAGTGGAGGACCATGGCCGAGATGCGGATTTCCTGACTCGCAGACAGAAGCAGATGAGCAGCGGGAGGCAACATGGGAAATGAGAAAGGCAGACGCATGAATAATTCTTAATTTAGCCTGGCCACCCAGAGTGCCATCTGGTAAACGCACCTGGAGAAAATCCCCACTGTTGATGATCGCGAAGTTGTGCCTGGCCTAGTCGTCCATCGGGACCCACTGCAAGCCTCGAGCAAATTTATAAGCCGGCATTATTAACTATTAAGTTACCTTCACTTCATTCAGCCAGAATCCAAATACGAGCGCCAATGCCATTGTGCGGTGCAGGGCTTCTGCTGAGGGGCCCAGGCGGAGAGCTTATCCTGCTTCGCCTCTCAGTTGTTCTTTGATCTTCCACTTCTTTGATCTCTCTGCTCTTGGACACGATCTGCTCTGGGCGGAAATCACCACGAGGCGCGGCCAAACTCAAAGCACCGGCAACACCAGGCAGACTGCAGACGATTCCAAAAAACTTTCCAGCCCCTCAAAAGTACCCTGCCGACACCCGAGCGAAATTAGCGCACATCGCTGCTCTTTAAGGTTGGTGATGCCCGCAAGTTATATCATTGTTATGTGTTCGAGATAATGCTCGACTCCTGAATATTCGGTAGACGCACATCAACTTTAACCGGGATGGTCCCAAGTAAACCTGCGACCCAGCGACTGCCATTGCAGCATTCGGCAGTTCTTCGAGAAATTAAATGGAGGTTTCGAGACGGGGCTACCATGGACTGCATTCTTAATGGGGTTTAACGTCTGAAATAGTTCTCAAGTGCTAACGGAGCTGCTCCATTTCTGGCCTTGAGAGATCCACGAGCGCCCTGGCAGCCTCTCTTGGTGGTGGTCCCCTTTTAACCCAACCGTTAAATTATCGATGCTATTTTTTTTCTTTTTCCTTTTCTCGAAGAACTGCTCCATTATTGTAGAATGTAGAGGCCTCAAACCCGTCGGCTTCGTAAACAATGTGCGATCCCTTACTCCTCTGACAGGTGGTTGGCTCCAGTGGACGAGGCTGGGGGCTTCACTCTCGGGTCCGCAATAGCCTGCAAGCTGCAGTGCAGGACGGGAGATCATGACAATTCCTTCGCGGTACGGAAAACACTTGCAGCAGCTTTAGCAGTCAGGACGTATTATTATTCAGCATAAGGTACGGGGTAGGTAGTTAGTTAGTTAGTTACCGTTGTATTGTTATTGTCATCATTAGTGGATGAGACGGAGAAACTCCCTCAGTCCCTATTCAAGATTACTTACAGTACTGGCATCTTTGCGTTTTACCCTCCGCGCTCACTCATCCGGCCTCCCCCTGACTTTCGCAGTTTCGCAGCTCGTTCGTCCCTATTTTCTTCTCTTCTTCTTTTTCTCGTATTCTTTGCACTTTCCCATCGCCTCGACATCCTGACCAGTGCGCTGGGTCGAAACCTGGACCTGTTTCGCTCGGTCGCATCCGCCTCTGAACTCGCTCCACACCCAATCGGCCGTCAACCTCAGGCTGCCCCCTCACTCCGAGCCCCTTCAACTCGCTCTCATTCTCCCCTTCCACCTCTCACTGCTCCCGACAACGACATCCCAACCTCGCCATTCTCTCTTGACTTCCCTCCCACCGCCCTCTCCTCTCCACGCCGGTCTCCTGCATCTTTCGACGCGCCTCTACCCGGTCAATTCCCTCTCCCTTTCCCACTGTCACCCCCCAATTGCCGCCTTCCATTTCCCAGGGGTTCCGTATCATGGCAGCCGATATGAGCGGCGAACAGATGCAAGCTAAGATTACCGCCGCCAGGCGCGAAGCCGAAGGACTGAAGGATAAGATCAGACGCCGGAAGGATGACCTTGCTGACACAAACCGTACGAACTCTCCCCCTTTTGTCTTTCACTCGATCGTGTTGTTGGCTGTGGCCGGATCCCCATGGAGAACCCGCCCTCTCTCCCTTATCGCATTGGCCGTTTTACCACCTCTGCAGATTTGCTGACAATGACAAAATTGAACAGTGCGTGATGTCGCGCAGAACCAAACCGACCCCTTGCCTCGCATTGGAATGAAGCCTCGGCGAACGCTCAAAGGTCACTTGGCCAAGATTTATGCCATGCACTGGTCAACTGACCGTCGCCATCTCGTTTCCGCCTCGCAAGATGGAAAACTCATCATCTGGGATGCATACACCACGAACAAGGTACACGCTATCCCATTGAGATCATCATGGGTCATGACCTGCGCCTACGCCCCCAGTGGAAACTATGTTGCTTGCGGTGGTCTGGACAACATTTGCTCCATTTACAACCTTTCCTCTCGAGAGGGCCCAACTCGTGTCGCGCGCGAACTCTCTGGACATTCGGGCTATCTTTCATGCTGCCGTTTCATTAACGATCGTCGCATCATCACCTCTTCCGGCGATATGACTTGCATGCTCTGGGATATCGAGTCTGGCTCCAAGGTCACCGAATTCGCGGATCACCTCGGTGACGTTATGTCTATCAGCATCAACCCTACTAACCAGAACATCTTTGTTTCGGGTGCCTGTGATGCTTTTGCCAAGCTTTGGGATATCCGTACTGGAAAGGCCGTCCAGACTTTCGCTGGCCACGAATCCGATATCAACGCTATCCAATTCTTCCCAGACGGCAACGCTTTCGGTACGGGTTCTGATGACACTTCTTGCCGTCTTTTCGACATTCGCGCAGACAGGTCGCTCAACATCTACCAGGTGAGAACAACTGACTTGTATCTTTGAGGATGAGCAATGCTAATTATATCTTGATACAGAGCGATCAAATATTGTGCGGTATTACGTCAGTTGGCTTCTCGGTTTCAGGAAGATTGCTTTTTGCTGGTTATGATGACTTTGAATGCAAGGTATGTTGCTATTTTCTTTTACCATCATAGTGACAGACGGCTAATTGTGCCCAATAGGTTTGGGATGTTCTCCGAGGAGACAAGGTTGGGTCTTTAAGTGGCCACGAGAACCGTGTCAGCTGTCTTGGTGTCAGCAATGATGGTATCAGTCTCTGCACAGGGTCTTGGGACTCACTGGTAAGTCATGGATTTTTTTTTTCCCTGAAAACACCGCGTACTAATTGATATTCGCAACAACAGCTCAAGGTCTGGGCCTGGTAAACGGCTGAAATATGAAAAAACAAAAATACCACGACAAAAGATACCCTGTCTCAGTCTTCTGCGACTTTCCTAGTTTGAAATTTTTTTTTCCGCCCACCGATAGGCCGGATGTCCGCATTGTACGATAATCTTGTTTGTCGAGGAACCACTTGATCGCCGTCTTTCGTGGCTCAACTGCAGTGGGTGCGGATTGAATCACCATGAAGAAGCGATGGCTGAGAAGGATGTGATTCAGTCGTCTCGTACCTGAAATTGGTTGATTACGAAAACCGGAGAAATCGAAAAAAAAGAAAACACAATCTTATGCACCGGTTTGTACTAATGTTGTCTTCTCTATGGATGGTTGCAGGGGCTCCGACTCGGTGTCTGAAATGACGCGGATTCTCTTGGAGTTCATCTGAATGATTGAGCTTCAAAATGAGTCCTCAAGACTATTTTCCTTTGTTCATCTCATATGAGTTTCCTTTTCTTTTACTTCCCTTCTTTCTCCCTTTTTTGAACTAAGTACCCTTCGCTATACCTATGGTTTGGATTGTCTCTTTTTCTACGCATTGATCCTGGATGTACCCTTGAAGACGAGGAAGGAATGTTTCGGATAGGCCATGACGTTTTCCTTTGAGTGCATCTCGATTTCTTATCTTCTAATAATCAGCTTACATTGGAGAGTTTGAGTGTTTTGAAGCGAGCCCTGCTTGACGTGTGTTTGAGCTTGCTGCATTACCAGTTAAATTTCCTACCATCACTGTTTCATTATCTTCTAAAGTTGCAAGCCGTGTGAGTAGTAGAGAGTCGGATGAGTCAAATCAAGTCTATGAATCCTTTCGAGGGAAGAATTGCGGTCAGGGACGAGTGAGCATGCCACCGTGGATTCAGCTGGTGGTCCGAGCAGCAAAGATGAAACAAACGTCCCAATCGAAAGCCGGTTGCGATCTTCATTCGAGGCAGCGACGGATCCCAGTAGACTGCATGATAGGCGCATCCCACGTGGATGAAAGAAGAAACATCCCAAAGAGTAAAGAGGTGAAGATTCTTGGTGGCTTCTAGCTCTCCCGATGTAGGCAGCGGGCGAGGCGTGACAAAGGCTGAGACAAACGATGACAGACAACGGGCGCTCCAACCCCCCCCCCCCGCCCGGCTGTTTGGAAATATTGAAACAGCCTTGCTGAGTTGTCGTCCGGAGATCGGCTGCAAAATTGCGGTTTCTGCGGACAGCGAGTCCCATCACAAGCTCACACGATCGTGGTTGTTGACTGTTGTGGTGACGGCCGAGGGGCTGATGCGTTTCACTTGCCGCCGCGTCTCCCACTCCCGGCTCCGCTCTCCTCCCTTCACTCCCTCTTGCGACGCTGAAACACTACGCATTCTCGAGTCGGAGCCGTCCCCAGTCTACTTCACGTTGTTTTTGCTTTTCCTATTCCGAGACAAACTTTCTCTAAAAAAAGACCTGTCAGGCTTCTATAAAACCGTTTCAATTCCCTCCGCTGCCCTCGGCTTTCTCTTCTTCTCAATATGTCCTCCGCCCAAGACGAATTCAACCAACTCTTCAGCAATCGCGAGAAATCATCCGCTCATCCTGAAGACCGCAATAATCGCTCTGACCGCGACTCCTCTCCCGACCCTGAGGACCTCGACAACGTCCACCTTTCCGACGACGACGAAGCCATGGCAGCCATGAGCTCTCGCTCCGGTGGCTACACTGTCCCCAACACCAGATTTGACGCCAACACAGGGCCCAAGGGTGTCATCGCTGATGCCCAAGCCTTCGAGCGTGCCCGCAGAAGCAATTTCCGCAAGTCATTCGTCTCTGGTACCTCAGCGGCCGACCGGTCACACAACTACTCTTCCTCCAAGTCCTCCACTGATGCCACTCTACTCCACAACTCCCCGCCGCCTGATGGCTCAGGGAGTGATCCCGACGAGGCAGACGAGGACAAATTCATGCGCCGGTGGCGTCAATCACGTATGCAGCAGTTGCAGAGCCAGAAGGGCCGACGGCCTAGCCCCTGGCGGAAATACTATGGGACCGTTGACACGGTCGATGCGGTGGGCTATTTGGATGCAATTGAGAAGGTGCCGTCTGACCAGATTGTGGTGGTGTGTCTGTATGATCCTGAGGTAGGTCACATCGCCCCGCCTCCGCAGTCGAAACTTGTTTCAGAAGCACATAGTATACGCAAGGGGGTGGAATCGAACAACTCGCTAACCAATCAACTCCAACTAGTCAAACACCAGTGCCCTGGTCGAAGACTGCCTGAACACAATTGCTTCTCGTCAGCCAAAGGTCCGATTCGTTAAGCTACATCACGAAATTGCGGAAATGGACCACATCAAACCTCCTGCGCTACTGGCTTACCGAGCCGGGGATGTCTTTGCAACAATTGTTGACATTCTGCAGCAAATCCCGAAGGGTCGAAGCTGCAGCGCCGATAGTCTAGAGGATGTTCTCAAGTCGTGAGTTCACCTTTATTTTGCTTTGTTCTCATGTTTTGTCTTCTCTTTTTTTGCTTTTTCTTGTGCCCGGCCACCCCGTTGCCTAACGTAAGATTCGCCGAATGAAACTAACATATCCTTTAGGCACCGAGTGATATAGATTTCTCTTTGGTTAATACCCTTACTTGATTTCCGGGGCATGGAGGACGAGCTCTGTTTCTACCTGCAGTGACTTTGTGAGAGTGAGATGTTCTCTTGGTACAGCCTCGCAGGGACGCATTAGTCCTCCATTCTCCTACCGTTACCTCGTCTCTTTCCTTTTTTCCCCCTCCAGGAGGCTTTGTCCAGGCGTCCATTTAATAGATCCCGCCTTGTCCCTTTTACATTTCTTATTACCCATTTTACCTGTCTCTTAATCTGTTCGGTGTTCAGGAGAGGCCCGGCTGGTCCAAATTTTGCATCCACTATTTTCTTTCATTCTCTAGCATATTTTCTTTGTTGCATGCATGCATGCATGTTTTCGTCTTTCCTACCGAGTATTTCCTACCCACTCTTAAGATATCCGCCTCGATTTGCCAAGTTCCGTTTACGCTCTTGCTTGGATGATATTCGCCTTGTCTTGCCTCTATGCTGCTGCATTTATGTTGGATATAGTTAGTATAGGTTGATACTTAGCTACCTAAGTAGTCATCCTTGTGTATATTATAGGCTAAATACATTTTTCTTTTGGAAACAACCGCTCCGTAATCCTATTTGGTACCTCAGGTGGTTCTTTATACCAGGTTTGCACATAGAGTTCGATATATCCTGTTCTACCCTGGCGGCTGAAAAGTGCCCAGGTCTTCAAGTCTAGGATTCAATTCAATTCGATTTATTTCCTCATTTTATTCTTCATAAGAAAACGTTCACTAAACTAAATTCTGGTCGTTATCAAGCAAAGCGCCTCTTCCCTGAAACTTGTATTTTTGCGTGTAGTTAAGAGGATAATAAATGGAATCCGAGAAAGAAGAACGACAGGCAGTAAAAAAACGGAAAAAAATGAAATAACCTAGGCCCTAGTTGAAAGAGTTGGAATGTATCTGTCTTTTCGTGGACCATCATCCATAACCAACAGAGGCTCCAGTGCCTTTCCTTCCCGCTAAAGGATTCAGTTTAGATCCAGAGAAAACTGGGACCAACATATGTAGTTAATGCTGTAAATTGGAAAATTGGACTTCTGGAAGCCTTCAAACGCAGAAAGGATACAAAAAAAGGGTTAAATGAGGTAGGGTACGGTCACGCCAACATGAGAGGATTTGGAAATGGGAACAATGGAAAAGAGGCAAAAACTGCTGAATCGATAATCACAGAGCTCCTTTTTCCTGTGTGAACTCCCATAGCATCTTGATTAGAGAGTCTGGGAGGGTATACAAATCGACGTGGAACTCTCCCTCTGGTAAAGATGTTAATGGATGGCTTATCCTCACGGGTTTGAGAGCGAAGGGACTTACGCTCAACGTCATTCTTGGTGTAGGAGTCGGGGGCCTTGTTATCGTGAACCATTTGTACCACCTGGAGGAGATCATCTTCGCCGAGTCGCTGAAGGCCATCGGCCAGCTTGTCCATATCAACCTGTGGAAGAAGTGATTAGATATCGACGCCTTCGTCTTTTCCTACTTAAAAGGAGGGGAGACGACTCACGCTCTTGTCTGTTCGCTTTTTCTTCTTGGATCCTTCCTCTCCTCCTGCAGAACGCTTCGACTTCAACCCATTCTCATCGCCAGGGACAGGTCCAGATTCGCGAAGCACCCCTAACAGGGCTGGCTTGGGGTTCTTAAATGTCTATAGAAAACGTGAGCGCCGAATCCTGACGAGGGCAAAATCCTAAGCGAGGCTGAGGCATACAATGACGTGCTTGGACTCGTAGCGCGTTTGCGCAAAGTTAAGGTCGTGCGCGATGACATGGTCTTTGTCCGCGGCAGTGAGGCTGATTTGCATATCAAACTCACCCCATCCTTCTTCTTGGATCCTGAAAGGGGGGTTCTTGACAACTGTTATTTCTAGGTTAGCCGCCACTGTTCAACCCTCGCTCCCCGCTCCACACATTCGCGGTCCTATAGTACGGACAAACGCAGAACAATAACAGGTGGGCCGAAGAAACTAAGAATCGGAAATAATAACGGACCTTGGTTTGCTCTGTTCCCGAAACTGGGATGTAAATTGTAGGTCACCTTGTCGAAAACATTGGCTGCCACCTGCTCACCCTGGTCGTTGATGAGGTACACCTCAATTGACCATGCTCGGAGTGGAAAACCTTCAACGCCGGAATCCTTGTTTCTGTAACACGCAAAATAAATCCATCAGCAAATGTTTGTTATATCCATGGACTATCCCTAGTATCGGCGGCGACACCGGCGACGCGACTATTCATTGTCTCATGCGAATGTGTGCGCTAGTCAAGAACATCTGCCTATAAGCACGCAAAAGCAGCAATGACACGAGACAGGTGCCAGCGACAGAATATCGAAGGAGGATGGTACACGGATTTGGGCCCATTCTTGATGCGGAGCTAGGGAGGCGAGACCGGGGTGGAAACATACATGACCTGCTGCTCTGTTATGAGCTTAACGTTTCTCTTAACCTGTATGAGATCAAACGCGTTCGTTAGCAAGCTGCGCAAATGCAATGCTAAGCTATTGGGAGAGTGTCCACGCCCAGGTGGGTTTGTAGCGACGTGGACCAACAAGGAGCTACAAGGTCGGAAGACTCACGTCGGGCATGTTGGTATTAGGATCAAGATGACGCGAGTTGCGGACTCGATAGCAAGGGAGGATAAGAGGTGCTTCAGCTAGTTACCCTTGAGGGGGAGGCTTCGTGGGAATGCAGCTTTCGGGGCCGAAGCTGTCGCAGGCGGAGTGAAAAGCTGGCGGCCGAAAGCTCCAGCAACTCCGCAGAATCAGGAGACGAGGAAGACGCGAGTTGAAGCTGACAGGCAGATAAAGGAGAAGAGCGAAATAAAATTGATGATTGAGTATCGAGCAGAGGTGCTTAGGTCGTTGTGGGCGCGCGAGGGGAGGCAGAGAATCGTAGAGCCGATGCAAAGAATGGGCGGCGAGAGGAGCCCGCAAGGCAGGCGGGGGAACTACAACGGCCCTCCTACACACACAGCCCTCCAGAAGCAGCCACAACTCCTCCAGCCGCACTTTGAATTATAGACTATCATAGGCATGCACATATTTTCATTGTATATTCGATGGATAGTGTGTCTATCTACTGCCAAATGGCTGAACACGGCCGCCTCAACTAGTGACAAAAGACCGTCATACGGTAGTGTCTACCAAGAAGTCAGGGTCATGCCAGCGTCATAATCGGCTCGGCGGGGAATCCATTAGCAGAACCATCATTCTGCATTTTCATTCATGCGTACATAAGGCGTGGGCAGGGTAGGGTGAATGGAGGATGATGGGTTAGGAATCGACTGGGAATCGTGTCAGGGGAGAAAAATAAAAGAAACGCCGAGTTGATGAGATTTCATTCCATCAACCTCGTTGTGATAGAAGGGTAGAAAGTATGCATTAAGAATATTCCTCCAAATGCTCGATAATTCTGAGAAGCCGGTCTGGAAAGGAAATCTACTGCTTGAGAAGCTTCGCGTTCTCCTCCCTGGCCGACTCGAAAGCTTCCTTGAAGAGGTTGGCATCTGCATCGGGTTAGAAAAAGTCGGTTTCGCGTGGATAGCAATGCGGTAACATACTCTCACTGTTGGCAAACCGAATGGCCAGAGTGGAAGCCTCAGGCTCACCCTCACTGACGTCTGCAGCAGCGTTCCAAACCCAACTGCGGTCACTACCGACGTTGGGGCTGAGCTTCATGTCAGGGACAACTACACTCGCATTAGCACTTCAGGATCAAAGATGACTCCGCGTATGAGGTACGTACTGTAGTGGTTGGCGCAGACCTTCAGGGTCTTGTCTCTGCGCATCACCAGACGGCTCTTGCCGTTCTCCTTGTGCTTCAGCAGTCTAACGTCGCCGGTACCACGCTCCTTCCACTCCTTGCTATCACGGTCGAATCTGAAGAGCTTGGCGCGCATCTTGAAGGTCTGTTCTTCGAGCTCTTCGTTGGTCTTGGTCTCAACAGTCTCCGTAAGGCGGATGACGGGCTCGAAGTGGACTTCAGGGGACTCGGGGGCCTCTTCCTATAGGTAGGGTATCCGTGTTAGCCATTGCCCCAAGTTTAAACCTATATCCGCAAAATTCTGCCCCTGAAGGCACGCGATCTCACAAACAAAAAAAGAAGACCACAACAAAACCGAACCAGAAAGATAACCAGAAGAAAGAAAGAACAAGTGTGCACTTACTTCATCCTCACCCTTCTGGGCCTTGGAAGAACCAGAGGGCTCATCTACCTCCTCATCCTCCTTCTTCTCCTTCTTAGGACCGCCACCGAACATGGAGAAGACGGTGTCAGACGTCTTGGCAGCCGCATCCTTCGCGGTTTCAGTAGCAGACTCAGCTGAGGCCTTAACTTCCTCCACCTTGGAAGTTTCAGTGCCAGTGGTGGTCTCCTCGGCCTTCTTTGTTGTCTCCTCAGGAGCGCTGGTGGTGGGGTCGGGCTTAGTCTCAGCGGCGTCAGACATGGTGAAGGTACGTTTCGGTTTCTGCAGATTTGGATACAGTTAGGAGGACTCTAGTTAGATAAGGCCGTTGCGATTTACCTGAAGATGGGAAATATAAAGAAAAGGGCTCTATGGGGTGGATATCACTGGGGAGGGAGAGGAGGAGGGGAAAATTATGGGCGGCGGGTTGTTTTTGGTTGTAAGTGGGTAGGTTCATGGCCTGAGGCCGCCAACACTAGTGTGCCACCGCTCGAGTTCTTCTGCCTACACATCAGAAACAAACAACATTACATATATATTTCGTTTGGGGCTTGAGTGACCATTGTGGAAAAGAATTGTTTCGTTATTCATTGTTACATAAGACAGACTGTCTCTCAAAATATCTGTTGATTTCATCTTCGCGAACATTATTCGTGTGAAACCAACCCAACCCAAACTTGATAAGAAAGTAAAAGATGTGAGTAGAACAATAATGGACGCAAAATTAACATATGAATAAAAGAGAGATATAGGATATGTAGAACCAAGTGCTGGATAGGGCTAGTTATCCCAAACATAGCTCTGTCCAAACATCTACAATCCCTATGAGGCATTTCCTTTCATCAAGCGTCTTGCTCTCCTATGTGCTTTGTCGAGGGTCTTCGACTTCCGCACGTTGTGGACATGCTCCCCGATTTTTGGACTTAGACGTTGCGCACAAGCATTGATCTTGTCCCAGGTACTGCTTATGATCTGTTTCGCTTCATCGTTTACCTTTTTGGCATGGCATTGCAGCACAGAGGACGCGGATACAAAGGGCTGCACAGCAGTGCGTTGAAAGACTTCGGAAACTTGCTTGGACGTTGGTAAAACGATATCTCGCGCATTGAAAGGCACCGAGAGAGAATCCCGGCGCAGGAGGCTCGCTTTCTGTCGAAGAAAATGTGTCCGTTTCACTATGTCTCCCACGAGTACTTGGAGTTCATTAGAGGCTCGGCCATAGACTTCCGATAATCCCATTTGCGCTGTGCCCACGTCCCGCACAAGCTCTGATGTAATGGCCTGAGCTGCACGCTTCCAGTTCGCAACTTTTAGCCAAGGTGTTCCCAGATCCACCGACACGGTTTGGCTAACTGGTGGCTTTGAGTCGACGGTAATGGTGACGTTGACATGACCATACGCCTCTTCTCGGTCCAGTTTGAGCGAGTAAACACCATCAAAGAGCCTAGAAAGTTCATACTGAAGCCACTGGCTGCGTCGGGTAACTCGGACATTGAAGTTTGGCGACCTTTTTGAACCCGATGATTTGTTTGGGGGTTTGATGACAAGATGGCAATCGCCGACTACTTGGATTTCAAAATTCTCGGACGGCTGTAATAAATCGATGCTCGACGGTCCCCCGCGTATTAGATGTTGAAGTTGGGACAAGCCGTTAGGCTGGTGTCCCAAAACTTGAACGTTGCGAGTCGTTGACGAAAGTGCTGATAAAGAAGTTTGTTCCACCTCCGCCATTGGGACGATGCTGGTAGTATGAATGCTAGAATTGGGGGAGATTTGACTAGTGGTTACTGACCGAGCGAAGAGGCTTGAAATGAAGAATGCAGCGGCCTTCAAGGCTAAATGACCCAGGGCGAGTGTCCCGGCGGATAAGGCGGTAATCATTAAGACACGCAGCACGAAGGCCAACTGGGTATCATCACTCAAGTAGGGCAGGGGTAGTACTTTTTGAGTGAGGCCTTTGACATCCAAAGCCGACTTCTTCTGAACAACACCTGGGCAAGACTTGGGGTGTTTCCTGGGGTAAATGTTTGCCAATGACGCCAAATTTCTGTTTAGCTGACCGGGCGATATACTTTCAAAAGTGCTCAGATCAATCGGATATCGTTTCAGAACCGTGGTCTTGCCGGTGGGTATATGGCGAGATTCTAGACACATGTGAAGACTGTGGTGATTCACGGGGATTGATTCCCTTGACATTTTCCAGAAAGGTTTCTCTGAAATAACCATTGTTGGTACGCCATGTCGTTCCATGAACATTCGCGCAGACTTCTGGGTGTTCATAGCGGCCGTGGTGTCCTGCGAGGACAGGAAAATGATGGCCATATCTGGGAGTACCCATTCGGTGGATGATGAGATACTATATCCGGTCCCTGCCCATAGAGACGTGCACGCAGGTCGATTCTTAAACTTCAAGTTAATTGTCCTAGGCCTGTCAATATGTGACTCAGGCGTGGCCTCGAGACATTCGTCAACAATTAGCTGGAAGTGGATGGGAAGAAGCTCCGCAAAATTAGGAACAGCGCCTGCGCCGAACGAAGTGGGAACCACATGGTATCTGGAAGACTCAGTTGAGCTGCTTTCGAATCCACTAGACGTGCTCGACACCAGGACATCACCAAGCTTGTCAAGTATGATGCCGCGGGATTCCGAACTTCCGACATACACTACGCGGAATGGTTTATCCGTGTCGATGCTCTTCTTTGTTATCGTTTGTTGGAGAGTGGCCATCAGAGTCAAGTCTTGCATATGGGTGGGGAGGTTATCTCCTAGCTCAGCAATCTCGGGACCATCGATCAACCGTATGGTGTGCTTGAGCTGTACCTTCTCAGCCTCAGGCCACTGGTCAGGCTCGATGAATTCGATAGACTCAGTGGATTGGCGAAAGGCAGTCTGAGCGGTGAGAGCACTGTCGTCGATGGAGCATCCGACCTGAGGAAACATGGGCTGTAGCTCTTGAGACTCGGAAACATCACTTCTGGAGTCGTAGCCTTCGTTCTCTAGGCCTTCCTCATAGTCCGCATCCATATCATCGTTGCTGCTGTACCGCTCGTCTAGGCTCGCCACGTCATCAGGGCCGCTTGGGTCGATTAATGATCCTGCATCGGTCTGTTCAGAAGGAGCCCCATCCTCGGAGTGTATATCTGATAAACTCAGTGTTGCCCAGCTCTCACTTAACGATTGTCGTGGATGGTCTGCCGGGGGCGTTGACGTCATATTGATAGGCGTCGAGCGGGATAACCACTCCTCAACCGAACCACTGAGGGGAGGTAACGTTGGATATTGTAAATGTGAAATGCCCGAGGTAGTATGTGGGCGCCTGGAAGGAGGCTTTGAAGAGTCAGCCATATTGTGAGAGTGTTAATGCCATGCAACGGATATCAGATCAATAGCGGGTCAAATGGAGTAAAGCGGAGCGGAGGAGCTTCGGGTCGAACGAGACGCTCGACAACTTGACTCCCTTGAATGAAACAAAAAATTCAGCGAAGAAGTGTGCGTTAACTCGACGAGGACAAAGTTGTCTTTTAGGATATCTGACCCAGAGCTTCTCTGAACAGGCCCAGCCTAATAGGCAGATGCCCGATGACAAGCTAGGCGGCCGTTGATGTGGGGGAGGGGGAGAGTGCCAACTTGCCGGGCGGAAGAGGAGTCAGGTGAGTTACGGAGTAAAAGTAGAAAGAAAGACTCACCCCGTCCGTTGGTTAGTATGAGGGTCTTTGGCTTTTAATGATCGGGTCAGTAATATTTCTCACTTTATCAGAGACACTGGCGTTGATGAAGGAAGAAAGACGATGGAGGAACCTTAGTAGTAGTGACAGATGCAGGTGCAAGGCGTAACAAGGTCAGATAAGCAGTCAGCTGATGACGAGGGGGTGGTCGGTCCAAAGTTACGGGTACTGTGAAGACTGGACTATGGTCAGTAGTAAAGTAAATTGTGAACTTTACAAGGACTCTTCGTCTTAACCTGAGCGCTTATCGGTCCATAGGTAGATATCGCCAAGGTATGGATATAGTGGTACTGCCCGAACGGTAGCTATACTCCAGTTGGTTCCTCTGCCAACCATAGATATAACTCTATGACTATGGTAGTACAGAGTAAATCGGAATATCTACTGTACCTAGTACTCTCAGGTGATATGCTTTTTCCATGGCCAAAAACTATCGGATCCTTCAACATACGTAACCGATTTAGACGTTCCCATTTCAGAGAAAATAGGGCCAGTAGGTCTTTGTATAATGGCTAACAGGGACAAGTGCATTTCGTTTTTACCATAATAATCAAAGCAGAGGTCCTACGAGCTCCACTGCGTCTATTCTGTATCCATGATCCGTACAACTATCAATTTCGAATACCAATTTCAAGCCCCGCGAGTCTTTTATGTCCAGCAAAGTCGGGAACAAGAGAAAGAACACCCCCCAAAAAGTCTCCAAGTGAAATACACAAAACACGCTAGATGATTTGTCGATATTGATGATAATGGCCACGCCATCTTCTAGAGAAGAAGTCGTCATATCCGTAAAATAAAAAAAAAGGAAAACGCCGCCCACAACCCCACAGCCAACGTAACAGGTAGGCTCAAACAAAAATAATAACTCCAACGACGACCCGAGTGATGCTCATAGCCGAACAAGTAGATACGGAAATGACGACGTGAAGATTATACAATGAATATTATAGCAGGCCGTGTCTATGGAGATGCCCACCCTCCAGCAACATCCACCCATTCCGCGAGACAGCTGCCTTGCTTGCCTTCAACATCCACAATGTCTGTATCACACCTGCATCTGCAGCCGACACCATTCTCTTTAACGGGATCAGGGTTGGCCCAATACTCGTCCTCTTCTATACGCGCCTTCTCATCTTCAGTAGTCTCTTCTAGGTACGGGATACGCGGTAGTTGTCGCGCGGGAGCATTTGCAGGGCAATGCTGGATTGTGGTGTGGCGGTAGCCGAAATCACGGAAATAGTGGATATCACTCGGGGACAGAAGGACGCCAGCGGCAAGTGAATGTATGGGTGCATCACCCCACTGGAGCAGTATCGTTAGCCAACAGGGTAGTAAAAGCGATTAACAGGGTCGCTCACTCTCTCCATCCAGAAGCCACCACTCCGGTCCATCATCTCGAAGAATTCTTCATATTCTTTGCTCCGGAAGAAGTCCAAGCGTGCAATTTCGAAGTTACTCCAGAAGTGGCACATGTTATAGCTCTCTCCTTCCATAGTTTCAGGGTCGATTTCATTGGTCTCGCCGGGCTCGGTAATAAGGATTTCTTCAGGGAGAGTCTCTGGTTGCTGATCTTCGAGTTTCGGTTCCTCAATGGGTTCGAGGAACATTTCCCATAAACCTTGCGATTTAATGTTCTTCTTCCGCTTGTACGCAGAGGCATAACGGAAGATATTCGGAACGGTTTCGCGAAGCTCTTTGACAGCAATGGTGAATCCGTAAGTTTTATTGGCCTCGGCCATCTTGATGAAAGGATCACTGATCCATCAGTCAGTAACAGTCAAATGCCAACACTGAAAAGGGTATCCTCACTAGGTGATGTCACAGAAGTATGTGATCTCGGGCTCCAGCCGCCAATACCATTCATACTTCAAGAGTAAGGGGTGTCTGTAGAAGAATCTGAGGGCGACATTAGCACTTCAAACAACATGGGACTAAACGTAATGGCTTACCCAGAATAGAAGCGACACATGTGGTGATAGCTTTCCATACCACCATACATGATTGCCGCATCTCCTTGTTTCCGAATGCCTTCTTTGGCAACCTCGTGGTCAACCCAGCTGGGGTAACCCCACATTGACTCGTCGATCTTTCCGAACTCCACGGGAGCACTTGTATAGTTTTTGACAGTGTTGATGAAGTTATCGTCGAACTCGGCGTCGTTTAAAAAGACGTAGGGGTAGCGGTACCAGCGGTTGAAGTGCCGTTCGATGGACTTCATTGATTGGATAACGCCGTCTATTTCCTTGTTTCTGGCCAGCACAACGAAGGCCGCATTCGCACGGGGACCATCTGTTCCCTCAACCGGAAGACAACCCGTGGCGAAAACTTTATCATATTTCTCGCTTATTTTTCTATGAGAGCGGATTGTTAGCAACATAATAAACATTGACCTTGAATGTTGTATAAGAGCACACGAACCTTATAGATGGCGGCGTGCCCGCTGGTATTAGAATCCCCCCTGGGGAGGCGGGATGTCGGACGAAAAGTAGCAAAATCAGGACTATTACAATGCATGGAAATAATAAAACAAACCCCAGGGGTACAGAAATAGATGAGTTGCCCTTCAACCGTATCCTGCGCCTGAAAAATGCAAATCTTGAAGATTTGTGGCCTTTTTCATAGGACGAGTCATCCAAAGGAAGACTCGGTGTTGAGGGCAACCATTTTTGAACTCGTTGAACGAGGCCCATGGGTGCAAGCGTGCCCAGGTTGGGTCAACCCGCGAAACGATATCAAATTCCAATCAACACAGTTGGGCACCTGCCCGAAGTTGTGTAGGTTTGGAAGGCAAACCGCAAATATTCCAATGATTCCCCTCAAGTTATATCTGCCGCACGCGAGTAACGGCTTGGAACGGATCGAATCGGCGGCGAGCTGGTTGTCAATTTGACAATCGCAGGGGCACAATGATTAATATTAACAGACGAAGGGAGGAGGTGAAATAAATCTGTGCGAAAAGCAGAAATGAACGAGCGGCCGGAGGCAAGCCTCCTTTCTCTGCACTTTTGCTTAGTTGACCAAGCAGAGGACTGGAAGGGCGTTAAAATTAACGCAAGCGACGAGGGCCCTAGACACAGAGGTCAATAGTTTGGGGGGCGGCGACCGGGACATCAATCGGGATGAGGAAACGGTGAGGCCAGGTCGAAGACCGAGAAGCTGCGGAAGCGTCCGATGAAGTTGAAGGCTCGAAGGAATGATTTTAGGGACGGGGATGGTCGAAGTTTTGCCAAGCGTAGGGAGGCGTCAGCAGCCATGGGCGTGATTACAGGTGGTAATTCTGGTAATTTTGGTAAGTTAATCTCCCAGCCCGGAAAGGCGGCTCCCCTGAGAAATTGCTCCTGGTAAGGTACGGTACCTGATATTTACTGTACCGATGATTTGTCCTTGCACGAGACGCTGAACTATTACTTGCGAGTGTCGAAGGATAAACATCAAAGATCGACTTCCTTGTTCTTTGGTTGAGCCCAGAAATACCAATTAAACTCATCTGTCAAGGTTGCAGCGCCTTCGGGCTAATATTTCTTATTCATAGCCCTCCTACTGTTGGAGATTTCGGCGACCAGGTCCTCAGACCCTGACGCTTAGCCCGCCTATAAGAGTAACACGATGTAATTAAGCTAAGGAACCCGGGCTTGAGCTTCCCAAAGCCTCCTCTGACCCGCCTATCTGCCAATTGGATTACTCGTGGAGTGTGGACGCATTCGATTCTAGGGCTGACTCGTGCAGTCGCATTTATGAATTGGCGAATAATTAGGACAACTTATCGCTTCCATCATGGTCCCTTTCTGTTTGCAAGATGGAACAACAGGAACACCAAATACTAGCGGAGTCCAAATAATGCTATTGAGATGGGAGATCCGGCTCATTCCGCATACAAGTGGTCACCCCCAGGGCCTCAGCAGCGGTAAGTTGTAACCAGGTGCCTTGGTAGCCTTAGCTGCGATGTTCATGGTCGCGCAAGATATAATCACAATTGGATTGGGCAGAGGAGCCAAAAGTCCTGACTCTGTACAGTTGAATCATGAAGACCTTATTTTCGTCACAGCCGTTGGGTGTTATAATGCTCAGTAATCAGTAAAAGCACACCTGATGTAGCTCGGTACCTAGTTGGCTATAACCAACCTATGCTTTGTCATATCTCTAATAGACTTCGGTGCTAGTCAATGGTATGCAAGATCATGGACTTCTTTATGCCTGGAGGCGAAATATTATTTATTATTCCCTTACTGTTGAGCCTGGACTCGGTCCAGAACAAGAACAGTCACCGTCCGTGGGGTGTAAGGTACGGTATATAATTATATGCGGTAAAATTGATACTAGCGGTAAATATTCGCCAGCTGCGCAGCGGCAGCGCAGAACCCTGAAACCGACAACATACCACGTGACTTACGCTTTTGGATTTTCGGATATGTGGCCTCTCGCGGTCTCGGTTGTGTATTAAACTCACATACTTCAAGCGGTCACTCTTTATCGTGGTTCTCCTAATCTGGGGATTGTATGCGGGACTCAAGGACCAAAATCCAGAAACAGGGGTATTTGCGCTTACACTACCAAAACTTGATCTCGGGTGTTAAGGCCACTTGTTCCACAAAGTAATGGTTACAGGATTTGTCCTGGTGGACCATTGGACTCGAAACGACAAATGCTTCAAGAGCCGTGAATCGCCAGCGGAGCCAGAAACTGCCGAGTAGGTTTATCCGGTATGCTGATGCCTGCCTAATCCCGGTAACCCGAATCAAGACAATCAATATTTCGGTCCAGAAAAGAAAGGAAAGGAAAAGAAAAGTTATACGAGTCATGGTTCTCACTCACCTCATTATTGCATTAGCTCCCACCAAGAACTACAGTACGTAGTTCACCCACCTTGAAGACGTTGGCGCACAGGCCCGTTTATTATCAGGTTGGCAATGCCATTCTTGCTGCGTCTATACCTAGCCACAGAGAGCACAATGTCGTTAGCGCCATGGGCCATGTGCGAAAGGGGGACAGCTAGGCAAGAGCCGCACATTGTTCCCATGGATCGTCCATCCCCTTGCACCTCCCGTCACATATTCAGCTTCAGTTGCTATTGTAACTTCGAGTGTCGACGACGAACCCCTTGTGTGTGTCTGGCTTTTAAATGCGTAAGAAACAATCTGATTGATATACCTCGACTTACCGGGCGCTGTCCATAGTGCGTTTATATGACAATACGCAGTAGGGAGTTCTGCGAGCATGGATAGTCTTGACAGAAATGCACCTAATATGGAGCTTGGTGCTTTTATTGACGGAAGGGATGGCTGACCAGTACAGCCTGGAGAAGGTTCCCTATAACCTCCAGCTTGTTTATGACAGACAGTGCCGGTCGTGGTACTCGGCTACTCCATACTTCAAACGAAACGCCAAGAGCCAGAGTTCAGCCAGAACTTGGACCACGAACTTGAAAAGAAGCCCACGAATATCATCTCCTTGGCTCCGGATAAGGCTGACACCAGCGCGACGTATCTTTAACCCATTTCAATTCGTATATCTCGATGGAGTTATGCAGGACTCAGGGTCCTTTGGTGGACGGGAAGGAGCAGGCTAGTCCAGGCCGAGTCTAGAAGCGGGAACTAGTATGCGCCAGTCCTTATTGGGATTAGGGGATGAATCAGTGGTTGAGAAAAGAGCTTGCTTTCTAGTTGAGACCGGACGCCTTGAGGGGCGAGGGAGCGTTGCGCAGCGCCTGTATAGAGCATACAATAATAGTATCTGACGAGGCGGCCCAATTTATTCGATTCGATTGGAATAACTGGACTGGCTGTGTTTTCTCCTGGCCCTTGGTTCCCTCTTGCTCCTGGCCGTGGAGTTGAACTTAAAAAACGTGCGATCAACAGTCGACACCTGCAAAAGTAGGCGCCGACTCCGCAGCCTCTGGACTCTGGACTCAGGAGTGCCCACCATCTCGTCCCTTTCAACACAGCCTCTTGCGTGCAGTCTGTTTTGCGCCGGTACCCTCCAATATCCTGTTCTTGTCAGCCAGAAACATTCTGGCTGACTTCTGCCTGCCGCTTTTCGTCTGTCCTTAGGCCTCCATATACTATTTATGGAGGCCTGATCCCATCGCCGCCCCGTTGGCCTAGATGCGCGCCTGCTCAGTGTCCTATTAGCGCCAGCTTTCTCCCACCTCGACAATAAACACTTCGTTCGATAAGACAAATATCATATACAGCGCGGTTTAGCGACGTCATGGGGCAAAAGCGCGCGGCGCCCGGCCCGCTGGTTTTCGAGGGGCTTAATACCCCCGCGATTCACCTCCCTGATGGCACAGTGGAACAGTCCTTCCTCTCGCCGATTCAACCACCCACTGCTCATCGTAACGGCCACATGAACTTGGATACTTTTTCTCCGGTCAACGAAAATGGAAGCTTTGAATTTGATCGGGTCCTCAAGTCAAAGAAAGTGAACCGCCGGGTGAAGCCAAAGCATGTAAGTCTGCCTGGTCATTAAAGTTCGCGCATAATTGGAAACGAACCATACTGATTAGCTCGGCGTAGGTGTTTAGAGCATTTTGGAAACCTGCGTATCTCGTTCTCCGGCCGAACTTGTTATCGGTCTACAAGGATGAGGAGGCGACCCGGCTGCGAGCGTCCATATCACTCTCCGAGGTGACTGCAGTTGCACCTATCAAATCCCACCGTTCTTCACGACAGTTTGTTTTCGCTATATTCACTTCGTCGAAGAACTATCGTTTTCAGGCTTTGTCGGAAAAGGATATGGAGGATTGGATTGCGAGGATACGTACCGAAAGCCGCTTAAATGAAGACGAGGATGCTCTTTTTGCTCTCTCAAAAAAGAATGAGCAGCAGGATGCCGTGGTATTTAACAAACAGCGCGTCTATGACACCACTGACCATTCGGATACTGAATATCGGGAGAGGGCAAGCTCCCCTGAATTTGGTCGTGACCTGCCTTCTAGTCATCGAAAGAGACTTGCTAGTCCTGCGGACTATTCAGCGAATGACATTACCTCATACTCTGAATGGTCGGATGGGCCTGGAAGTAACACGAGTGTCCACTCGAAGTCCAAGCCTTCGGCCCATGATTTCTCTTCGTCCGCGCCAACCATTCCGCAGTCTGCTCTTTCTCGCGAAGCCGCTAAAAACCACGAGACCGGGATCCTACGCGACCCAGAAAGGGTTGTCTGCAGCGGCTACCTGAAGTGTCTCAAGATGAAAGGGGGTGTGCGACATTGGAAACGCCTGTGGGTTGTACTACGAGCAAAGAGCCTGGCGTTCTATAAAAACGAACAAGTACGTTTTTCCTAGTTTTCACTCGATATTTCCTTCATGAGTCTTTCCTTTTTCACCTCCAACGTGAATATGCTATTTATGAGAGTAGCCTAACCATTTGACAGGAGTACTCCGCCGTCCAAATCATTCCAATGACTCAAATATTCGACGCCGCAGAGGTTGACCCTATATCTCGCTCCAAAAGCTACTGTCTTCAGATAATCGCAGAGGAAAAAATATACCGACTCTCGACGCCCGACGAAGAATCTCTTGCGCAGTGGCTAGGTGCCCTGAAAAGTATAATTGTTGCGCGGAAGAAACAGGGAAACCAACCAGCAGCGCCATAATATCTAATTTATAAAGCCTAACACGCTCACAGACCTCTAACCCCCCTTTTATTCCTTTCCACTCCGTCCACTATATCTCCTATTTTATCTTCTCTGTGCCTTGACCTCTCGATAAGCCCTACCTCGCTTATCACTATTACTCGCTCGTTGACCTATTCCTCTTTCTCTCTCCTCCTTTTTGCCCCCTTTGATTAATTGAATATATTACATACCCCCGGGACTATTGACTATATTGGTTGGTTTTAGTTTCTCTGTCACTGCTACCTTTTGAAATGGTTACTGGTAACCATTAATGATTCCCACACAACCCAGGGCGTGTATACTATTTTGAGCTTGCCTTCTATTATATTGGCGTCAAGGGCAGCTGAGCGTTGGGCCTGAGATACCTTTTTCTCCTTCTTCCTCTTTTTCTTTGTATCCTTGCCTAATCACATCCTATATTCTCTGAAATTGCTTTCTTGTGACTTGGTTTGGCTCTTTCCCGGGTTCAGATTGTATTTCTATGCGAAATTAATTATATACTATATCCTGCCATCATACCCTCGTATTGCTGTTAAAGCGTGATTGGACAATCCATGTATGACCCCGAACACCCTGGAATCTGAAATCCATAAAAGAGAATGCGGCCTGCTTAGGAGCTGGCTACTTTATATACCTCTGGTACTTTAATCCTCCCTCTCTTCCCCAGGAACAATGTCATAACCTGCCTGCGCAGTGTTTTGACTTTCATGGTTAACGACTAGAAATGAAAGGAATACAACCGTGGCCCCCGCCCAATATAACGGCGTGGCGTACTCGCCCTGTAGGAAGATCTGACCGACCAGGGATAGCGGTATCGTTAGGCTGAGACCCACGGTTACGACCAGCGGGGAGGTTAAGAGCATCGCGTATGCCCAGCAAATGTCTGACAAGAGAGAGGAGAGAGCATTTATCTGTGCGGTTAATTGGTTAGTATAACCGTGACGGTCAGCTGTTATTAGTGGGGTCGGAGTATAAGCATACGAGTATGATAGTCCAAACTCTACTAGTATAAGGGAAAGCAAAGGGCTCAGCGCCGGTTATGTGGAGGACTATGAAGCCCGGCCAGAGCAGGAACATGTTGAAGAAGCCGACGAGGCCGAAGAAGAGCTGCATGTTGACGCGGGACTCGTCACCGACTTGTCGTTTCAGGACGATCGTATAGACGCCGTACATCACTGCGCTGAACGCTGCCATTGCATCACCCAGCGCGATCTCCCCAGCGGATTTGGGAGGGAATCTGCGGCTGCTGTTGCCGTCATCTCCTGGGTTGCTCTCGGAGCCAGAAAGATCGACGCGAGATATGAGAATGATGCCAATCAGGGATGCGATGACACCGGCGAGTTTGCGTACTGTGAATTTTTCGATACCAAAAATGGCCCCGAAGATGAGAGTCCATACACCTGGAACAGAGTGAGCTATCTGCTTTATGATTTGAGCTCTTCCAAGGTATCGTACCACTGGTAGACGTCAAGATAGTCGTGCTTCCAACAGTCGTGAATTGCAGACAAGCCATTGAGAAATAGTTCGCCTACGGCATTAATTAATACGTTTTCCAACAGCACTTTCCCTCTGTACCTAGACCACTCACAGTAAACTAACTTTACGTTAGCCGATAGGCAATATGACAAGTCCATGCTTAAAATACTCACCCACAACAAGCAGAAATGGAGGCTCAACTTTGCAGTCGCCTTCAGGCCCAGCTTCTTGTTGCCATGGCCTTTCCCCGCATCGTCGGCCCTCGAGGCATTCCACGCTCCAGGGCCACGAGGTTCTGCACCAGAGCCTGTGTCATTTTCGAGTATGCGCTCCGATTCAGCACTCGGGTAATGTGAGTCAAGTTGTTGCAGCAAGTTCTCAAATGATTGGACCTGATATAATTTCCCCGAGCGGAAGAGTCCCCAGAGCCTGCTGGCGACAATCGTGAAGAGTGGGAGGATGAAAGTCGAGGTGTTAAGATAGGTAACAAAGAACGGTTTGGAGTATGTATTATCGGCGAAAATAGTCTGGTGCGAGTAGTATCGTTAGAGTGGCTCGTGGTAAGAATATGGATGGCGCTCACGCTGGCCAAAAAGTTGGATGCTGTCCATAATGTCACCACTACGAGGAGCAGACAGATCCCCAGTGTTCTCCTGGCTGTGCTGGCTATTCCGGGGCGCCTTTCGCTTAATGATGACTCCATGGAGGTACCGATATTCCACCAGCGCTGTTAACTTGGATTAGGGAGGGGCGGAGGTGTTGGGGGAGGTTTGTGCGCGTGATGGCGTTATCGGTCGCAATTGAGGTGAGCTGACAGAAGAGTCGCAACACATAATCAACACATTTCCCGGGAGCGATTGCAAGGCGCAAAATCAATTAATGGCATGCTTGAATGATGATTGTAGATAGTATTTACTGATTAAGGTTCTAGATCCGGGCGGCCGGGGTGTTTAAAGCAGTAAATTGCCCGGGACAGATCCACCCACAGTCTACCTCGTCCCGCTTGCGGAAAGTAGGGTCGTCAGCCAAACAGTAAAATGATAATATTCCAGACTCCTAGAAGATCATAACTATACCCTGGAATAAAGCAGAGCATCAAAAGCAATAAACAGCCAAAACAGAAAGATATCTTGATGCGAACCAGCACGGGAAGGAAGACGGGGAAGTGTTACACACGGAACGCCCAGGTTGGATATACAGGATAGACGCTTATGAATGGGAATTGCATCCCTCCAAGCTTTCCAGTGGTATGGAATAATAATTCTCTACAAGCGCAGCAGAAAAGGAGCAAATAGTGGCCATCAGGTAAAACCAATGACATGTAGTGCAGCATCGGGGTATCAACAGGCGCATCCATCGCGTTCGGTATTATCGTGGATGTTGATCGGATCAGTGTAGTCTCCGCCATATTCTTCTGCTTCTTCCTGGGCTAGAGCACTTCGAGCGATGACTAGTTGTTGTCAGCTATGTTTATTAAATATAATATTGCCAATAGAGGTATCACCTTCGAACGCCTGCTCGACATTGACAGCTTCCTTTGCACTTGTTTCGAAGTATGGAATATTCCCCTTCGACTGGCAAAACGTCATGGCTCGTTTCGAAGAGATCATTCGTTTGTTCTCTTCCATATCGATCTTGTTTCCAATAACAACCTATTTCAAAATAATCAGCTTAGGTTATCCCCACAACGGACAGACACGTATTTGCTTCTCAACTTACAAATGGGAAACTCTCAGGGTCACGCGGGCTGGCCTGGATGAGGAACTCGTCACGCCAGCTGTCAAGTGCCTCGAAACTCTTCGAGTTATTCACATCGTAGACAAGAACACAGCAGTCGGCACCTCGATAGAATGCGACGCCTAAAGACTGGAAACGTTCTTGGCCAGCGGTATCCCAAATCTGCCCATCACAGGTTAGCTTGTTTTCTCGAGTGCCGCATCGTAGGGCACATGCCTGCATTGTTACTAGTCGGTCATCAACTAGAACTTCCTTTGTCAGGAAATCAGCGCCAATGGTAGCCTTGTAGCTTCCACTGAATTTCTTGTTGACCTTGTTCCGAGTCCGACGTCAGCGAGTCATGAACCAAGGCTTTGGCTTGAGGATATAGTGACACCGACATATTGGTTCATCAAACTCGTTTTACCGACACCACTGTCTCCGAGAATTATAACCTAACAGCGTACTGCATTAGTAACTATCAGACGAAACTGGTGAGGACGCAAAGTGTACCTTGAGCATAACCTTCTTCCGTGACGCCATTGCGCAGATAAGGTGCGCAAAGTCAAAGTTAAAAAGAAGTAGTCGGGTACCGAGATAAATCAGAAAGCCCCGAATATAAGATCCCCGGAGCGACGGAGTCTAAAATACAGGGGACTTTGGTAAAGTGCCTGGAGTAGGAGGATGAGGAGTGAGGAGTAGTTGCTGGGCTTGCTCCGCAGCGGCTTGATGATGCATGGTCGAAGCGGGCGGTGGAAGAGGCGGTGTGCTGGGAGCTTCCCTGTTCGACGATGCCAAAGAGGGGCTTAGCTACACTTAGCCTTATCGCCCATCTCTCGGGCAGTTTAAACATTATGCGCTGTCATAGCTGATCCTCTTCTCGGATGCAGCTTTGGGTTTTTGGTATCGAGCTTCGGGTCGCAATATGATCATTAAGGCATCTCTCATCTCATGATTCGTTTATCTTGACAAGCTGCCCTCACATGGCCCACTGGAGGGGCGAGTACGCTGCCGCTTTGGCAGCTCGAGATCGCCATGAGAAGGCCAACCTCACAATATACAATGCTTGTACGAATCAACCTTCCTTTTGGTTCTCATACTTACTGATTCTACTGTGTACTTTTCTTGCTAATATATTCAATTGCTTTAGATACCAAGCTTGCCGATCGAACAGCCTCCTCGGTGGTAGAAACACCGGGTACTCCGGGCATCGCTACGCAGCAATCTATAAACCCCCCACCAGTCGCCGATCCCAGACAACAGGCACCTCGAGTACAAGGACCTTCCCCACAGGATATTCTATCCACGACGAGAACAGATCTAGCAGAAGCACAACGATCCCGTACCGAGCTTCAAGAACGACTTGCTCGTGCAACTACAGAGCTGGAAAGGCTGCGGAAAAGAAACACTCATGACGCTAAACGAATTACCTCGATGGAGAGTGAAATCGCCAACCTGCAACTTCGATTAAGGGATAGAGATGAGGAATTAAAGGGGAAAGCAAAGCTTTTAGAAGTATGTTTGGCTAGTCGCTTAACTAATGACCTTGGGAAACAGTCTAACACCTGTTGTCTCCAGGAATTTCAAGACGAGTTAGCTGCGTTGAACCTTCAAATTAACATGGCCGAACAGCGCGCAGATCGTCTGCAAAGGGAAAACCATGATCTGGTTGACCGATGGATGGCCAGGATGGGGATAGAGGCAGATGCCATGAATGATGCTTCCAAGTTCTCGTGATACCCTCCCTGGCTTTCTTTGAATTTGGTGAATAGCTGGCCGCCCCCTTTCATTTCTAATATCCCTCCGGCATATAGAACATTCCACTGCGTAGACAGTACGCTACTCTTCATAAACTGGGCCTTTAGATTTGAACGCATGCCTTGAACTCATAAAGTGGACAATGTGCCCCTGGCGATCTGGTGACCTGTAAAACTCCAGTAATTTTTATAATGAAGGTGAAATATGGTATCTATTCTGTATTGGCAATAATAATGGTATCCTATTTACGTCGTCAAAATACAACATCTTCCGTGCACCAAAAGAACTCAAAAAAGTTTATACAAGGAGGCATTTGTCCAAATAGTGTTCTGCGGCGCCACGGTATCGAGAATAGCTTATGCCAAACTATCCGAAAAAGCCTTGAGCCGAGAACTATCTTTCGAGGCGATGAAATATGAGCCACCAACATCAGTCCAACTAACACTGTTAGACCAATAATGTCTTTGTTTGACTGTCAAAAGGTTGATAGGTGAATTAAGATTCCGCGACTGAATCTTATGGCCAACAGGGACGAATGACTTGAGGGAGACGATTTGGCATCCCTCCTTCATATCCAAGAAATGGTTGATCAATTCGTTATTGAGTTGCGGGGTAAAGGCTTGGTTATTTATCAAGACAACATCGGCTCTTTTCAGAACATCGATAATGCTTTGCTCCTTGAGGAAATCTCCTCGCACTAGGTGAGTCTTTCCTGGTGCAATGCCCCACAGGCGGCATCGCGCCTTGAACTCTGACTGTTGAAGCTCTGCCAGGTCGCATGCGTTTTGCATCATCTCGCAACCCCAGCTCTCGCAACCTATTTCCAAGGCTGCCTGTAGAACCACATTCCCCACTCCGGACCCGAGGTCAACGAAAACATGATTCGATTTAAGCCCGGTTTCTTTGAAGATAGAGCTGATAAACCGAGGAAGAAGTTCACCATACACGTTGTCAGATCCATTCTCATATTGTCGAAGAGATTCAACTCGTGGTGACACCGTCCGAGAATAGATCTGTGTCAGGATTCGTTCGACGTGAGGCAAACTAAGCCGGTGAGTGGCGTCTAGATTTTTCGCGACACTTCCGCTTTCCCGTAGACGTTCAATGGCTTGGTTATAGTCCGTGACAGATTGGCGAAACTCGGGTTCGTCTCCGCGTGCGAGGCCGCGCCGTAATCTTCGCTTAATACCACTCGACTCATTGTTGAATTCGTCCAGTTCGTCCTCAGGTATGTATGCCTGGGTTATTGTTTCGATTACCTGGACAATATCATCGAGGGGTTTAAACTCATTATCGTCGCGGGGAACCACCACTTCGTATCTAGAATGCGAGAAAATAAAATACCGTTAGCCAACATTCGATTGTCGCAAATAAACTTGTGAGCATCCATACCTTTCTTTCGGCGTCGCACTAGGATACTGCAGGAGAATTTCCGAGGTCTGATCTGCATTCCCAAATGCTGGCTTGAACTTCCCCGGCTTCTGCACAGACGTGATCTCCGCCGCGTGTACAATGGGAAGCGATTTAGCGTCATCCCCAGAGAACGCCTTCACTGATCGCAGCCGTCTCCCATAATCCGGCTCTGCGCTGTCACCTGTCCTTGCGCGTTTGCGTACTTCGAGAGAGGTATCCGTGTCGCTCCCCTCGTCGTCATCATCACTAGACAACCGCAGTTCGGGAGTCGGGCGCTTTCGGTTCCGTAACGGCGTCAGTCGCCGCTTCGATTGTGAGAGCTTTCTATCCCCCGAGGCTGACCGGCTGGCGGATTCTCGAGTCTTCTGCCGAGGTTCGGCGGAGAGATTTCCTGAGGAAGGCTTATTTGCGATTTGAGGTGCCGGGCGTGAGGAGGGGGCAGGTCGCGACTGTACCACCTGACGAATCTGCGGCTTCTTCGGTTGGAGCGAAAAGCCTCCTCTTTGGAGGTGATCAAAGAATCCCATCGAGTAGTAGTGGCGGTCGGGCGGGCTGGAATAAAGTATGAAAAGCGAAGATAAAAATCAACTCGGAAGAAAGAGAGGCAGTAATATAGACAAGGGAATATTTACACTGGCAGCAACATATGTACGACAAGCTGCAGAGTAACGAGAGAAAAGGGTAAAAGAGCGTGTGAAGCAAATGCGAAAATCCAGCCCCGGCCCGCGTGAGATCGATGGCGGGTGAAGAAAAGCAGCACTCGGCGACGATCGATAAGGTTGCCACTCTTAGTCATATCCACTCCCATGGCTCTGGGTCTTCTACAAGGAATCAGAGATTCATCTTCTGTCGGTTGGTTCACGGGTATCAGATTTGTCTCGACCTGTCTATGTATTATGTACAGATATGTAAATCTATTTTTGCTTCTTCTTCGCCAGTCGCTTCTGAGCCCGCACGTCCTTCTTCATTCTAGCATCCACGATCTTATATTTACCCTTCACTCCCTTGGGCCGGCCAGAAATACCCCTGTTGCTTCCCTTGGCAACAACCACCTTCGCCTGCTGCTTGGGTTTCTTCTTGGTCGCCCTGTTCATCATTCGTGTAATAGCCTGGGCCTTGTCCCTCTCGCTCAGGGTGTCATCCTCCGCCAGTAGCGCGGACTTCTTGCGAAGTTTTTCTATCCGCTGGGCTGCCTTGAGCTTCTTGCGGCCCTTGGCCTCCATCACCTTCTTGATAGGTCGAGCATTGATAGCGCGCATCTTCTCTTGAATTGCTGCTGCTGCTGCTTTGGTGATTGGACGGGTTGGTTTACTGTGCTTGCCCTCGTCGTCAATGAACCATTCTGGGAGACCGTCGACATCACGGAAGGCGTATCGGTTGAATCCGTCATCGAACACATCATGCGACTTCTTTTCTCCAGTAGCCATCTGCTGAGCCAGCGCCATAGCTTCAGCCGTGATAATATCAATGTCTAGCAATGTAGTTAGCAACTATTGTCATATTACGTTCCTTGGTGTTACTTACCAGGCTGGCCATTCTTTTTGCGCGGTTCCTCGGCCTCTTCGAACTCGTCATCCGAAGAGTCTTCGGATGGCTTACTGTTCTTGGTACCGTTGGCCTTCTTCTGTTTCTCAGGTACGGCTTTGCTTTGCGGTCGTTTTTCTTCCACTACCTCGTTGTCCGTATCCTCCTCGTCCTCGTCCTCTTCGTCTTCGTCTTCTTCTTCGTCCTCCTCATCGCCAACACCTTCCAAACCCTGAAAGATGTCCTGGTCGAAGAATAGCGCGGCGTTATTAGAGAGAGCTTCATTTGAAGGAGCAGCACGGGATTCGGTCTCTGCATCCTCTTCCTCTTCGTCATCACTCCCTTTGTCTGATCCGGAGAACCCTTCCCACTCCTCAGCTTCGTACTCCTTGCGAGCTTTCTTTGCTCGCAGTTTCGAATCCTTATCTTCTTTGCGGCCTTGATACTGTTCATATAGCGAGTCGAGTTCCCTCTCTAGACGGTCCTCTTCGTCGTCGCTTCCGGCGTATTCTGACTCTGATTCGGATTCTTCGCTCTCACTCTCAACTGCAATTTCTTTCCCTGACGCCATGGCATCCTTTGCCCCAGCCCTCTCAGCACGCTTAAGGGAGAATGTGGCGTCATCTCCCCCGGGCCCTAACTGCTCCGCTCCGATGTCCATGGGAGTTGTCATGTGCATCTGCAATCGAACGATTTCTTTGCGCTTCTTCTCGTTCTCTTTGCGTCTTTCCTTCTTGCTCCTCGTGCTCTCCTTGTCTTTCAAGCGATGGAGCTCTTCTTGAATGGCAAGCTCATCGTCCATGGGAGCAATCTCCGCCACTTCTTCGGTTACGTCTGCCTTAGCTGGTCCCTTTTTCACTACCAGTCCAAACTTCTCGCGAACCTTGAGACGCCACCGGAGAAGGTTTCTGAACTCCTTTTTACCCAGGACCTTCAAATCCTCACAGCAATTGCGGATCTCCTCAGTGGTCTCTGGTAGCCGATCCAACGTAGCCAACGCAAGGTCTCCCCCAGGGAGTTGCTGGAAGCTCAGCTTGTTGGCCGAACCGAGAATTGCAATTGGATCTGTAGTGTTGATGAACTCCGTCACTGGGACTTCCTTGAACTGGGTCCAATCGCCTTCCTCATAACCCTCTCTCTTTCGCTTCTTCTTTTCAGGGTTGAACACCTTAGCTTCGTTATTGGGTGTAGGGTCTGCAAGTTCCGCAAACACATGCTTCGGGTCAAGAAACTTGGGGTCGATGCGCTTTGGTGCTTTGAAACCGCGGCAGACAACGAAGATTTCAGCGGAGACATTTCGGGAGGATGGAGGCTTGGTCGCTTCGACGGACGAGAACAACTGCTTAAAAACCCACAGTAAAGGGTTGTAATCCTTTGATCGGAAAACCTTGGTTACGAATGTACCACCCTCGGCCAGAAACTCCGTAGCAAGCTTAAGAGATTCAAGCACCAACTCCGCCTGAGAGAAAGCATCCTGAACCCACGCCGTACCAACATTCGGCGCACCATCGTGCAGAACTGTATCCGCCTTCCAGTGCTTAAAATGTGATCGGATCGTAGCGCGACATTTTTCCGTCGTGATATCGTTCTGGAAGGTAATGACTCGGGGGATCGGTTTGATGGGGGCCAAATCGACACCAACGATTAAGCTCTGAGCAGGCATGCATTCTGCAGCAACTTGACACCATGACTTATCTAGTTGTTAGTACAATTCGAAAGATTAAAGCCGGGCGACCATCCAGGGTACTCACTCCAGGTGCCGCGCAAAGATCCAGCAAAACCTTGCTCTTTTCCAAGAAGCCATATTTCTTGTTCAGTTGAACCAATTTGAACGCGGCTCTTGCTCGGTATCCCTTTTCCTTCGCAAGGCGATACCACTTATCCAAACGACCCTTGCCGTGCTATGAGAAGGTCAGCATTTAGTGAACTTCTAGTGAAATTGTTTTCGTTAAACCAAACTAAAATACCTTTTTCTGAATCGCCATTGTGCGATACCGGTGGTCGAGATGGTCTCGGCAGCAACCCGGGGCGACAAAATTAACCTGATGGAAAGGCCTGTTCTTTTGAGAATCCGAGTTTATCCAAAAGAAAAAAAAGTTATCGGCCTGGATCTAGCCCCACAATTTCCCTTCTTTAGTCACGTGTGGCAGTGACGGGCACCAGCCACATGTTTGCGCCTGAGGCAGAATACAAAGGCGGTGACGCCTACTAAGAGCATGCATGTGACGTGTGGTTGGGTGGGAAAGAGTCAGAACAATAACCTTGCCATAATCAATAATTCAGCTCTAATTTTAGTCCTTTGTCGTTAATAGCAGTTACCTTCGTACGCATTTCAGCGCCTCAAATACCTCAAATTTTATTTAGTTTCGGTGATGTTCTTATTGCAGCTTCCATGGCGTCCACGGGTCCTCGCAAGAGAGTAAAACCTAGCCCTCAATCGCCTGAGATCTCCTCCCCGAACGGCGAACGGTCCAATTCGAGAGGGAGCCTAGTAAGTTTGGTCTCTTCCCGGCGTGATTCATCTCTTTTTCCAAGTGACCATGGTCTTGAAATTCGATGGTTCTATAGCTAACTTGTATGAAAGTGGTATCCAAGCGTCTGGCCGTCAAAAGCGGCCCCTGTTACCGAGGTTGCCCGTGAGAGCATTTCGATGGCCAAGCCCAACCCATCCAACGCCGCGTCTGTATCTACACCTCAACTTGACACTCCAAAACAACAACGACATCCTTCTCTTCAGCTTACAAAACGAGTGGGCGGGTCGGCCAGATCCCTCCCCGCCAACGCTACAACGACCCGCATCAACATTGCTTCAGATGGTTCCACATCGGCCCCCGCAGAGAACCACGAACCGGACCGTGCTTCGCCAGGGAAAACAACTGATAAGGAGGCATCAAATGATAATAGCGGGATAGATACAGTTGGCTCAGAGGAATCTCAGTCGGATGCAACTGGCCAGCCTGCGAACTCAGACAACGCGGTCCCGGCTGTAAGTCAACCTAGTGGATGGCTTTCATGGGTATACACACCGTTCGCAAGCGATAAACCTACTCCAAGTGAACCTACCCCAGAGCAAACACCGAAACAGGCGCCAGGGCTTGAATATTCAACTGTAGAACAACCTTTACAAGAAACGACACGAGACCCTAGCGCAAACGACCCAAATAATTCGCCGGAGGTTACGGAAGTCGCGCCCGCGTCGCAAAAGCGCTCTTGGCTTCAGATGTGGTACGGATCATCCCCATCCAAAGGGGCCGACAAGCCTAAGGATGAGCCATCCGTGAACACAGTAGAACAGAATCCTCCTACTCCAACCGCATCACCTTGTCCACAAGAAGAACAAGATAATAGAAAAACAGACAGTGGCTCAGCTACTCCGACTAGTACGGGAAACAGGGCGTCTGCCTGGTCTTTCTTCTTCAGAGATTCCGCCAAAGACACCATACAGGGAAAACCGCAAGAGGCCCAAGCAGCCGAAGCCACTATAAGTCGGGATGTGCCTCCAGAACAAGTGGCGAGTGGCCCGGAGACTGAAACCGGACAAAAGCCACAAATAATCAACAAAGGAAGCGTTAAAATCAAAGCTCCCCCTAGTGATCTGTCGGGACCAGACACTGCTGTATCACAGCTACCAAATACTTCAGAGGCCCCGGTTCCGATTCCGGTTGCTCCTGAGGCCTCTAAACAGCTGCAGAAGATTATACCAAACCAAGTTCTCCCGCATTTTAAAGATACATTTGCTTTCCAGGATAGACCGACATTGCTCCAATCGATCGGTCGATTCCTCCACTATAACAAGGAGGCCAATAACCAACACGTCTATAAGGTCCCTCATCCCCCGCGCATTAAAAGGGCTTTGGCAATAGGGATCCATGGTTACTTCCCTGCCCCTTTGATACGAAGTGTCCTTGGTCAGCCGACTGGAACATCTGTTAGGTTTTCCAACATGGCCGCTGAAGCTATACGCAAATATACGGAAGACAACGGATACACTTGCGAGATTGAGAAAATCGCCCTAGAAGGCGAAGGGCGCATCGCCGAACGAGTGGATCTGCTTTGGAAACTACTTCTCAACTGGATGGAGGAAATAAGGCGCGCTGATTTCATTCTGGTTGCGTGCCATAGTCAAGGGGTTCCGGTTGGAATCATGCTGGTTGCTAAACTTATAGCGTTCGGTTGTGTCAACGCCAATCGAGTTGGAATCTGTGCTATGGCTGGCGTAAATCTTGGACCGTTTACAGACTACAGGTCTAGATGGATCAGCGGCTCTGCTGGAGAACTATTCGAGTTTGCTTTGCCGTACAGCCAAGTCTCCAAGGGCTACGAGTCCGCTTTAAGGACATGTATAGACTTCGGAGTACGAATCTCCTATGTTGGGAGTATCGATGATCAGCTCGTCTCGTTAGAGGTAACTGGCCCTATAACACCCCAGTAATAGCGAACAATCCGAGAACTAACTTGAAATAGTCGTCCCTATTCTCCCCTGTGTCCCACCCATACATATACCGAGCCGTCTTCGTCGACGGCAGGGTTCACGCCCCAAGTTTGTATGTTTTACCTTCTCCGCACAAGCCAGTTCCGACATCTAACGTTGACTTTTTTCTCCATAGTGTTTCACACTTGGTTGGATTCGCCCTCAAACTCCGCAACCTCGGCGTCTCAGACCACGGTCTCATCCGCGAACTCAGCTCTCCACTTGCAGGTAGTCTCTACACAGGAGAAGGCCACTCCCGACTTTACGATGACGACGCCGTATATCGGTATGTCCACCCATTATTCCCATTGCTTCTTCCTACCAAAGACTTTCTCAACAGAAATTTAAAGTATATATTGAATTTTAACTAACAAACACCTCAGACTCGCAATCGAATTCGCCCTCGAAACATCCCCTGTCTCATCCGCACCCCTTAACATAAAACGGAGTCACCCACCTCCTGCAACAAACCCATATATTCTCCCATTTGCTATGCGTGGTCTCCTCGAAGAAGAATATGTGCGACACGAATTATACAACGAAACTATGGAACTTTTGAAGCAGTTCGATGACTGGAAGCCCACGAGCAAAGTCCTAAAAGATGTCAAGTTCCGCTTAGAAGGCATACGCTCTAAACTTTGACTGAAATCATATACTTTGGGAAAGTTGATGTTTTGCTGGGTTGTATCCAATTTTTTATCATGAATATATAAACTAATAGAGTATGAAATACGTTATCTTCTAAAGTGAGGGAGCAGAACTTTGAATATCAATATAAGCAAAAACCGATAGATCTACGCATGACCCGCTTATGTACACTCCGGATGGATGCAAATCAATGTAAACCAACTCAGTAGTGGGGTATATGACAACCAAGAAAATAGGTATTAATATATAATAGCTTCGATCATTACTAGCCTAGCCCCATTTGCGAGGTCTCAATATCACCCACCGCAGAATGTCCAATATGCAAATGCAGCAGAGGTTATCATCTACCCCTGTAAGAACGCCGTATGATATGCACCTTGAATGTCGTCTGGGTTTGCTGTCAGCTTGGCTCGCTATAACATCAAATCCTTACTCACCTTTCATTCCATTTAATGCCTCATAAGAAATGGTATAATTCGAGATGGCGTTAATAATCCGTTCAAGCCCTTGACGGAGTTCTTCTGTGAATCTATCAGACGGGGCATTGGCCTGATTGTTTCCGAATTCCGTCGGCACCTGATTTGCCAAATTCGTTTGATAGAATATCATCAGAAGGGCATAGCTGCCTTGCATTAGGCAACACGCAAATGACGGCATAGTTCTTGGATACTGGTTCAGAGGTAGAGATTGCAGTGCTTGGTGCGGGCTATTGCAGCCAGTGAGCGGTTGAGGCACAGGTAAACTTTGAAACATGTGCGATATTAATAAGGACGCCCTCAAGCAAACCCTTGCTGAATGTTGGCTGGTATAAGGAAATTCGTCAATGAACGAGTACTGAGGTAAGGATTGAAACTCGGACGATGTGGACGATGTAGATGACGGCGCGTACTCGCTCGAGGATGAATGTTTGAATTGATCCAAACTAGTACAAGAGCAGCCAATATTCGAAATCTCACCCGAAGGCTTTGAGCCTTTAGGGGCGCATTTCGATGCCGGCTCCGATGAATTAGCTGCGGTTAGATCACAGTGCCTTTTAAGGAATATCGGGATGTCTGAGAATGCTCTGAAGCGATGGATTTTGATCTGGGAACTGAACTGAGTGTCAGCATACGATATATACTTTTTGTTACCATTCAGTCAGCACTAACCTTGACAGCTTTATCCTTGATATCGCACGGATACTCTGCGCTGTTGTATGCTCGGGTAGATTACCATCAACAGTCCGAGAAACCAACGCAGGGAGGTTCGATTGCGACAATATTGTGTTCGACCACGTGTCAAGTCGCTGCATGCTCTCAGAAATGTATGGCATATTGGTCCCCGTAGGAATGCATTTCTTAAGATCGATGACGAATTGAGTTGCCGTTACCAGTATTTGCTGAGATTGGATCAAAATAGACCAGCCCTGCGGATATCGTTAAATGGGATATTTCTTATGGCATAGGTCTTAACATTACTTACATCGGGATCGGCAGCAAACCTAGGATAAGGCGTAACGAACTGCGGGTCATTCGCGTCGATGGAAAGAGGCTAGTTGTCACAGGCATTAGAACAACGTTGACAGAATTTTGACCAGGTGAACTCACTGTCGTACTAACAATCGAGCCTTGAAGGACACAGTAGTACTGTTTAAGAATACAAAAGTCAGTGACTGGAGTAGAGTTTGGAATAAGGATAGTTTTACCGTCATCCACCATGCCCTCCTTCGAGCCTCCGCAAATCCATCATACTCTTCCCCAAGAGAATGCAGGGACATGTCTAATGCTATTGCCAACGCTTGGCCAGCACGGTACCTCATCTTTAGGAGATTCCCACGCTGGGTGTATTCGTACACAGAAAGTATTAACAACGCAAGAATGCTCTCAAGCTCTACGGGAGTTTGAGGGTGAAATGATTCTCGATTGATTAATTGGCGATCACTGCCCGGAGATTCAAAGGGGTTTGACGGGGAAGCATGAAGTTCACAATCGGATTCGATGCTAGCATTAGCCATTTGTGCGAAGGCATGCGCAAATGTCCGGCGTCGGATGATTGAGTTAGCGGATGACGGATCCGAGTCATTTGAGTGAGGCACTAGTGCTAGAACGGCAGATATTGCCAGACTGAGCGGAGAACGAGGTTGATAAACGATAGCTGGTTCCTCGGTGGGAGATTCTAAGTAGGAGCCAACGCCATCCAAGGGGCTGTCAACGGAAGCGGGTGCTACTCTCGGTGGCAGTATCGGAAAATAGTTATGAATGAAATCATAATAAGCATTTAATCTAGGTTCACGGTTAGTATAGTCCAATACCATACAAGAAATAACTTACATTTCGTGTTCACTGCCGTATGTCCTGACTACGGATGGTGACGATGCGCTTGATGAGGATGGGGTAGGTTCCATTTGAACCTGAGTGTTACCGCCATCATTCGGAGCGAATAGACCTGCAAACAGTGATTGAACATCCGATGGAAAGTCTAAGTTTCTGAGCCCAGCACCAGGGGTTGAAAGCACATCGATCTGACCGAATAGGGCTATTACTGTTTGTTAGCCTAATTTCGGGGTCTGCTGGGGTTTGCTCAGTAAAGGCGGCGGTTGGATCGACATACCGTCCTCAAAATCTGGGGTCACTGGTGTGAGAACAGGGTTCTCGACATCACCTTGTTTTTGCTGAACAATGTCTTCTGCTGGAATGGGGGCCTTCTTTTTCTTCCTTGGACCCCCACGCTTACTTGGCAGATAGGAACATTTTCTTTTCTTGCTAAGACACTGAACAAGGAGACGATTTGTCCCAGCATTAGCCAATCATACCTCAATTATAACAAAGCTAGAGAGAGAGAAACCAAATGACATGGAGAAGACCTACGTTGGCGCAAGGATCCTGTCCATCACAACGAGTCCTCGAAGCACGACTGCAACCAATTAGTCAGTTGAGATGTATAAGATAGTGCTTGTAGGTAAGTTTGAATTCAAGACAAGCTTTATTCCAGACAGAATGGGGGGAAATGGGGTCCACAGGGACAGCATTAAGCCATGGCATTCCTTACCAAGCTAAACAGGCTACCTTGACTGGCGGCTTTGCGAATTTCTTGCGGACAACAGTGGGCCTCGACGTGATAGACTGTGTCACTGCTGAGACACCATTAAGATTCCCCTGGTGTTCAACTTGGTCCAAAACCATGATGAATTCCGAGAAATTCATCGGTCAACGTACGGGCGTTAAGAGTACGTTGGCAAGGCCCGAATCTTTGTCGGCCTGGTTCATGCAGCCCTTTGGAGGAGAGCGTACTACAATCGCCCGCAAACGAAGACTGTCGGGATGCGCATCGCTCCGTGGTGCCGAACAGTGCAATCGTCAAAGTTTCCCCGTCTTCTCATCGACCACGGGGAATACCGATCTCAAATGCAGTCAGGGCCCGAAAGAGTGGTCTGATATATAGAGCGTGGATCGCCCGTTAGTCGCAAAGGGACCAGGCGGGATGAATCAGCCATTGTTGGCTTACGACCAAATCCCGAACAGTGGGCGTTCGGGATTTGGTCATGACAGGAGCGGCTTAATGTGGCGTGGTCGGGCTTCACATAACAAGAGTCACTGCGAAGATCATGCAGGCCCTGGAGAAGGCCAGCCTTGGGGAGCACTCAATTGGACGATGGTTTTCAAGAATGTGGCTATCCCAGGCCTACGATCGAGCACATCATCTGAATGATCGGATCGCGGCCTCCAGCGCGCCTTCCGTTTTCTCGGGACCTCGACGGGATTTCCTCGCTCTTTCCACTTTTGGTCCGCTGGGATCACGTGCCGCGGTCTTCGCTCGTCCTGCTGTCTTTCCAGGCCCTGTCAGGACTTTCTACCGCACGATCCGAAGTTTACGGTGGAGAGAAGCTTTGTTGGAATCGATTTTGTATTTGGTGTGATCAATAGTTACTTAAGATTGAACTTCTATCTGGCTTTCCAACTCGTACTAGTATAGCAGTATCTAAGGCTTGGTATAGTGCATTATAGAGAGATGCCTGGAACCCGCGTGACGCTGGCCCATACACTATCAGGAACGACTGCTGGAAGCTTGTGTCCTCGCAGTTGCTGATCGATCAGCCACATTCCCACGACAAACTCCGCGCGCGTCAACAGGCCAATGTTCTGTCCGTCCACGAGGTTCCAGACTCGCTCCAGGACGTGGTCCGGGAGGCGGCTCCTCGACCAGATATCTTGAACTACAAGGTTCACAACCATCTCCAGAGCACCTGGAGGATACATACCCGGCGGGATTCCATTCTCTGCGGCCTTCTTGTCCGCCACTTGGTTAGGAGGTATGAGTAGTCCTTTATTTGCAGCCCAGACGCCCTCATATCTCTTGCGCTCTTTCTCTGTGATTTCACTTCTCCATCGTTTTCGATCGCCTTCTTGGTGCTTATGAGGATGCTTACGGATGAGGTGATTTCGGTGTTGGCGGCGATTCCGCTCGTCTTCGTCGTCTGGTTTGGGTTGTGTTCGGAGGGTCTCGCGAAGCCCTCCTGGGCTTTGATCGGCTGAGCGATCCTTTTTATGTTGATGTTGGAGGCCCAATATGGATCGAGATCGGGATCTTCGTCTGCGTGATGGCGGAGGAGGCGGTGGCGATGGCCTCCTTGTCTGTAGTGCCCGGTTTGATGCGAGTGACGAAGCTGCGACTGCATCCGAGGTTCCGTCTCTAGTCACATCCGAAAGACTGTCAAGCATGCTTGTACTGCTGCGATTTTGCGACTGGCTGTATAATGACATGACACTCGGGCTGGATGGAAACGCTGGGGACCTAGCGCGTCCCAAATTAACTTGCGGTTCGTATGCATAATTGGTCATCACGGTCGCGGCTCGTCGCGGTGGAAGTGCAGGAGGCTGTTCTTCCTCGGGCAGTGTGGATGCAGAAGCCTTGGAGCGAAGAGGGATAGGGCCGCTCGGAGACTCGAACCGGTTTCGATTTTCATGACGGCGATCGACTGATAGGGGCTCACTAAACGCGGGCGAAGGTTTTCGAGGTATAGGTGGCGGGACAGGGCGCGGCTTCGTTATCGGAGGTCGGGAAGATGTCGAAGGTTTGGGTGAGGCGGACCTTTGGCCAACGTAACGTTTTGGAGGTGAATGTTCTTCAGGATCGTCAAAGTACGGGTCCAATATCCGCGAGTTTGCGAGTGGCTTTCGAACCGGGATAGGTGACGGCAGGGCCGCTCCAATCCGTTGTAACTGGGCCCTTTGCGCATCCACGCCTGTAGTCTTGCTATTTGGCCCATTCGAGCTTCCCGCAGCAATCTCAGCCGCAAGCAATTGGGGGGTTTTCTGGCGCGTAATGTCTGGTACACTTCCGGCCGCACTCTTAGGCCTGTTGTTCGGCTCAAGCGTAGCTGGATTTGAGCTGAAGAGGGCGATTTTATCCTTTATGGTTCCAGGTTCGGGCAGCTCTGGCATGGGATCGGGGTCGGAGTCGAGAAGCGAAATGGGCGGGCGGGCTGCCATGTTTAATGGAGACTGGGATTTTGGGGGCGTAGCATGGTTGAAAGCTAGCAGAGCTCCCTGTAAAGCAGCGCGATTCGGAGAGGTGTTCGCGTTCACATTATTGCGGGGAGGCAGTCGGCGGTCCCGCGAGGGGGTCAAACCTGGTTTGGCCATTCGTGGAACGAGCCTAAGTCTGGAACATGGTCGAGCTGCAGGCCGAAGAATGCTCGTGTTTGGTGTCGATATCGAGATCGGTCGGTGGGAAACGCGTTGAAACTCGAGAATAGGGGTGGCCGAGCTTGCATTGAGATGAGGCTCCTGTGTCACCCGTTGTCTCAGCTGAAAATCCCCATCGTGAGCCCATGCGGAGTTTCAAACGTCAACAACGCTGCTGCGTCTCCGCCTGAATATTCTATTTTTATTCGCCATTATTTAACCGAGCAGCAAAGATGACATGACGGATAACTCCCGGTTCCATAAACGCATTCGCAAATCGCAGCAGCGACAGCCCTGGCTCCCGTATCTCGGACTTCCCCGCTTCCTCCCCCAGTCTTAAATCTGGCTTAATATCAACCGACTTCTTCAGAGGCTCGAAATGTGTGATCGGCCCACTTTCACACGACTAGCTCTGCTTCGAGAAACCGCGTCTCTTTTGCGATGCGCCGGGGTTATCCTGCTTCTCTCCTATGTCTCCCTGTCCTGATGCATTGCGCTATAATGCTATTTTCCTGTCGTCTTTGACTCAGTCGTCCGTGAGGCAGTATGACCCCGGAAAAGAGCGATACCAGCCAAGGTACTTGCAGTCCTCTCCGTAACCCACACCCAAGTCTCCAACCTTCATCTCCGCTCCCCCGCAATCCAGCCAGTCTGGAGGCAGTCATAGAATAACAATCCATCACAGAATCTTCAGATCCGCAGGAAGCTGAAGCGACAGCTAGACCTGGCGGCGCCAACCATGGTCCTGACATTGAAGAGAGTTCGTCTGCCAGCGGCCAAACCAAGTGCTCGATTTGCCAGAGCACGTTCAGGAGACCCGAGCACCTGAAGCGCCATTTTCGCAGCCATACTAAGGAGAAGCCTTTCGAGTGCACTCAATGCGGTCGTCATTTCTCCAGAACGTATGTTAGTGCACCTTTCGTCCGGGTCCTCGGTCTAACTATCACCAGTGACACGCTTCATCGCCATGAGTTGAGTCATCATACCATAGGCACTGACGGGGGAAAGGATCGCACACACCGAATTACCGTCAAGACGTTTCGCGCTTGCTACAAATGTGCGCTTGCGAGGGTGCGTTGTAGCGGTGGTATGCCGTGTACTCGTTGCGAAAACAGATCTCTCGAATGCCAGTATCCGACCGAGCGACGCTCCAAAGCCAAGGTTCAGAAGGGCGCAAGCCAAACTATATCGCTCGATGGGAAAGGTCCGCTCTCCGGATCAACGTCACATCCCTTCTCCGTACATGGCCCCGAGGCCTCTCGGGGTAAAGAAAGTGGAAACGCCGCCGGTCGACCCGGATATCAAATGGGCCAGTTTCAACTGCACGTGCCGGAATCCCATACCCTTTCTACGTCCCGCTCAGATAGTATGCTGGGGCCCAATATCCATGCGGACATTGAACGTGACGGACATTCGCCCTCCCTAATTCGAGCGGACGTTGCTGCCGTCTCGGAATCATTTCCCCCGTACGGGGGTGTAAACCAACAATTATATCCCCAGGCCCCGCCAACTCAGATCCAACCGCCTCTGGCGGTTGACCAAAAGCGACTCGGCTATCCATTAGACGGGCAGCACACTGAAGTTGCTCCACCTGGTAACTTCGTTGCTGGGATTTCGGGTTCGGGCAACGCACATGTACAATTAGGCTTCCCGCAACCACTTCTAGGTCAAACCGCAGCTCCTACAATAAATTGGCTGTCAAGCGACTTTTTACTCGAATCGGCGCCTGATCAAGGTTTAACGTCTGGGGTCCAACACCCTTTTCAAGCAGGCGTGTTCGATGGCTCGTTAAGCCAGACAACATGGCTACCTCCGGTTATCAATACGGACACTCAGGGCTCTTCTTTGTCGGGGAGTATCTCCCAAACGCCTTCTGGAAGCACTTCGCTCGGCGATGTAGAAAGCCCCGGTCATTTCGCTCGTGGACAGCGTCAGCAATCACAATCGGGTCCATCCAAACGACCTACAGACCCTACTGTTGGTGAGCCAAGTGAACGACTTCCAAAGCACAGGCGGACCCAGTCATCGTGGCCAACGCAAAATGCTGAGTCCCTCGATATATTTCTAAAGTTTCAAAATAGCAAACCTCAGTTTGCATTTCCGCCAACTCAGGAACTACAAACGGACTCCATGCCCGAAACCCCAGTTGGTTGCAACCTTGAACCTACGACGTACGATGAAATACGCCAGGCGTTTTTGCGTCTATGTTGTACCGAAAATTTTCTTTATTCCAAATTCGACTCGAGCAATTTTCCAGATACACAAACGCTATCGAATTTTCTTCATCATTATTTTCACTTCTTCCACCCCATATACCCAATTTTCCATACTCCAACATTTAATCCAAACAAATGTCACTGGATAATCACGCTTGCATTAGCCGCAATAGGCAGCCACTCTGCAAGCTTCTGTGAGCAAAACGGGACGGCAACAGCTTTCCACGAGTTTCTTCGTCGAGCAGTCAGTGTTGAGGTGAGTGGTAGTAATTTCTGTGCATGGTAGTCACATTTTTTCTTGGTAGCTAATTGAAGAGTTTCACTCCAGAAAGAGAAGAGCATATCTGAACACCCGCCACTCTGGCTCCTTCAAGCAATTTTACTGAATTGTATTGGGAGACTTCATGGGGGCAGTGAAAATGGCAAGCTTTCCGCACTTGGCGACTTTGGTGATCTCATCAACCTTGCAACGCGCGAGAAGCTCCTGTCCCGCTCAGACAATCCGACTACTGAATCAGATCAACCGCCCGATGAGCAACAATGGATTATATGGGTTGAAGAAGAGTCTCGAAGACGTACGGGATATCTGATATGGGTATGAGATACCGTGCTACCACTATTGAAGTGATATGCTAAGTGATGCCAGCTTGTGGATTGTACAGCTTCCTACCAGTTCGACACGAAATCGTATTTTTCTCTAGATGACGGCGAAGCACCTCTTCCGTGCAATGAAAAGATCTGGCACGCAGCCTCATCTCGTATATGGAAAGGCCTTCGTGAAGGAAACTCAGGTATTATTGCTATTTCACGTATGCTCCAGTAATTCAAGGCTGACATTTACGTTGTAGAGCAGGAAAAGATTTCCCTTTACGACGCGGTGCTGACCTTGTACATCGAAAAAAAGCTTATACCCGAAATAAGCGAGTTCAGCCACGTTCTGCTCATACATGCACTATACCATCGAATGTGGGAAGTGGGCGAGTACTTCCGCCGCCCGCTATCATTCTGGAATCCAACCGCCAAAAAGCAGTCCCGAAAGCTAGCAATTCCATCAGGATCTGTTTGGCTACCAGGGATCCCTTCGTATTCGAAATGGCGCAACAGCGCGTGCGATTGTTTGGATATCCTCCATTGGACTGCGAACGGCACCATAGCCAAAGCAAACGGGCACGAACATCCCACAATCTTGCACCTCCACACCGCCCGTATCATACTTCTCGCGCCGTTCCGAGAAATTCGGCATTTAGTAAACCTGCTAGCTACGCAGGAGGTCAACTGGGAAGACCGTCAACGGGTTATTGAGTGGCATTATGTGTTACGCTGGATCAAACATGATCAGTATAAAGCCCGTTTAGCCGTCATTCACGCCGGATCGGTGCTATACCATGTGCGCAAGTACTCCACCAAGGCGTTCCACGAGCCAGAAGCCACCTACCTCGCAATACTCACGCTATGGGCGTACGGGCTGTGCTATAAGCAAGCTTCTCCCGACCTCGCGACTTCCCGACGCGACTCAGCAATCGGACCTAGCGTTATTAACCTCGACCAGCCGTGCTCTGATGAGCTAGTACAATCCTTTGTTAGAGAGGGTCAAATGATGAAAGGGATGTTGACGAATGTAGGAGATATTTGCGCACCACATGGGCCGGAGCAAATTTTGCGAGTTGGCTGCGAAACTCTCTCGGGTCTTCACTCCTGGGGCTTGGCGAAAGCATTTATGCTAACTTTGATGAGGCTTATTGATTTGGTATGATATATATTTGTCCTTGTTGTTCATTCTATGACGGGAACTATGAAGTGGCTGGACCATCAAGTCTCCGGTTCGTTGATGTTATGGGGCTGCTGGTTGGTGAGGTTTCGTCCTTTGAGATCTTTATACCTTTGTTGTTCTAGAAATATCGTACTTCAGCTTATATTTCTCCACTATAAATCTATTTTCACAGCCTTTGCTTTGAGGTATTCGGATTCTATACAGTCTTAGGCCATATATTGAATAAAGCTCTCAACTATATAAGACATCCCCCAACTTAACAGAATAAACAGCCACCCAATAACTTAAAACTCAATACAAACCTTTCCAACATGCTGCCCACTAGTCAAATACTCAAAAGCACTGACAACTTCCTCCCGGTTAAATTCAAACGTCTTCTCAACAGGAACATCCAGATCTCTATTCCCAATAAACCTAACGGCCTCCTCAAGCAACTGCTTCGACCCAATCATGATCCCACGCACAATAGCACCCTTGCTCAACGCCAGTCCTGCAACATCAGGCATCTCCTCCTGGCTCGCAGACGCAAGGAACCCAATCACTGAAATCACGCCGCCGAATGCAATGGCGTTAATCGACTGCTTGATTGTACCCGATCCGCCGTTCTCGAAGATATAGTCTACCCCTTGTCCGTTTGTGATGTGCTGCGCCTCGGTGGCCCAGTCGGGGGTGGTTTTGTAGTTGATTGTGTGGTCAACGCCGTACTTTTCCCTGACGTGTCGGAGCTTCGCGTCTGAGGAGGAGGTGATGATTGTTGTTGCGCCAGCGGCTTTGGCGAGGACGAGTCCGGTTATAGAGACGCCGCCAGTTCCTGGGTAATTGGAGTGTTAGTATGCAATGATATCTGGACATGATTTATATAACTGTAAGGTTGAGTATGGGTACTTACCCTGGAAAAGAACCGTTTGTCCAGGGCGGATAGGAATGGCACCGTACAGCGAGTTCCAAGCTGTAGCACCGGTACAGACAACGCTCGCCCACTGCGCATAACTCAGAGTGGACGTAGCAGGGATCTTAATCACTGAATGGTATGGAACCGCAATGTACTCCCTGAGAACGCCGTCGATAGGCCCGCCCAATCCTCCACCCCAAGTCTTAATAGGGCCATACAGAGAGGAAGGGTCAAAGGCGATGACGACCTTATCACCAATTTCAAACCCCGAGACACCCTCGCCGATTTCGACGATGTCTCCGGCTGCATCAGAACCAGGGACGACATTGTCTTTCACGGGGAAAGGGTATTGGCTTGTTGCGATTGCAATGTCGCGGAAGTTTAGGGCAACACTGCGGATCTTGATGAGAACTTCGTGTTTGGAGGCTTGCGGACAGGGCTCGGTGGATGAGGTGAGTCTGGACCAGCTGTCTCGCTGGGGGAGACGGAGGACGGTTTGGTTGGACATGATGGTTATGGGTGATGGTTGAAATGTGTGTGGCGGTTCTTTATTTTTGGGATATCTATAATACGTTGTCGACGGATAGTATTTATATATGTTGCGTTATCCTCCCCCCCAATTTATTGAACGTCATGGAGATCATCCCGAGATTCGAAATATCAGCTTGATTTGTTATCTCATTTGTCATCCACAATTACTGTAAAATCTCCAATCACTCGAAGAAGAAGATGCGAATTGAATTTTAACCCCAATTGTGGTGGAGGCGAGAGTTGGGGTTGAAAATCGTGAGAGTATTTGTAAGCTTGGCAAGATGGGAAGCAAACAAGGCACTTGACATAGGTAAAGAATAACGAAATAGTTTAATGATACAAACTTCACTTTTCGAGAAGGCTGCCGAATGGGGACAGAACCATGATAGAATAGACAGGTTTGCTTAAGAAGGTCGGCGAGACCCCGCAACCCCCATGGGATAACATGCCCTACATTTCAGTATTTGATCATAAACAAGGCATTCAAGATACGAAAAATATAATACATATCGGGTATACATCTCCTGCTTGTCAAGTGCCAGAGTGCTGCGATTCTAGAACGCTAGCAAGTACAGAAAGAGATCTCCCTACTCGGTGCACAATATCAAACGCATGAGTACCGCTCGAGATCTCCGCCCAAAGTCGACTTATCGATGCCGTAAGACGATGGATGTTGGACGCAGGGTCACCCTCTTGATCTACCGTCTCCCGTAGATGGGTTTCTTGAACCAAATTTTGCGTCATAGCAAGCAGTTGCTGCTCATCTCCACGCAGCGAGTTCATCCCGTCCACTCTAACAGCATCCAAAATCCCCTGCAGCCACATTGTGAGAAACAAAGCGCATTCAAGATGGCATATTGAGTGTTGTACTCCCCAATGTAATGTCTGCGTGTGCGCGACGTATGCAATACCCACTCGTACAGGAATACTGAGCGCATGGATGCATTGTAGGACTGTGCGATCTAGCGAAGGAGATCGTGTGAGCTGGATTTTGCGAACCTGGGTAAGAACTTTTCTTATATGATCAGGGTCATCAGAGATCATTTCATGACACATTGCGACACGGGAATTAAGCCGGATATAAGCCAACCGCAGTAAGGCTGTTGCATTGAATCCCAGCGGCCCTTTAGGCGAGCAAGGGTCTAGTGTTGACTCCCACGTAGCTTCCCAGGAACACTGCCAGGACCTGAGGGCCATTTCTATGGATTTTTGCAGTTCAGGTTTTGTAGAAATTTCCCGAGCAGGAAATGTTCCATCTTGGACCTCAAGATAAATTTTCTGAACCAGCCCGTGAATTAGGACATAGTTGGAAAACGATGAGATAGCCCCTTCCTCACATATACTTTCCCCATTTGTCAATCGATCCATGGTTGCTGAAAATCCACGTTTATGCAGAGCAGACAGCGCGCGATAGCGTTCCCATGGCACTGAGGAAGTGGCATTCCATTCAGCTTCGCAGGATGGCAGATTAAGGGAGACTTCGCGAGTTAAGATCATAGGAGGCACATTGAAAGCGATGGTGTGCATGTTGAAAATAGTATACGCCGCGAACAATGTGCGCCGTCGTTTTTCGTAAGCTACCCACTCCAGCCATCTGAGATCTCGATCGTTGGTATTATCTGACTCGTGCATTCCGATATCGCGTATCATAAAGGCAAGCTGGCTGCATGTTGCTATGCTATCCTGTACTAAAGATTTCTGACCCCATGAGCTCATAACCATCAGAATAATTAGAGCTTGCGCGGTGTGGAGATTTGAACAGGAAAAGTCTGGCCCTCGTGTTCGAGAACTGGAGTCATCGTTCTCGTTAGTATTCGATAGGAGGCCAGTAGAGTGGCCTGGACAGCTTCCAGTAGCAAAAAAATCCTGGGGTTTCCGGGTGAGTTGACCGACTAGACTTCTACGGTGAATCTGGAGACGATAATCCAGAACAGATCGTGCAGCCCCATATAAATAATGGCCAGTGGGATATTCAAATCGGTACATCGCTCCCATTGCAGCCATGGACAGGAGAAGCTCAATCTTGATATTACCTGGGTCAAAGGTTGGTGGATGAAGGAAAGGTAGGTGTTTTTGAAACCCGTTGAAGTAGCCCTCCAGGTAGCGGACCAGGGCACATCTTGATGGTGGTGAAAAATTCGATAGTGCATCTTGATACTGTGTGATCTCGCCCAGAATTGTTTTGTAGGTCGCTGATGACACGGCCCACGGGCATCTCACGGCATCTGACCCAGTTTCTAGCCCAGTATTCTGGAGTTGGTCTCCTACAGACGGGAATTTGGGCGGACGCTCTGGAATAGGGTTCGTCTCCAGAGCACGAAATTCTGCTTCGGACTCAGAATTGCTTTGGGTTGAGTGTGTTTCTAATGGGCTTTGGGCGGGTGCTTGAGACACGGAGTCTCTCGGGAAAGAGGGCTGATGAAAAAGATTATATAGAGAGACGTCAGTGTCAAGGAATTGTGACGGTACAAAATTTGGGAATGAGAATGCATCATTTCCCCAGAACGGATCAGGGATTTGCAGTCCTTCCTGAGACACATCCACTTGAGGGTACAAATCCCCAGAAGCGAGATAGGTTGAAACATTAGAGTCTGGAGCCACTGTTTCTGTAAAATGGGAGAAGTCCAAGCCTAGGTTTGGCGCGGTGCTAGAACTGCCTAGATTTGATTGTGGTGTCAGACCTGTGCCTTGGCTTTGATCGAAGGAGGCTGGCATGTGTGGAGGACGTTGAACACCTGCATCAACCTCAGGTCTAGAATCTGCTTCAGAATGATATAGCCTTTCATGGCGCGCCAAAAGGTCCCTGGGAACAAGTTCAGGTACTGAATCTCACAATTCTGCACATATACTTACTGCCGCCCGAACGAGCAACCACAGTGGCATGAAAACGGCTTCTCCTGGGTGTCTATGCTAAATCAGTCAACTATAAATGCATACAGAATAATTTACAAATACTTAGAGTGTAAATTGAACATGGCCCGGTAATGCAAACAGGATCGGGGAAGGGGGCAACGGACGGGTTCGCTCATGACGCTGCAAATGCTCCAGTCGCTTGAATTGCCTTTTGCAATACCGGCATGGAGCGACTTCAGACCTAGGCCTTCCTCTGGGCATTTGGAGATGTAGTTAAGAGATGTAGGTTGGTAAGTTCGAAGTAGACAATCGATTTCTTTCTCCAACAATGTGGGGGGAAAAGACGGATAAGATAAAGAGATCGGGGCAGATGCTGCTCAGCCACATGCACTGTACCAAATGGTCAGAGTGAATACGACCTTGGGGAGCCTTTACCAGCAATATACACCGCTGATTTTATTGACCCAATAGCCAAATGGTTTCCGAGTCTGTTGTATGGTGACTCCACGAGAGACGAGAGCTTCCTGGCTTGTGATGTCACCTCACATGCATCCTTATCGATAGCGGTTGGAGCCTACAGCTGCCTGCGATCTGCGTCTCCGCCTCCTCTGACAGCGAGTCAATTCAAATTCTCAAGCTGTTCCTGGTCCACGAGGAGCATAAATCTCTCTTGTTCTTATATGGGACCTTGAATACGGACTTACAATCGCAATGGATCGCGATGAAAACATGCGCGAAGCTATGGAGGGCGAAGAGTCCGACCTTGATGAAAAGTAAACATCCTCTATCTCCCCCATGCCATAATTGAGCTAACATTGCGATTTGACATAGATATCCGAATCGTCCTCGAAACACTGCTCCCACCTTGCCATTCCACGATCTCTTCGAGACTCTCTTCCGCCCTCTTAGTGAAATAAAAAAGAACCCTGCTGGGCCACCAGGGGGTCGCAGGAAAGCCGGTCCTCATGGCCAGTCAGCCACAAATCTAAATCCATTCGAAAGACGGCGCGATGTTATAGATCGCTTTATCTCAAGATGGCGGAAAGAGGTCGGCGACGACATTTACCCCGCATTCCGACTAATCCTTCCAGACAAGGACCGAGACCGGCCAATGTATGGGATGAAAGAGAAGATGATAGGGAAGATGCTTGTCAAAATTATGAAGATCGATAAGAACTCTGAGGATGGGTTTAATCTTCTGAATTGGAAGCTTCCTGGGCAAGCGGCCACATCCAGCATGGCAGGCGATTTTGCCGGAAGGTGCTATGATATCGTCTCGAAACGACCAATGCGCACAGAAGTTGGGCGTATGTTGATCGAAGAAGTTAACGAGAAGCTTGACCAGCTATCCACTGCGTCGAAGGAGGAGCAGCAGCTGCCTATTCTCGCGGAATTCTACCGCCGGATGAACCCCGAGGAGCTCATGTGGTTGATTCGGATTATACTTCGGCAGATGAAAGTGGGAGCGACAGAGAGGACCTTTTTTGATGTGTGGCACCCTGATGCGGAAAACCTCTACAGTATATCCAGTAGTCTGCGCCGTGTTTGCTGGGAGCTCCACGACCCCAATATCCGGCTTGATGCGGAAGATCGAGGCGTTTCATTGATGCAATGCTTCCAACCACAACTTGCGCAGTTTCAGATGCAGTCATTGGATCGCATGATTGACCGCATGAGACCAACGGAAGATGACCCTGTTTTTTGGATTGAGGAAAAGCTTGATGGAGAACGTATGCAGGTTCATATGGTATCTGATGCTTCTGTGCCAGGAGGCAAAAGGTTCAAATTTTGGTCACGAAAAGCTAAAGACTACACATATCTTTACGGTAATGGAATATACGATGACGCTGGTTCCTTGACCCGACACCTCAAAGATGCCTTCGCAGATGGGGCTGATAACCTGATATTGGATGGCGAAATGATTACTTGGAACACTGAACAAGATGCCCCTGAACCCTTTGGTACACTCAAGACGGCTGCTTTGTCTGAGCAGAGGAATCCATTTCAACAAGGCATACACCCGCTACTCCGCATTTTTGATATCCTCTATCTCAACGGTCGAGACTTGACAAGGTACACACTACGTGACCGTCGAAATGCTTTACAGAAAGTCATAAACCCTGTACATCGACGATTTGAAATACATTCTTTCGAAGAGGCTACGACCAAGGCCGAGGTTGAAGCTTCGCTCAGGAGAGCAGTGGCGGAAGCATCTGAAGGTCTAGTTCTAAAGAACCCTAGGTCCCCATACCGATTGAATGAGCGACACGATGATTGGATGAAAGTGAAGCCCGAATATATGACCGAGTTTGGGGAGTCCCTTGACCTCGTCGTTATCGGAGGCTACTATGGGTCTGGCCACCGAGGCGGCAATCTTTCTAGCTTCTTGTGCGGCTTGAGGGTTGGTGAGGGGCAGTCTTCTCAAGGGTCGAACCCCACCAAGTGTTATTCTTTCTGCAAAGTAGGAGGGGGCTTCACGGCTGCCGACTACGCGAACATTCGACATCACACCGACGGCAAGTGGACGGAGTGGAACCCCAAGAAGCCGCCCATGGCATACATCGAACTTGCAGGGGGTGATGCTCAGCACGAACGACCCGACATGTGGATAAAACCTGAGAATTCAGTGGTTCTTTGTGTGAAAGCGGCCTCGGTGTCGGTTAGTGACCAGTTCCGAATCGGTTTGACGCTTCGGTTCCCGCGGTTCAAGCGGCTGCGCATGGATAAGGACTGGAGTAGTGCACTGTCTGTGCAGGAATTCCTAGATCTGAAGTCCAACGTCGAACAAGAACAAAAGGAGAAGGAGTTCAATGTTGAGAACTTCCGCAAGAAGCGGGTAAAGGCAGCAACTAAGAAGCCGCTCACGGTAGCGGGGTATAGCGAGGATGCAGAGGTTCAATACTCTGGCCCATCAGGGCATATATTTGATGGGCTCAACTTCTGTAAACTGAAACCCTAGTACTTCTCTTATCGCCAATGACTAACCAGTCCCAGATGTCTTGACCGATGCAAATACACCAGTTAAGAAGTCAAAGGCGGAACTAGAGAGTCTGGTGAAAGCCAATGGAGGCAAATTCTATCAAACGAACAACGCTGCTTCCGATACGGTTTGTATCGCAGATAGGAGTAAGTCATGCCGGGGATCTTTTAGGAACCCTTTGATGATTAACACTTGAACAGGAACAGTGAAAGCAGCATCCTTGCAGAAAAGTGGCGATGTCGACATCATCAGACCATCTTGGATACTTGACTGTATCCGCCAGAGTGAAATTGACGCTGGTCTTCCGGATTTGCTTCTTCCTCTTGAGCCGAGGTATGGAGTCCCTTGTCAATGACTGGGAATCAGATACTCACTAACTGCGCCTAGACATATGTTTTTCACCACAAAAGATAAACAAGAATCAGTGTCAGCGAGCATAGATCAATTCAATGACAGTTATGCTCGCGATACCACAGTCGAAGAACTGCGGGATGTAAGTGTCAACCAAGAGTCCATGGTATCGTTGCTTGCTGACATCGATAAGCTTTTGGAGAAAATGGGCAAAGAACGGAAGGACAATGAAGCCTGCAGTCCTGAGGTCATTGAAAGGGTTACAGAAAGTATTCAAGAAAAGGTCGATTCTGGTTGGACAATGCCGTTGGGGTGGCTATTCAAGGGATTGATCATATATTTCCCTGAAAGCGGCGAGGATGATCTGGAATCAAACAGTTCTCAACCAAAACAGTCAAATAGAACCAACCGAGCCAGGAACACAGCGAGGTTTGCCGGTGCAAGCGTGGCAGAATCAGCGGATGATCCATCTATTACACATATTGTCGTGGGCCCGGAGACCCCAGCATCGGAAATATCTACGCTTCGTGAAACGCTATCAGCGCGGAAACGGATTCCACACATTGTCAATGTTGAATGGATTGAGGAAAGCTGGAAAGAGCGGACACTCTTGGATGAAGAGCGTGAGTCTTCATCCTCCTGGCCGGAGTCCATGCAAGCAGACTAACCCTTATCAACTCATTTAGGCTTCCAACCATCCCATAAATCATGAGAACGTTCATTCACGCCCATACCAGCATATCTCAAACCCCAGTGAATGAGTGGTATAGCATATATTACACATTTGAAAATTCAGATACCCCTTGCCGATGCAAATACGCCTGATCACCATAGCGGTAATAAACACCTAGCTTCAAAATATAGTACCCAAAAGAGCATGACTTCACTGTTTCCTCTTCTTGCAACCTGCAGTATCAGCCAAGTCACCAGCTTAGCCAGATGACCACTAAATATGTATGTTCTCAACGTCAACGCCCAATCCCAATCCCGCCCGTGCACCGCATCCATTCCCCCATAGTAACCCTGCCAACAAAGAAACCCCCAGAGAAGAGACGACCCCTCTCTTGGACCAGAGAAAGCAGGAAAGCTGCAAAATGGGGTTGGACGCTAGTTCTCGATTGGGTCGAGGGAAGGGTTCACTGGACACTAGGGAGTCAGGCTGCCAGGCTGCCAGGCAGCGTAGGCTATCCGGCATCCAGTTGAACTTCGCCATTGTCTCCTGTACGTAGCGGTGCGTCGAGTGGACCATCGGCCGACGCGCAACCTTTCAGATAAGAGGCTAGTAGTAAGGAGTTCTCGCCCATGAATTCCATATAGTAGTACCGAGAATGGATGGAGTAGTGATGTGTCAACTCGCTCTCTCTGGGCTCTCCCCGCTCTGCAAGGAAACGTGAGCCATTCACTGCAAGGGTTAGATAATACTCTCTCTGGGGGCTTTCTCGTGAAAATCCATTGCACTAGTGTTTGGTGGCATCCATGGAACGTCACTGTGCATGAGCTTCTGTCCAATTACGGATAATCGGCTCAGAGTCGATGCCTCGGATGTTGTGCCCGTTGCTGGCTCGATACAGAGTGCATACTGTGTTTTTACGGAGTAGATATTCAAGTTAATCATAATAATAGCATTTCTGATTTTGGATGTAATCTTCGCTATATTGAGGCGACGGCCATTTTGAAGATAAAAAAGACTGGGGAAAATGGTATCAAGCACCCAAACACCTTGGCCTTTGCGCCGTTGAAATGATCCTCAAAGTAGGTTTGAAATGCCTACCCAAAATGCAAGTACAGAGTAAGAAAATAGCCGTCGATACAGAAACCGAATCAAATGAAGACGCCCGGCGCTGTGCATAACGAAGTGGTAGATGGGGGAAAATGACAAGAAAACGAACGTGTGGGATCAGAATGATTCAATGGAGATCCCAATCCATCGTGACGGAATGGGAGGTTCTAGCTCGTCTTCTTCCTCATACTCGAATGGGATGAGTTTGGTTTGACCGGTCCTACGAGGGGGTAGCCAGACCCGAGCTCGAGTGGGAATGTCATCTCGTAGTTTTCCTCGGCGTCTCATGTTTGTCTCTAGAACAACCATGCGAAGGAAGTCGCTATTCTCACGAGGTTCTCGCTGACGTGACATTGGAGGTGTCTCGGGGTCAAAAGGCGAAGACTGTCGGCTACGATTCTTAGAGTTGGAGACCTGAAAGCGCCCCCTTCGGAACCCATGCTTTCCTGAATGATGGTATGTTTGCATCTGGACTGAGATCGGGCAAGCCCCCGAATCAAGCGAGTCATGCGGCTGGTCCTGAAAGCTATACATCTCTGCAGGTGAAATCATGATCGGGTTCAGATACCGGCGCAAGGCGGGAGATGGTGTTTCATTCATGGGGGGTGGTCTCCGGTCATCCGTCATTTTCGGAGTTATGGTGAAAAATGAGCGGTTGAGAAAGTCATCGGGCTGGACCGAGGGTGATGCCAAAGTTGAAACAGTTTGCGCCGCTGACTTAATCGCTCGTAGCGAAGCTGTTAGGTTCGACTTGAATGACCCAAGGCGCGGGAAGGATCGTGAGGCGGCTAAAGGTTTGGGAGGAGTAGAGCCCAGCGGACATGACTTATGGCTGTTGACTGTTTGCTCATCTTCCGACTCTGGTTGCTCCCTGTCCAGAAGTGGGTGATCGGAAGCACAATTCTCGCAGTTGAAAGGGCGCCGGCGCCGTGAGCTCTTCTCAGAAGGGCTTCGTTGACTAGACGGGGTAAATGGTGTGGAGAGACTATAAGGGGTTTCCAAGTCTGCATCCAAAGATGGCACAGAGTCGGCCGAGATAGATGGCGCAGAATAGGAAAGCGATTCGCTGTCACCATCGCTCGAGGCGAAAGATTTCTCAATATCTTCCGGAGGGCTAAGTAGGACGTCCAATGCGGAATTTCCCGTGCCACAGAATGTTGGCTCATCCAGTCCGTCCATCAGTAACTTGCTGAAATCCTGCACATGGTTCCCACGAGGCAACTTCCGAGATTCCCGAGCAGCCCAACTTCGCCGTGGGACAGGGATTGCAGTGGCTTCCAATATAGATGCAATAGATGTCGGTACCGGCCGGTCACCCATGGCCGTCGACGATGACTGGCGAGTAACCCGAGTTCTTCTCGGGGTCTTTGGGTCTTTCCTCACTGTGCCAGTGTGCGCAGAAGTCGTTCGGTGACCGCGCTTGGGAGGGATGACGACTGGATTAGTGTGTATGCTCTGCGAGCTGGACTCGATTGGTAACCGAAGAGCCGAGTCATCTTCTTGCGGCATCATGTCGATCGAAGACCTTGCAACTAGGGGCCGCTGTTTCACGTTCCGTTCAAGCGGTTTTGGCGAAGGTATTGAGCTAAAGAGAAAGCCCCTAGGGACCATCATATTTACTGTTTGGGGACACAGCGGAGATTATCGGACGAAAGTTTCAAGCCTGACGAGGCACTCTGGTCGAGAGTTTGAGCGAGATACATGGATGAAATAGGAAAAGAGGGAAAGTGAAGAGTGGGAGGTGTCCAGGAGTAAGCGGACGCTCTGACTCGATAGGAAGAACTCGGAGAAAGGGAGAGAGAAAGGAAGTATTTCGGCGATGATAAATAATAGCCCACTACCGTGAACGGTTTGCTGTGTTGGCAGGCCGCAGGACGATAAAGCGTGGAGGCCCGATGCGGGTGGCCGCACCAAGGATGCAGGCACGCGACTTGCAGCTGTATGACTGGTCAACAGGTCGAATGACGGTCACCAGCAGAGGCACCCTTGACAGTCAAGAATATACCTGGTGATGGACCAGCAGTGGACAGGGGGATAGGAAAGACAAGAGAAAAGTCCTGGATAGATAGGTAGAGTAGGTGTTGTGAACCATGATCTCAATCACAATCAAAGCCAAAGATAAGGAAAAGAGCGGTAGTGACGGCATCTGGCAGGTGGACCGTCGCTCTGGATCGTTAATTACATGTCGTCGGCGTATCGTTTTTGTATTTGAGTTACCATTATTCATGGCCTATTATAAATATGGTCTAGTCATTGGCTTGGACTCACGCATGGCCCCTGTTTTCGTGTGTTTGATGTTTCCGAAACGACCTCCATGACAATACAATACCGCGATCTGGTAAGTTTCTCTTCTTCAGCCAGTGTTTTGTGTGAAAAAGGATGGAGAAAAGGAGAACCAAGCGACGAATAACAGCAATACCAACGAAGAGAATCCCCACGCAAGAACATTCGATTACTCTTGCCTTCTTCTAGCCGACCGCTTATTTGAACAGTCGTGAACAGTCTATTACCTAACTTGATTGGGAACTAACTCGTTTGATGCCTTGCAGTGCCTGCGTGCCCAACCTCTCTGGACAAGTTGGAGCTACACAGGGAAATTTCGACGGCTTCAAAGTACGAGTTGACAATAGATAATGACTTACTAATGTAGGGTCAAGAGAAGAGCGCTGCTGACGCTTACGCGATCTTGGCTGGGCGCGCCAGAGTCATCTGATCTGCCCGCACTCTGTACTGTGACATAATGATCCAAAGCAACCAGCAACAGACATCAAGCACTCCAACGCCTGAGAGCGTCTTCCGGAAAAGTCAAGTTGTACAATGGACTCTTCTCGAGTCGGACATCGGCTCGGCGGGGATGGAAACGTGTGTAAACCATAGCGCCTCCGATCTGAGGCTCAACTATCTTTGCATATTTGCACGCGTGTAGTTACTACCATCCGTACTGTAATATAAATGATTCCTCTCTTGAGCGTGAAGATATGAGTGATGCCCAATTGTTAAGGCCTGCGAGAGGTCACGAAAGCCCTTGAGAATCAACTTGTCCGGCACCTACTTAGTCAGCAGTGCTTATCGGCGCCGTTCAGCCAACCGCAGGAATGTCGAGGCGTATCATGCTGTTTCCAGACGAGGACCCCGGACTATCAGGATTCCAGCTGCTATCTTGCACAGAGTCTGTCACCCAATAATCATCCAGAGCTCCTCCCACCCCGGCTCCTCATTGCCGCATATCGACAACTGAAACCACTGGCCCTGCCCGCGATCTCCATCTGACTCCGATCAACGATTCCCCTCCAAGAACCCCGAACGCTGCCCGCCTCCACTTGCGGGTCATGGATGACAGCCCCGGGGACATCCTTCGATCCTGCTGAAGAAAGCTGTAAGTATAGGACTCAGCATTCGATTTAGAGCATGGCCAAACGATATTGCGCATATCTGTGCGCCATGCTCTGCGCATCGTTACCAATTACTTTGTACGCGCCGACCTAACGCATTCCCGGATCCCAGGATAGATTGCCTCGCCGTCAAACACCGGTAGCCATTTCGATGGTGTGCCCATTGTTCCGAGTCTCGAGTTTGCCAAAGCCGTTTCGCATTTCCTCTCTGCGTCCTGTTCGCGGTCGTCCTCGGGAAAACACCAGCGCCCTCTTCTGTTAAGCATGCGCTCTCCTTCTTCGACGCTGTCACACATTTCTGTCTGGGCTTGAGTATGATGGAGGAAAAGTTCAACCCGGAACCCACTTCCGACGGACCTCGAACAAAGCCGTCGTCGAAGGCCCAAGAGACAAATGCGGATAATGCCACTTCATCAAAACGACGTTGTGTCAGCACAGCATGTATCGCGTGCCGTAGGCGGAAGTCCAAGGTAACGAGTGCCGATATTGGGTACACAAGTTTCACAAATCTAACCCTTTGTTAGTGCGATGGAAACCTTCCTAGCTGCGCCGCCTGTTCCTCCGTCTATCATACAGCTTGTATTTCGCCCCACCTTGACTAGATATGGGAATGGGGATAAAGTTGGCTAACATAATTTTTTTAGGCGTTTATGATCCCAATTCCGATCATCGTCGAAAAGGAGTTTATAAGAAGGATACCGATACGTTGAGAACCAAAAACTCAACCTTGTTAACTCTAATTCAGGCCATACTCAATTATGAGGAAGAAGACGCCTTTGATCTGGTTCGGCAGATCAGGTCGTGCGAGAACCTGGAGGATGTGGCACAGTCCCTCTTAAATCAAGAGAGAAAAGCCCTGGCTACACCTGCAGTCCCTGAAGATGAGAACCTCAACCAGACGGATCAATTTGAGTCTGAACTGGCCGGAAAGATGAGCAATCTTGTCCTCGACGGCTCTCGCAAATTCATCGGAGGAACGTCGAATCTCATTTTTCTACCTCCTGGGTCAGAACTCAATGAGTTCAACCCCGACTTGGATAGTAGCGGGGATACTGAGGGTTCCGTCACGCAATGGACGAGGGTTACTGATGACGGTCGGCTCATTAACCACTTAATGACCATGTACTTCACGTGGCATTATCCGTTTTTCACCACCCTTTCCAAGGAACTCTTCTACCGTGACTACATCCGTGGGGTACCGAGTCAATATTGCTCATCACTACTAGTTAACACCATGCTGGCTTTAGGATGCCATTTTAGCTCCTGGCCAGGAGCTCATGAGGACCCCGACAGCTCTGCCACTGCTGGAAACCATTTCTTCAAGGAGGCGAAAAGATTGGTCCATGAGAATGACGAACTTGCCAATTCAAAGCTATGCACGGTTCAGGCCCTGGCTCTCATGTCCGTACGAGAGGCCGGGTGCGGTCGTGAAGGGAAAGGTTGGGTCTATAGCGGAATGAGTTTCCGCATGGCGCTTGACTTGGGCTTGAATCTGGAATCTTCAAGTCTCGTGACACGCGACCTCAACGAGGAAGAAACCGATGCGCGGCGCATTACCTTTTGGGGTTGTTTCCTTGTTGACAAGTATGAAATTTTCTTTCAAGTTGGTGTGATGGATATGCTAACTTAACTTTCTTTTAGATGCTGGTCTAACTATCTTGGCCGTCAACCTCAATTCACAACATCCAACACGAGTGCCGCGAATTTGTATATCATCCCCAATGAAGAATCAACACTATGGTCTCCTTACACCGATACGGGCGCTAGTCGTGAATACGCACAGCCTTCGCGAACAAGGGCAGTCGCCGTTCAAATTTCCGAGCTGTGTAGAATTAGTGGAGATTTGTTAGTGTCTTTCTATGACCTTACACCCACAGAAAAGCCGACGTCCAAGCAAATGGAGCTGAAAAAGCTGAGTGAGATTCATACACGTTTAGAAGCTTGGAAGAAAGGATTACCGAAGGAGCTTGAACCACGAGAAGGCCAGCTACCACAGGCACTACTCATGCAGTAAGTTAACAGCTACCATGCCTTTGTCCTCATTGTTTACTAAAATTACCGTAGCATGTTTTTCCAGCTACTCCTCATTCACCTTTACCGCCCTTTCCTCAAATACAGCAAATCGACGTCACCGCTTCCTCAACATGTTTCTCCCCGGAAGCTTTGCACGCAGGCTGCTGCGGCCGTGTCGAAACTGCTTCGTCTTTATAAACGTACATATGGGTTCAAACAAATTTGCAACATTGCAGTTTATATAGCACACACGGCCTTAACAATCCACATTCTTAATATACCTGAGAAGAATGCCCAGAGAGATGTTATACACGGCTTAAAGCATCTCGAGGAAATGGGAGAGTCTTGGCTGTGTGCTCGGCGAACACTGCGAATCCTGGACATATCCGCCAATAAGTGGCAGATCCAGTTACCCAGAGAGGCTGTTATCATTTTTGAACAAACGCATGCGCGATGGGGTTCGTGGGGCTCTTGGGACCTGGCTGCGTCGCCCTCAGCCTCCGAAGGATCACCGCCAGTTGTCGATATGGCCCAACCTCTAATTTCGGCCGCCAATATTTCCCCGACTCCTGTGCAGGCCGTAGGCGCTCATGTTGCCAATCCTATCATCCAGTCGTCGCCCATTGTAGCAGGGCCTCTCAGTTCTCAATTTCCACCGACACGCTCAGCTCCCCTCTCGGTATCGGACATGCGTTCAGCCCAACGATCGTTTAGTGCCCAGCTCGCAAGAAACGAAGCTCGCCAACCCGAACCCACTTATCTCCGACCAGTTTCGACCAACTATAACACCGCCCATTCTGGTCAAATCGCGCCACAAGAAGCATGGTACAATCCAAATGAAGCGCATTTACGTTCCTTCGCTGCCGTTAACAATATGTCTGCCGCTTCCGCCGCTTCTCCTCTCACTACCTTTGATGCGTCAGAGAACCTGGTCGAAGAAAGTCAGGACTGGTGGTCTCGTGACGTAAATTCACTACACCTGGGAGCCGATGACTGGGCTCAGGGTTGGAATAACAGTATTCCAACTACATCGCCAGATTGGCACTACGAGGACAATATGCCAAATATTCCTTCTACAGCAGCGTCTGATGCTAATTTTAGGCCTCCACAGCCGGCGGAGATCCTAGCCACAATGCCTCCTAACATGGAAAGGCGGAATCAGAACGCTCCTGGTACTAACAACAACCAAAATAATCTTGCCGTTCCCGGGAATTTTCAGCAATAGAAGCAGGTCTATTCTATCTGACCGCTTCCAATTAATACCCCTTTATGATTTTTGATTTTGGTAGATTTATACGCATGACTTTTACGATGTAATAACATGCATATATGCCCACTTACTATTTCCTACTCTTCTCCCTCGTTGGCGCTCTATGGTGCCTTCAATATACTTGTACGAAGTTCCCTTTGTATCCCACTCCTACACTGGGATTCCTTAACTTGGGGGTATTGGAATTCGTGCTATTTATTCATTGTGTATATACCTATATATTTTTTGGTTCCTTCTTATTCCCCGGGCCCTCATGACTAGTATACTTGCTTTAGCCTATAAGAAACCTCATGCTGACTTGACAAGCCTAACGGATTGTGGCTGATCATCCATTATAAAAAGGCGAAAAATCGAGTAGCAGGAAGGGATTCTGATTTATACCATGGAGGGATGTCTTACGCGGTGGTTCGATCTTGCACCAACCGCACTTTCCTAGCTTATATTACTGTGACACGGAGGACGCCCCTGCGTACACAATCAAGATAGATTGAAGATCATACGTGGCAATGCAAAATAAAACTCCCATTTCGTTCCTTTAAAAACATATGCTTGGAAAAGCTTACATATCTAATGTCGTCATCAATTGGAAAGTCGGTTCAATAGACCGAGGAAATATGGTAGGAGGAAGATGGACCTGGGGAGAAGGTCCGTAATGGACGATAAGAAAATCACGGAAGATGAAAATAAGGAGCCAACATATATAGTAGGGGGGTATGAGAAGTTGGCTTTTGGGAGGAAGCCAAGGAAACAGAAGTACGGTTGTGTGGTATCACTGCAATGGCTGCTGTTAGTGTGTGGGTTTGGGGGAAAGGACCAAGGAGAAAGTCTCACCAGAAAATAATCAGCAACTGGTTTCTTCGCAGGCATGCCTCTTGTATCCTGCGCAGCCGCTTCGAAGACACGGTATCTCCTTCCAGGGCTACGTAGAGCTGGCTTGTCCACGGCACTAGTCAAGATACCGTTGCTTCTTCCGTAATCTCCATTACTTCGAGTAACCGTACCTCCATTGCTGGTATCCTCGCCTAGCTCCAGGATGGCGGCGACATTTCCGCATCGGTAGCAATAATTGGGGGCTGACCAGACTGTGACGATCCCGCCGTCAAACATCTCTTTGTAGCCTTCCATCACAAGCTGATGAGCACGGGCAATGAGTGAAAGGTCGTTCTTGTAGTTAAATTGTTTCACAATATCAGCACCAAATAAGAAGCCAGCACCGCGAGGACTTAGACCCCAACCGTCGATTTCGTCGGGATCTGACCAAAGGAGATCGCACATGGCGCCTTCATGGGGGACTTCTTGTTTCCTGTCAATAAGACGTATCTTATCGACAGTATCAATGAGTGGCGAAAGTCCGCCATGAACACACAGCACCGCCCCTGTTCTGCTGTCATAACTGCCTGCCCCACTGCCAGAGGCGCCTGTTCCAGGAGCGCCAGACCTCATGGGCGCCTGGTCTTTGGTTGGTGTTGTGTGGCCATTGTCTAACGAGGTCCTCTGTCTTGGTCTATAAGTGCTCATGGTGACGTCGCCCCTGGAGTTCAGCACCTCAGTCTCAAGTTCGCTATTGACGGGGGCTGACATGGTCGATTGAGTAGTGTCGTTGTAAACTGGCCCTGACGGTTGCAACTCCGAACTAGCCCCAAGGACCAAGGCCCCCAGTGCTAGATAGTCAAACACCTCACAGCAATACCTCCATACGTTGGCACTCCCGTACTTGCGAATACACTCGTCGTAAAACCCGTAGACTGTTGTGATCTGTCTAGATTCATGATTCCCACGAATCAAAGTCATGCGATCGGGATAACGGACTTTAAGACAGAGTAGGAGAAGAAATGACTCAAGCGAGTAGAAACCGCGGTCGACGAAGTCGCCCATAAATAGGTAATTTGTGTCAGGAACATCTCCGCCCACGCGGAAAAGTTCCATCAGATCGTGAAATTGGCCATGGATATCCCCGCATATCGTAACTGGTGCGTCAACGCAAACCACATTCCCTTCTTCGATTAGAAGTTCTCGCGCCTTGTAGCAGAGCTCACGGACTTGGGCCTCGGGGATTAAGCGACAGGCGCGCAGTTGGGCGATCGCCCTAGAGGAGGGAGGCGTTAGCTTGGTTTCATCGCCGAACGGGTAGCTATTGCATGATACCTATCAAGATCACTCATATTAACACAGCACTAGCGAGGCACTGGAGTGATTCTACGACGACAGCTAGGCTTAAGGGAAGGTTTATCTGTGGGTCCTGAGCTCTGGAGGAGAGGTCGGCGGGGAGATAGCGTTTTGGAGCTCCGGATAGAAAAGAATGGTCCACTATGAGTGTGGAAACGAGACAATCATTTTCTTCTCATCTGAGAGCCTCTGTGCAGTGAATCCAGAGAGAACGAGAGTGAAAAGCAGGGGGGTTACCTGCAAAGAGGCGACGAAGATTCTGCTGATGAGGAGTTGGCTGCGTTGCGCGCCTCAGGTGTCCGGGCAGAGTGTGTCGCGTTCTGCTGGGCGGAAGGCATTTTGACCAATCAAAAACAATATAGATAAGATTAGATCTGATCGCCAAGACTAGGCCGAATTCTCCCTTCCTTCCGCCGGCTCCAACATACGGCTTCATCCGGTCACGTCCTGCAGCTGCACATCCCTCCGCATTGCCATTGCACAGGAGATGCCTGTCTAGGGCATGATATAACCCAATTAATATCAATACTTTCTTCTCGATCCTGATTTGTATGTTTATTTCCCTCTTTCCTTCTACCAATGCCGCTGTTAACTGATTAGCCCACACCACAGAATCAACACATCCAATGTCGCCCTGATCAATTGCAAGATCATAGTAACGGCGGTTGCTCGTCTTCACAATCCGAACAAATATGCCTCCCCATCTACATCCGCGGTCGCGGTCAACAACCGGCCTTTTTGCCGGCACCTTACTGGCATCACTTTTGGTTGTCGGTATTCCACACGTATTCCCTTGTCCTTCCCCGCGGCGCACATTTGCCGACTCCGAAATAATTTCCACGCCCGACGGTCAACAGATTCAACGGATACGACGAAGAAAGCGGAAGGATGTTGATGCGATACAGGAAGGGAACATCCTTCCCCAACCGTCATCGACAGTGGCCGACGAGGAGGTCTCGACGTTTCTACAACTGGAAGAAGAGGCCAAACGATTTTCCGCACCCGGAAGAGAATGCCCAGTACCAAAACCAACTGGGATTATAGGCGACTTACTCGGCTTTTCGAACCGGACGACTACGCAGACGACCCCGGAGGAGGGCCAACAAGCGGATGTCGGAAGGTAACAGAACTGGTAACCCAGGCGGAGGGGTGTTTGAATGTGACGAACTGGAGGAAGATGCTATGAATAAAGCCAACGACGGCGTCGTTGACCCAATTGTGCCTTTATTATAGGCATCCGGGCAACCCATCTGAGGGGTCAACCCAGAGATATACCCTTGTACATATACCACTACTGGACCATTGTCTGTTTGTTGACGGTTCAATCTATACCTCGAGAGATCTTATATGTAACAACTACGATGATTATTATGAAAATAGACAAATACTTCGAAGATGCCTCGCGCGATGTTTCATCGAAAAATCTTTGTTATGTCAAGGTTAGCCGCTAATCCGAAAAAGGACAGCTATCATTGGTTAAGGTTCCATCCAACTCCAACCGTCAGGCCAAGGATGACGGCGATCGCGACTTTGAAAATCATTGTCAACACTAACAATGGATCTGATACAATTAGTGAGCGAGCTGTGCTCAAATCCCAAGCATACGAGATGGATCGCACCCCTCCTCAACATCGGGGACGGCCTGCTCTGCGCTCTTATCATATGGAAAGTGCCTTGTGAGTTGGACAATCTTGTTTTGCATTCAGTTAACTAGAGCTAACAAATAGCCTGCAACAGATACTGAAATCGACTGGACGACATATATGCAGCAGATACAACTATTTCTCTCAGGAGAGCGCGACTACACTTTGATTAAGGGTTCCACGGGGCCGCTTGTCTACCCTGCCGCCCATGTCTACAGCTACGCATTACTCCACAACTTAACCGATGAAGGACGGGATATTGCCTTCGGCCAGATTATATTCGCTTTCCTATATTTGATCACGCTTACGGTAGTTATGGCTTGTTATCGGCGAGTTGGCGCCCCGCCGTACTTGTTCCCTTTGCTCGTTTTGTCCAAACGACTGCATAGTGTGTATATGCTGCGACTCTTCAACGATGGACTTGCGGCGCTGGCCATGTGGGGCGCTATTTGGTTCTTTATAAATCGAAGATGGACTCCTGCGGTTATGCTTTGGTCCCTTGGGCTGGGTGTTAAGATGACCTTGATTCTCCTGGTCCCGGCAGTTATTGTGATACTTGCGTTGAGCTTGAGTATGAGGTCGTGCATCGGACTGGCTATTCTAGCCTTGGGTATTCAGGTTTGTGCCTACACCTTCATTGGAACTTCCCTTAATGCTTCCACGGATGGTCAACTGACACAAAGATAGGTCATGCTTGCAACACCATTCCTACAGGCGAATCCCAGCGGCTACTTTGAACGCGCTTTCGAGTTTGGAAGACAATTTATGTTTAAGTGGACGGTGAACTGGAGATTTGTACCAGAGGAAATATTTCTCTCCAGAGAGTTCTGGTTGGGCCTGGTAGCTTTACATTTGCTCATACTGGTTATTTTTGGGGTCACGAGCTTCTTGAAGCCGTCCGGTACCAACTTGCCCAACTTCGTGAACAACTTCTTGACGGGGCGACATCACGGCGTAGTCCTCCATCCATCCTTCATTATGACCGTGTTGTTGACGACCCTTGCCATCGGGTTGTTGTGTGCAAGGTCTATACACTACCAATTTTTCGCCTATCTCTCTTGGGCGAGTCCTTTCCTCCTATGGCGGGCTCAATATCATCCAGCTCTCATTTATGCACTTTGGCTATTCCAAGAATTGGCTTGGAATGTGTATCCGAGCACCAACCTCAGCTCCGCCGTTGTTGTACTCTTGCTTTGCGCCCAGGTGTTTGGCATCCTGAAAAACAGGAACACCGCATTTCCCACTTCACTCCCAAGGGCCAAGGCAAAAGAACACATCCAGTGAGAAGTTGTATGGATATTTATCAGGGCTTGGCAAATCGGTTGGTGGTTTATCTTTGATTAAGGTTGTATGGAGTACAAGTTGTTTCCCCCTTGCTTCAGGGGATGAACTGCGCGAAAGTATATTCGGCCGTCGGACATGGTCAACTCGTCGTCTTGCTATGCGTCTGATTCGTCGGAGGATGGCATCTTTCCGACATTTGATTCTTCCTCGTCGTCAGATACCACGGCAGACTGTTTCACAAACTGTTTTGGCCTTTTTCAAGAGTTAGATACGTTACCCACGACGGTTACATCGGCCCACTCACCAAAATGGAGTTTTGCGCCAGGCCTTCTCGTCCCGGACGATGTTAACGATTTCTCCTCCAAGCTTGTTGTCACGGGTATCAAGCGCGTTCGTGTCCACTACCACAAAGGAGCCGCGCTTCATCCAGATGGTGGACCTGAACTTAGCCGGAAGCTCCACCAGGGCTGTTTCTTTTGAGGGAAATTCGACCGAGTAGATATTGTTTCCGGTGGCTTTAATAACTCGCGCGATCTCTTGCCCCGGTGAAAGTTCATCAGGCGGGAACAGGGTTTCTTCAGCTGTGGCAAGCACCTTCCGTCTCGGAGGAGGCATTGTAGAGATTTTGGGTGTGGATTTCAAGGGCGGATACTCAAATATTGACTCGGCGAACTATATGCCCACCGCACTGAGAATTGACAATTAATAGACCCCTCCTATGCCCCGCGGTGCTGAGATCTTTTCGATGTCACGTGAACGCTAACCCGAAAATGGATTTTGAGGCCACTAAGATAAAACGGCCAGAATCCACAAAGCCTAGGCAATAAACTACGTACTCATCAAGATGACCAAGTAGACAAGCCCTCCATAGTAGTGCAGCATGCGAGCTAAATGGTTGAAACCATATACTTCCGAGTTTCCGCTATCGCCATTGACGGGCCCTTCATAAACAGGGTTGCCGCACATGACCCCCGATAGTACATTTGCAAATTCCTATACAGTAAGGGGCAGCACGAGTGACGAGGTGTGCTCGTGAACTCCGGAGAGTAAGAATTAAGCATGGACTGAAGGTTGGGTTCCGTAACGTGAGCATTAATTGCTTTTTTGCCTTGAAAGGCTGCAGTCAGGGATGTTCGAGGCCTGATGAGGGGTTCTTTGGCAGTCATGGTTGGAAGTAGGCTCCGGAAATCCCTGCTGGGCGAACATACGGTTTACGTTGACGAATTGTTCCCGGCTTCAAGTCCAAACAAGAATCTGGCACATGCACATAATTGTATTGTGTCCTTCTCCGTGTTCGGATAACTGTTTGTTGAGGGCCCAGTAACCTGCGGGCGAATTCCGGCCTCATTCCTGAACCATCGCAGACGCGTGAGGCATAAGCCACTGCTAAAGCAAATCAAGGCCTCGAGGAACTCAACAGGAGAAAGTCCGAGAGACAAATCTCAGCCTGGCATCCATTCATTTTCTCATTGACAGTGCGAGAGTCTGGAACCTCACTGGAGCATATCGCAAGGTTCACATCGTGCCTCCCCTTGGCTGTGTCCCCCAATTGTCTGTCCCGCACAGCCCCTTACAATAAATTCTGTGAATTGTGGATATTTTATCGATCTTGCCACAGAAATCTGAGAAAATCGGCCTCATTTCGTCATCGACTGATACAGTTGTCTCACATGTGTCAAGGGTTCGAAAGGATCTGGTGAGGTTTTCTTGAGGGCTGCAGGATCCATCGCTGGCGCCCCCTCCTCTCTGCCCTGTCACTGTCAACAAAAGCCCCGCGACAGCTTCCGCTTCTCTCTCGCTCTCCCAACTCCACACTCCAAACCTCCCCTCCCCAAATCCCGCCCAATCTGTTGGCTGCCTACCCTACCGGCTTCGCCTAGTCTGTTCTTTCCTTCGACGGAGTGTTCCCATTTCCCGTCTTCTCTCCTTTTCTCTACCCCTCTTCAACTGGTCGCTTCGTTGCACCACCGCCGAGTCCGCTCCTCCCCGACCACTGCCATCCCCCTAGGTTAGGCGTCATTCACCATGGACGGGGACGAGCTCATCGCCTCGGTCCTCCGCAAGATCGAGCGGGAAAAGGCCCTCATCGCCGCCGCAACAAACATGCGACTGTCGACTGACAACCCTATGGTGCAACAAAGAGTCGACGGGAACATTCGTGATGGTCGGAAGAATATCGCCTACTTGGAAGAGAAGATGAAGGAGCTGCAACTGCGTCAAGCAGAGCGAGAATCCGGTTCGCCTACCGACAAACGCTTACCGCCGAACCCTGATGATGGCCCCGCCCCTCCGCCGAAAGATTACGGTTCAGGTTACGGTGATTCTGCACATTATGCGCAGCCAGGCGGAGGAAACATGCCGTCAGGCGCTCCGTTCAAGGACCCCCGACCTTTTGCGCCTGTGCCTAAGGCTCGCCCGAATTATACCAAGCTCGGTATGCTGGACACTGATGGCCCTTTCACTATTAGCGCACCGCTATCTCGGAGTTATATACTAATACATATCCTTATCCATCAGACTTGATCAAATATGATACCCAATATCTTGGCCCGAAGATCCAACTCATGTTGTCCCAGCTCGAATTCAAACTTAGTGTCGAAAAGCAGTACAAAGCAGGCATTGAAAAGATGGTTCGCCTGTACCAAGACGAAGGCGATAGAAAGAGTCGCGCGGATGCTGAGGGCCGGCGGGTTGAAAGTAACCAGAAAATTCAGCTTTTGAAGCAGGCCCTTAAACGTTATGAAGACTTGCATGTTGATATTGAGTCGACTGATACTGCTGATGACGGTACGGGATTCTTCGTTTCGTTTAAACTAGGAGTTTATTCAGCTAACATTGGTATCTATAGATGAAAGTTTAAGTGCCCCAAACTTGCGCAAGCCTCTAACCGGTCTTTTGACAATGCGTATCCAAGCCGTTCAAGACGTCGACCATGCGGCTAGCTCGAGGTTTTCCAGGGGTCCCGAGACATTCGTTGTTGTAAAGGTAGAAGACACTATAAAGGCCAGGACAAAGGCGACCAGGTCCGATCGATGGCAGGACGAGACGTTCAATCTCGACATCGATAAGGCAAACGAGGTTGAGTTGACTGTATACGATAAGTCTGGCGAGAGACCCACCCCAATTGGTATGCTTTGGTTGCGCATTTCGGACATCGCGGAAGAGATGCGCCGGAAGAAGATTGAAACCGAGATAAACGCTTCGGGATGGGTTTCTGCGGATAGGATGGAGCCCGGCGCTGGTCCTGGGCGACCGGATACAGCTGGAGGATCAGGCGGCCCGTCACAGTACCCTGGTCCTGGAGGCTATGGAAACCCTGGCGCCCAAGGCCAAACGGGCTCCGTCGGTGCTCCGCTGATGATTGACTCGTGGTTTGCCTTGGAACCCGTGGGCAGAATCCATATATCAATTAGCTTCGGTAATGATCTTTTTCATGTAGCTTTATTCATGTCCCACGCTAACATGCTTCCTAGCGAAACAACTGAAGGATCGAAGACCGTTCGACATAGGTCTCAACCGTCAAGGTGCAGTCCGGCAGAGAAAGGAGGAAGTCCACGAAAAGCAAGGTCACAAGTTCATCACACAGCAGTTCTACAATATCATGCGTTGTGCTCTTTGCGGCGACTTCTTGAAGTATGCTGCTGGCATGCAATGCGCCGACTGCAAATACACTTGTCACCGAAAGTGCTACCCGAAAGTCGTCACGAAGTGTATCAGCAAAGCGAACTACGAGACAGACCCCGACGAGGAGAAAATCAATCACCGCATCCCGCATCGTTGGGATGGGTATTCCAATATCTCTGCCAATTGGTGTTGTCATTGCGGCTACCTATTACCTTTTGGGCGGAAGAATGCCAAGCGCTGTTCAGGTAAATATTCTCCATATCCCCATGCGCATAGTGGGAACTGATAGCTAATACCTGTAACTTGGCAGAGTGTGGTCTAACTTGCCATTCGCACTGTACGCACTTGGTTCCCGATTTCTGTGGCATGTCCATGGAGGCAGCAAACCAGATCCTGGAAACCCTTATCCGCCACAAGCATCACAACAAGTCCCCATCTGTCAGCTCTGGTCTGAGCGGTAAGACGCTTCGGACTGCAGGGGCGTCTCAAGATTCCGCGCATGCCTACCCGAAACCTGCGGAGAGCCCGTTGTCCTATGGGGCGTCTCAACGGCCGCCGTCCTCTGAAGCAGTAAGTGCTGCGGCAACTTCTTATATACCTCCGCAATCGCCTACTTCTCAGCGCCAGCCACTGCCCCCACGAACCTCTTCGTCAAGCCCTGCTGCCGCTGCGGCAGCCATGGCAACAGGCATACGCCCTCAGCAGGCACCTCCGGATTCGAGCCGACCCATCCAGCCCCCTGCCCATGCTCATTATGACCCTGCTGCATATGCATCCTACCAGCAACAGGCCCCTGCCATGCAGCAGCAAAATTACCAGGCAGCCCAAGCAATGCAGAAGGTTAATGCACCAGCCCCTTACGGTATGCCACCCCAACAGCAACCGCAGCAACAAGCTATGCAAGCCATGCAGCAGCAAGTGGCTGCGAAAGAAGAAATTCCTCAGGCAGCGAAGATGAGAATTGGACTCGACCACTTCAACTTCCTGGCTGTTCTCGGAAAGGGTAACTTCGGTAAAGTCATGCTGGCGGAAACCAAGTCTACGAAGAAGTTATATGCCATCAAGGTGTTGAAGAAGGAATTCATCATTGAGAATGACGAAGTCGAAAGCACCAAGTCCGAAAAGCGAGTTTTCCTAATTGCCAATAAGGAGCGCCACCCATTCCTTCTCAACCTGCACGCTTGTTTCCAAACAGAAACTCGTGTTTATTTCGTTATGGAGTATATCAGTGGTGGTGATCTCATGCTGCACATCCAACGAGGTCAATTCGGCCTGAAGAGAGCACAGTATGTATTGCCTTCCTGCTCGATCGACCTATCCTAGTAACTGACACATCTCTAGATTCTATGCAGCAGAAGTATTGCTGGCTCTGAAATACTTCCACGAGAACGGCGTTATTTATCGTGACTTGAAGCTCGACAACATTCTATTAACCCTTGATGGGCATATCAAGATTGCTGATTATGGTCTCTGCAAGGAGAACATGTGGTACGGATCTACCACGAGCACCTTCTGTGGTACGCCAGAATTTATGGCACCTGAGGTATGATTCTTCATCTCTCATCATATTTAGCTCCGCATACTAATAAATATCATAGATTCTCCTTGATAAGAAGTACGGTCGAGCGGTCGATTGGTGGGCTTTCGGTGTCCTTATCTACCAGATGCTTCTGCAGCAGTCTCCGTTCCGTGGAGAAGATGAAGACGAGATTTACGATGCTATTCTTGCAGATGAGCCTCTCTACCCGATTCACATGCCCCGCGATTCGGTTTCTATTTTGCAGAAGCTGTTGACCCGGGAGCCCGAACTGAGACTGGGATCTGGCCCCACAGACGCCCAAGAGGTTATGTCCCACGCTTTCTTCCGCAACATTAACTGGGACGATATCTACCACAAGCGAGTTCCGCCACCATTCATGCCTACCATCAGCAGCGCAACAGATACTAGCAACTTTGACCAAGAATTCACCAGTGTCACTCCTGTGCTAACCCCAGTGCAATCAGGTAAGGCGCTACCTTTTTGATCGTTTCAATGCAAATGCTAACTCCCTTCTCTTCTAGTTCTTTCCCAAGCTATGCAGGAAGAATTCCGTGGATTCTCTTATACTGCGGATTTTGCCTAGTCCGGACTTTCTGTTCAGCGAAGTGTTGAAGTTTGGATTTATGTCGCATTTGAGATTCTTGGTCCGGATGATTACCACCCCCCTTTTGCGCTGAAATGATAGTCATTACACATACATACCCATAAGAGTTTTGAAAGCAGGTCTTGAGTGGTCTTCTAGGGGGCGCAAATTGAGAAAAAATGGGGTGTGTTCTGGGGAGGGTTTCCTGTTATTCAACGCGTGTCTGTGCCTTGTAATGGATTGTTAACTTCGCCATTCAAGGAATGTAATTGTTCTTCGCTATCCCAAACCCTACGATTTAATAATGTTGTATGACTTAATGGAAGGGGGCCGTTTTGTTCCTATCACCAAGGCAAGAGTTCGTAAATTCCAGCTATTACTGAATCCTCAAGTCTCAACCTGTTCCGCAACACCGCATTTACAATTCAGCCCAGTTGTCTTTGTTTCCGGCTTAACGATGTCAATTCCAGTGTTACGCCCAAATCTCACAAAGGAAGCACTGTTTCCAGCTGGCTGTCTGGCTCTTTCCAGTAACCGCCAGGTATGTTTCTTTGTCCCCAAAAGTCCATCTTGATCACGACAAAGAAGTCCACTGATGGCATCACAATCTGCATACGAAAATAGCATCTTTTATTTCCCAGAAGCACAAAGGTCCAAGAGCAACCAGCGCACGCCATTCCATCCCTCAAATTAACATTTCTCCCCCATTCACTTCGAAGTTCCTGTCCACAACTTGGATAGTGTAGGCTCTCCACCTATTGAAGACGCTAGTGATCTCTTGACATTACAAAATCATGTCCTCAGCTGCCATATCCTCCAGCGAGGACGAACTGCGAGTCATCTATGACGACGAGAAACAACAACCTTCCACGCCTAGACCGAAGACTAAGAAGAAACCACTCCAAGACCCAACTTATACGCCACAGAAAGACGAATCAGAACCTGGGGCGCGGAAAAGGAAGCCGCAAACAGAAGACAACCAAGGTTCTCTATTTGAATATAAGGGCTCACCTCCATCCAAAAAACCGAATACTAGTAAGGCCCAAATCAATTCTTCCTGCATTTAAAAAGCTAAATTCCATGCAGGAATGCCTAGCATCTCAGTCGCAAGCGAAGCCACATCTGTTGGGACTACAGAGAACCACGCAAACAAGAACAACTATGTGCAACCATACGTAGAGTCGTCCGGCGCCTCCAGCGCGGCCAGCGAACCGAGCTTATTCCTCAAATCGAACCATCCAACACGGAGACGGTCCGCGTTGTATGAAGAAGACACCAATTATGTTGCTGAAAGTGATGACGAGGAGTACAAGGAGGCGGAGGAGTACGATATTCCTGACAATGAGAAAGCAACAGTTCTCTTTGACTTCGACCGGGAACGAGAGAAGCGTCTGGCCGGTGTAGTCGACATTCCCGAGGGCATGTACACCGAAAAGGAGAGGTCCCTTTTCCTAAAACTGGCAATGCGCGGGTTCGAGCCGCTTGCCCCAAAGCATTGGCAGTTTGATTTCCCAACCTTGCCTGATTCTCTGTTTCCTGAGTCTGGAAAGCAGCAATCAGAACCAATTATCAAAATATCAAGAAGCACCGCATTCTATGGTAAGTGCTCGCATGATTCTGTCTTGGTCAGCCTCTCTTTGTATTCATTTGCTTATTTGTCGTTTAGCTATTAAGTCTCTCGGAAATCTGTTCTCCCTCAGCGGGCGTGTGAGGGATTGTAGCATTGTGGAGAAGAGGCCCGAGCCGCTGATTAAACAGACGATTCAAAAGTATATACGATGGGCATTATATGATGTCAACCTCGAAATTAGTCCTGGATCAATACCAATACATGCTATACACGCACAAAGAGAGAAAGAATCTGTTCGCCAAGCGTTGGAACGTCTCAATAAACGTTTGAAAAAGCTCGCCGTTCGACACCAAACCGCATTGCAAGAAGCAATTGATGCACCAGGCGAGGAACTGTCTCCCACGACTGAACTGAACCAAATCGAGGAACCCTTGCTGATAGGGTTTCTCATATGTGGACCAGTTGTCGCTCTAATGACATACGACTTGGAGCTCTCGAAAGACGATGAGGAACCCGACGGCAAATTCTTCTTGCAGTTTGATTTCGCGGAGAGAGGGCAGGACGTATGGAACTCCCTGTCAATCGCTATAGTTGTGATGCATATCCGTAACACGATGGTTCAACTTGCGGAAAACAATTATGGGGGCTTTATAAAGTCTCCAGGGAATGATGCTGTAAGTGAGGATCTCTAAGCGACAATAGAGCCGGGCCCGCCGGGCGTGTAATCCAGTTTTGCTTGTATATATTTTGGTCATCATAAAACCCAGAATTTTTTTTCTTCTTCTCCTTCATTTGATCTTAACGATCCCCATCTCTTGTTGGCCAAACAATTTTATAGATCAAGATGCGTCACGTGATAGCGCGATATTGTGAGATCGACAGGATCCCCGCCATTTGTACTTGGTATCTTTCTTCGATGAGAGCCCAACTCCATCATGGATGCAGCTGATGCCCGAGAAGTTAAGCTCCAGCGTGCTTCTGGGGATCTTGTCGAGGAATTTTCGGCCAAATTGCCGTCCTTGCTCTGGAAGCCACAATCTACCAAAAAAGGTGAGAGAGTCCCACGAAGATGGACTTTGGCTTCGAAAACAGAAAGGCTCGTCAACCTTGTAAGTCCCGGAAATATGGTTTTCTCTGTACACGGTCGGGATATAGGCCAAAAACTTAGGGCTCTGCTAACCAGTTATCTTCAGTTGGAACCCTTCCAAGAATGGCCGCAGTTGCTGGATCAGCACTTGCAATCACTTCTGCCTCCTCTAGTCGAGGCTCTGTTGTCATACCTGCTAACACATAGCAATCAATATGCCATAAAATCGGCTAGAAACCAGTCTAGAGCTTTGTATCCTCTTCCAAGGGCTATCTGCAGGCTCCTTTACACCTTTTGTAAGGTACGAGGGGTCAAGGTTATCAGTGGGTTCTTAAACAATGAGCCAAAATACCTTGAACCTTTGCTACGCGCCTTCATTCAGTGGGATACAACTCGGTCAGACGACCCTCATGCTCTTTCTGAAGATATCCCAAGCCGGTTAGTGTGGGAGGAGCGCTATGTGCTGCTTATATGGCTCGCGCATTTATTGCTTGCACCTTTTGACCTGTCTTCGATGTCATCCGACGATATACCAATTCCATACCAAGTATCCGGACCAAATGAGCGATTTTCGCCGCAAACACCGGCGGTGGCCACCTCTCTTCTTTCAGTTGCGTTGGCCTATGTCAATGTAGCAGGGAAGGAGCGTGAAGCCGCAACGATGCTTCTTGCACGTCTCGTCCTGCGCCGAGATATGCAAGCTCTAGGGTTGTTGACGAATCTCACCGATTGGGCGCTCAATGTAATCCAACCTCCCACTGGTACTGATTCCTCCGCTGTCTACGCATACATCGGCGTGCTATCTTTTCTTGCGCGTTTGACTGGATCCGGCCAAGCCGAGGACCTCGCGCCTCTCATCGTCCCTGTTTTTAAACAGATAATGCGTATCGTGCAAGGCGATACCCAAGTATCTCAGGCGATTCTATCGTCTGCTCTAGCTCGAAAGACCATCATCAAAATCCTTCGGTCTATAACCGTCATGGCTCTTTTACTTGCTGAGAGAAGCAGCAATCTAGTATCTGATGACCAGGTTTCCTTTATCCTGGAAGATGCAATTGATTATTTTTTGACAGCTCTCGCGGACAAGGATACTCCTGTAAGGTTTTCCGCGAGCAAGGCGCTCAGTATTGTGACCCTAAAGCTGGACCCGGACATGGCTACTGAAGTCATTGAGGCTGTTATTGGCTCATTGGAAGAAAATATCCTGTATGAGAAAAGGGATGGTACTATAATAACGCCTTCTGAGGCGAGGCGAATCGGAACAAGCACACTGAAACGCAATCTAAGCGCTGTCGACGCTCAAAGATGGCAAGGCCTAATTCTCACATTAGGCCATCTATTATTCCGCCATGCACCTCCAACCCATCAACTTCCTAAGGTGTTGCAACCCCTTGTATCCGGTTTAGACTTCGAACAAAGGTCGTCCACTGGAAGCTCTGTCGGGACTGGCGTTCGGGATGCCGCGTGCTTTGGTATATGGGCTATATCGCGCAAATATACAACGCAGGAGCTCCTTGCAATTAACAGGCAAGCAATATATTCCCCCACTGCCCAATCTGGGGTCAATGTTCTCCAAATGCTTGCCATCGAACTTGTTTGTGCCGCTTGCGTGGACCCGTCTGGTAATATCCGAAGAGGTGCTTCTGCTGCCCTTCAAGAACTTATCGGTCGCCATCCCAATACTATTGTGGAAGGGATCCCTATTGTCCAGGTAGTGGATTATCACGCCGTGGCACGGCGCTCAAGGGCGATGATTGACGTTGCAAAAGAGACAGTTGCTCTTAGCCCCCAGTATTGGAGCCCGCTGCTCGAATCATTGATGCAATGGAGAGGCATTGGCTCAGCCGACGCCGAATCCAGAAGACACGCAGCAAAGGCTCTTGGGGAGTTAAGTACACAGGAAGCCAACAAGTCCATGCGCGTCGTCCTTCAGAAACTACTAGACAGGTTTTATAGTATTCCCCGCAGCGATGTTGAGACACGACATGGGTGCTTTCTTGCCATCTCTTCAGTGATCGATGCTTTCAATGATTTTGAGACATCTATAATTAAAACCAATGAAGATGCACGTCACATTGCTAGACAGATATCTGAGTTCTGGGAAATCTTTGGCTCGCCGACTGGGCCAACTAAAGACGACCTGACTCTCCAGACCTCCCGCCCAGAGCTCACTGCTGAGGCTGCTTCGTGTCTAATAGCATCACTTTCTAGATCATCTTACCGTCTCAGAGAGCACCAGAGCTACGAACCTGAGCCTGCTCTTCTTGAAGAAGCCTGCAAGGTTCTGATGCTCTGTCTCTCTAGGAATGACGATATTTCAATAGAAGCCTCGTCAAAAGCGATCTCGCAATTGTGGTACCTTGTACAATCTTCGAAGCAGGACGAATTAATACAAGGCTGGCTTTCGCACATTCGTACAACTCGGAACTTGCCTACCGGTCGAGGCCATATCTCCATTCTTGGCTCTATATTCAGCGAGCTTAACCCAACTGATGCTACTCGACAAGTTGTGATTGAAGAGCTCATTCGGTGTGCCGAAAAGGAAGAATTAATTGAGAAACGAGTGGTAGCCGTTAAGAGCTTTGCCATGGGCGTTCTGCCGCATATAGGTATGCAGCTCCTCGAAAACCGCAGGAAAACGGTATTAACCGACATACAGATGTGACCGAAAATATTGCAAGTAGTCTCATTGGGTTTTTGAACGACTATACAACAGATAGACGAGGTGATATTGGCTCCTTGGTTAGGCTGGAAGGTATCCAAGCCGCAAAAATCGTGCTGCAAAGGAAAAGTAGCTTCACCAACCAGTCACACATCCAAGACATAGTCGGTTGCCTCTGCCGTCTTGCAGCAGAGAAGTTGGACAAGGTCCGACTTGAGGCTTGGCTCTGCCTCCAGGTCTTCTGGGATAGCGCTAGTGGTTTTCCACCATTGCAGAGGTATGGATCCGTGATGCCTCTACGTATATGTGCAGGTGCTGGATGAGTCTTAACGAATATGCTAATCGAAACAGGCATTATGAGCATTTTAGTCAAGTGTCGTCAACCGACTACTTTGTGCAACTGCTAGAGCTGCAAGGAATCGACTGGCTACGGATTCCACTATTCCAGGGATTTGCGACATCCGCTGTGGCGGGGGCAGAGGGACTCATCCGCGCCACGCGCTCAGCTTTAATCCAAAATATCAACAATTACCCAGCTGCAGAACAGCCCAAAAGAGTAACGGCCATTATCCAGGATTTGCTCCTTATCCTGGATGAGAAGCTTCCAGATGACCGTTACGCAATACCAATTTTGGAAATATCAGCATTCTTATTAGATGGTTATGTCGCCTCCGCTCCTCAATTCCGGGACCCAAGGTCAGTATCTTAGCCCCATTAGTGAGACATATGTGGGAAGCACTGACGTTGCCCAGCTTGAGGAAACTGTTCATCCTTGTTCAGAAAGCCCATTTCAAGACGCAGAATATAGTCAGGCTCGAGGCTGCAATCCGGGCATATGCACCCCTCTCAAGACTAGAGCAGGTGCGGGGTGACGTGATGAAAAAGCTCACAGGGATGCTCCTTCATCCGTTTCCAAGGGTACGCTCTACTAATATCAAACTCGGGGCTCTTCTAACTGGCATTAGGTTCGGACCACGGCGGCAGAATATCTGTTCATGGAAACCAACCTTGACTTAGTGAAGCTAGAAGATTGGGCGAGTCAGCCAACGAAGCTAAAGAGTAAGGTGGAAGAGGTGAGAGGACTTGTGGCCAGTATATGAATTCTCGTAGCATTAGAGGTACTAGATAATATATCTCTTGAGGCTAGGAAAAAAAAAAACACGTCGGGTACAAGACAAAAAGGATTGCTATGCATCATCCGTGAATCGAACACGGGCCTCATCGATGGCAACGATGAATTCTACCACTAGACCAATGATGCTGGTTGAAGTCCTGTCTGAAAATTTGCCATTATGGACCAAAAGTCCACTTTAGATCCTATTTCCTATTCCAGCTAGTTGTGTCACATGACCTCTTGCTAAAGCGGCAAGCAAATCAAGCTGCATGAGGCCGCGAGAGCGACAGACTACATACAAAGAAAACACTAATTGAAACACGGAAATTCGGCCTGCGACGACCCATCTACCGTGTCGCGAAGATGGCCACTGTCCCAGTTCCCGCCAGTATCCCTCCCAATCCCACGTGAGTTCTTCTTCAATCCATTGAAAGCTTCCCCTCCATACCGGGACCGAGCCCAACTAACAGCTCTCCGCAGAGTCTACGTACGTCAAGCCAGCCCTCTCCGGAGCCCCTCGATACTCCATTTAAAGCTTTCTTCTTCTCTTTCCTGGAACATCGATTAACCCTCTGCAGGTTCGTAATCTTGAAGAACGCATAAAGCCCGATGAGTTAAAAGAAGCGCTGTCCGAAATCTTCTCGGAATACGGGACGATCCTCGAAATCATTGCGAAGAAAAACCTCAAGGCCAAGGGGCAAGCATTCGTCGTATTTGACAATGTCGACTCCGCAACCCGCGCCATTGACGAAATCAATGGCTTCGATTTATTCGACAAACCAATGGTCCTGGATTACGCGAAGACAAGGAGCGATGCGACAGTGCTAAGAGAGGGAGGGGATGACGAGTTAGAATCCCACAAGCGGAGGAGGCTAGCAGAGAAGGGTATGCCTTCTATCTTATCTCAAATACACTTGGGCATCCTGAATGGTTGTGTGATGTGGTGCAATATACTAACCTTAGTCTCTAGAGCGTCGACAAGCGCACGAAGCCCTAGAGGCCCAGAAGAAACTCAAACGCCCACCAGTCGGTGCGCCCGAGGCCACGGGTCGCCCTGCCAAGACAGCAAAGGGTGCTGGTCTCAAGCCCACGTCCGGCGCTGCGGCGGCCGTTATCCCCGACGAGTATCTACCCCCGAACAAGATTCTGTTCTTGCGGGATCTTCCCGATACAGCAGACCAGGAGACTCTCACGAGTGTTTTTGGAAGGTTCGAAGGGTTCCAGGAAGTCAGACTGGTACCGGGGAGAAAGGGAATTGCATTTGTGGAGTACGAGAGCGAATCTGGCGCTATCAGTGCGAAAGAAGCTACATCGGGGATGCCGATGGGCCCGGAGGGGAAGCCAATTCGGGTTACATTCCAGAGACAATGAGCTGCTTATCGTTGTCTTATTTCTTTTTTTTTATGGGCGTTGGGGGCTGGATTTATGGGTTTGAGCTACCTAATCGCAACTATGGAGTATGCGAAATGCTACAACATGCATGCATGTATGGTATGGCCTTTCCTTTAGGCCGAAGAAACTAAAGTAACAGCAAACGGCAAGAAACATTTGAATGCCAAAAGGAAATACACTACATACAAGTAAATGGGAATAAACATGCTAGAAAATAACATCTGTGTCTTCTTGTTCCCCTAGAACGTCAGGCGCCTCTGGCTCTTCAGTGGCATCGCCCAATTGTTTCTGTTTCTGGGCCTCCTTCTCGCGCGCGGCTTGAATTTCAGCATCAGCTGCTGCAACATCCCTCTGCTTCTTGCCCGACACCTTCTTGAGTCGGTAGAATTCTTCTCTGTCGAGCTCGTCGAGTTCGGAATTGATGTCTATGGTGGGTTAGCGTGTGTGTGAAGGCAAGGAGGGGTTAAGTCTGACATTTGATGGTGTTTTCTGTTCGTGGAATGATAACGTGTTCACTGTGCCAACTTCGTTAGTTGTTGAATTCATGAAAACGAATACTGGGGCGAAGGCCTCACATAGCATTTACTAGAATTGAGTTAATATAGGCGCCGTCAATTGATTGGGAGTGAAGGCTTACCTCTTCGGTTGACAACCTTGATCACTTCGTCAAGGATGACGAACGCAGTCTATACTAATTAGCCAGCCGCCGGTATACTGTTATGTACTTCCATACCTGTAGACTCGCAAGTTCGACCAAGGTCTCGACCGCGCGGGCATAAGTCTCGCGACAGCGTTGTACCTGTTGTCCACCTTTTCCAAGACCAGTTAAGCCAAAGTCGTTGATGGAGTCTTCCGTGTAGCTTTCAAAATGAGGCAACAGAACACCAGAAACGTTATCCTGCTTCGCCCGGACTCGAAATCGGGCCTGTTTGGCGGACTCTTGGACCTGGTAGCCGATATCACCACCAACAGCGTAGCTCACTTCCGCCAGGGAAAATGCAGCAACCTGCATGACCCGCCCCATCTTTTGTTTGGCTTCATCGATTCGTCGGGTTATCTCTGGATATCCGTATTAGCGTGGGTGATGCGGAGAGGTCGATCGACGAGTATGCATACCGCGGAAACGCCTATAAAACGTATTGATATCAGAAATACAATTATTGATATAAAAAGAACGTACTTTGTTAAAGCTTCACTTTTCCTCTTTAGCAAACTGTGGCCAGTCTCCGCGCCCTTTAGTTTACTCTTCATCAACCCAAGCGACTGACGGGTCGGGAAGACCGCCTCACGGCCCTATATAGAAGCCAGCATATCAATAGGGGCTCGTACAATAATGTGGATAATACAGAAACAAGCGACTCACCACTGCTCCGGACATTGTTTTAGTATCCGGAAACGGAATTCAACGAGAGGCGCAAACAATGATAGCGGTCCAAAGGCGGAGAGGGACATGTCGATAACATCACCGGAATGAGAGGAGCTTGGACCAGCTCGTGGCCTGAGGCTTGCCTGACATCCATCACGTGATGTCGCTGCCAACTTCGTCGGCGAAGCGCTTGTCGGTTTTCTCACGACGCGACGAGAAGGCTTTCCCGTTCATGCCACCACTTTTTATTGCGAATAAGTGTTGACCGTGTGAGTCGGTCCCGCTCGATTGAGTGGCGCAATGCCAGGGACGCTTCTGCCCCCGAGATCCCACCGGCAACACGCAGAGATGGATCGATCTTCGGCCTCCCGGCCAGATTTATATCTGATTGTAAGTAAAAAGCTACCCGTGTGAATAGGAAATGACTGCTAATATGATAACTACCGCATTAGGCCGATAATGACAACGTGTACGAGCAGGATCTCCTTCGGAATCCCGGCAGCATCAAGCCATGGCTTGCGTACATCGAATACAAACAGCAAAATGGGACGCTTTATGAGCAGGCTTTCGTGAGTGATATTTTCATGCTCGCTCCCTTCGTTTTCGCAAGATACTAAACGTTTGACAGGTTCTAGAGCGTGCTTGTAAACAGCTCCCGAGGTCCTACAAGCTTTGGAAGATGGTATTTAAATTTCTGATCCCACTGATCGATATCTGGAGGAATATGCTAACAGATTTATTATAGTACTTGGAATTTCGAACGAAACATCTTAAGAATCGCAATGCAACCAAATACCGGGCCGAATTTCAGAAGGTCAACGCACTGTTTGAGCGTGCGTTGATCCTACTCAACAAAATGCCTCGGATATGGGAGATGTACCTCTCCTTCATTCTTCAACAGCCGCTCGTTACACAAACTAGGAGAACTTTCGATCGTGCTCTGCGAGCGTTGCCGGTAACTCAGCACAATCGGATTTGGAAATTATACAAGGCTTTCGCACGGTCTGCTTCCGGTCAAACCGCAGTGAAAATTTGGGCTCGATACATGCAAATCCACCCAGAGAGTGCAGAGGAATACATCCACGTCCTTGTGGAGATGGGACAGTATACCGACGCCGTGAAGCGCTACATGGGGGTTCTTAACGACCCAAGGTTTCAGTCCCGGGACGGAAAGAGTAACTTCCAGCTGTTCACTGAAATGGTGGATTTACTGGTCTCAAAAGCGAAGAAAATCGAGACAGGGCCTCAGTCTGGAATTGATGTGGACGCAATTCTGCGTAGCGGCATCGATCGATTTGCCGACCAAAAAGGTAAACTTTGGGCCGGACTGGCAACTTACTGGATCACGAAAGGCAACTTCGAGAAGGCACGCGATGTCTTTGAGGAGGGCATTACGACAGTCATGACAGTTCGCGATTTTACTCTTATATTTGATTCTTATGTCGAATTCGAAGAATCCATCATAGGCAACCTGATGGAAGCTGCCGCCGTTCGGACTGATAATAACCAAGCCGATGAGGAAGCCGATTTCGATCTCGATCTTCGGATGCTCAGATTTGAACAACTTATGGATCGACGACCGTTTTTGGTCAATGATGTTCTACTTAGGCAAAATCCCAACAATGTCATTGAATGGGAAAAGAGGGTGGCTCTTTGGGGTGACAACAACGTGGAAATTGTACAAACATACACCGCTGCTATATCAGCTATCAATCCCAAAAAGGCTGTTGGCAAGTTTTCGGAGCTCTGGGTCAACTACGCGAAATTCTACGAGCGCGGCGGAGACTTGGGCCCTGCACGGGTTATCTTCGAGAAAGCCGTGAAAGTTCCTTTCAAATCAGTTGCAGAGCTTGCGGAAACATGGTGTGAATGGGCGGAGATGGAGCTGCGCAGCGAAAACTTCGACAAGGCGGTTGAGATCATGGGTAAGGCAACGCAAGCGCCCAAGAAATCGACCGTTGATTACTTTGACGAGACACTCTCCCCTCAGCAACGCGTTCATAAAAGCTGGAGGCTATGGAGTTTCTATGTCGATCTGGTGGAGAGTGTTTCATCGATCGAGGAGACGAAGAAGGTGTATGAAAGGATCTTCGAGTTGCGAATTGCCACCCCTCAGACTGTTGTCAACTACGCCAACCTCCTTGAGGAACACAAATATTTCGAGGATTCGTTCAAAGTATACGAACGAGGCCTGGACCTCTTCACCTATCCAGTTGCGTTTGAACTTTGGAATCTTTATCTTACCAAAGCCGTTGATCGAAAGATTGGTATTGAGCGTTTGCGGGATCTATTTGAACAGGCGCTCGATGGCTGTCCTCCCAAGTTTGCCAAACCGCTCTATCTGATGTACGGAAACCTGGAAGAGGAGCGGGGATTGGCTCGACACGCGATGCGAATCTACGAACGTGCCACTCGGGCTGTCTCTGATGAAGACCGCTTTGAAATGTTCGAGTTCTACATCACCAAGTCCGCCTCCAACTTCGGATTGCCGTCTACGCGGCCGATCTACGAGCGGGGTATTGCCGCTTTGCCTGATCAAGAGGCCAAGGAAATGTGCCTCAAGTTCGCCGAGATGGAAAGGAGATTGGGCGAAATTGATCGCGCACGTGCTATTTACGGCCATGCATCTCAATTCTGCGATCCGCGCACCAATGCGCCATTCTGGCAGAAATGGGAAGCTTTCGAAGTCCAGCACGGAAACGAAGATACATTCAAGGAAATGCTTCGTATCAAGCGAAGTGTTCAAGCTCAATACAAGTATGCAACCCCAACCCCAATTTTTACTATACTGTTATGGCAACATACTAACCAATCCGATACAGCACCGACGTCAACTTTATTGCGTCCCAGGCCATCGCCCGCGGTCAACAAAAGGGTGAAGGCGAAGCTGAACCGGAAACTGGAGGGGAAGAAATGGACGCAACCACAGCAGATGCCATGGCGGCGTTGGAACGACAAGCGCGTGCACCTGTAGGCTTCGTTGCGGCCAGTACCGGACCTGAAGGCGGCAATCGTCCTCCTCCTGCCAACCAAGCACCTGCGGCCGCTGCTCCGGCGAACCCTGACGCCATCGATCTCGATGACGAAGACATGGATGCGGACTAGAGATCTTCTCTTCTCCCTCAACTACGCTGCCACTGCGAACAGAAGTCAATCCCTCTCTTTTTCCTTAACTCCCGGTACCATTTACCCCGTCAAAACAAACATAATCACGCGCCAATGATTGTCTAAACCATCTACCTATCTATCTACTACCATAACCGCTACCTAACCGTCCACAACGGCTGAACTCAATAGATCAATATATCATCTCAAACACCTAGACAAGGGTGTGCTCTGTGTTTGTCTCTCTGTACCCTATATTGATCTCCTATGTTTTATCTCCTGGTTTCTTGCAGTCTTGTCTTATTGTGCAAGCCAAGTCATTCTTTTGATGAATCTGCGATACCTATCTTCTCCAACGCAATGGCGTTTTGTGTATAGATGAAATGATTATTGAGGATTTCTGGTATTTAACTAGAGTTGTAAACTATTTTATGATTTCTCGTAGTCTGTAGAAGGCTCCTGGTTCGATTTGCATTATTTTAGTAGTCTGAATGGCCTAAAATATTATATCTGCCTGCTGTATGAATGCGAAATTAGGTTGGCATGAAAGACACCCTACCCAAGTCAAATCGATTACTTATATATCATAGCATTCTAGCCACATAAACACGACAACAACAAAGGCACAAACAGTATATTTACACGCCTCGTTCTAAGTAGATCTAAGTAAAAACAAGGCTGTCCACGCTATAAATGCCCAGGGTATTTAAATGAACAAAGTGACTCAAATGCATAGGTATTCGTTCAAATACTATCTCCGTCGCCCTTCTAGGTCAAAAGTTTTTAGGACTGTTCAGATTCGGTCTTCTCTTCGGCCTTCGGGGTCTCAGAAACTGCCTGGTTTTCCTTTTCACTTACGGTTGTGGTTTCCGGCTCCTTTTCCTTTTCCTTTTCCTTGTCGCCTGGTGCGTTTTCTGAAGGTGGTTCAGCGGGGGTGGGGGGTAGAGGCGAAGCAGGTGTTGAGGCTGGCGGTGTTTCCTTAGGTGCGTCGGGGAAGATTTCCTTGAAAAGATCAGGCAAGAACCGCTCTAGGCGTTTCTTTGTTTCGGTCCAGATATTTTCCTTGCTGGGATCTTGTGAGGGTGGGACGAGGTGGCCCTGGTCTGCCATGACTAGGATTATGTTCTTGATGCTCTCCGGAATGGCCTCCTCCTGTGCAGTGGGTTAGATATCGTGTAATACTGATTAAAGACAACCAGAAAGGCAAACTTACGAGACTATCTCCCTGACCGCTATTCATCATTCGGTCAAGGATATCGAGGATCTTGAGCCACAATTCTAGCATGCCCTCCGCGTTTGGAAGTTGGTCAAGATAACGCAGGAAGATTTTGCACACCAAGGTCGCTGTTTGAACGCGGGTTTCACCCATTCCGCGTGGGTCGGAGTGGAATACTTCAGGCTTGAGTAGCCGTAAGATCAAAGGGAAAAGGACTTGATCAAAGATCGCAGTCCATTCATTATCGGCTCCAATACCGACAGAGAGAAGTGACCTTTGTAAAGTAGATATAGCATGGTGCCGGATATCTCGACAAGGGTTGGTACACTGGGAAGTCAAGGAGTGGAATATTGGTGACCAATATGCTGACCAAGCTGGATTTTTATAATTAGTCCAAGGTCAATCGTGAATACTTTCGGTTTGGAGATGGAATGCACAAACCTTCACCATCCTCTAGATGTGATTGTTTGATCAGAGTCGGAGTCCGACTGGTAAGATGGTATATGAGGCCAATGGCGGTCACACCGCGCGAGACGACTTCATTTTCACTGCATAAGGCGGGTTAGCATGTTTGGGAATGGGTTGGGTAAGAAAGAGGGGAGAGAGGGTAGCGTGATATCGAACCTTTGCTTTGGTTGCTTGACACCTTTGGGGCGTCGTGTAAGAGTGTCCCTGTGTCTTTCTTCAATATAGCCTACGCTGCCCGCACTTATAAACTCATTTGCAAGGGCGACAGCAGACTCGTAGTTGTCAGCCGTCACGATAGGAGGGTTTGAATCGACAATGGCTCTCAGGAGACTGAACACCAAGGGCGCCGCGTCCTTGTGCTGATGCAAGCGTTGTAGGATGGACCAGAAGTCCGGCGAGACAGTAATTTCATTCCGCAGAAGGTTGCCGTCAAAGACGCACCGCGAGAGCCCCTTGACGATAGACACTGCGACACTCTCCAGCGTGTCTTGGTCGAAGCTAGAAATGCCATGAAGAATGACAGGAACACGGGTGAAAGGCTGATCCTGGTTAACAGTTAGAACGTAGGGCACCGGATTTATGAGGTAAAAGTCCATACATGGCTCAGCCGAAGCAAGTTCAGTAGATAAGTCACCACTCGTGATAATGCCAGAGGGTGGAGATTCCTAGCATCTCGAATGAAACCTTGTAAAGAAGCCAGAAGGCCTTCGCCCAGACTTTCAATTGTTTGTCCGTCTCGAAGGGTAAGAATTGCGGTCAATTCTAACAGGTACATCATTCCTGGTTCATATCGCCCTTGACTTGAGTCTGGCCCGGCATTTGCTCGCGTTGATGGAAGCGGCCGTTCCGGTTTAACCACAATGACCGCTGGGGCACTCTCTTCAGGCAACTGAGCTTGTAACGATTCCACTATCTTCGCTACAGCGTCCAAGGGGAGAGATCTGACAAGGAAAAAAAAAAAAAAGAAAGTCGTTAGCATATGCATCCAAGGCTGGAAATCTGAGGGTGGCGCTCACCTGATATTCGAAAGAAGTTCGTCGATTGAGCATGCGCTCACACAATCTACAGTGCATAGTGTATTATCAAGTTCTTCATCTGATGGCTCCGGAGGATCATCAGCTGCATAGCTGGATAGGTAAGACGTAAAGGCGGAGAGTAGTCCTGTGTCGTTGCCTCGCCCGTCACGATCCACAACCTGCGATGGCGGCTGCAAAGGGATCGGGGTAATATCGAGGTTGGCATTCAGAGTAGAATCAAAAGGGGGAATGAGAGAGTTGATGAACAGGTTTCGGAGTATCTGGATAATATGTGACCAGCTTTGCTGGACCGAACTCTCGTTATTTGTTAGAATTCGAAAGAGCACGACGGTGGCTAACTGTGCCCTAAAGTCTCGACCGAATTTCACGGCCAGCTCACTGACCATAACACTCCTCTTGCCAGCCTGTACTTCGGTGTTGAGAGCAGTACTAGGTGGGCTACTCGTGGCAAGCGTGCTGATTGAAGCAAGAGAAAAGACGATCCGGTCAAGTGCATCAGTCAACCCATAGCGTGCAGCTATTTGAGCGCACTGGTCAAAACCCATGACCACGCGAGAATACACCGCGTCGTCTGAGGCGGACATGAAGACGTATGATAGAGTAGCGACTACAGGTTTCCAGGTAGCCGCGAACATGTCTGCGTCGTAAATGTTGGTTTGACCAGTGACCAGTTCTCCAGTAGTACTTGATTTTGCGAGCAATTCCCTCCATGCATAGTCGAATGCGTGCTTGTTATCGTGTTCATCAGGTAAGATGATTTCGTTTTGTTTAATAGAATCATAGATCTCTTCGAGGAACTCTGGGGCAAAGTTCTGCCCGGCATTCAGACCCCGTAAGTTCTTTGAGAAGTCTTCACAAGACATACGACTCTGAGCCTTCATGTTAGGGTTATAAAGAGTAGTGTTCAACATGATAATGGCATAAGTCAGGACAAAGAGGGAATCCTTGTCAGCAACCTCTGAGGGCTGGGCCTTTTCAATGTATTTTTCACTGAAAGTGGTGACGATTCGTTCAATCAGAGCGGATTCGCCAGGCAATCGGAATGCACCGAGTAAATCTCGAAGCCCATCAACCACAGACTTGCCAGAGAACTCGAGGAGATCCACAAAAGAATTGAGGAGGTTCTCATTGGATCGTTTCGAGATGTATTCACCGAGCGCTTTCTTCGATAGCCGGGTAGTACCTCGCAAAAACCGCGCGACCTGATCGGGGTCATCCGGATTTTCAATTATGCCATGAGACGCCAAATAAGCAATCCCACCTTTGGGATCTTCGTTAAACTTTTGAGCTCCATGCACAATGACCCGCTTTGTGTTTCGTCGGTTTCTCAATTGTTCGTTAGACGGAAATCCCTCAGTGGAAGCCGGCTCATCAAGTCTATCGTAAATAGATTGTACGTAGCTCAGAAGTGCGTCCAGACACAGGGGCGGCACATTGGTGGTGCTCCACGTTGCTGAATCAGGGAATGCGCTCCGAGAAAGTAATCCGATCATGTCCTCGCAGAGGTCGGCTCGATCAACTTCACAGTCATAGTTCACGAAGAGTTCGACCATAAAGCTGGGAATTCGTGCCAGTACGCCAATGCTCTCAACCATTGCTTCCCTCGTCTCGGGTTTTCTGGAGCCCCCTTCTAGACCAAGCTTTTGTCGATCTTTCACTGCGACGGGTGTGGATCGTCCACTAGTACTCTGAGAAGGTGGTTGCTTCACCACCTTAGGCGCCTGGGGGACTCCCTCATACAAAGCAGGATTGATTCCCGGTTCCCTTGGTATTTCTACCCGCGGATGAAGGCACGCAACTAGGTATGATAAATAGAGCTCCTGCTGAAGTTTCAAGACAGGACGGCATGTCAGAATCAGAGTACCAGCAACCCTGAGAGAGCTAGTGAGAATTGCTAGGCTTTCAGATCGGACGAGTTGGAATAGGTGGCGGCAGAGGTCGTTTTGTGCTAAGGATGCTAGGCTGGGGTGCCTGGCAATTGAGGGTCCTGCGACTTCTAAAGCAACATCAATTATCCTCAGCGCCATAACTCTCATGGGGTCTGTATGTTGCCGGTTGTCTGGGTCCAAAAGGTCGATGAGCACACGAAAGAGTTCTCGAATGGAAGCCAAAGAGTAGGGCTTGACATCGGGACCCGAGTCATCATCCGGGTTTGGTGGAGCAGCGACTGCAACCCCATTCAGTGCTTGATCAGAGGGACCGTCAGAGCTGGCGTGCTCGCGGTCCGTGACAGCTGTGTCAGAGCCCATGGCAGAAGGATGCTGAGAAGCGACAGTGTTTCCGTCAACTGAGGGGTCCATTTTGAAGTTTGTTCGCTCAACCTCATTCAAATGCGACGGTTGTCGATTATCAAGGTCGAGCGGTTCTGAATCAGAGTCCAACACAGACAGTCGCATAAATATAACCTGGCACATATTGACCATAGCTATCTCGGCAGACCTTCGGAGAACCTCCGAAAGGCGGACCTGACAGCACATGCTCAAACCGGTCTCCATCATCTCACAGACACTCTCATCCCCCAGAAGTTCGCCCTCCGGCCCGGACAGCATGCCTTCCATCAACTTCAGGATCCTCAACAAAACGATCTCATCGGCGGAGGAATCACTAGCTTCGAACCGGCAGTGGGTGATTGCTGCGGACAGCAGCTGCATGGCCATAGAGATTCTGGGGGAGTTGCGGTCGATAATCTTATAGGAGAAGAACTTGGTTAAGGCGAGCAAGGCAAGGGAGGTGATAGCGGCGGAGGTCGAAGAAGAGCGGACGACCTGAAGGAACGGATGTAGCAAGGCGGGGGCGTCGAATGTCTTGACATCTTTGCAGTCTTTGAGGTCACTGCGTAGTCGAGTGAAGGCGGAAATTAGAGGGTTATCCTGTATGCTTTTGCCTTTCTTCCCCCTCAGTCCCCACCGATTGGCGAGGGCGTGATCATCGTCTGCGGAGGAGAGCCTCGACCTCGGTCGGGTAGGTGTGCTCCAACCACGGGGGCTGGGGGGAGCAGATGTCTCGCGATCATAGACACGAGAGACGGTGCCGCTGCCCAGAATGGCGGCGACAGAGGAGTGAGCCCATCGGGCATGTTTCCGCATGGCGGAGGTGACCGTGATACATTCTGTTGTCACTAACGCGACCGGGTCGACGGCGATGGGCAAAGACGAGGACGACATAACGGGCAGAAGCGAGCGGCGGAGATTAGGGGGTGCCCGGCAGAAGAACAAACTTAAATCATGGCCCTTGTAATTGGAGTTGTATACAACCAGGGCCGATGTGGACACAATTCAAGAGTTCCAACAGCTGCAAAAAGGCGGAGAGGGCTGCTTGCTTGATCGGGTCTAGCGCGTAAATACCCATTTGGGTTTGGTCTGTTTATACCCTCCGGAAGCTGAATAATACATCCACCTGCAGTCAACAGATGGCCAGTGATCGAGTATCTAACTAGAAGGCGCCAGGAGGTGCTTAATGAATGGCAGATAATCTAAATGAGACGACCGGAATCTTGGCCTGCCGTTCTGTCTGAGGTTCGGGCTGTCCCACTGATCCATGGTAGAGCGGCGGTGTGGTTGTTGATGCTTGAATGCTGAGCTTCGGTTCTCCACCCAAACTCTCCGATAAACAAACCGTGAGTCTCTCTCTCTCCTTGCATCGGATAACGAGACGGATTATGATCGGAAGGCAGGGCCGGGGTGCGTGCACCGTCTTCTCGAGTCTCTTCTGCATTTAGCTTTTTCAGATTTTTTCCTTCTCTTATTTTCTTTTTCCCAGATGCATCGGTTGACGGGGGCGACCACCAGCAGCGGCAGTACACGTGTTGAAGTGGATGAGTTTCTGGTCTCAAATGGAATTGGGCCGGGATGGATTCATGTTAGACTAGATCTCAGCAGAGTAAATTAAATAGATCTACTTAAAGCCAGTGCTTGCTTCGGGTGTCCCCTCTCTTGTCCTCCACTGCATCAGCTAATGCTGGGTGGGCGCAAATCATCTGCTGCTGCAGCTCAACCACAACAAATCACCGGCACAACAACAACAACAACCTTTTTTTACCATCTTCATCCCCAGCGCCCTGGATCAACCCAGAGTCTTAGGGTCTTCCCAGGGTTCTGTTTCGGCGGAGGAGCCTGCGCTGTGCAACTGATCCCTTGTTTTCCCACTCCTTCTCCGTCTCCTCAGTCTCGTTGCCACCGTTCTAGTCAGCCTCCATGGAGGGGCTCTCTTTCGGCTGCCATCGCATGAGGACGTTTCACTCTCTCAATTGACCCTTCTCCTTCTTGTCCGGCCTATCGGTCATAATAACAACTGCCTGTCCTTCTCTATCATGTTCCCCATCCTTTTTTCTATGTTTCCCTTTCTTTAACCTTGGATGGGTACTCTTCTGTCGCTCTCTCTCCACAGCTGACCTTTGGGCTGCTACCTACAAGGTAGTTTCTGGTCTCTTCAGTTCTTTCCCTCACTTTTCTCTGTTTGCCCTTATATCTACTAATCTAATAACGACCATTTGAATCCTTCGCTCTTCCCCTTCCCGCTCGAGCGCTTCACCATCGCTGTGCGCGCGCCGCGCCGCTCTGACCTTCCTCATCGGCCACCATGGCGACCCCCTCGTGTGCCCCGTCGGACCTGCCTTTGGACCAGCTCAGCCTATACCATGTCTCGGACCCTTTGTTATCGTCCATATTTGTCTTCTACGGGCCCGTATCCACCGCAAATGCAACCGTGAGCAGTTCGCGCATCCAGGCGCATATATTGACACCTGCCGGATTCCAAAGCTATTCGCGTATCACCGTGTCCCCCGCAGCACCGCTGTATGCTGCTGTCAATCATCTACCTCGAGACAAGCAAGGCGACGAGGTTTGTCGCGCCCTGGCTGTCGGCATGCTGAAATACTTCGCCGAATTATCCGACCCCGCAAAGGACTGTCTGCAAGCTCTAGCTCGCGCGGGGAAGGCGGGGGGCCAAATCCCTAAGATGTTCGATGAGATGCACGCAGCCGACCTAGCAAATCGCATGGTAAAAGTGGAAAATACAACTGATATCGTGCGGGATATCCGAGGCGCGTTTCAGGAACGCAAGGTCCCATGGGTCGATGTCGATATAGTACTTCCTGCCGGGACCATCCAACCTCCCGAACAAGCAGAACACGACACCCATGCCGCGGACCAACCTACGGATACGGAAGATACTGCTGATGTTAATTATGGGAAATATTCATCTCTCATACGGGCTTTAGGAACACCCATGTTCTTGCCAACCTCCCGCCTGAAACGGGCCCCGTCACAACCCACCAATGTCAGCCGCTCCAAGGTGTTCTCTCAGAATCAGAAACAGTCACTCCGCCTGACTATGTGCGAGGTAGTAGATACCGAGGAGAGATATGTCAGCAAGCTGTATAGCCTTGTATGTGAAGTGGCCGAGGAGTTCCGCGCGAGAGCACAAGGGAAATCGGCATCAAGTACTAGCCCTAGCGAGTCCGACTTGACTACGCTATTTCCCCCATGTTTGAATGAGATTTACAATGTGAATATGGGCTTCCTGGATGTCATTCGCAATGTGTTGGAGGATACGGAAAGGGATGCTATTGCCGACATTACTGAGGACACTGAGTTACCAGCATCCACTTCCCAACGGTCACTTGAAGACGAACGAGATGCAATTGGTGCTGTAGCATTTGCAAATGCACTTCTCGAATGGTTTCCTAAGTTTTCCCAGCCCTACGGAGATTATATGCGCGCCCATAACGCCTTCACCCAGACGTTGAACTCGTTCATGAGGGACAAGAACTCTAGTTTCTCCAGGCGCGTATACGAAACTGGGGAACAGAGACTGCGATCATTATTGATGGAACCTGTTCAACGACTTCCGCGTTATAGCCTATTAATCGACACGATGACAAGTAGCCTTCCTTTGGTACACCCCGCCGTCCGCCCACTATTGAAAGCGCGGGATATAATCAAAGACATTTGCTCACTTGATGATCCTTCTTCTACTAACCATGATCAAGGTTTTCGACGACTAAAAGAGTTGGTGGATGGGTGGCCATCCACTGTCTTACCCACTGGCCGATTGATTACTGCGGTCGATTACAACGGGCTGTCGTCACCATATCATTTGGATCCTCCAGATGCTGACTCGGATGCGGGGATTATGCTGCTATACAAGAATTGTCTTGTGCTTTTATCGAAAGTTCCTGAGAGTCGCATGACGGCACGTGGCTTGATGGCCGAACTAGATAACGCGTCTTATACGGCCCAAGGTGTCTCAGGACCGCTCGCGTCTTCAGCGGAGATCCGGGTTGTACAGGTTTATGACCTTCATACAGTACGCTGCATGCAATCTACATGCGGCCGGATTCTCTTTCTTGCTCCTGCCTCAGTGGCGTCGAAACCTAACCAAAATACATCCGTGGACCTATTGGCTTTAGAACCGGTCTCAATGTATGGGGGCCGTGCTGGTCGGATCGTTGAGGAGATTATTAAGGCAAAGATCGAGGGAAGGTTCTCCGAAAAAGAAAGGGAGAGTGGGGGGTGGTCGCTCCGAAATCCAACCGGTACCGTTGGCAACCTTGGTATCCTGGCGTGTGTGTTTGAAGACGAACATGGTGTGGAGGCGAGTCGGCCCGCGCCGTCAAAGATTAGAGTCGTCTTTGATACACCAAGGGCGCTCTGCACCCAGACATTGGGAAATACAGATTTGGAGGTGATCATATCGGTTTCTCTGGTGGGCGAAGATCAGTATCGGGTCAACGTGGACTCGATAGTAGGTGCAGGTTCATCGGACATCGTCACGGTGGATGGCTTCGTTCCAGTGCTTTCAAAACGCTGTGAGTACTCCCTCTGCCTGGATCCTCAGTTTGAAGTTTGATTTGCTAATTGGAAAAGTGCTGAATATCCTCCAACCCTTGCATGACACTCGGAATAGGCACATGACGGAGTCTCTAGTTCATTCTAATTTTGCTATAATCAAATACATCGCTGGCCATCTTATAGGGCAGTTTAAGACTCCGCGTGGATTCCGCCCTCCCTCGCCAACAAAACTGATTGCAAACCTCCTGGGTGGAGGCCATTCACGAGACAGCAGTACCTCAAGCTCCAAAGCTCCTGGGTCGGCCACTTTACAGGGTGAATTCCCCAAAATGCCGCCTCCTCGCGCTAATGTTTCGCGGTCCAATACTTTGCCATCTTCATTCCCGGGAAAAGAGGAAACTCCAGTCAAAAATCCCGTCGCAGGCACGACGCCCTCCAAGGTATCGGATAGTCCTTTTACGGTTTTAGAACAGGCATTTGCTGCCTATGTTTTAGCGCTGCAATCTCGGAGCGGGAACATTGTTGGGCGTACCCTTCGAACAAGGGACAATGTGGACCGGTCATCAGTTAACGAGTTATACAACGTCCTGTTAGAAGATCCAGCAAGGCTCCAGGCGGCAGCTGAGGTAGCGGTTGACACGCTGTTCGTGGCCTTTGAGACATTCATGGCAAACGCATGGAAAGAGCATATGGGTCCAGTCATAGATCCCACTAGCCTGCGAATGCTCCAGAGCCAGTTTGATGCCATGTTTCCTAGAGAGTTCGAGGAATGTTTTCGGAAATTTGTTGCCGATATGAGCCCTCAGAACCGTCGCGCTCTCGCTTCACTTATCCGCCTCCTTGCGGATCTTCTCGATGCTTCTGGAAGTGATGGCGATCGGGGCGCCTTGACAGCCGCGTTTGCGGAGATTTTAACGATCGAAGGTGACCCAATGCAATACGTGTCTCTGCTGGATAGATTAGTGGATGACTTTGACCACTTTTTTGATGAGTTCGTCCCAAGCGGCTCGTCACTGGAGGGAATCCTGACTGGCGATCTGACCAAGCCTGCCTCCCAAACTCCAGGCTCTGTTGGTTCCAACGCATCGTCTTTCCGCAAGCGCTTTGGCTTCGGCATACACAGAGAAAACTCTGGAGAAGGCAAGGTTGCCTCAATTCTCAGAACTCTCAGCAAAAACAAGGGCCCCAACGACTCAGAACCGGGGACACCGAGAGGTTCACTGTTAGTACGCTCAAAGTCGATAGACCTTGACACAAGTTTGAGTTCTCTCTTACGCCCAGGCTCTCGCGATCGCTCTGGTGCTTCTATATCGCAAGAACTTTTCCGGCGGCCTGAAAGTTCACAAGAAGACCCGCCACCCTCAATAAAGAGTACCTCGGGAAGCGGTGTAGTCAGGGTGCGTCGAAAGCGAAGGAGCTCGCTATCCGACTTGCGACCAGGGACGGCATCAACAGACGTTTCTAACCTATCGCCGAGTCAAGCCGCCCGTCCCACAACTCCTGAGTCTTCTTCGACCAATCTACAAACCGATCTTCTAACTCCTTCAAAGGCTGCTCGACCTCAGACTAGCCATGGTTCAGGGTCCACCAACCGTAGCACGTCACCTTTAAAAGGTAGCCCACCCCCAAGGCAGGGCTCACCTAGCCGGCGTTCACCTGTCCGCCCAGTCACACCCAGCCGGAAAGAAAATGTCGACCCAAAATACTCCACAGCCGACAGGTCTCCGAGGAAGAGGATTGAAGAATCCCTCTCCCCTAGTTTGGAACCAAAACGCAGGTCTGCAGTTCCTAGCTCCAAGGCCCCTGTGCTGAAAGAGCGATCAGGACACATTAACGGGTCGGAGTCAACCCGTCCACTATCTTCATCGTCTTTAACCAAATCGCAGAGGTTGCGGCTACAAAGTCCTCAGAAGGTATGTCTCTAACTTCCAATCTGTAGACCTTTCGCACTTCGCTAATCCGTATACAGCTCCGGGACCGCCTTCAAGGCGAGAAAAAGGCACAATCTATCGCTCAGCTAGGCTTGAAGGATGAACTGGAGCTTATTGGTCAAGAGCTTCGAGGTTTTCGGCCATCGCCGACTCGACAACTGACAGATTCAACAATTCAGGGCACTTCCGACGACACAAGCGCAGCAGCCCTGTCGGCCCGGATGCGAAATCTAGAACTAGCGTTCGAAAGCTTATCTGGCGAACTCAACAACCGAACCTCTACCATGGAGAAGGACCTGGAGTCGTCCCTTGTTGTGAGCGAGAAGCGCGCCAAAAAGCTCGATGAGCTGTATCGCGAGGCTAGTGCTGAGAACGAAGCCCTTTATGGTCGATTCAATTCGGAGCTGAGCAAACTCGCCAAGGAGGTCCGCACTGGGGATGGTGAGGATGCGTTGAAGACTCAGCTGTCATCTGCAATGGACGAAATTGGGAGATTAAAGAAAGAGAACTTTAGACTGAAACGCGAAGTTGGGGGCCTTCGAGCCCAGCAAGCAGCAGTGGCTTTGCTCAAGGCAAGCGCTGAATAATTTCATCGAGGGACACCACTTCGTGCTAAACAGGACCGAGTTGCCAAGATTTGGTCTGTTATGTCCTTCGCGCCATGGGTGAAATTTGGGTGTCAGGTACAAGCATATGAGCGTTTCTTGTATTTTCTTCTAAGGACTTGGTCACTTACGGCGTCTGGATTTGGATACACTTAGGAGACCGGCGAGTACGGATTTCCATTCTTTGAATGATGTCATTTTCTTTGTATGTAAACAAGTGGCTGAACTGCATGTATCACACCTCGGCCGGTTGACTATGCTAAGGCGAGGGATCAATCACCGATGGTGTTTGTCTGATTACTTTCTCTCATTATCATGGTGGATCTATTTCCATTTTTCCATTTGTGGATTAGCGTGCATAGCTTATACTGACCCCATTAACTTTAATGATTCAAGGTCAATCATCTTATACTTCCATTCCCAGGTTAATGTCCAATCCGTAGACTCTAACCTCGGAAACATTAGATCAATTGTTGGCAAGGCCAACGGCACATCAACTGGTGGCACAGCGCCGTCAGCCCCATCCTTCGAGATAGCAAGGACTGGAACTGTAAACCGTGATTGCCCCGGAGCTTCTCGATCTAGTCTTGCAAAAAATGCAGCCACACCAGAGCTGTCCTCACGTTCACCATCACTTTCATATACAGAATTCGGATTCCGACCCTTTGTTTTTGACTTTTTGGTATCCAGGCGACGGACGGCGGATAGATCCGATTGACGGAGAGGACGAATGACAAGCTGGATTCGGCTTTCTTTGGAACGTTCCTCGTTATTTTCTGATAGTGTCCGAGTAGGGACGGCTGTAGAAGTGGAGGTTTTCTCTTCGTCCCCGTGTTGAGATTTGGGATCTGAGGTACATTGAGACATCAAAGGATCTTGTCCAGGGGTGATCGAAGCACGGATCCAGAAACGATTATCCCATAATGTCCAGTGTATATAGGATTCCTGTTCTGGACTTCTTGGTGAAGTTGGATTTGGTACATGGAAGTGGAGGATTGGATCGCGACGGCGCATGTATGGTTGGCGGGTTAGGAGCCAGCTCGTGTTCCCGTAGTCAGCACCATCATCGTCATTAGTTGTTGATGTCGTCGTAGGGGGGTTGGTATTCGAGGAATTCAGGGGGTGGAAGAGCACACCACCTAATGTAAATGGTCTTTGCTTCTTCTCGGTTTTCTCTTCCCCGGTTACTTGTTCTGTGGTTGCGGGAGAATGGAAGACACGGCTGGTAAACCCTTCAAAACTACTGAGTGAGAAGTGGTTGTCCGGAAACGGGGAGACGAGTTCTGTTATCCGACGAAGAGTGAGAGATTGGAGTTCGTGGAGGCGCTGAGCTGATATCTCTTGCTGTTGGTCCTTCATGGTCGAATATGGGGGAGATTTAAACTGGATCGTGATGGACCCCGAAGCGAACCGGAGGTTAAGTAGCCTGCATTGGGATTCAAGAATCCTATCAGATAAACGAAGCGAGTCATGGATTAAACTCCGACTGTGGTCGACTAAAGATAGGATAGATGGATTTTGTAAGGCACATGGTAGAGAATTAGACGATAGAAGCGAGCGGATCGCATTTCGAGGCGTAAGGGTTGGGTCGAAATTCGTTCGGTCCGAGACAAACGGAACTTTATTCTCGTGACATGTCGCAACGAGATTCGATTTAGGAAATGATAGAAGTGGTCGACAGATGAGGATTCCGCCTGTTGATACCCGCGCACTGCTCAGCTGGTTTGGAGTTGGGGTTTGCTGTCGAGACTGGGCAAACTCATCAGCATCCACAGTGACGGTCTCCCCACTCCCCGACACTCCGTGAAGACCATGACACTCTGGAATCCTCGCAAGAGGAGCAATTCCCGCTAGTCCTGCACCGCGGGCACCGGAGCAAAGTCTCCAGATCGTAGTCTCGACGATGTCATCCTGGTGATGACCTAAAAGTAATGCTTCAATACCCCGGTTCCTACACGCTTTGCCCAGTGCCTGGAATCTTAAGCCACGCGCCTGCGTTTCAAACGCAGAAAGTCTGACGCCCGTCCAGTCTAGCGGGAGGATTTGGGTCGTGATACCTGGGATTTCTTAGCTAGGCTCAACCACAGCGCTTGGAAGGGGCGCACAGCTTGAAGCACGCACCCAGTTTTCTAAGCCAGGTCGCAACAGTGTTTGCTTCCTGGGTACTTTCCTCTCGGGCTTTATGATCGACGACAAAAGCCGTAACTCTCGCTTCATCCCTGTCATTGTTATTGACGCCGCGGGCTTGGGCTTGTTTCTGTCTCTCCCATTGCCTGCATAAATATGCCAAGGCCATGGAATCTGCTCCCCCACTGACAGCTAGGCCTATATTATCACTAAGCCCCAACTCTTTTCATACTCAGAACATAGTCAGCTGGAGAAATTACTAACCTAGTCTACGGGGCACGGCTGATGTCGTCCCAGGGCGAAAACGACCCGATTCGAGCCATGTTCGACTGAGCGCGTCGGTGAATTGCGGGACGGTAATTGCGCCTGCGCTTTTTGACCGCAAAATGCATGATGCTGCCATGTATGATCCATATATCGTACGTGTGGGGGGTTATAAACTGGGTGGATTGGTAAAGGAAGTGTGAGGTCGAAACGGATGTCTTGCCGCTTTACGGTATCGCGGCAGGGCTGCGCACGTGATCCATATACCACGAGATATATCCATACTACTAACTACATGGAAGACCTAATTCTTTAATTGAGTAAACCAAAAATTGCGCTTTAATAGCTAGTATATACATATTTATGCCGTATTCACACAGAGGGCAACTGAATAATCGCTAAAAATGAGAACAGAGGTATCGCCTACCACCGTAACACAAGGAAGCCATCATGGGCCTCACCTGCTGCGCGCCAAAGGAAAAGACAAGGCAAGGCGAGAATGTGCTAGGATATCTATGCTGGTTAAGCGCATAACACAGCGTTAAATCAACTGTTGTTTACAGAGGCAGAGCCTGATGCCGTGCTGCCCGGTGAAGCTCCGGTATCCTCGACATGGGCAGTTCCGACACCACCTGACTCAGACTGAGGTTGTTGGTTGGATTGGGGCTCCTCAATTCCTGGATTTTCCTTGGAATTGTTGCCTTTGTCAGACCCTATCAGTCGAATCGCCTTTTTGTCGGTAGCCTTGTAATGGAGAACCATATCAGTGCTGTTGCGCCAATGGAGCGCTCTTATAGTAGCAAGGGTCATGTTGGGGGTTATGAGCTATGGGCTGTTAATACGCTTCCAGGACGTGATGAGAGCTATCTCAAGAGACACATACAATATTTTGACAGTACAGCTCAAGGTACTCCTCGGGTTTCATTGCATCTTGTACCGGGTCGTTGGTCGGTTCTTCAATGCGCTCCGATACGTATGCTAGTATTTTCTTAGCCCGAAGCATTCGGTTGGCGTTCAGGCGGGAATTGTTTGTATTGCCATTGAAGCTAGGTCTGTATTTCCGTCAGTATGTATCCAAGAGGACAGCAGAGATCGGTACTTACGGGTCTGGTTTGACGACCGGCGGTAGGGAGTCGTCGTATGGTTTCAGCGTAAATGCAACTTTGACGGGCTCCTTGAAGGGCATTTGGTTCTGGCTAGGTTAAAAAAAACGAACGGGCCAAATTATGCAACTATTCACTTACCCTGAGTAGCAAATCAGCCAGCCACAGCGGCATGGTTTTCTCAAGTTTCTCTCTGTCCTGGCTGATATTCTCAACAGTGCCTCTGTAGATATCAGTGGCCACAACCGAATCACCAGATTCTTCTTGGATAAAGACCACAGTGCGATTTGGTATCTCCAGCAGAGGTGTCTCGCTCTCGTCACTAGGAGCAAACGCCGACACCAGGTCCTGGTTTGGGTTGCCGGAGATATATTCCTCATAATCGTGATGTACTCGCTCAATAAAGCCGCTGAGGTTGTTTTCGAAAACCTTCTCTTCCTTTACCGATGTCATCTCAGGTTCCTCCACTTTTTCTTCTTGTATTTGAGGCTTAACTTCAGTCGAAGTCCGTCCCAACTTCTTGGGGAAGTCCATCCGGAACTTCTTTCCAAAGCGCGAGCTGCTCTTCTTGCGTTCCTCCTTATCCGGCTCACTGGCGGAAGTAGCAGTTGGTGTCTGTTCTCCTCCTGATGTGGGTAGGGACTTGTCGGGCTCTCCGGATGTTGTTTGAGTTTTGGGAGGCGAAAAGTAGTCGCTCGACCTATCCGACATGGAGCTTCTCGCCACATCGGCACTTTGATGTGACATTAAATAATCAGAAGACTCTCCTGGGGACGTCCCCATGTTATTGTGATTGTTATGCCCGTGGTTTAAAACCGATGCCGTCAACGAACCGGGGCTTGTGGCAAAACCTATTCCAAAACCAGGTGTTGTAGGACTGCCGAATGAATCATAGCCTGAGCGTCCAGGAGCCGAAGATGGATCTGACGGTATCGGTACGCTTAACTTGCCGGGGATATCCACTGGCGCGGTCTGACTATGTGACTTGGCAACTTCCTCCGCTTTAGCTTTCGCTTCGATACGGTATTCGGCATCACGCTTGACCTGTTCATCCACCAACGAAGCAAAGAGCCAACGTAGGACCCACTTTCCCAGGTTCACTATACCAGGTCAGCAAGACAAAATCCATTGTAAGGAAAGGGCGTACGCACATCTCTGATCTTCTCGTATTTGGGAATAGTCGGCTAGCTGAGCCTCATCCGCGTATATTTCCGCGTCAAAACACCTTCCCGGCTCGAGTATTACAGACAGCCTCCCCGTTCGGATATCAATCGTGCACCAGTGTGCGACACTCTCGGTGGTGTTGACTTCCAATTCCACATCATCCATATGACGTTTGCCGAATGACTTGATAGGCACACACTAGATACCGTTAGCACGGCCCCGTCTCAATTGGGGAGGTAGTCGGTGGTTACCCTAAGTAGATCCCATAAAATCACTTCGCCGGCAGAGTCTTGTGTTAATGTGCGTTTCCGGTCATTCAACAGACAGTACTTGATTAAGCCATGCTGACCCTCTACCGTCTCTTCAGGCAGAGAGAAAACAGGAACTGTGATACCTAGTTCCTCCTCAATGTCCGGTCGTGGTGAGGATGGTTGACCATTTGCAGCCGGGTTGGATGCTTGGGGTATCCGTGAACTTGGCAGTATGGACGTGTTGGAAAGAAGCAAAAGTGACTCATAGGGTATCGTTGTTGGCTTTTCCTTGGGCGGCGACTTGTCTGACCCTTTTGCGTTCGAGTTTGGAGGATCGGCAAGCACTTTGGGGGCGTCAATATCCGCAGTTGTATCGATGTCACTCCAGCGATTGATGCTGGACGTTGGTGTGGCAGTCCAGATGTGATCGCCAGCTGCTACGACCTTGACCACCCCCTCATGCTCCTGTACTGCAGCTACACACATACCCTGTTCAATATCGGAAGCATTCCTCGTATCAGTTTTGGCAACCAGACCAGATCGGTCGCTGGAGTAAAAGACGGAAAGGTTGGGATGGTTCGAATAAAGTGACCAGACGCTGTCGTTGTGCATAGTCAGCGTATGCATGCATCGACCTGCCGTCAGAGACCAGATCTTGACAGTTTGGTCCGAAGACGCCGACATAATCGTATCGCCGTCACTGTTGATTAGAATATCTCGAATATTGTCCGTATGTCCAACGAACTTCGTAATCAGCTTTCCGGACTTGGGATCCCACACCCTCACCAGCTTTTCGGGTCCACCGCTAGCCACGACGGAAGAGACAGCACCCAAAGCGTAAACTGAACCTTTCGCACCCTCATCCGTACCAGCGGCACCTATGCTAAGGATTTCTCCTTTGCCATTGAGGTCCCACAAATTAACTTTGTGATCCAAGCCGCCCGACGCAACCCATGTTGACTGGGATCCTGGGCTCGCAAGCGACTTGACGTAGTCGGTGTGTTTACCGATGGGCTCCGGAACGTCCGTAGTCTCGGAGTGAGGCCGCCATAGCCTAACCGTGGTGTCCGACGAAGCACTAACTAGGGCAGAATTGTTCTGCGTCAGGACAATGTCGTTGATCCAGTGCGTGTGCGCCTGAACCTGATTACGAAACTTGGTCGGACCGGGTTTCGAGGCTGAGGATGAGGGAAGCGAGGGAAGGTCGAGGTCCCACGAGCATATAACTCCGTCGCGACCAGCCGAGTAGCTGGTTCAAGAGAGTTTGGTCAGAATCGGGGCAACACCGACGACTGCGACTTGCAGTGTCCCTTTGGCAGGGAGCGTCAGAGGGCGGTTCGGGCACTCACAGAGTCGATCTCTCCGGGTCTATCGCTAAGCTGTTGATACCCAGCCGATGACCACCAGGTGCATCAGCCGGAGGGAGCACTGGACAGACAACGATTATTTGGTCAGCTGCAAAATCCAGACATCGGAGCAATCGGAGGGCGTGCGAGCGGGCTTTGGAGTGCGAAAGAAAGAGGTAAAAACAAGAAGACACAAAAGCCATCGCAACGTAAAGCACTTACCATATGTGACCCTTTGATGGCTCAGTTTGCGTGCCATGCAGTAGGCGACAACGGCGACAACGGCGACAGGCGTGCGGGTGAAGCAGGTGAAAGTGCGGAGGGGACGGGCGATGCGGAGGCAGTGACAGGACGATCGCTGCTCACAAACGTGCGATCAGACAGATAGCGGTGGAGACAAGCATTCCTCTACAAATACAACGCCAACAACGCAGAAAGAGGGTGGTAAGCACCAGCAGACAACTCTAGCACAGCAGGAAGCGACGTCTGGGAGAAGGAGGCTGTGGAGGAGAAGCGGGGAATGGGATTTGGAGGCGATGAGGTTGTGCCTGATGGATTTATTAATCTACTTGGCCGATGCGCTAGGCCCCTTCGTTCCTCTTCCACTCCTTTGATAAAGGATCTGATCCCCGTCCTCTTTAATTGCAGCTATATAGACCAGCTCTATTGAAATCTGCTCCGGAAGCGACCGCAATTTGGCAAGCGAGCAGCGACAACCTCGATCGGCACAGACTGACACTGAGCCCGATCCGGCTAAATAAATGGGTCCGAAGTGGGTAATTGTATATATTCTGGAATGTAATAATGATATAACTATACAAAGTAGAGACTGGCACAAGCTGCTTGGTCTTTTCACATAGGTTAGGGAAAATATACTCCCCTCTCCTCGATCAAGCCATCTATCCTCCAACAAAGATCCCCTGTTCATCCAACTTCTCCCACGAATCTCCCTCCATCCAATCTCTCATCTCAACATTACAAAACCCCTACCACTACACCAACGTCGAAGGCATAAACAAACACAGCGCTGCCACCAAAAACCCTACTACTGACATGAAGAGTGGGGAACCGAATAAGAATGAACACAATAATGGCAATGGCAACCACACAACTCGATCCGCAAGCACAACTATATTCTATCTTTTAACGCCTCATTCGCCCGTTGGCGCGTTCCATCGGAATCGCAGCCGGACGGTGCATACGCTTCACCGCGGCCGTGGACGGTATATCGTCATCCATGCTGACCGGCCGGGGTGTGGAAACGGCGAGGGTAAGGTAAAAGCGTCAATTGAGTCGTTTGTCGTTGGACACAGGGTTGAGATGGGGGAGCGGCTGCAATGGTTTGGGGACAGGGGTGACTAGAAGGCGACTTATTCGTTGCCAGAGGATGATTCATCAGGAGTCAAGGATGGGGATGGAAACGAGGAACAGTTGCAATCTGGAGGATTATTGATCAGCGAGGTAAGTTTTGATGGAATACCGCTAACTATGGACTAGGTATGTTCTAATATCCATTGATTCAAATAGACTGTTGTCCCGGGCTTCGAGGCGGCGGACCACGACTTTCTCTCGCATGAGAAGATGGAATACCTACTTACGCCTGAGCAGGTGAAAGAGCTGCAATGGTTGCTCAGGAACCACGAGGTGTCTTGATTTTGTGATACCATTGTGCATAAGCCGCGCAGAGAAGGCTTGCCAATCACAGCTCTTGAACATCTATCCGAGACATGAACAGACGGTAGCTCGAAGGTATAGTTATATCCGACCTCGTCTATTTATGACTGTTCTAGCTCTAATCGAGATTCTATCAGTATATATACACATTATGATACGTCAGTTCAACCTAATCATCTGCCTTCGACTTTCCTTCCAAAGTATTCCATGCCCACTGGTAGCTACCCAAGAAGATCGCACCCCCAATGCCAATCCACGCAACTCGCGGCTGAACACCTCTCCAAAAAGCTCCAAACCCTTCCTTGGAAATTTCTTGCACTACATCCTTAATTCTTACTCTTGGATTCCCTTCCGAACCATCCCCCCGCCGAGCGAGCATAACCCGGGTCTTAATAACATCCAACGGCGTCGTCAACCCCGCCGAAATCGCACCCGCAATACTACCAAAAACCGCACTTGTCGATGCAGGCACCTGTGCGCCACCCGCCGTAGCCAATCCAGCCTCCAATTGCCGGCGCTTGGCATATGTCTCCTTCATAGCCTCCCACATCGTGAACTGCAAGACCGTAAACGGGATCTCACGCGCAATCGTGATACCGGCTCCACGATACAGCTCCCGAATAACCTGACCGTATCCCCTCTTCGCGCCGGTCTTGGGGTCCGGGTGCCGTAGGGACAAGATATCCGTTAACGCATGCCGACTGGAGCCGCCGAAGAGGCCGGCCTGGGCTCTTTGCTTGACGACTTCCGTCGGAACTCTGACTGCGCAAGCTGCGATCTCACCCATTGAAGAGGCGAGCGATTGTGTAAGAATTATGTGGCTGCGAGATTGTGACTCGGGGTTCGCTGAGGAAAGGAGGGTGCGCTTGACGCCATCGTAGACGATGAAGAAGGATGCGGCGGAGGGAGCTGAACCGAACAGAACAGAGGGAAGGCCTGCGTAGATACCGCGGATTGTCTGTCGGAGAGAGACGCTTGGAGCCGGGGCTGCGGGCGCATGGTGCCTGGCTTTTTGAAGACGGGTCTTGATGGTGTCAAGCGGGTAAAGGGAGCAATCGACGGTGAGACCCGCAACAGCGCCGGACTAGAAAGAGTCGGCAGAGTGCCTGGGTCAGTTCATGCTGGCAATTTTGGAATAGAAGGCGTCCATGGCGTACAATTAGGGACCTGGTCCAGAGAGAGGACACCAAGGACTCTTGACTTTGATCTCGTGACTCCGCCATCTGTGTTGGAGGAATTATGGGAGCAAAAGTCAAACTAGCATTCCGGGCTCCCAATTCGAATCCGGTCCGGGAGACGTGAGAGGAAAGCGTAGAGAATCAGGGAGGCGAAATTTGGGGAAATGGAGAAATGGAGAATTGGAGATTCCTCAAGGTTTCCAATGCAGTCCAAGTCCAACATTTTGTCGGCAGCCCTCCCGTAATCGCCTTATCTCCGCCGATACCGCAATCCCGCTCGGCCAGCTTCGGCGCTTTTCACTACTGTCCGCAATATCCGTAAGGACGCACTCTCCGAACTTAGCACTAGTTGATTGATCAAATTGATCACTTTTGATGTATTCATGTAATCTATGGCTAAACAAGCTCGCCTCGGGGGTGTTATTAAAGACAGGTAGATATGAAAGAAAAGAGCCTCGCAATACACCAAATGTACTGCTGGACTCGCGTACAGTGTTAACTCTTACGGGGCAATATCGAAGCCAAAAGTGAGGCGGAAGAAAAAGAGAGCAAGAACGAAGTACTTGAAAAAAAAAGGAACAAAAGAGCAAAACTAAACAAAACATACTGCTGCCACAACACCCACCACAACGCCGAGATGAGACAAAAGACGGATCACGAATTAGAGTAGGTAGTCGACCTAACGGTGTATGAACAATGACAATGGGCATATGGGGCACAGAAAGTAAAACAGATCCACCACCTGGGGGATACAAACGGTTGACGACAAAGTAGGTCTAATTGTAGTTAGCAGCGCCGCGAAAGATCATCACGAAAGGACGGTATAGAACACAAGACGCCATGCATCTAAAAACGCACAACACAGAAGGGTAAACGAAGCTTTTTTCCTTTTCAGTTCGGTCATTATACACAATCAGCTGCCCAAATCACTTCGCCTTACTGGCAACAGGCACACTCGGGGAAGGCGGCTCGAGGACATGCGTATGACCCGACGCCTTAATCAACTCCCCTGTCACCTCCTGCTGGCATGCTTTGATATTCCGCACCCACTCATCTGTCAATACATCATCGAGGTCGGCTCGGTCTTTCACGCTCACTTTGAGCATGCGGCCGATGATGTAGCGGCTTTCACGAGGAAGAAGCCGCAGCAGTCTCCAAGGGCCCTTGATCACTTCCTGACGTTGCCCACTCGATTGTGTTGAGCCAGATGGAAGCGGGGGTGCCTCTTTGCTTGTAGTTCGAGTGGGTTTGTTTTGGCCACTAGTCTTGTTGTCGGAGCCATTGTTGCCGTCTGTCTTCTCCTGTGGGTTCTCTGGTGGGCGATTTTCCTCCTGGCTGGCTGCCGATGGTTTAACAGGAGACGCCGGCGGTTTAACGGGGGACCGTGGGGGCGTCGCCATTATTTTCGAAGGTTCTTCACTAATACTCGATGCAAACTGTGCACCTTTATCCTCATTGGGGGCAATTGTGAGATTCGGCGCCGATCTCACAGGCCGGTGCCGCTTTGGATCAGCATCGGGAACAGGAGTCCCAGGTGTAGGCGTCGAAACAAAAAGTCTATAAGAGTTATCGCTGACTCGGGGTTGCTTCCAAGGGAACCGGCGTAGGCTCATGCAGCAAAAAATGATGGCTAGAGACCAGACGTCTGTTGGGCGAGGGTCGTATTTCTTCTCATCATAAACCTCTGGCGCCAGATATGGGTCGGATCCGACGATTCCTAAAGCAGTCAGAACACTTTCTGTAGTTACAAATGATAATTGTTTGTCATGGACTCACCCGACGCGTTCACAATGTCATTCTCAAAGGGATATCGAAAGACCACAGCGCTTCCAAAGTCAATGAGTTTCATAATTCCATGCTCGTTGACGACAACGTTATCCAGTTTCAGATCTCGGTGAGCTAGGCCCATTCCATGTAGGTATGCCACGCCGCTCAAGATCTGTTTGAAAGAACAAGCCACTTCGTCTTTGGACATTTTGCCTGTCATGACAATGGCAAATAGATCAAACGGCGCATACTCCATAACCTCGTACCAATGGTTTCCCTCCTGGATTATATCAAGTGTCTCTATGATATTACCATGGTGGAGAGTCGATCCAATACAGAATTCGGCGGTCACCTTCTTGGAATATTCTTTCAGAGTTTCCCAGGAATGACGCTCTCTGAATTGCTTTACGGCGAATGTCACGCCGTCACTGTTACGCTTAAGTAACCGGACGGAACCACCAGCGCCTGAGCCAAGAACCTTCCCAAGTTTTCCGTATTTGGAGTTGAGCCCATGGTCATCCGCAAATGGAACATTGTCGGGTGCCATTTGATAAGGAGTGTTCTTTCCAGACGAACGGCTGGACTTCTTTGAGGTGGGCGATTCCCCACGCTTATGCTTGTGACCCATTTTAAAGAACCGCTTTAGCTCCGACATATGACCATGCGGCTTGGTTTCTGCTTCTCCCTGTCGTACGTCCTTTTTCCCGCCGAATATACCCGCTCGTTTATCGCCTCCTTTGAGATCCGATGCACTTGAGGAGCGCGCGCTCGAAGGACGAGGATGAGATGTCGCACGGTGACCCCTGCGTTTCAAATCACGGCCAGTGAATATGAATCGTGGATCAAGTTGAGTGAGATTCTTCGACTGTGGCGGCCGTTTGCTGCGTGCATACGGGTCATTCGGCTCGCCAATTGGTGTGATGGCACCGGGTGGGGTGTAGCTCTCTACGTTGACACCGGGAGTCATTGGCGGACTTTCATCCCGCGTGCCTCCCTCCGGGCCAACGAAAAATTGCGCTTGATGTTTCGTTCCATTGAGAGGATGTGAGGATGTTTGTGCGACGTCGTTGTGTCTCGATAGTTGATCCGTTGACGATGGACGTGAGCTGGGAGCGCTTTGAGCGATTGCACTTTTAGATTGCGCGCTTGTTGGGGGAGAGGCAGAGGGGGTGATTTCCGAGGGTTGGGAAGGAGGAGGGGCTTGCTTTGCTGTTGTTTGCGCAGGTCCTGTCTGTGCGGTAGCTTCATGCGAATGAGTCGCAGCTGGCGTAAGAGGGGGTGATTGCATCGCTGATGCTGGAGGAGAAGTATGAGTTGACGGTAACTCGGAGCCGTTCTCTCGTGCACTGCGATCGCTCGACTCTCGAGATGCGACCTAGGGGGCAAGTAGTTAGCAAACAGACTACCCCACCAATGAAATGACGGGGCGTAATACCCGTGATGATGGAAGAGAAACCGGATCGTACGAGATGTTAAACATTCTCGACTCTTGTAGCTGAGACTTTTGAAGGGTTGCCGCGAGCGAACGGAGATCATCTTCTTGCTTCGGATCGCTGGTCGGAGCTTTACCAGAGGGAGGCAGCTCCGGTGGCTCAAACTCTTCATTCACTGAAGAGAAGCGCACCTGTGCAGGTTGCTGCTTGGATTTGGCATCGGTGTTTCCAGACTCAGAATCCTGTCCGGCGGGCGTCTGGTCTACATTTTGGGGATGCAGGGCTTCGGCTGAAGACGGCAATCCTATTAGAACGTACAAACGGAATAAAATCACAAGTGCGAAAGTTAGTGCTTACCGAATTGCACAGGGTTCTTCCCATCTGCAGAGTCAGTCGCCTTAGACGTCATATTGTCGAGGACCGCGGGCGGAAGTCATGCCCCTCCAAAGATGCAATAGGAGTTTAACGAGTCGTGACAGACGATGAGAAGTAGAAGGTAAAAGAAGCAACTCCCATGCAAAGCTTGCTTTATTCCTTTTTTCTTTTTTTCCTTTTCTTTTTCCTTTTTCTTTCAGGACGATTGGTGACGGAACTTGGTGGGACAAGGCGTAGAAGGGCGCGGGTTGCGCGTGGGCGACGGAGCAAACGTTTCGACGAGTCCGGTTGCTGCCGTTACTCACAACGGCCCGGGAGCTTCGTAGGCGGCGTGCAGGGCCGGAGGCAGACGGACGGGATTTCGGACCACCAAGGAATCATCCAAGACAGCAACAGATTCCGTTGCGACTGGGGAGAGGGTAAGGAAAGGGGAGAGGAGAGTGGAGAGTCTGATAGGGAAAGGTGGGAGGGAGGAGGGGGAGAGGCTAGTAGCAGCAGTAGAAATAGAACTGGGAACTGGAGGAGAGAAAGCAAGAGCGGCGGCGGTGTCTCCGACTTGGAGAGAAAAACAAGCGGCGGCGGCAATAGCGGCGAGATCCACTGCAGTCTAGATTGACCACATGGGCTAGGCTTTATCAGGCTCCAGGCCAGGAAGAAGAGAAACAAATGGGCGACCGGTCAATGGTTGCTGACGATGAGAGGACAAGAAGCAGAATGCTCGCCAAGTCGATGGGTAGAGACGAAGAATGATTTTCGTTCCTCGCAGCATCCGGAATCCCGCGGAGACACGCCCTGTTGGCAGCGCTGATGACTACTCTGGAGTCTGAAGAGCACTCCGTATTATCCGTTGCATCACCTGCCAACTCCATCTACCCCGCTGGGTTACAGTAGTCCTAGCCGCAGGGAGAATGCGATTTTCTCGAATCCAGCCTAGAATGATCCCGTGCAGGTGGCTGAACATGGATACCGCATTGGTCGCTGCTCCAGATCGGTGATGTTTTCCAGAAGCAGCCGGGATTCATTGCTCCTTGCATACCGACGCAACCTGGATAATATGGGGTGCATCATCAAGTCGCGTCCTTTCTATTGGCAAGCGTTTCTATTCCATTTCTGGAAAAAAGCATTAACGCAAGATCCATAACTATGTACTATCTCCAGACCGAAAGCCTGCACTATACTGCGGGGATCCCACTCCAATTCCTCATACTTTACGAAGTGGCACCAGGCGAATTGCTGGGCCTCTGTCACTTTCAGCGCCCGGTGGGTGTTGCCAAGCATATATTAGTAACATCCATGTGCAAAATGCATAATTTCCTGAGTCACTATCTGCTTGGGTTGTGCTGCCAAGAGCTTGGATATGGTTATGATCCTCCCTTACCAGAACAGACAGATTCTCTGAGGAGTCTCGGTGACACAGGGCGTCATCATTCATTACTACGTATTTCTTGGCTCCTGGCCGTCACTCTCGCTACACCTTCCCCATGGGCATATGCTTCATCCCTAGCTTTGAATTTGGCAAGTCTCGCTCTACACTTGGGCAGGGGAGTGAAGAGAACAGTATGTGAAGGTGGCGATTAGTTGCGCTTTCTATATCGCATGCAAAGGCTATAGTACATAGTATAACAGACCCATCTCCGAGAACGCCGGTATCATAATATTTAAAAGAGTTGCTTATTGCACAATGCAAATGACACCACATCACTCAAGTAGTCTAACTCCGCCATTTGACCTCTTATGGGACGATCTGAATTCCAACGGACTTGGCCTGTGCCATTACACTCTTGCAAAGTCCTTCCAAGCTCAATCCCGATAATCTCGTCTCGGAGTGCTTGATCCTCGCGATCTCATACACGTGCTTCAGGGAGATCTTGCCGATTGTCTCGTGCCCGGGATTCTGGGCACCACGGATTCTGTTCTTGCGTGGCTCTATTCTTGCCGCCTGCAATAGCAGCCATGTTGTCGTGGGAGTGCGGATATCGAAGTGAAAGGAGCGATCAGGGCGCACTGTTACGCGAGCGGGAATCGGAACACCGGGGTTAATGTGAGCTGTTCTGGCATTGAATTCCTATGGATATTTAGTCCCCTATTTCTCGTATCATCCGACCAGTGTTTTTCGGGGCCTCCTTACCTTGCAGAAGTCCATGCTTTTGACACCTTTACTACCCAGAGCTGGACCGACGGGGGGACTAGGGCTGGCCTGCCCGGCTCCCACAATGAGCTTGACGATTTGGTCCTTGGCTAAGGCTTTTTTGGCCATTGTGAAGGAGTGTTATGTTGCGAGGAAGTATCGAAGGGTTGTTCAATTCGTCAACATCAACAGAGCTGTTTCTGTATTTTGCGGCCAAGATTTTCGATTCGGAATGGCAGATCGGAAGCCGGGATTTCTATCCGTTTTGGGAGTCAACCTCCCAAATGTGCTCGCGGGAAAAATGCTGAACGTCATAACTAAATAATGTTGCCCGAACGTAGTTCACGGTCCAACGAGAGACTAAGGATGTGGTGACGGACTGGTAGTAGTTTAGAAATTCATATGTACCCAGATATTACCTGGGTCTCTTCCTTCAGCTCCTGGCCTGAGCGAGTTTCCTACCCTAAGCTCTGATTGTCGATTGCAAGACCCCTTTGGGCCCCGCGCGCTATCGATTTCTCCCTGATCTCCTGTCCCCTTCCCTTTCAACCTTCCTTCTTACAACACCCATTCTGACCATCCGCAATGAATTGGCTCAAATCTACGTAAGCTTATCTCCTCCTTCCAATGCATCTCCTCCTTCAGCCCTTGATTGCGATCATATCATCGCCCTGCTGACCATCTCCACAGCCTCTCCGCTGTTGCGGGAACGCAGGAACCGATCTATGGCCCTGAAGCCATCCAACCTGTCTCTCAGCAACAGACCGAAGATGCCCCTTACAAAGAGCTTACCAAGGAGGATTTGCGGTGGCGCGCCTTCCAGTACACAAATGTCGAGACCCAGACGTACTATGCCATGGCCGACGATGGCACGCTAGTTATGGTTCAGATCATTTACAGCAACATCGCGTGAGTCTCGTCGTTACATCACCGTCTTGTCCACCCCTCGATTTTACTTACTTCCCACCTTTGCCGGTTCCCATACGGTTCTAACTGTATGGTTTATGCACAGTGGAATTCATACTACCGCACAGTTCAACTGCAAGATCTTCAATACTTCAGGCGATGGAAACCCCCACATCTGGTTCTCCGATCCTCTGAGCAACCACATGTTCGATGAGAGCATGTTCTCCTTTGCCGCTGATAACATCTCTCTGTCTTTGAATGAAGCGGGCGATGCATACGCTCTTAAATCTGCTGTGAACGAAGGCTGTCTCGTGGATTTGACTTTTGCCCGCACCTCGCCGGGTTTCGCCATCGGCAAGGATGGCACCACATACTTCGGTACAGACCCCGAGAACCCATGGGGCTCTATGCGTCATATGTTCTGGCCCCGATGCAGTGTAGCCGGAACTATAACCACCAAGGAGAAGGTTTATGACATGAAGGGTCGAGGATTGTTCTCCCAAGCTCTTCAGGGCATGAAGCCCCACCATGCAGGTGCGTACAGAAAATTCGGTGGAAGGATAATGTTATGATTCTGACATGAATAGCTTCCCGCTGGAACTTTGTTAACTTCCAGACGCCCTCTTTCTCTGCTATCATGATGGAGTTTACGACCCCGCCCTCTTACGGCTCGACCGTGGTAAATGTTGGCGGTGTCGTCAAGGACGGCGAGATTATCTACGCGGGTACCACCAACACCGCAACGCACACAGATGCGTCAGAGGACGAAACTAGTAACTGGCCGGAGCCGAAGTCTATCAAATGGGTGTGGGAGGGTAAGACGAAGGACGGTAAGCCCGTCACCGCCGAGCTTGACGGCTCTCTTGGGCCAAAACTTGACCGTGTCGACGTCATGGCCGAAGTGCCAGGTTTCATCAAAACCATTGCCGGCAGCGTCGCAGGTGCGCGACCATATATTTTCCAGGTAAGCATTGAATCGTCGGGGCTAGCTGTGCTAAGCTAACTGTTCATTAGTACTCGCCTCAGGAGAAGCTCTCCCTGAAGCTCAAGGTCGGCGACGAAGAATTTACGGAGGAAGGAAGCATGTTCTCCGAGGCGACTTTCATTTCCTGAATGTTTGAACGTACATAAAACTGTTCCCAGGATTATCAACGGCGTTTGAGTGCTTGCTCAAGACATGTGCCACGAGAATTACATTACATATCTATAAAGTAGCAGTCTAGGTCTGCATAGTGTATAGTTAGTTTAATCCACAATGTGCTTTGCTCATTATCAGTATGCCCAGGCAGAGAATCGACTCATTTCAACTGGCTATGGCTTAATAAGACTCATATATTCAAAACTTCAACACAATTGACTTGTTTTACAACAAACAAAGTGTTATGATAGCCCATAAGTAACAACCCTTCGACCATGTCTTTCGTGACCCCGTATCCTTCCCAATTCCGACTCGACTATCCAGCACCTTTTTATTCCGTTTGCTTGAATACCTCGCCTAATAAACCATCATCATCACATGCAGACCAATGGCTCGAGTTGCCGTACACATACTACCCCTGGCAGGATACCGGCGCCACAAGTACGTTAACCAGTCCATCCTCGATACATTCCTTCCCATCCTTCTAAAAAGAAATACTAATATTTAATATCACGCATACAGGGTGTTACGGGACAACATACTTGGCGTTAGTACGTTTGTCACACCTCCCCGGGACCCGTTCTCCCACCCACAAACACATCCACATGAGGGTATCTCAAAGGCGACAGAGGAGTCCAGCCCGACTAACACAGTTATTTGCCCCAATATAGCACGACCAGCCATCCGGTAAGTCCTAGCAATCCCTTTCTCCGAGTGCAGCCCTGGTCTAATATATGATACCCAGTCGTCTTGCCCGTCGCGGAGGCGTATACAGGATAAAAAAGGAGATCTATGATGAGATCCGACTCGCCTTGAGGGATCGGTTGTCGGAGGTGTGTAGCCTACTAGCCTGCTCTATTCCATGGCCCTTTTCATGTGCGGGGTTGTACCGTACTAATCTCCTTTTCTTGCATGAAAAAACAGATCCTGAGACACATTATGCTAATACTCGAATCGAGTACAGTGCCGTCTCACCAGCGCAAGGTAAGCAATTTGACCCTAGCAACTGCTTCTACGGATACTAGCTCCGGACTGACGGCTTCTCGCTTGTTGTTTCTAGCTCGTTACAACTAGAGACGTAAGTTTCTTACTTGACATTCCTGTCGATTTCCATTCCTTTTTGTTGCCTTGCCGTCTTCGAATTGCATTGTCTTGTTATACGAGACGCGTTGAGCAATCGAGGGGGTTTATCGGACCGTGTTCCAGTAGAATGCACGCTGACTGAAAATTCTCCATACTCAATAGGTCGTCTTCGCACTGAGTCGGGTATGTCTTCTTTCCGTTGTCTTCCTGGCTGGATTACTGTGCTAACATACTACGGGTGAGTAGATGGGACATACATTGTACGGGTTTGATTGAAGCAAGTGAAATGGCATTTATGACAGTTGGTAAATTGGGTCAAATTATCGTGGGACTGCTGGCCGACAGGACACCGTAGATCAGAGCGTGTGGTTGTTGATCGCGCTCCACACATGCTCCACGCTGCTGTTTGACATCTCTAAGTGGAGCGCCAACCCTGGGAGAAGTTCGCCTGCTCAGGTTGCTCGACAGGGTCTCAAACGTACTTATAGTCAGTCCACTCTGAGAAATTTACCCTTCCGCGGCCAGGACTTTCATGAACATGGCTGGGATATATGCATACAAGTCTATTGCTGGAATGTATAGCCTAAAGAACTTTAGACTTAAAGAGTTTAAAATAACAAAGGAACATGAAATGTAGAGAAAAAGAAAAAAAATATATCAGAGTATGGCCAAAAGCCGGAACAAAAGAAATGGACAATTAATATGCGCCTGCGGCTTCGACATAGTACCCCGAATCTAATACTAAGCTTCAATCATAAGTTGCTCCCCCTCATCCAACAACGAAGTCACCTTGGATAGATCTGAGATCATCTTCTTGCCATGCCCAACGAGCAGAAGTTTCTCTGCATTTGCCGGCAGACCAAGGTAAGTCGGTGGCTCTCTCTCTGGAAGGTTGTTGACCCATTGTACGAAGTTCTGGAGGCCAGTTTCTCCTGGTAGCGTCAAGCACTCATCATTCTCGACGCCGGAAACGAGCTTGTATTCATCTTCGAAGGCGGCTGGGGTGAGGAAGCTATTCACCAGGCGTTCGAGCTGTTGGAAGTCTTCGCCGTCGTCGACCTTGCCACCATACATTTCGGTTATCAATGTGCGGATCATGTCCCATGGGAGCTTCTGAGGTGCCACGTTAGATCGGCCTTGGGCAATGGTGTCAACCCAATAGTCGATAATGTATGCTGAGCATTCGTACTATTACACGAGTTAGTTGGGTTCATACAATGAAGCCAGAAATCGGGATACTTACGTCACTATCATTGAACTCCCAGAAGCCCTTCCAGCCAAGACTGGGTGCATAACGCAGTCTTTCTTGGACAACAGCATGCAAGAAGCAGAGGAGAAGATACACTCGAGCCTTCTCAACAGGAGCCTTGCTAGCGCGAGTAGACAACGAAGATAGGGAGTCCTTCATGTTAGCCCGCACACCAGCCGGCTGCTCGTACATCAGCACACGAGAAGCGCGGATAAGATTGACTGGGATCTTGGGGCTTGATTCCATGGAGAGGAAAAGCCTGAAGTCCTTATGAGGCTTGAGTGAGGCTAGGCGCTTCTCCAAACTCTGCAGCCACGAAGGCGCAAGGTGTACGTTCTTGACCAGGACCCAAGTTCCAGCGGAAGCCGCGTTGCTGATCGCTTTGTCGGCACTCTCGAGACCTTCGTTGGAACCCATAGCAATGTTTGCGCAAGTTGCGTGCGTGCGCTCGACCAGGGCGTCAACCTTGTAACTAGCATCGAACCCAGGGCTTGAGCTGAGGGAAATTGGTGAAGTGGCAGTTACTTGCCCCACGATGTGTTGCAGGTCAGTGCTTCCTTCATATAGCTCGCGACCGAAGACAGCAACAATAAACCGTTCAGCAGCCGGCACAAATCGGTCCATCCTGCAGAGTTTGACAAGCAGTAGGGACCGGAGTAGCTTGTCAAGCTCCGATGTATTCTCGTCCCAAACAGCTGGGACATAGTTCTCTGCGAGTTCTTCGCTCAAGAATTGATCCCATTGTTCTGCAGCCACTGAAGGGAGATGGGATTTGAATAGCGACATGTTCGCAAACCCGCTCATCACCTGGACCTTGGCCTCAGGATTGGCTGACAAGTCATTACCTTCAGTGGACTCATCCAGAATGGTATCAATAATGCCCTTGTCCATGGGATAAGGAGCCGCTTGCGCCAAGAGCATGGCCAAGGTGATACGATCCTTTTGAATGACACCCAACGAAGTCCGTTGATAGGTGGTAACAAAGAGATCTCGAAGAATGATATCAATGCGCTGAAGGTAATCTCGCTTTTTATCAAGGCCTGAATTGTCGAGGTGTTTGTTGGCGTGCAAAACCGAGTCAAATATGTCGGTGAAGTATTTGAGAGAGAATTGGTAGAAGTGGTTGATATGGTGAAGCTGTTCCAACACTGCGAACACCGCGCTGCACGAGCGTGCAACGATACTGTAGCGCTGAGTGATCTCCTCTACCTCTGTCATGACACCTTCGGTCTCAGCCATCTTCTTGGAAATTTCTGCAGCCTCCTTCTTGAGCGTCTCGAGTGTTTCGATAACATTGTCGTCATCGAGAATATTGCCTTGGGACTCATTTAGGGCCTGCAATAGACGCTTCTCAAGCTGGCGAAGATGAACCTTGAATTCTCCTTGAGCCTTGACAAGATCGGAACGCCGGCTGTCCACGTCGTCTCGTTCGGATTTGAGAACTTCATTGAGCGATTGGATCTGCAAGCTGCTTTGCGTGATCGTAAAGTTCACAAATGTGGTCCTGCTGCAGATATCAGGTGCGAAAGATGCCGAGGGATCTCTTGTCGAGAGGAAAAGTTTGAATGAAGGCGAGAAATCGATCTCTTGTTTGCCCAGCTGGATGAGAACACGTCCTCCGGTTTTCTGGTACTCTTTGTTGAGGACGTGGTTGAGGATGGGATCCAAGTGCTCGGCATCTTGAATTAGGATGGGGTTACCGAATCGAAGTGCACTTTCAAGTTGTTTCACAAACGAATCATCTAGGAAGCTGGTCACTGTGAGTTTCCGTTCTGAGCTTTCCTTCTGCAAGAATTCGGTAACACGGCCAGAAGGATCGATGATAAGGGGGTATCTGTTGTAGCGCTTGAGGAAAATGGCGTTCTCAGTGCTAAGGTCATCGACTGGCAAGGAGTGCGCTTGCCAGGCAAGACGTTCATCCGCGTTTGACAGGTATTCTGTGATAGGGTTGTGTGGCTTCAAGGTTATGCCGGATTGGACCAGGTGCTGGACCCAATCATCTGTCATCGCCCTACGAAATTGTTGGTCATAGAAACCGGCATAGGCGAGGAAGGCCGCAGCAATGAGAACGTCGCCAACAAGTGTGCTGATTTGGGTTTCGAAGGACCTGCTTCCCTCCTCCCATCGGGTACGCTCAGAAGCCAGGCTGTCGAGTAGACGCACACTCCGGTCGACCTTGAATTGCACTCTCTCCATCTCGGTCTTGATTGCCTGTGTTTCGCTAATAAGAGCAGCATACTCATCCTTGTAGGTGGCGATGCTGTTCTCAAGATCCTTGATCGTTGTTTCAATGGTTTGGGCTTCTTCCTTAGTTTGAAGCGCTTGTTGCTCGAGTTGGCCAACCTCGTCACGCAGGGGTCCAACTCGATCCAAGATCTCAGAGTAGTTGACCTGTGCTGAGACCCACTGAACCAACGGACCACAGGCCTTGCTGGCTCTGTTGACTCTCTCGTAGGTGAAATCCTCCTTGGAAAAGAACTCGTTCTGCATCTTCACCCTGTGGTTCTTCGTCATCTGCTTTTCGTTGTCGTAGTTGACGATGCTGGCAATGAAATCGTCCCTTCGAACGATTCCTTGAATCGTCTTCCAGCTATCAACCTTATGCCCAAGCAGAGTGCAAACAGCTTCCAAAGCAAGTCTAACACCAGAGGGAGGGTTGCCCATGGAACGAACTTCAGTAAGGTGCTGCCGTTTAATGTTACTGACACTCTTTTGTGCTTCCTCGACCGCAGGCTCAGCCCTCGCAAGATCGTGCAAGACGACTTCTTTTCGAGTAGCAACTTCTTGTTCCTGCTTCTCCAAGGCAGCTTGCACCTCGAGAGACACGGCTTTACGTTGCTCCGCCTCACGTTGGTCTG